CTGAGCAGGTACATGGCGACGGCTTCATCATCATCCCACTTCGTAACCTTGTCCTCTTCCTCCTGGGTGGGGACAGTGCTACGTGGCTGTGGCTTCGCTGTCGACCCAGAGAAGTGACCCCAGAGTCGTTTCGCCCTTACGGCAGTCTCGAAGCGCTCAGAAAATACAGCAAAGTTCACGCCAGAAGGATCCAGCTTCGGCACTGATGAGGGGAGGGTATCGGAGGGTCGGTCAGAAGACATATTGTGTATCAGTAACGACAGGGGGGGATGGATTATATGCAGCTATAGCCCGAGGAAGCTTGGGCTCATAACCTTTTGGCTATGAACGATCTCTGCGAAGACGTAGTTGTCGTCTGTAGCAAGACAACAAAGGCTCACTCAGCACGTCTTCCGGGACAATGCAAAGATGAGGTTGGCGTACGAGACGCGCGCGGTACTTGTATGCTATGATACGTCTAGGAACAAAGATAACGATACCGTTGATATGAGTTTATCATAAGTCTAATAAGTGGAAATATCAAATAACGAGCGTTGCTGAGGTGAATCGTATGGAACTGTCAACAAGATACGATAGTCCAGAAAAGGCAAATGTCAGTTGCGAGGAATCCGGGCGCGTTTGTCTCTCCAACATGACATCGGCGCGTCAGGGTGATGGCAGCCTGCAAGTTGACTACCAACGAACACTGGAACAAGCTGCAACGTCCTTTTGTACCAGGCCAAAGGGCTTCTGTCGGCCATGTCGTCGGCTCGATCAATCTTGGTCTGGCTCTCCAGCCTCGTTGGGTAGATTATTACCTTCAAAGTCTATCCTTCAGTTCCGAAACCACGCTTTACTTTGCACTTGACATGCCATCTCCGTCCTGATGTCCTGCCGCGCACTCCTAGATTTATTAAATCAGTCGCCTGACCTTGCAAGGTACGTTCAGTCACCTACTACTCTTTCGGTATATGGCAAACTACTCCCGTAAAGCAGGAACTTTTGTCCTTTGTCCCACTGATGCAGCGGCTAGGTTCGTGCGATGTACTGACGGTAATGGCTACCGCGATCCCTATGTCAAATGATTCAGGTGATCACAGCGTCTTAGCGCTCGATACCCCACGGGGGGAATACGTATTGCACGCCACCACTCGCAGTAAGGCTGAAGTTCTGCCACTCAAGGTTTGCAAATGATACAGGTGCACATCAAGCTTGAATTGAAAGAATCAAGCCTCCAGGGACATTCCATCAGATTCTGCCCAGACATGCATCACATCGGACGATAAAGCGTGGAGTCCGGATGTGGACGACTTGTGCGAGAATGTCCGGTGGGCAGTCCGCATCCTTCTGATACTGCTTGTGTCTACCGGCGTCGTAGTTCACTCCCATTCCAGCCTTCGCCGAGCTCGCATAAGTCCGACCTCCAATGGTTGGAGTACGCGTCTCTGAGTCGTGCACCTATTTTATCGTCCACGTCTGAGTACGACCCTTACAACTCCAGCGTATTGCTACGTCTTGTATCTCCCATTCAGGTGACCCCGCATCCGACGTGCACTATGTAGCGAGACCCACACTAATTATACACCACCTCTTGTCAGAGCGCCGCAACGATGCCCGGCGCCCCAAGGGCCTTGTCCACAGCGAAACTCCCTTGTGACCATTAACATGCTCACTCTTATGACGAGGACATACTACGCCATGGCTCTCCCAGAGATGATGTGTCCATAGGCTTCGCATCTGACGGTTGGTCAGGTATATGAGGAATACCCGGGGGAGTCTTCGGTAACAGGTCGAAAGTGCGCAGTATGAACACCGTCTCTTCCTCGCTAAACTCCATGTCAACGGAGGACGACCCGCCAAGTTGCTGACCCGACCGGTATGAGTCCTGTGAGTACGCCGATTTCGAGTACGTCGACCAGCAGTGGGACGCAATGGCAGCGTCATGGAGCGTGGGGGGATTCCCCGCGCGTTTCTTGCCGCGGAACTTGCGCCTCAGGGTCTCCAAGGTGCTGAGGTAGAGAGGCTCGTTCCTACTGGCACGGGCCCGAACATGGGCAGCCGGGGGCGCAGCCAATGAGAACGCGAACGGGTCGTTGCGGTCGAAAAAATCACGACTTGGGGTAGGTGGCAGCACGGGGGAGCACCACGAGACAGAGCGTACGGATGCTGTCGAGGGGGAGTCTGTTGGACGAGGAACGAATGATACAGCTGTGAGAACAGCCGGTCGTCACATGTTACTGACTTGAACGTTCATCAGAGCTTACCATGGAGGGCAGATATGATACAGCAGGTCCAAATTGTCAGGAATAAGGCATACAAGACCTGGGGGGTATGACCGCCAAGTAAATTGGACGCCGAGCACGCCACTGCGAGCAGCTGACCAGCCCACACTAGATACACAGGAATGAGCTGGTGCGAGTTCTGGCGGCGGCGGTAGAAAAGAAGGTGAACGATGGGGAAAAGAGTCAACAAGGTATTGATGAACCAGGTTATCGGCATGACAAGGTCGGACAAGGTGCGTTGGTGCAAAAGGAGCGACAAAAATGAGCACAAAGCCGCTGTATAGGATCATATTCAGTTGAACATCCAGTTTGAAGAACGTGCGCCTGACCAGAGAAAAGCGATAAGATGAGGCAAACCACCAGGAAGCGTCTCGAATTTCTTGGTATCCATGGATCCAGACCCATGTCTACGAGCCATTGGCCGCTCAATAATAAAATTGGTATAGCAGCCACTGATTGACGTTGGCCACGTTATCACGGCAAAGTGAAGATCGACAATGCGCGCATCAGGAGCAAGCCCTAGGACGTTCTAAAGCCTCTTACGTTCTGTCTGGACTAGGTATCTGAGAGAAGCAGCCGCAAGCCAGAACCTCTGTTGGTGGCGAGAACCCAACATCGCGGCAGTGATATCCATAGCACCGGCGACGCCCGAGCAGAGACCGATAGAAAGAACGAAGAACAAGTACACATTTCGATCGCGCCCGACGAAAGCATTCCTACGAGAGAGATACGCAACCAGCGAACATATTGCGAAACCGAGGACGAGTAAGGACAGGACCGGAGGAACGAGTGAGAGAGACTCCATCGAGGAGGGGATATCGCAAGCCTGCCGCAAATGTCGATGACATTGTATAAATATTGCTGCCGTGGTATGAGCGGCAATTACCCTTAATAGAGGGCTTCAAATGCTAGTCCGTAAAGGGACGTGGTCCATTCAATACCTTACCTACATAATTGTCAGTCTGGAAGACGAAGATCCTCTACCTCCTTCCGCCAGGCAGAATAGGTATATAGCGTAGCCATATTCGATAATCCCGCGCCTGAGTAACTCCGACTATCCTTTTGAGCTTCAAAACATTAGAGATCTTGACTTGAGCTTGACAGGGAGAATTTTGGTGATGTCGGACATGTTGTTACGGGGTGTAAGTATCCCCCAGTACCACCTGGCATTCCCTACTCAAGCAGAAATGAGGGAGTTATGAAGAGCAATGTCGATGACCAGTCCTCGTGTCCTTTGCGCGGTCTTGATAAACTACGGCTGGGATGCGAGAAAGCCATCCGCAGTATGGTTGGCATTTATATGCTCGACGCTCGACCTTCCATTTGACAGGCTGCACTGCGGAAACTGAAATGTAACTTGAATTTGAAAAGGCATCCGGTACCGCAATGCATTGGGAGAAGAACATTTAGCAGATGTCAACCGGCGTAGTGATTCACTGCATTCAGGCACTTCTGCGTTGAGGGGGGACCCGCAAACGTCGTAAAACCGCGGGAGCAGCAGCAGATTAAGTAGCAGCGAAGGTGGAAGACCAACTTACACGGAAGCGAATTATTGGTATAGTTACGTAATGTGAAGTGACGACTTTGTTCTCACGGGTTCGTGCCACCTGGTTACACCCACTCGAGTGTACGATCGAATATTCTATCATGCACTCTGCCATGCACCATCGTAGACTTCTGTTATAACCCTCATACACCGTATCATCCCTCCGATACACTTACAATTGATTCCGCCATCTCACGCTATTGTTATTCCTTTCCGCATCCAGCAACACTTCCGATCGACCCGCAATGGCACAGGTGTCTGAGAGTGCAGCTGGCAGCAGCGCTTTCGGCCCTATGGCTCTCCTGCTTGGACTTAAGAAACGAAACATGAAGTCTCCGCTCACGTCATTACCTGGGGACGTTCTTCTGGAGATTGCGAAGTTCCTACCATGTCTAGCAGACGTGCTTCACGTGTGTCTGACGGTGAGTACTCCCCGATAAACTTGACATGGTGGTAATCCCATGGCTACAGTCCTCCGTTATATACAATCAAGTTATGCAAGTCCTCTATGAGTCGGTAGACTTGTGCTCCGCAGATCAGTGCTCCCGAACCTTGAGCATGCTGCAGCGCAGACCAGAGGTGGCCCGTCACTTGCGAAAGCTGGTCGTACGTCCAGACGAAGATCCTAGGCGGAGGAGGAGGAGGTACTCGCCGGTCGATGGATACCTTGTCTCAGCTTCTGTCAGGCAAGCCGCGCCTCGACTGGATGCCTTGCATACGTTCATCTGGGATGGCGAGGACCTTCCGCCGTACGACGATATGTGGTTCGCTCTCCGGATATCGTAAGTGAAGAAGGTACGCCGAGGACTTCAACTCTAACGCACAAACGTCGTTCTTGTGTAGATGTCCACAGTTGCGAACGATCGGGACTAGCATGGGTCCAGTAACACCTAACCCCCGGAGCCATGTGGGTCCACATCCCGACTTTGCCCTCGTGCACTTCCTGATCTTTCCGATTGGCAGTTGTTCGACTTCAGTAACTTGGCTGGCTTCTCCCTTACGCTGCGTTCCGGGTTTTACAGCCAGTTCGACGTGTGGGGTACGCAGGCATTAGCAGCTGCTGGAAGCTGCTATGTATTAACATTTATGAAGATGATCTGCCCCCCTTCCAACCACTATGGGACATGCTAATCAAACGATGCCCAAACCTTGAAGTGCTCACTGTTGATGGCGTTTCTGCACGCCCTGCAGATGCTCGTATCCTATACAGCGCACGCTGGCCGAAATTGCGCACACTAGTCGTAGGACCGATTCTGATTCAGCACGAAGCGCACAACTTCAACATCACGCAAGAGAAACCACCTTTTGCTAGGTTCCTCGAAGAACACAAGGACCTGCGGTCGCTGCATCTCACGAGCCACCACGCAGGTTTGAGCGCAGCCGACCTCCACGCGCTGGATATGGAAGCCTTGCCGCACTTAACGGAGTTCTGCGGTAGCTTGTCCCAGTTGCAGGCTTTGCCGCACTCCGTTGCGCGCTCCATCAAATCAGCACGGTTCCCAGAGCCGATGTTATTACGAGAAGTCACGCCTCCATTGACGGTTTCCATGGTCCTGCATAATATGTCGTCATTGACGAACCTGAGTATCAACTTTGTCCTGCAATCAGGATACTACGACAATATCGGCGTGCTCAAGTCCATCGTCTCAAGCTGTCCGCTGCTGATCAACCTAGAGATCACGTGTAGTTCTCAGCCGGCATTCTATCTTGTATGTCCTATCATTCATTCCGAACAAATCTACCCATTGATGCCCCGCCTTTCCAGGATGCATTCTCGAGAGCCATACGTTCCCTGTCCAAGCTCCGCACCCTATCACTCACGATGGTCAAAGTCCCTGGCGACGAGCCCATGACTAAGGGTGCTGCGCGTATCGCCCTTTCGAACCCCCGGCTCAAGAAATTCACCGTCTCCTACATCTCCCGATATGCGTCTTTCCCCCGCCACTTCCACCACATCTATAGCCAGCCCATGCACTCCGATGCCTACGAGACCGGCACGTACGAGGTCATATGTGACCAGCACGGGTTGCCGATCAAGCTCTCCGTGTATGAGAGACATTCGCAGACGCTGGTGTGGTGGCACTGGGTGAGCCGGCGTCGATATGTCTACGACTTGAGGCCGCCGGGACATCCGGATGCGGAGAGGAAGGGGCTGGTGCAGCTGTTGATGGAGAAGGGGAACGCGGGGGAGGAGACGAGGCTCCTGTTTTTCTGCTGCATGTTGGTGGCGCTGGCCCTTTTGGCTACGATACGAGCGTGATGGACCAAGTGCTAGAAGTCTCAATACGTGTATGTATGTATATTCAGACCTCTGTGGCGACATATCAGGACTCGTCATAGTTAATGTTGTACCACCATTTTCCTAGACCATATAGATATGTATGGTGTGTTTGTATGTCATATTGTCCAGCACTTGCCTCCGTTCTTGCGACTGTGCCCAGCAACGAAGCCCGTTTGTCCCCCTGTACCAGAAATAGATTGCTCATCATTAGTTTGAGAGGGGCGCGCCATACTCGACACTTCGAAGGCACGGGGAAATCCCGGGCCATGGCCAGCCGGTGATCACATTCATTCCTCGCCAGTCTCACAAAGCAGCAATGGCTTCGTCACAGAGGCTGTATTTTCAAAGAGAGAGTGGGTGACCCTGAATCGGGCCCGCGATGGAGGTTAGAAGATCCCAGGGGTGAGATGTTGTGCGGTGAGAGCCACGACTGCCAATACTATGAGGTCACAACATGTTCGCAGAGATTGCACCTCTGGTACTCTACCACACAGTCTAAACCTCCCGACGAGAGCGGACTTCCGATTGGAGTATGGAGGCAGAGGGGCCACTATAGACTGTTCGTGTCTCTGAGAAGTGGTGACAGGAATGCGCCACTTGCGACAGTGGTGAGTTTATGGGCTAAATTGTTATCTGTCAGCCGCCAGGATGACTGAGCGGAACTACCATCGTGTTGTTGACAGGTGGATACACCCTGCAGAATACATATGCGAGGGAAATATGGCACATACGGAGGAAATGGATATGTTGCTTACTTGAGGACCAACTCTAGTCTTGCTGCGCGATGAGAATAGTGGACGCGGAAACACGAGGTGTCGTCACCTGAGATGCCGGCAGCCGAGACGGTAACATTCCGAGGGACTATTCTTAATTCGCTGCGCAAACTGGAGTATAAGGAGCACATAAGTCGCATGCCTGCTGAGTAGCGCAGGATGAGGATGAGGCGGACCTCGCGCGAAGACGAACAGCAGATCCGATGCTACAGCTGTCAAGCCAGAGACTCTTTGATCGACTGACACACATGCTATATGTTTGCTAATGTTGCCAAATAGACCACCGTCGCTGCGCCAGGAAGCATCATTCAATCCCCCCAGTCAGAGAGAAGTTGGGAGGCTCCTGGAGGGTCATCAGCACGGCACCCAGGCAGACGCCTGAAGACTTGTGATCAAGGGTCGGAAGGGCGCGCGAAGACGGTCAATCATCACTGGTCAAATTTCAAGATAATGACGTTTGAGGGAAGACAGCGCTCGGGGATGGAAACGGTGGAACGAAAACGACGCGTCCGCCCGAGGTTTGAATTCCAGAGTAATGCCGGACAGTGCTATTCCATGATCACTGTATCGGAACTTGAATAATGACAGTTCATACCGTTCCCATATTGAAATGTGATGACCGTCAGGAGATGGACAGGACATGAACCTCAGTCCAGCGTGGCTGAGAAGTGATAGGTCGATACTTGTGAAGATATCCTTAGCTTGTAAAGGTTCGACGAAGCGAAAAGCGGCACTTCAAACAGGGGATAAGCGTCAGACCAATAAATTCAAGTAGTTGTGGCAGAGATGGTCGTGCGCAAGAAGATATAAAAACATTCGTGAGAACGCGTGGACCGCATCTAGTCTCCCCTGGACTGCCACGATCGGGATGAGCCACAGAACGCGTCCGTATTAAGGCTCCAACCATTTAGTTTACGTTTACAGATTCTTGTAAACTAAACATAAACATAAACAACCAGTAAACTAAACAGTAAATAAACAGTAAACAGCCTGTTTGGTATGTAAAGTGACTTCTTGCTCCCTCTCTAATGCCCGGATGCCTCCAAGAGCTCACGAGAGCCATACGTGACATAGTCTAACATACTGGGAGGACCGTCGAAGCCGGTTGTCCTTGTGGCTCGAGGGTACCCGCCACTTACCTCAAAATAGACTACCCACGAGGGAGGTCGGTAAGTCCCGAAGGACCGACGAAGCATCGAAAGCCTGTGGCAAGGGGGGTACACTCTCCTGAGCCCCTCAAGTTGTCTATGAATTGAACATGGACAGCCTATATGAGCTTTACGTGGTGCCAGGTCAGCTCAAGCAGATGTTATATCTAACTGTTTGTTTACCCTTTATATACTGTTTACCCCGGGTTTACTGGCTTGGCGTAAACAAACATAAACTTTAACACAAAAAAACCATTTAAAACAGTAAATAAACTAAAAGGTTGGAGCCTGGCTCGATAATGATAGAGTTGCAATAAAAGAAAATAAAAAGAAAAAGAAAAAGGAAAAATTGGGATTGGCTCAGAGAGCCATGTGGCAGTTGTAGCTTCGAGGCCCTTGGGACCGAAATCTGCGTTACTCTCGGGCCTATGCTCCACAAATCACCCTCAGAGCCCTGAAGTAGGAACACAGCAGCTAGTGAGTGACAGATGGCATATTTTACCGAAAAATCCGAGTGTAAATACTGCTAAAATCGAATTTGTCCGGCCCCTCCAGGGCCATACTAGTACTCAACCCGTCCATCGTTCTCTGAGATATATCTCCTATAAAACGGCAACTGAAACCATGAGAAAGTCTACAGCTAGTCCATGCATATTTTCTGAAGGCGATTCAAGCCCAAAATACTGTGTAATTCCTCAATTTGGGGCCCTCCGGGGCAAGTGACTTCTTGTATCAAACATTCAAAGCAAACACCACTCCCCCACAATTCCACGAAAGAGGTTTAACATTGAATCTGTAGTTTGCATGCTTTCCCCCTCCACGCCACCTTACAAGGTCTGGATTACTGCGGATATCTGTAAATGCAGTGACACCCAGTCAGGCCAACTGCGCAGAGGATATTTCATTAAAAATAATTCTGTAAATCTACTGCTGTGAACTGTCTAACTGCTGCTGAGTGCTGAACACTCCCATAAAAACTCTGCATGGACATCAAGGTCTGTTGGTATGATTTGGGGTAATGGATATCAAGCCGCATCTACCTTCATATATATGGTCTCAAGTATACAGTATACGCAGGTATTTTACCTATTGTACCCACGAACGGGAGCTCGTCCGGCACCTGTCATGGCAGGCACAAATCGAGTTCTCCTCGGGGAGAGCCACAGCAGCCGTTGTGGCGCCTCTGGCACAGCCACTCGATAACTCGTTGAGTTTGGTAGGTTCGTCCCACGAAATGGCACAGCCACTCGATATTGATATCGAGCAACCATATGCGTAACCTCCCTGGAGCCTCAGTCCGTATACGACGACAATACCGACTCAGGTTTTGGATGGACTGGCGGGAGTTTAGAGTGGCCTTTCCGCTGCTCGTATCATGCAGACTATTGCTTGCTCTTACCCCCTTTGTCAACTCTCTCGGCCTCGACCATAACCACCAGCTCTCGTCTCCGACGAATTCGTATGTTCGTCTGCAGGAAGGATTATTCCTCTTCAAGCATGACATAGATCCCTATGCGGGAGGCTCTTTCTACCACGTACGCACAGATTTATCAAGAATGCTCCTCTATGAATGCGAATATTATCTGCCAGTAGTCCCCGTTATACCTGTCACTATTCACCACTGTCCTCCCCACATCTCGCTTCGTGTCCCGGATAGTATGGACTATGCTCGACGTGCTCGGAGCATGGGCACTGGTCAATATATGGAGAGAACGGCAGAGTGTAGTACGAACCTCAAGGGATACCCTTGTAGCTGCTGCGTGCGCTCTTTTCCATGCCCCTGGTCATTAGCCATAGCTGAACTATGACGGAAACGTCTGCAGGTATCTCCTGAACCCTTATATACTTCTCCCCAACCTAGCCCTGTCCACCGTCTCCTTTGAGAATACGCTCCAGCTTCTCGTCCTCTTGTACGCCTGCCGACGTTCGCCCTGTTTTCCTGATCAACCGCACCAGCCGACTAATTGTTTTTCCTAGGCCGCCCATCCCCCGCGCTCTTGCTTGCAGCCATTCTCATCCATCTTTCCCTTTACTCCGCCCTTCTTCTTCCGTCAATAGCACTCCTACTCCTATCCTCTCCGCACTCACATCTTGCGAACCCAAAATTCTTCACCGCATACCGACACCCGAACGCGTCTCTGAGCACCCTGCTATCATACATAGGAGAATGTGTGTTGTATTCGGTCGTACTGTGCCTATGCTGTACCGTGGTAGCGGGAGGCTGGGGCTGGGTTGAGAAGACATGGGGTGTGGTGTGCGTACATCATCCATCCAAGGCTTATGTACCTTGCAGTTGAGCCAGACTAACGTGGACTTCTAGCTTGACCCTTCCTGATCTTACCCCTAACCCTGGTTTATGGTGGTACTTCTTCACGGAGATGTTCGACCACTTCCGCCCATTTTTCCTCATGGTGTTCTCGGTGCGTCGCATTCTATTCCATTCTGCTCCGTACTTTGTTGTCAAGTCTAATGCATTCACGTCGTAGGTGCACCTCCTCATCTATGTAGCGCCGGTTTGTTTGAAGTTCCAGTACGACTTCTCTCCATGTCAACTGTCCGCATGCTGATAGTTGTGACCTCGGATAGACATGACCCTCTCTTCGCCTCCTTCGCGCTACTTGGCGTCCTAGGCATGTTCAAACCTTACCTGACTCTCGCCGATCCGGGGCTCTTTCTGAGCATGTACTCCGTCTTTCCCGAAATCTTCCCTTGTACCTCGCCGTTTCTTCCCTGTTCAACACAAGATACTAACCCTAAACTGCACAGACCTCTCACATCCGCTCCCAACGACCCTCTTGCACCTACACGCGTCACTGCTCCTCCCCCTCTTCCACTCTCTATGGCTGAATCAAGGCACGGGTAACGCGAACTTCTTCTATGCGTCGACACTTGTTCTGGGCATGGCAAATGGTGCGGCCCTCGTGGACGCTATTTGGGCTGGGTTAAGGATTGCGATCGGCGGCAAGGAGAGCGAGGATGAAGGGGAGATCGCTGTTGTGCAGGAATAATGCCATGTAGTCTCTTACTCAGGCAGTATCTGGAGCCGCTACGGAGTGCTGGTTCAGACCCGTCCGGCCTTCCCGTCTTTCGCAGATGTGTCGCAAATTGTAGAATTCGACCGTCAACGTTTCAACGTTCAACGTCCACCCGTCAAGCACGCGACTGACAATGCAATCTGCTGGAGATCATATGAAGTGAAGATTACACGATTGACAGGGTCTGATAAAGGCTTAGGATATTATATACAACGATAATGCAAGATAAGTCCGCTGCAGTGTAGGGTTGATGCGCACAAGTCCAAATTCACTGGAATGGTTGTCTATCCACCATTGCCGCCAGGGCTTCTGCAAGAGCCTCGCTCTTTATCCTCTCTTTTGGGTCCTGTGGCCAGCACTGCTTCACAATGGACCACAGATTGTCCGGGATATCGCCTTCCGGGCGGGGAGGCCTTGACCCATTTATGACACCAGTCTCGGACCATTTTCCCGCCTCGTGCCACAGATCACCTGGGGTATACACCTGTGCGGACATGAGTGGGCTGGCTTTGCAAGGAAGCCGAAAACGTACGTCGACGCAGACGCAACCAAAGGCATAAATGTCGTATGCTGGGCAGATCGCCGTCCGAATCTCTTGGTTCCTTTCGTCGATGTTGCCACCGTGCTCATTTCTCAGTTTGAGGATTTCCGGTGGCATGTAAGGAAGGCTCCCCGCACTTCCACGTTCGCTGGGCACAGTGAAAGAATGATAATACGTGCTTATACCGAAGTCCGTGAGGCAAGGTTCCCCTTTGTCATTTATGAGAATATTATCCTGTAGATTGATTAGCGATCTGAAGATGCACATGGACTGGCAAAGGCATATACCGGCTTGATATCCTTGTGCACTAGAGGGGGAGTATAGTGACAGTGTAGGTAGCGGAGGGCATCCGCTATCTGCGATAGCTTCATAGAGCATCAGCTCATCTGACAATACTGAACGAGCATCGATCACTCACCAGTGAAATACGGTCACACTTATCCCCACGGGAGTGAATATACGGCAGGAGACTACCATTGTCACACCAGCGCGATACCATGGCTCGACGGCCCTCAGGGTATACGTGTACCCCTATCAAAGGCAGGATATTGCGGTGACGCAAATGGCGCCATATAATGGCCTCACGGTAAAATCGCTGTTGAATCGCGGTTAAGGACGAATGATGATGTATTTGGTCGTCACATACCCGGGCCTGCTTCTCAAGCGCCTTCTCAGAGTTTAAACCTCTGGGAAGCAACACCTTCAAAGCAACCTGCTGGCCTGCGAGCGTGGCCTTATAAACGGCTCCGAACCCGCCTTGGCCATAGGCCACTGCCTCTTCAGACTCCGGCCTTTTGATGTGAAGCGAGGGAGGGACCATGTGTTCTCGATGCACAAACCTCCTCACCAACCTCGCACACTGCATTCTGAGCTCATCATCTTCTGGGTCGGATTCATGATCGAACCAATCAATGGTCTGAAAGCCGAGACATCAATCATTGGATAGGAAAACTCCAAGGCGAAGGCACTTACTTCTTGTAGATAGTCGAGTGTGAATTCCTTGAGCTGCATCGGGAAGGCGCGCATATTCTTGAGCAACCTGGGCTCGCTTGCAGTAGCACACGATTCCTTGGCTTCGACATCACTCGACTGCGCGCGTTCGGGCGGTGGACTGTCTAGCGCAGAAATAGGATCGTCCACCCGCTCAACGGCATCCGCTTTATTAGCATGCTGGTTACTCGGTTCAGGCCAGAACGTAAGATTGTGCAGCAACTGTTTGGACTCTTCCGACATGTCTTCAGAATGAGCCAATTCTATCAGACGTCAACATCGTTAGTACATAGAAGCAGTCCCGAAATACAGTAAACTCACCTATAATTTGGTGAGCAACCTGTACAGCTTCTTCTTCTTCCTTCGGTATAGAGGCAAGTAACTTCTGTACAGTCTCCTCAGGGTAGGTACGAGTAAATCTTCTTCGTTCCCCATGGTGTACCTCGTTTAGAGTATTGCATGATCGCTGATGGCGGAGGGCTGTTCTAAATCAGTCAAAGAGTGTCTCTTCGACCAAGCAAGTCGAACGTACCTTGAACTTGATAGTGAAACACGGATTTACCTATGCCTAAGGTTAAGTATTGATGATAAGCAGCGAATGCGGAGAGACGCTTACCAAGGGTCTCATTGTCGGCAACGAGAGTCAATCGGGCACTGGACCCGGATTCCGAAAGGGTCATTACGTTTTGAATGCCGCCTCCTGATGAGCTTGATGAAACAGGGCTATTCTCCCGTCTCAACGCAACGGGCAATCTTGCTACCTCTGTCATACCCGTGGGTGCTCGCAACAGCTCTGGCGGAGGTCCGCCATCAGAAGCGCCTCGTAGGAGGTTTGTATGGTCCACTCCGGACGAATGCTGGTCGGAGGTCGGGACAGATGTCGTATCAGGCCCATCGTCTGAAGTCGACCGGTGTTCGTCAGCCTCTGCTTTAAGCTGCTCGACTCTCTTAGCGGCTTGCGAGGCCGTCTAGGATACAAATGTATATGAACGGCTATGTATTTGTATAGATGGGAGATCATGCGTACCCTAGCTTCAAGTTCAAAATCGGCGCACCGCTCCCAGTGGTATTCAAGTTTCGAAGAGCCGCGAAATAGGGTAAACAGGCGGCCTTTAAAGGTCCTTCTATAGTTCTCAATGTAATGCTGTCGGTCTAGTAACCTTGGATCAAGGGTCAATAAAGATGATGTTGGGCTGAAATGTCTGGAAGACACACTCATCATGCGTTACTTGCAATCCCGCAAGGATTTCCGGCGCGAGGAGATCTTTATGCTCGTATATAACGACCAAGCCTTTCTTCAGGTGGTGCTCAGAACGAGACAAAAATGGATTAGGCATGGCAGATCACCGGGTCGAGTACTAGTGTAAGTCGTGCTCTACTGCCTGCAGAGTATTTATACTTTTTGGACATCACGATACTAAGGCTTCGAACATTGGTTTCCAAGTGCAACGGGTCGACAAAAGGCATGTTCGTCATGTACCCGAAAATCGTATCATGGATGGCATTGTGGGAGCAGCGGACGGACAATGTCGACTCAACGAGTAACTTGGTCTGATCCGATGCCCGTTTGAACATAAGGCTATGGGTCCATATTTACACCTGTTGCGCCAGCCAGAGGACCCCTGGGAGTCTGCCACCTCCAATCAAAGCATGGTCTGATCAGTAGTCGCCGTCGGGTTTCTCCTGGTCCTGGACAGATGTCCTGGTCTGTCTACTGTTTGTAGCATGTCCTCTCAGCCGGATGCTCAAGGGCCCCCTCCCCACAAGCCGGGCGAGCTCGCATTCTATGAGCTGTTCTGGCGTGATCACCAGCAATGGCTGCAATCTCGCGGTTACATGCTGAGGTCGCGCTATATGCCTGGCTGGGTCCCATCGTGGAAAGGAACAAAGAGGCACTGGTCTGAGTGCGAGGACGGGCAATCGTTTCCGGTACGCTTCGTCATCCGTGCTTTCCCGACTCCGGCTGGAGAACTGATATGGACCGTAGCACAGGCTGATCGTAGATGCTATCCGGGTATCCGATGGTGCCCTCGTCGCTCTAAAACGCGTCCCTAGAGCCAACTCACCAAATGAGGGCGCCATTGGTCTCCTTTTTTCCTCCGATCCGCTCAAATCTGATCCGCAAAACCACTGCGTGCCCATCTACGAAGTACTGGAGGTACCAGATGACGCAGACTCGGAAGTTATCGTAATGCCGTTCCTGCGGCTCTGGTACAATCCACCTTTTGACACGTTTGGGGAAGTGGTTTCATTTCTGCAGCAGACCATTGAGGTGAGTCGACTGCGGGAAGGAGAGGGTTTCGTCCCTGAAAGCTCGTGTTGCTTAGGGTTTGCACTTCATGCATAAGCATCTGGTGGCCCATAGGTGTGTCCTCTGGAATCCAGTAACTCATTATATTTACAAAAGCATTAAGGGACTGTACACTGCGCAATATAATGATGGATCCATCTGCGCTGTACCCAGAGTCCTTCCACCCTGTCAGCACTAGTCAGAAGCGAAATCTTAAAGGCCATGCGAAGCACTATACTCGGACTCAGCGTCCCGTCAAATACTATCTCATTGACTTCGGCTTATCCAGACGATATAAGCCAGAGGACATGCCACCAATGGAAGAAGTTGTCATTGGCGGCGATCGAACTGTGCCGGAATTTCAGGACGTCTATACTCGAGCGGTTTCTTCCAAGCGCTGCGATCCCTTCCCCACGGATATTTACACTCTCGGAAATGTCATGAAGTCGTGGCTCATAGAAGTAAGGGAGCGATTTACATGTGTCTCGTGTCCGTGTTGCTAACCAAGCTTTGAAAGAAAAACGCAGGCTTCGAATTTCTACAGCCTCTAGTCTCAGATATGGTCCAGGAAGAGCCAGCGAAGCGTCCGAAGATGGAGGAGGTCCTGACTCGGTTTGAAGACATTCGAAAGTCTCTGAGCACTCGGAAACTTCGGTCCCGAGTGGTTCCTCGCGACGAAAACCTTGTCGAGGGCCTGTTTCGCGCCATTGGTCACTGGAGCAGGCGGGTCATATACATCATACGACGGACGCCTGCAGTCCCTATGCCCCCGTAGCGCGTTCCTGGCCATGGCTTCGAGCATTACTACCTGGATTTGTGGAAGTTCCTTCATTTCATCTTAGCTCGATCTACAAGTGCTGTCCGGTTGCTATGTTGCTGCTATCTTACGCTCGTTTCTATTGTCGTTGTCCGCGTTCAAATGCAAATCATCGTTCTTACAGGCACCCAGATACCATGTTTAGACTGACGTGCGCTCTATGTTCGCCTTTGACATTGCTTGCATTGGTAGGAATCACGGCACCGATCCTGTGCCATGTCGCGACGCGTCTCGGAGCTTCGGTACAAGAGGATGGTGCCTCAGTCTATTTACGTAGCCGGTAAGATATCCGTCCTTCGCACGTGGAGTCCTGGTTGATACAGGGCTGCCTGTCGAAGGGACGCACCTGCCGCCATTCTTTGTTCTACAAAACAGCAACTAGGGAACTGCGCTCGGCCGAAGACGGCGACTACTTTTACTTTGTGCTATTGTTCAACTTTTGGTTTACTGTCGGCCAAGGAACTTCTGGGTCTTTGTGTATGAGCAAGTCCTCGGGGTCTACTGGTGGCACCGTTGGTCGACTTGAACGGGTACCTGGCAATGGGGACGACCGCTCGAATTTTGGCTCGCAGCCTCATGCATGAGATGCCTTCCGTGGGTTTTGTAGTCACTTCTCACTGCTTTTCGTGAAGCACTTGTCGTTCCCAGCCTGAGCCTGAGAGTCCTCCCCAACCTCCTAGGCCTGCCGCGATCCCAAGGGGCAAAGGACCGAGACATGTCGTCGCGGCGGCGACGACGTTGATTTAGCCAGAGTGGGTCCAACATCGCTCAGGCCTCGACAATGGCTAGGTGGCTTCCCGATCAGCAACACAAATTATGGGCCCGCGTGTGCTCAGGAGTCTCGGAGGCTCGCGGTGAGTTCGTCAGTCCCTTGTCTGACCTGGAGGCTATTCATCGTGTTGCCTCTTCCTGGCGGATATTGATTCCTAACAACGAGGGCACCGCCGACAGATGGCGTATATGATGAAGGTGACCGAGGTGTGTCAGGCGATATCTGTTAGAGGCGCATCTACGGGATGGATGAAACCGACAGCTGCCCTCCCGGCGCCTTTGCCACGGAGCCTTCGTTCCCCTCCTGGACTCCACCATGGACCATTGTAACGATTCTTCGCTGCTACATCTTGTCCTCTCTCGCGGCGGCCGTTTCCTATTATAATGGACCACCATGTCCGTTCTACCCCGTCCTTGGACATCTGTGGCCTTCCTGGTACTTACCAGGGAATACTATGGTTGTTAACACTGTTGATGTCGCTCGGGACTGGATTATGTCTTACAGTGCTTCTGAACATTCGACAGAGCAAGATCATGTCATACGCGGTCTAGCTCTATTGTTCTTCATAGCCACACCGACAGCACATGTGAATCAAGCCCATCTGGACATTGTGATGCGTGACTTTGCTCGTGATTATTGATGTTGTAGGTATCAGGGCGTGGGGAACATGTGTCTTCGGGTGACTCCGTGGCTAAGACCTTCGCATCCGTGCCAATTGTTAGAACCATGTCCACGCGCTGGGGGTTTCTTTACAAGTACGGTAAGTCGGGCTCACAAACTTTAATGGCACGAGTAAACTCTTTGAAACTCAGATGTAACTGATAATGTGAGTCGAACTACTGCTCCGACAATAGAGTATGCGGACTGATGATATACACCCCGGCTCAAAAGTGTCAGCTGTCCCACATGAAGCAGAGACAGCCTGCATCTCGTCAGTGACTCGGGTCTGATACTCTTGCTAAACTACTAGACGCGTGTGACTCTGTACTGCAATCGATATCAAAATGCTTGCAAAGGTGGCAGTAGGTCCATGAGAGAGTGGACCCATAAACATACACAACTTCCTAACGGGGATGCTCACAGATCTCTGTCCGATCACTGACATCGATCAGTCACGATCTCGATTTTCTCGGAGGCAAATCGGAAATCCTCAAATGGTGTCAGGGGTCTATCCTGCCGGTGCTTCTGTCAATCTACGTTTGAGGCTTTCATCCACAAATTGCGGCTGATACAGCTGCGATGGTTTAAAATGGAAAGCGGCCGTTTCGCCCCTTAGAACCAATTCCGGACGATGTCTGGGTGATCATCGAGTCGTGTTGGTTGCACAACCCTGATGACAGGATGACGAGTTTGGAAGCTTGGGAGCGGTTGAAGGTGTCGCGCGGGTAGTTGCAAGGTAGTTGGCATTTATATACATCGTTCCCTTCAGGTTGCAGGTGCAAGGCAATTACCGTTTGACTGCCGCCCCTCACGCACACTAATTTCCATGATCCCAAATCATCGTGGTGGTTAGCGACTGCAGTACTCTATCAGTTTCGTCCATGCATGTATACTTTTCATCCTCTTTTTTGCCTCCTGCGCCCAGCAAGCCTGAATAACATCCCAAACATCATCCGACATACTTCCGGTCGAGGGACGGCTCGGTCGTTGTCCATTCGTCACGTTCAGCTGGATTTGAAGACTCGTAAAATTTTGCCAGGGCATTTCCCGAGTGTACATCTAGTGTCAGTGTTAGCAACGAGGCATCGCTGACAAAGTGAATGATACCTGGAGACCGAGGCATGCGAAGGCATACATGTCGGACTCTGGTGTCGGAGTCCATTCCCCAGGCTCACGTAATATGAATTCAGGAGCCCAGTACTGCTCGTTCCCGTGAGTGGTCTGTGTTCCTGTTGTGGTATGGGACCCCGCAAACGTGCTTAAGCCGAAGTCAGTCAGGCGTGGTTCGTGTTTATGGTCGATCAGAATGTTTCGCTGTGGCATGCCAACGATATGAGCAAAGGCTAGACGGGTACGAAGATAACAATGTACAGGATGGAGATCCGCGTGGACCATAGGCGGTTTGTGTGCGTGCAGGTAGCACAGTGCGTCGGCAATTTGCATGAGCTGCGAAACATTCCGTTGAGTTCCCGATCCGCATTGCATGTGTTCACGTACTATGGGTGGCAAGTCAGGCTGATGTGATTTCAAGTATTCCATGAGATTCCCGTTCTGGGCCCAGGGGGAAACTAGACATTGCATCGGAATGTTGGGCTGTTCGGCCGGTATTTCCCACTCGCATATACCAAGCAATGGTGCGACATTGGGATGGCGAAGTTGTTTCCAAACAACCATTTCTCGGCGAAATGACTGGGTGGGGTGGTCATGCACTAGTAACCTAGTCCACAGGTAGGTGAACGTACCCGCAGTCTCTTCTTTCTTTCATGTTCACTTACATCGGAGCCGGTCACCTTTCGGAGAGCCTTCACGGCTACATCTTCATCCCTCCACCTTACTCTGTAGATCTCACCGACATTCCCATATCTCGCTGGCCCTGCAGATGGTTCTCGTATATCCTTAATTGCCAGGATAGAGGGAAAGGTGCAGCAGTCATAACATATGCTTCGCAACGCGGACTCGCGTGACATCCGAAGAGAATTCAGCTTTCTCGAAGGGCTCTTTGAGTCTGCTAGCCAGACAGGGATGTCATCTATTACCTGCACAAATCAGATCCTCGGTACACAGTCGACAGATCTTGCCACTTACTAACTGTAGCATGTTCACTATGACATCGACAACCGCACCACTGGTACCGTGCAATTGAGGTATTGTCTGCTTGACAATGGCCTTCTCAGATATAATTGCTTCGAGTGCCCCTTCAAATTGCACTCTGTCGGTCTTCCACAAGTGCGGCAGCTCTGATGAAGCCACCGTCTAGTGAGGATAGTTAGGCTTATACTTCCAGAGAGCCACTTACCAATGATCCGATGATACATGTCCAGTTGCGCCCGGTCATCGATTGGCCGAAGCATAATTGAAGATATAGCTTCATCTACGTTTTTCGAGATTGTCTCGAGTATTGCGTTGTCGCTCGGAGGATACGCCCATAATGAGGGAGCCCCCCGGGTTCCATCGCCCCCGCGGTCGGACATGTACGGCTACTAGGCCTAGTCGGATTCTCCTCCGGACAAGCATGATAGCAGCACTTATATATCAGTGAGGTAGGCTTTTTCGGGAACGCCGCTCTTACGTCCGAGTCGTTTACTGATCTGATAACATAAATACTTCAGTATATAGTCAACTTGCATCACGATGCATTACACTTCAGATAAGCGGCTGCAGAGTCGCCGGCGAACACAGTGGGAATGGAAGTCAATTTCGACTGACACGGTTCATGAGGGCCCTGGGGGTGTATATGGTGCCCATGATGGTACGTACGCGAGAGACGATTCATTCCAGCTAACTAGGGGAACGTTAGACAAACCTCGGATTTCTCCTGCTGAAGCGCATGCATTTTGTGGTTGTTTGGCTTTGGGGCACCCTGAGGAGCAGGAATCTCCGTTCTGCGATCAGCTGCCAAGTTGAAATCGAAGTTGTCGATACTTTGGCAGTTTCCCACAACCCAACCCAGTGGACGAGATTCAAGTTGCATATAAATATTTGTGATGATTACGGGCGTGATATACAACGGAAGACAAAGCGTAATCCTAGGCTGAGATCACTAGTCCGAGCGAAATCAGCATTGCAGGGAAATAAGAATCCAATCAACTTGAAGATGCATCCGAAATTGGAAGTCCTTCCACTGACAGCATAGCAGACAGAGCTTTCTGGGCTGCAGCGCTCGTCATCCGAGCCATCGGGTCTAGCGTCCAGCACTGCTCCATGATGGACCACAAAGCATCTGGCAGCGCTGACTTTCCTGAAGGCCGTGGGGGATGTTCGCCCTTCACAATGCTGTTATGCATCATCAGTTCCGCAATACCTTTCCAGGGATGTTCTAGCGTGTAAACCTATGATGGTTGTTAGCTTTGTTTGGTAGACAGTGAACACACCAACTGACCTCAAGGCAGACAGAAGCGAAAGCATACATGTCACAAGCTGTTGTGACGGACTCTCGTATGTATTGATTGTTTTCCCCCATCGTCACACTAATGAGGATCTCTGGAGCAATATAGCCTCGGCTCCCTGAGTGGCCGACCTCCGCCGTGACTGTGTATGAATTCTCATACGTGCTTATGCCGAAGTCAGTCAAGCAAGGCTCATCCTTGTCGTTCACCACAATATTGGACTGCAACATCCGAGGTCAATAGGCAACAATGGTCAGATTTCATAAAGACATGTACCGGCTTAATGTCTTTATGCACGACCTTGTGGCTGTGCAGGTAAGCGATTGAGTCTGCGATGCGTTCAAGCTTCGTATGTTGTCAACATTGTCTCGGAGGGGACGGACATAGGCTGCCTACCATAAAAATACGATTGCATTTATGGGGATGATTTCGGATGTACACCGTCAGACTTCCCTTATCGCACCACGGCGACACCAATCCGGGTCCAGTGCCAGCCCAGTCAGGAGAAGTTTCACAAACACCGATTAAAGGAAGGATGTTTCGATGGTGTAACTGCCGCCATATAATGGCCTCACGACGGAACATCTGCCACAGAGCTGTAAGCACCGACGTGAGCTCTTCATATTGGGTGCCCTACCTTGCGTGCGTATTCCTTGTGGTCATCCCTAGTACCGTCCTTGAAACATAGGACTTTCAGAGCAACTCGGGTTCCTTTACCAAGAACGGCCTTATAGACGCCCGCAGATCCGCCGCGACCAGCAAAGTGTTTAGAATCGCATTTAATGCCTTGGATGAGTATGGACGGCGGAAGTCTGCCGGAACGGTTGCTAACGTGTCGCAAGATCTCTTCGCAGGTTGTCCGCAATCGACTCGGTTGATTCCCCGTAGACGTTGCCGCAGAACACTGCGCATCAGCCATGTCGACAGCCTAATGACTGCATGTCAGACCTGACTCGACGCATCATGAGGGTGAAGCGCACTCTTTGCAAAACATCGAGCGCGCAGAGGATAACGCGGTCATCTAGCCGTAGGATGCCTGTTTCGACTTCCGATCGGTTGATTAGGTCACGTACGGAGTCCTGAAATCTTGCTTCTTCCGATGGTGGTATATTGAATGCATCTCACAGGGTAGCGCAGCATGAGCAAGCCGCATTGTAGTATCGTGAAGCAGCAACGAACGACTCACTCAGAATGGCTTCCGCGAAATCCCTGTCAGCGGGGCTCTTTATAGAGGAAAGGTACTTCAGAACGGCTTTCGGGTCATATAACTCCACGGTTGATCCTTGCCCGGGCGGGGGGGTAACTGCGTTGAGTTACTTGAATTCGGTACTAGCTATGACAGCCTTGCGGCAGACATACCTGACGTGGTAGATCCTACATCGCGAGAATTCTGCCTGTCAAGGTAGAAACGTTGGTCTCTAGACGCCTACATTATGCAAACGTAAATCATGGAGGTCTCGACTCTTGAACAGCTACCTACCCGAACATCGTCGTAGAATTTTCGAGCTTCAGCTCGAAGCTCGAGAAGGTCTTGTAAAGCTAATAGCTGATTCCACCACGAGCAGGGCTGTCCTGCTTCCAGCCGCAATGAAATCACGCTAACAACGGTTTAGCCAGCGCCGTGGAACGAGGATAATATCTTACAAATTGTACAATGCCTCCAGATCCTTCCTCTCATTATTATCGATATGCTTCCAATCTTGGCGTGCATCCCATGTCGCACGAGCCATCAAATCATCGACTTTTTTCAGTATCTTCTTCGCAACTCTACCAGCTGTGGGATCGGGTGTAAACTGGTATTCCGGGGGGGCTTCTACCTCGTTCTCTTGGTTATTCTGGCCAGCAGTATTCCCTTCAGTCTCGAGTTTTCCTCGACCAGAGTTGGTGTTTTCCCGGTCAGAACCACGTTCTTCCTGGGCTGGCTCTCTCTTCGTAGCTTTCTTGATGCGTAAGAGTCCCATGGGAGTAAGCGTTGGGCGTAAGGCTAGACGTAAGGCCCCTCCCAGAGACAGAACATTATAAATACCATTGGAGGTCGCGGAATCGATGTGATTGTAGAGACGGAAGCGGGAAAGTCACCTTTTCGAGGAGTACAACAGATGGTCTCTTGCCATGGTGATGACATCAGCTGAGAATAACGCATAACAGCATCTTCGATGACTCCAGAACAATGGGTAATGGAGAAATATACTTGTATCGCCCCCTGCTAGGATTAGGCAAAGAAGGGCCTGGACTGAGCTATGTTGGCACCGTCGCCGCCCTCGCAATTGTGGTCCTTCCGGTCGCTTCAGACAAGGAGTGTAACCGCCGTGATGCATATCACTCATGGCGTGGACGTGCTTCTATGGATCTTTGCTATAGCCACTGTGGAGACCGTGCTTAAGCACGGAATACTGACATCGGGGACCGCACTTTCGCCGGACGGCGCTACCGAGCTAGACGAATAAAGCAACAGTTAGGTTACTAATTAAATATATGCGGTGAGTCTGAGTGAAAGCTGATTTGGCGCGGGTATGTCGGAGCACGCTTGCCGTCGCGGAGCTTCAAACAAGACAGGAAATTGCACCTCGCGGGAGTGGCCGAGGTCCACTGACTCCGGAGTCGTGAGAAGCGAAGTGGTTCCGAACGAGGCCACTGAATGAAGCCCACAATCCAACCTGACCGCCCACGAGCATGTCTCCGTCTGAAGCTGCAACCTCAGGTCAAGACTACGGGCCAGACGATGACCAGCCGCTTGACCCCTCTCAACCAGGCGCGCTCACGCCCACAGAGCTCTTCTGGAGGCGTCACCAACAGTGGCTTGAAGGAGCCGGATACATGCTCAGAGAGCGTTACCGCGATTCTTGGCGTCCATCTTGGATTGGGACAGGCAAGCCTTACTTTCGATGTACCGATGGGATAGGTGCACAGGTAAGCCAGTTGTCCCCCCATTGCGTCAGTGCGTAACTCGGGCAATGAGGAGTAGCGCGGTGGTGTCATCGACGCGACGCGTATATCGGACGGCGCGCTGGTCACGTTGAAGCGAGTGAGAAAGTCGCGCCATCCTCATGAGGTTGAGATTGGACTGTTCTTCATGTCTGAACCTCTTGTCTCCGATCCCAAGAATCATTGCGTTCCAATACTCCAGGTCCTCCAGGTACCTGAGGATGATGACCTGTCTCTAATAGTTATGCCGTATCTGCGCGTCTACTACTCTCCTCGCTTCGAGACTTATGGCGAAGTGGTCGCCTTTTTCAAGCAAGTATTTGAGGTTAGAGTCTACACGAGATCATTCGGAAGTTGCTGAACGTCTATTCACCAGGGGCTGCAATTTATGCACGCACATCGCATAGCTCATCGGTTCGTCATGTTGCATTGCAGCACCCTTCGTAACACTGACCTCATATGTTTTCGAAGCGACTGCGATGGGCGGAATATTATGATGGACGGCGTGTCCCTATACCCCGAAGGCTTTCATCCGATACGATCTAACATGAAACCGGACTTGAGTGGCTTCGCTCCGCATTATACCAGGACGCAGCGGCCTACCAGGTATTATCTGATTGACTTTGGTATATCACGGCGGTACAATCCGGAAGACGGTCCCCCTTTGGAGCCCCCAATCCTAGGCGGTGACAAGAGCGTACCAGAATTTCAAACATCCGACGAACCGAGGGATCCATTTCCTACTGACGTATATTATATGGGGAACATGATCAGAGAGGACTTCATCAAGGTGAGCAGCGTCCGAGTCTCACCATACCCATACTTACCGGGTCCGCAGACCAAATACGGCTTTGAGTTTATGGAGAAGCTCGTCGCCGATATGGTTCAAGACGACCCCACAAAACGGCCGACTATGGACGAAGTGGTCACTCGCTTTGAATCAATCCGCAAATCACTCAGTAGCTGGAAGCTCCGGTCTCGCATTCCCGAACGAGACGAATTAGCCATAATTGAGGCATATCGCGCAGTAGTCCACTGGAAGCGTCGCGTCTGGTATGTCCTGCGGCGCATCCCCGCTGTGCCTCTCCCCTGTTGAGCCTCGGATTATTTTATGGGTGGATGGTGGATTTTCGACTGTCTCTACGAGGTCTAATCTGTGCTCTGACTTTGCTTTCTACTTGCTATCTACTCGCTATTGATTCCTACGGTCATTACTATGTGTTGTCTTCCCCCTGCTCGCGCTGTCGAATTTCGACGTTGGTCAGCCGCGATCTCGGTCTCAACCTAATGGAGCGGATCCGAAACGATGGTGTTCCCCTGACCTCTGGTCATCAGTGTCAGTGTGAAGGGTGAGCAGTGTGAAGGGTGAAGTGTGAATCACAGCTTTGTTCCCAAGTCGCGCCTTTGGACATTCCATCTCGGGTCAAACCCTACTCCTGTCCGTAATGAACGCTGAGCCGTCACTTTAGCTCCATATAAAAAAGTCAGTCACGATTGACACAATCGCCGAGGATTCTATCCAAGTAGTATTGTCATCGCACTCCATGCATCTACACTATTCATCCTCTCAGACGGATCATGAACCCAGCAAGATTCTATGATGGCCCAAACACTGTCCGGGACTGACGCCGGACGGGCGGGCCGCCGTCCGTTGCATACCCTCCTGGCAATACTATTGTTGTTGGCTTTGCTGCCCCATGTCAGTTGCTTTTGATACATCTGCTGAAGTCAGCAACACAGCACATAATAGGCAGAGGAAGGCATTACCGTTAGACAAAGGCATGCAAAACTGTACATATCCGCGGGGGGTCTCGGCTTCCACTGTCCCTCAAACTCAAGGGTTTCTGGGGCTGCGTAGTGGACGTTGCCGCGGGGACTCGAAGTTCCCGTTGTAGTGAATGATCCGGCAAACGTGCTCAGGCCAAAGTCCGTTATACATGCATTATGGTTACTGTCGATCAAAACGTTGCCCTCGAAACGAAAGATCAGTGTAAATCTCAGAGCAGCCGAGTGCGGGGAACATACAGCATGCAGGTCCGCATGAACCATGGGTGGGCATACCAATGGGGAACAAGGACGCTTGAAGGTGTGCCAGGAAATTCAGTCCTGCATTCCGAGAGTGATAAGCGTCTTGCCGCTATTCCTCTTCACGAGAACAACACCCCTGTCAGGACCTTCGTGGACAAGGACAACGCCAAACCGTGGGTGAAAGTATATGCCAATCCCGCACATCGCGGCACCCTGAAGTTGGACAGGCATCAGGAAAAGCAGTCGCCTAGCCGTGAACATGATACGTAAGTAACACGGACTTGTAGAACATGGCGCATTATGCTCGGTGGCGGACTTGGTATCATGATAGAAGGTTCCGAACACTGCAGACGTCTGTGGGTGTTTTGACTTCCTCCTAGCTCTGTGGTTACACTGTTGTGATGGTAAATGGGCGGCTACACGATTATCTTTGCCATCGGTGTCATTTCGCACCAGATCACCCGCAAGCTTCAGTGCAGACTCACCTTCACCGTCGAACAGTAAAATCCTTCAAACCCCACTTGATATCCTCCGGCTTCTCCACTGTCTCCTCCTTCTGGATCTCCACACCCGTCACCTGTGCGATGCTGGGACCCTTGCCCAGCAACTTCTTACTTCCCTCGCATCCGTCCTGTCAGTCAGCGTGGACTGGTCGGGGAAGAGTGAGATTGACATACAAGTGCTCGATATCTTCGTCAGAGCCGAGCGCGGCGCCGGCGACGTGCCCCTCGGGCGTGTTCTGGATGTAGCCCGTGACGTTGAGCTGCTTCGCTTCCTTCGCCGTCCAGGCGCGGAAGTTTACGCCTTGGACGCGGCCGCGGACCTGCACAAGGCAAAGATATAGGTAAGGAATTGAATGGGGACGTTAGGGGAGGCGTACGAGGTACTCGATGTATCGCATCCTCGAGAGCATGCGATGTGCAAAGTGGCGGTCGGAAGATGGAAGGGATGGGCTCGTAGCGACGTCATCGATCTTTATCTTATCTTATCATCCAGAAGTCAGGAGAGGACGCGTAAAAATCCTGAGCAGGATGTCTGCAAAAGGCAGCTGAAGCTGAGGGACGGTGGTTCCGCGAGTGGCATACGGAAGGCCTTATACAAGGGAGCAAACATGCGTCCAGTCAACTTGCGAAACGGACAGAAAGTATCGATGCTCAGTGAACATGTTGGGCGAGCCGTCGAGTGATGTGGACGGTAAGCCGTGTCCGCTTCGGACAAGGGAAAGCTTAGAGACCATAAGTAGGGTTAGGGTAAATGGAATTCGTCTCGGAGACTATAGATATACCACACATACAGTAATGCCTCTTTAATACACGCCTCCCGAACGTATCGATGCCTGCAATCTTACTGTCCTTCTCCTTCCTGCGCAACTATTCGTCGAGATTTATAGCCTTCCCGAATTTCGCGTAGAGGACGACCTTGAGCTCCTTCATCGTCGTCTCGCACTCCTCAGCTGACGTTGCCAAAGCAGCTATTTGCGAGGAAATGGACTCTTGGTCGCTCTCTAGACGTTTCATAGCACCGGAGTGCGAGAGGTTGAAGAATGATTCGCCAATTTTGTACCTGCGGGTAGGGTGGCATGAGTCCCTCGGTGGCAGGCGTGACAAGTCAAGCACGCACATTACTGGCTCATCTTCGTCTGCAAGCTCGAGTTCAGTGGATAAATCATCTAGTGCCTCTTTCTCTTGCTAAATCACAAAGTCGGTTGCCGTGAGATGAGATCAGCGGACGTCAGCCATACGCCAACGCACCTTCAAACCCTCCAGCTTGGCTTCGATAGCTCGTAGACGTGTATTTAACTTTGAGAAATTGTTTATTCTCTGCTGATCTTCTGGAAGTCGGAAAGTGTCGGAATCAGTTGCGGTTGACCGGTGCTGGGACAAGAACTAACCCCAGGTCACCTCGACGTCGTCGGTCTCTTCCTCTTGCGCTAGCTGCAGAAAATGGAGTTGGCCTTCGTCATTTCTCAGAGAGTGATAGACGGATTGGCTCACCATCCGCATATCGTCAAATATTCGTGCTCGAGCAGGAGTGACTCTTGTAAAGCCTGCCTATAGGCTCGGGAAAGAGAGGACTGTGGAGAAGTGTATGATGTTGAGTTGATGAGAACGTGCCTCGGGGCTCGGAATGGCCTCACTTCCGGCGCCGAGCCGATCGTCGTCGGACACACGCAGGCCTTGCTCGACGGCGGACTCGTCGTGCAGAACACTCTAAACGTCGTGCAGCACGTCTGGCAGCTGACCACCGTTACACAGGACTTCTGCTTCCCTTCCCGGCCTCGGTCTTGTGATTCAGACGTCTCCAATCCGGCGTCCTCGGGAGTGCCGCTATCCCCTACCAGCACTCCGGAACACATAGGCTCAGTTTATCACCGGCGCAGGCCCGGAAGAGGCTGCAGACTTTCAACTCACGACCTCCACGTACAACTGTGCAAGAGGACCAAGGTGATATTTTCTTAGCCGTCCAAACCGCACTATTCTAATATGGACCAGTGGCATAGAACTCGGCGAAATGTCGTCAGTAGTACAGAAGGCCAGCAGTAATGTCCGGGCGGCTGTGTCGCAGCGGGCCCTCACCTTCGACAAACTCAAGACCGCGCTGTTTTTCTATGTCGTATGGACAAACTCGCTCAAGCTTTACCGGCACCTCTGTGCGCGGGGCATCGCATCGACCCTTACGGACGTATACAAATGGGTCGCACAGGTGTGCGCGTCTCCCCCTACCCAGTGTACACCTCGTCCTCATTTACCCTTCTCCATAGAAAGTGATCTTGCTCGTGCTGCGCATGCCGAAGATGAAGAAGAAGGTCGAGACGGAGATGGCGAAGGCTAAGATCGACATCGAGAGCAAGCTTGTGCCACAAGGTCCTAATGTCATCCGGCACCTATCCTTACCGTCCCAAGGTAAGACGTCCGACTGGATTACCCAGGAGATGCAGCGGATGGATGAGGAGATGGGGAACGAGGTTGACTGGAGGAGTGGGAAATTGAGCGGAGCCGTCTACCGTACGTTGCAAACGAATCTTTTACGGAAACCCTGCTTGACCGTACGCTGTGTCAGACGGTGGTCCCGACATGGAACAAATCATTGTTGCTGCCTTCCAGCGCTACTGTGTCTCGAACCCCCTCCACCCGGACGTCTTCCCAGCTGTACGCAAGATGGAGGCCGAGATTGTCGCCATGTGTCTACGGATGTACAACAACCCTGACGGTGCTGGTACGACCACGTCGGGAGGGACCGAGAGTATCGTAATGGCGGTCAAGACCCACAGGGAATGGGCACGCTTGGAGAAGGGTATAACTGAACCTGAAATGTGAGGTGACCCAACCTGAAGGTTATGGTTAGTTCAACTTGATTCGAAATATGTGTTTCCCAGGGTCGTACCCGAGTCCGCGCACGCTGCGTTCGATAAAGCCGCGGACTATTTCAAGATCAAGTTCCACTCAATCCCGGTCGACCCCGTTACCCGCCAAGTTGACCTCAAGCGGGTCAAACGCGCCATGTAAGCTATGGTGAATATTTTATCCCATTCTCGTTTGAACCAATCTGTCGCAGTAACGCCAACACGATCATGGTCAACCCCTTCCCATTCTCATGGTACTATTACTCACCGCAACCTGCTCTAGCTGGTGGGCTCCGCTGTCAACTTCCCCGACGGCAACATGGATCCCATCCCGGAACTCGGCGCGCTCGCCAAGAAGCACAACATCGGCCTGCACGTCGACTGCTGCCTCGGCTCGTTCATCGTGCCCTTCCTCGACGAAGCGGGGTTCAGCGAGTTCCCAGACTTCACCGGGACAGGGGGGCGCAAGAAGGTGCCGCTGTTCGACTTCCGCGTCCCCGGGGTAACGAGTATCAGCTGTGATACGCACAAGGTGTGTGGCAAGTTTGATGTGTGGGTGCTAGGGTTAGGGTCGGGCTAATGTGGGTGTTGTGATTCAGTATGGGTTTGCGCCCAAGGTTTGTGGAAGGTCACCCACGGATAGATGCATAAGTATACTGAGTGCTTTGTCTTTGACTTGCGATGGGGTCTTTAGGGTTCCTCTGTCGTCATGTACAGAAACGCGGAGCTACGAAGGCACCAATATTATCTGAATCCGGAATGGATGGGTACGGATCTCCGCTTTGGGTGTGTGAGTTGTCACTAAGACCTGCTATCACATAGGGGGTGTGTATGCTAGTCCTAGCTTAGCCGGGTCTCGGTGAGTCGTGTCATGCCCATTCGTCGTGGGACGTCCATCTTACTGCAACTCGATTCTCCAACCGTGTCGCGCACAATGTATTTCCTACTTATAATCCTTAAGGCCTGGCTCACTGATTGCTGGCACATGGGCCGCCATGCAATATATGGGTCGCGAGTAAGCTTCTCCCTGCCTGCTCTTGATCCGCACTGACTATTAATCGTCATCCAGTGGCTACCTGGCGTCCTGCAAATCCATCGTCTCCTGTGCCCGCAAGATCGGCCAAGCGATAACTGACTCTATCCCCGAACTCTACGTCCTCGGCAATCCACCAGCCTCTGTCGTCGCCTTCGCCTCGCGATCACCGCAGGTTAATGTTCTGGAGGTCGGGGACAAGATGCGCCAGAAGGGGTGGCACTTGAACGGGCTTATGCGACCCGCGGCGGTGCATATTGCTTGCACGGTAAGGTTGCATTCGCGATTTGGACTCTGTAATTTATGGTGTTGTAGCGCTTGACGGTCCCGATCGTGGACCAGTTCATCGCGGATCTCAAGGACTCCGTCAACGAGGCCAAGTTGAGCCCTTCTGGCCAAGGGTCTATGGTCGCGGTCTACGGTATGTATCCAAATCCCACCCTGTGGCTGGTGTATTGAGACATCGTGTCAGGCTTGGGAACTTCAAGTGCCGTAGGGCCGAAGATGGTCAGTCGGTTGGCCACCGCTTTCTTGGATGCATTGTACAAGGCTTAGGGATGGGCTTGGGGACGGTTTGCTTCTGAATTGTCGTAGTGGCTCTTATGTTCTTAACTTTATCATTCAGATTATGCCTTCTATATTCAGATCGGGAAGCATCCAGGTTGCTCAGAAAGTCCACATGCTAGAGTATGCTGTCCTTTCTGGACCAAGTCTGTGGTATACGCTCTACGATCCTCGTATCAATCCCTTCGTAGTGCTCTCAATCTCTGCCAAGCCTCCAAACTTGTCATCCTCTCCTCAGGATCCTGCGCCCAGCAAGACTCGATGGTAGTCCACACTGCCTCTGGAATCTCCGGTTCTGATGGGCGGGCAGGCCGCTCTCCAAGGCGTTTAACCACGTAAGTGACAGCGCTCCTTGATCGGTGCTGAGGCCACGGCCACTGCGATGTGTATGCCTGTTTCGGGCGCCGTCAGCATTTGGACAAGATCGTATGAACTGTGGCCGCACCGTATAACCAAGGCACCCGAAGGCATACATGTCAGACGCTGGCTTTGGGTCCCGCTTTCCGCTGAAGGACATAAGTTCTGGAGCCAAGTACTGGAAAGCCCCCTTCTCTGTTTCTGTTCCAGCAGTAGTGAGTGATCCGTAGAAGGTGCTGAGACCGAAGTCGGTCAGTTTCGGCTCAAGATTATGGGTTATCAAAACGTTGCCCTGTGATGTAAGTAGGTCAGTGTGGGCACACAGTCAACCGGGGAACATCAAGTCACAGGATGAAGATCCGAGTGAACCAACGGTGGGTTGTGAGCGTGAAGATATGAAAGGGCGTCAGCAATGTTTACGAGCTAGAGCGACGATTGTGTCAAAAGCGCCTTTTGTGCCAGTGAGACGGACCACGTACTATCTTCAACGGATCATAGGCCTTGTCTCGGGGAGAGATCTGTAGATACGTCCAGAGATCTCGGTACTTTGCCCATGGCGAGACCATGCAATGCAACGCCGAACCTGCTTCATGCCACTCCCATATCCCAAGCAACGGCGCGATACTGTCGTGCCATACTTGTTTCCAAACAACCATTTCACGGCGGAATCGCTATACTCGCATGAAGGATTGAGTGCCACCAGTCAAACGACATCTGTCATGGAGAACTCACCTTGACGTTTTTCTCGGAGACCGATTCCAGGTTATTACTATTTGTTAGCTCGGTCAATGCTTTGATTGCAACGTCCTTCCCCTTCCACTTCGTTCTGTAGACCAATCCATAGCCGGCCGGAACTTTCAGCTGTGAGTTGAAGGCGGGAGTCTGTACGTCACGGTCTTCGATGATTAAGAAGGGAGGCACGACATCGTAGTGATAGCAAATGTGGCGTAGCGCGGCCTCGCACTCCATTCGGAACTTGTTCAGAACACGTGAATCTGTGTTCGAAGGACCGTCCCATATCGGAGTCTCGTCTATCGTCTATGGCTGCGTCATCATTTCTGCGTATGACAGCAAAATATAGCTTGGGACGTACCAGTTGCAAGGTATTAACCAGTATGTTGATAACAGGGAGCGGAATTCCAAGGATGTCCGGGTGTAACTCTGTGCTTGCGCTGAGGGCGTTCAGGCCCTGCAGCGTGCCGGTGAATCGGACTTTGTCCGCTTCACATAAGTGTGGTAGGTCTATCCGTGGAGGATGTGTCTCGGTGCAACAGTGGGAGCCTACGTCTAAGCTCACCTATGATCTCAGAGCAGATATATTGCTTCGTTCTGTCGATATCTTCGAGCTTGCTTTTGACGCGTTCCGCTTCTTCCTTGATCCTGTTGAGCCCCGCGTTTACTGGGCATTTGTATTCCCATAATGAATACTTATCATCATCTGTTTTTGTTGGCTTAGATGAAGAATTATTCCCGGAGGTGTGGCTAGTGTTGTGGGTCCGTTTGAACGCCATGAGCAAAGCGAAATCCGTGATCTCCACCGAGCACCATCGAGGGTATATATACCCCAGCCATCATATATGATGCCCAAGCAAATTCGCAAAGGTAGTCCGCTGACTGCACTCCATAACCTCAGTGTATCCATGACGATCCTAGGGATGACTTTGTATCTTCAGTGTCAAACGTAATGCGAAATGAGGTCCGCGACGTATACGAACCCCTAACCATTGTTTTTGTTGCGGTTAGCGGGACACCTTTGACTGTCATTCCAGGATAAGTGGTGTTCCGAGAGCACGGCCTTGTCGCAACTGCAACATCATTGACTTCGAGGACAAAAGCCTCGAGCTTAGTTTGCCGGCGAACTAGCAGAGTAGGACCCCAGACACCTCCGTGGAATTACCCCTTTGCTTCCGCAAACCCTAAAAATCCCCCCTGATCGATCGCAAGTGATCGGAGGCGGATCTTCGAAAGTCCCAACTGGGATGTTGTGTATGTTTGTGGGTCCACTCTCTCATGGACCTGCCACCTTTGCATTACGGGCAATGACCAATCAATTTTCATTCTGCATTGAACCGCCACGGAATATCGAGACTGCTTAGAACACTAGCATCGTGAAATATCTACCCAAACTGGTGATCTTTTGCTAGTGTATGGGGGGCGGGGGCATGCGGGGGGATGTAATTCGCGTGCTCGATATTGAGCGCCTCATGGACGGGATACAGGCTGTTTCTACTTCTATTTCGGAGAGCCAAATGTGAGATTCTTCGGCCGCGTTCTGTATCGTCCGCCTAATTGTTAACTGTTGCAACAACGCTTCAGAATCCACCTATAAGCCTGTGCTAGGATCCCGAAGAGTCAAGACGCAACATTTAAGATTTCAGGGCCAGACTTACCGTACTTGCCAAGAAGCCTGAGATCGCCAACATGGTTCCAACAATTGGGCCGTAGAGTGCGGAGCTTCATGACCGGGTCTGCCGAAGACGCCTGCTCCCCGCACCTCGACACCTGCGACAGAGCAGAGAAAGATGAAATCATCGAAAGCACAGGAATCCGTTTCAATGTTAACGTGTCCTTTCGCGAGGGGAAAACAATAGTAGACGGCATCCCGCGATTAAGTTGATATTCCCGTGTCGTAGCCGTGTGCAGAAGCAATTGCTGACGGCGCCCAGCATAATATGAGATCCCCATGGTCGCCTCATGCTTCCTATTAAGAAATACAGGGATAGCCACAGATCTCAGCAGGATAGGTAAGGACGGACATCGATGGTTCACGGAAGCTACAGCCATGAGGTAGCACATTACCAGTACATGCTCCGTTCCTAGAGTGAGCCGGAGGGTTCCAGGAATCGCATCGCTGCTACGATCGTCTAGAGCAGATTCCAGGAGGACGACAGGTTCCTGTACTGGATCTCCAGGGAATTCGGTATCGAACTATCGTTCGACGCCATCCGTCACATCCCATCACACGACTCCGTGTATCAGTAGCGTCTTTGCTTGTCAGGAACGACGTTCGTAGATGGTTGGACAATGGAGTGATGGACTTGCCGTGAGCCCAAGTTGCGACACACCTGAGCACGCGGGGACCCATAATTCACATTGTTGACCAGGTTCTGCTTACATATTCGTCAGTAACGCATGAGCAATGCTGGACTTACTCGGGCTAGCGACGACATGTCTCAGCCCAGCCGCGCCGACCCAGGAAGATGCAGAATAGGCCAAAGGTTGCACAAGAGCACATGAGGGAACCAGTTCTTGTTTTCGAACAACGTGGCTTTCGAGCGATGGTTTCTGCGGAACAAAGCCTCGTGGCAGCTGCCGCAGGGACATCACACCTTCAACCTTGACTACACGTGTGAAGTGCGGCCATCTCACCCGCTACGTAAACACACTGAGGCACCATTTTCCTCTTGTGTCGAAGCTCCGAGTGTCGTCGCGGCATGGCGCGGGATTGGTACCGTTATTCCTACCAATCAACGCAGGCAGCGTCAAAGGAGAATATAGTACACATACCATGTGGGCGGCTCTAAGGAGAACAATGATTCGCACTTGAACGGGAACAGGGAAAATTCTGAAAATAAGACGAGCAGATAGCAGCAATAAAGCAACCGAACAACACTTGTAAATTAAGCCAGAATGGAGTAAGAGGGTGAAGCTTATTAGACAACAGCTAAAGCATTTCGAGAGCAAAGACGACGATCAAGCACGACAACATCGACAATATGAGCCAGTAATCAGGCAGGCATGGGTATCGGTGGCACGCGTGTCAAGATGAAGCGTATTCGTCTTGTCCAGTGGCCAACAGATCGATATAATCCCACCACCGGATGTTCGTCCCGATCAACCACGCGAGACCTCAGCTTCCAAGAGCTGAGCTGCTTCACAGATTGCTCGAATCGCGAGATCACTTCGTCGATGGTTGGCCGCTTGCTGGGATCCGCTCGGACCATATCGGCGACAAGAGGAGACAGGAAATCGAATCCATACTTGTCCTGGAAATAAGATCAGTATGAAAGTGACAATCATATTGCAGGACGACAATACCCGCAGCAGATCTTCCCTAAGCATGTTCCCAATGAAATACACGTCAGTAGGAAATGGGTTAGCAACGCCGCTGGGATTGTTGAATTCTGGCGCGGTTTTGTCGCCACCCCGTATGATCTCTTCGCTAGGTGGCATGTCTTCTGGCCGATATCGACGGGAGATACCAAAGTCAATGAAGTAGTATCTGGGTGGACGCTGCGTCCGCGTATAATACTTGGCGAAGCCATTATAATCTCGCTTAGAATCCGGATCCGCGGGGTGAAAGGACTGGGGATACATCTGCCTAGGGTCGAGCATGATATTGCGCGAGTTGCAATCACTACAAGAAGTCAAGAATCTTCCATAAACACGTCATCGCAACGAGCTCTCACCGGTGAGCGACGAGATGCTCGTGCATGAACTGCAAACCCTATTTCCAGTTATTTGCTGATGATCCAACCGGCCTGCACACCATCTCACCTGGAGAATTTGCCGGATACAAGCGATAACCTCCCCTACGGTGTCGAATCGGGGCGAATCATACTTGCGGAAGAATGGCATGACTATGAGGACCGCATCCTCGTCATCCGGTACTTGGAGAACCTCATATATCGGCGCCGTGTGATTGCGAGGATCAGACTTTAGCTCGTCCGAGAGTAGAAACATTGATATTTCGACCTCATGGGGATGGATAGACTTATACACTCTCTTGAGGCCGACGAGAGCCCCATCCGATATGCGTGTAGCATCCATTAGATGACTGTACTATGTAAATTGTGAGTGCAGTCTCATACGTACATACGATAACGCACCCATAACATATTCGAATCTTCGCAATCGATGGGTGACTTGTTAGTGGTTTTCCATGAAGGTACCCACTCCGGCCTGAAACGAGGCCTTAACATATACCCCCGCTCTTGCAGCCATTTCTGACGATCTCGCCAGTACTGCTCATTTCGCGAGAGGACGTTTGGATCAAATCGCTCCGAGTCTGTCCAAGGGGGTCTTTCGTCCGACATAGAAACCAAGATAGAATAGACCCGGCAACCTCAAGAAGTGGGGTACTCAAGCACGAAGTGGTTCAAAGTAGGGTAGGTAGTCAACTGCGCAGTGATGTCTGAACGCGTGAGAACAACAGGGACCCACAAGCAACGGCCCGGGGTTATGGCATTACCTCTCCTACTCTCGATAACCCTGGTACCTTACCGCTTTAGCCTGACTCGGGGACGATAGCAGTCAGTGATCGCGTATCACTTGTCCTTTATTCATCTCTGATTGAGCTTGGAAACAGTATCCGGCACAAAGACACCCAGGAGCAACAATGGGTGCTTCCGATGGGTTTCCTCGTGGGAGGCCTCTGGCTAGTCGTGGCGCTGTGACTTATAAAAGCGACACTCTTCTGGGGAATTTCCCCAAACAGCCCGATCTTCATATATCTCTACGCTTCTGTCTCTGCGCAAGGGATGGAGGCGGCTGCAATTGTTGGAACCGTAGGCACGGTCCTCGCTCTCGCCCAGACCCGGCCTGTCTGGACGAAGGTTACTGCAGACAGCATACTTCAGAAAGTTGACAAGTACAGACGCGAAGGAGCTCAAGAGGTCTACGACAATAAGGAAATCATAGACCAAGTAACGCTGCTTGATCTCATTGAAAGGCATAGATAGTACGTTATTTACCCAATTGAAGAGCAGATCCGCTTCGACAGAGTTATGTAGCTTAGCTTGGCAGCACGACCTCCTCAAATCACGAAATACTCAAATATGGCACGTGAAAGAAATGTACAGATGTATCAAGCTTCTTCGAATAACCAAGGGCTTTCGTAACGATGCACTGGTAAGCGTCACTTTATTCGGTTTGTGCTCTAGTGATGATCAGTATTCAGCGTTCCTCAGAGTACGCAAAGAATAATGCTCTGGGGCAGTATTGTGCCCTACGAACAAGGGCGGAAGAGTCTAGCGCCGTTCCGCTCGCAGAGGCTCTAGAGGTCTTGGATAATCAAGCAACGACCTCTCGCCGGAGAGTGGAAGATCTCAGCTCTGTTCTCTCTACACGATCGGGATCCTCCACCTTTGTCAATTCGTCCGACCCTGCAAGAGGTACCGGTAGTGACACCGCTGGAACCCTGACGCAATCCGACGTCCAGGAATTGGACCGCGCTTTGGACCAGTTTGAGAATAGTGTCGTACAATATGGAGCTCTTCTTGACCAGGCCAGCGCGATGCTACCCACGTCCAGTGGAGAAGACCTCCAGTCCGGACAGGCTTCCCTGCAGTATCAGGATCAATGTATGCCTCCTCGCAGTAACTTCTCCGTTGTCACCGTACGCTAACATGAAGCCTATCAATTCCAGGCCTGCAGTACCGCTCGAGTGTTAACAGCTTTCTAAGCACGGGAAGTGGGGGTTATTATCAAGCTCTGCAACACGACGCAGAAGGCCGCGACGGAGCGTAGTTCGCTCCAGAAATTCCTCTATTGTCCGGACCTGACGTTATGCACCAGGCCCTAATGTATTCTACCGTGTTGTATCGATAAATTATAGGTGTATTGCATGTGCATACTCCGTGCCAGCAACTGTCATATATAATTCTTGGTATAACCAACTCCTCTGCCACGCTCTGTGCATTACCTACAGGCGAGAAGGTACCCACTCCAGGAAGACTCGGTGCGCGCTTCAATGAAAAGATACCATGAATATGCATGATCTCGGGCATTGGGGCAGGGACTATTGGGCTAGTGTTACTCTCTTCAGTTTCGCGTGTGTGGCGGATCTCCCAAGGACGGCCATGACCCTGATTGGAGAACATCCGATGGCTATCGCCTGTGCTATGTTAAGGTCGCTTTCAGCCACAGTACCCGGGTCATACCTGGACCGTGCCACGACGGTAAACTCTGCCGTCATCAGACGTTGCATTCCATGACCTATGAAGCCACAACATCGTACATCGTTCAAAAATCCGGCGCTCATGCCCTAATTAATGACAACTAGTTGGAGTAGTGACGGATTGCTGAGCGCTGATGTTTTGCATATGTCGTAGAAATCCATGTTGACTTGTCACTGGAAGACACAAGGTGGAACAAGAGTGTGGCAACGGTTGTCACGGACGTTGTCACTGAAGTTATTCATAGCAGTATATCGTGCAGGGAAGTCAATGAAACAATTTCGGTACCGTTGACAGATATCGATAGCTTACACGACACCGCTCTCCTAGGTGCCGTATGTGGTCAGACAGGATAGATCGGAATCGGCGACGTCGGAAAAATGTCAGACATGATAAATGATTTTTGAGGTACTGAAAGACCGGAGAAGGACAATGGGATCGACCTTGTCCATGGAAAGACGCAGATACTGATCCAACCTCGCACCCACCACGATTGACCTTCGTCCGCTGCACTTATTCCTGACTAGGACATCCATACGTCAATTCCCGAGTCACAAACCAGATCCCGATCAGGCAGACGTAAGTCCTTCAGAACAGTGATGTGCCGGTCGACGACTAGTCGACCAAAGTTAACAAAGTCGACAAGTCGTCGACTAGTCGACAACAGTCCACGGTCGACCGTGAGCATAGTCGACCGGACTGATGCGTGGAGGCCTGAGCCAATCGCTGACCAGGAAAAGATGTCCCTGGCCTGGCCCTGGCCAGTCTTCTCGGCTTTTGCCTTCGGGGGAAACCGCTGCATGTTGCTCAGAGCTGTTCGTATACCGTGGGACAGTCGACAAGACTTACGGTCGACGCGCCGGACTGTCGACTAGTCGACAAGTCGACGGGTGGACTGCACGGACTAGTCGTCGACCGGCACAACACTGCTTCAGAAGATACAAAGCCCAACCTCCGTGACTGACCTTTGAGGTACGATTCCAGGCTCCACCGCCTCTCAGCACACCAATCAGATGCGGAAGGATATTAAGCTAGCATACGAGAGCAATTCGACAGCGTTGGAAAATGAGGTACAAGTGTGCAGTGTATGGATACCGGGTATCTCGAGCACGCCGAGCGTATGGAAACCCCTATGAACCACTGCAACGCGCACTAGCCTGAGCGAAGGTAGAGCATGACACCTAATAATCAGGAAGTGGGATAGGTGGTGTACGCCGGATTATGAAGCGGATCCGTCTTGACCAATGTGATAGGGTTCTGAAAACCCCGATGATAGAGTAGTCGTCGCGTTTGACAACCCGAGATCGTAGTTTCCACGAGCTGAGGCCGCGGACGATGTCGTCGAAGCGAGGGACGACTTCCTCCATTGTTGGTCGCAAGCAGGGGTCGCCCTGCACCATATCCTGCACCAGTGGCTGCAGGAAATCGAAGCCGTATTTATCCTATAATGAGTCGCTGTAAGTTCCAAGTATTCCAGCAAGTGTGTGTGGGATACCTGAATGAAATCCTCTCGCATTAAGTTACCGAGGTAGTAAACATCTGTGTAAAACGGGTTGGCTCTACCGTCCTCATTCTCGAATTCCGGGGCTGTCTTGTCCCCGCCGCGGATGATTTCCTCCATAGGAGGCATGTCTTCCGGCCTATAACGCCGAGACAAGCCGAAGTCAATGTAGTAGTATTTCGGGGGTCGTTGTGAGCGCGTGTAGTACTGCGCAAATCGTCTGAAATCTCGTTTGCGATCAGGCCGTGCCGGATGGAAACCCTGCGGATACATCCGAGACGGGTCCAGCATAATGTTGTACCCGTTGCAATCACTGCCGCAGATTCTCAACGGCAATCAAATCAGTCAAAGATGTTACGCACCGATGAGCTACGAGATTTTGATGCATGAACAATAGGCCCTGGAGTTAAGGCATGTGGGGAGTAACAACCTAGAGGAAAAGGTAATCATACCTCAAGGATTTGCTTTAGGAAAGCGATCACTTCCCCCACCGTATCAAACCGAGGTGAATCATATCTACGAAGGAGAGGCATAACGAGCAAAACTTCGTCTTCATCATTGGGTAACTGCAGGATCTCATATATAGGCACGGTGCGGTTCCGGGTATCCGATGCAAGCGGCTCAGAAACGAGATATGTCGCAATCTCGACTTCGTGCGGGTGTTCCGATTTATGTACTCTTTTCAGTGCGACGAGGGCCCCATCTGACAGACGCGTCGCGTCCATAATCCGGTCATACTTTTGCATGCACGTCAATCATGTATTCGCACGTAGAAAAGCCAAAGACGTACACGCAGTCCCACACCGTCCTCACACTCAGTATAATCCTTGTTCGTGCCCTTCCATGAGGGGACCCAGTCAGGAGAATAGCGTGGTCTTAGCAGATATCCACGCTCGTCCAACCAAGGCTGGTGATCGCGCCAAAAGACTTCAAATCCATATATTCGGTTTTCATCGTAAATATTACGCCTTCCTTCCAGCCGCGCAATCAGAGATTCCTCCGTAGACATGGTGTAAGCATGAACATGGGTGAGAGCAAATTGGGGGGACAATGCGTCCAACCTGACCTAGCGGCGGTTCCGACTTCCATAGGCATGTGTACGTTAAGCATGCGTGACAGTGTGAGAAAACGGACCTACAGACCCAAATATCCGCGGATGTAAATACGCGGCAAAGTGCACAGGGTTTCTACTTTGAACCGCATGCATCTTGACGGCGTTCTCAAGAGTTCGCAGAGATGACATCCTCTGCAGCCTAGAGAGGACAAAAGACAATCCTGAATCACCATGGCTGCCGTTCCGTATCAGGTACTAGTACTTGCTGTACTTGGAGTGTAACTGGGCTATAAGAGCTCTCAGAATGTATCATTTACGAGCTACATCCTCCCCCCAAAACAGAACCGCCTAATCTCCAGCCGACATGCCTGCACTTGAAGCCAGCGCTATAGTTGGGATTGTCGGTGTAGGACTGGCAGTTGGCCAGACTCGGCCTGCTTACACCGATTTCAAGACCAACAGGGTCCTAGCGGAAGGTCAAGACGCTAGGACTACCGGCTTGAAGAAGATCCACCAGCACATGCACCTTATAAAAGAGAAAGATATCATTCGGTTATTAAATGTTCACGACCGGTAAGTAATCATGCTGAATATCCTTGAGCCACACTTGAGCCGTTGCGTAGGCTGGATACCCGGCACTACAATCTTCTGCAGGACTACGGTTATTATAGCTTAATCGGCTGGTGGAAAGCTGGCTCGCTGCGCGACGAGTCTATTGCATGGAAGGTCGATGCTTTAGTGAGATATGCATTTAACCGCGCATCAGATAATATCTGACGACCCTTAGAGAACATCTGATATATCCTTGAAACATAATATGGGTGGAGAGGGCAAAGCAAGTGGCTCTCTGCAGAGTAAGTCTCGAGCTTGAGCGCTTCGTGTCATGTCCAACTGAAGTAGCAGCAGGTTCGGAATTCCAGTTGAGGGATAATGCTTCTGAGGCTGGCCCTTCCATTCCAATGAATATTTTGAGTTCTGCAAGTCCAGCGGATGTAGCTTCCACGGTTGTTAACGCGGGGGCGTGAAGCGGATCAATCACGCCAGCACGCGGCGGAAGCGAGGAAGCTTATCTTGCAAACCTCTCAGATGCCATATAGTGAAGATACAACGGAAGCGTCTGGTATGGCGTCTCAGGATTATGTACGACCAGCTGTTCACTCGCATTTTGGCACGTCTAGAATCGCAAAGTGGAGAGTATACCCACGCACTCGAGGAGTACGAGAAGAATGTCGGCAATTTCAACACAATTCTAGAGAGGCTCAAGGCCATTGCTTCTTCCTAGGCTTTATCCACCTAAGTGAAGCAGACCCCGCTTCACCTGGGCGAGCACGATCTAAAATCTGTATACTTATATTTTCACCTCCTGATCGCATGTACTAGCATTCTGTTTCACTCTGCACGATCGCGACGGTCGATGGTCTTCGGAACAGTCTCTATAATACACGTCGTATTCAAGCATTGTACAATCGCAGTCTGTATCCATAGTGTCCGACGCTTTTTTGTGATAGTCTAAATTATGACTGGTTGCTAATAACACCTCCACCGTTGCAAGCGTGACATTATTACTTATAGACAGTGTTCAGATATGTCGACCGCCAGTAATTGATTCCTTTCTCATTCATTCCCCTCGCCCCCCCAGGGGCCGAGGACAGCACGCGGAGATCGTCCGCAGTAAGTACATCGTGAATAGGTCTAACCTTGGTCATGACGGGTAGTCTCATAAGCTAGGTGTTGAGGAGCTGTTACGCACATGAGATCCGAGGTTACAGAGCCCCAATGACAGAAACGGGCGACCAGCGTCTCTTTGAGACAGTAAATTAGTGAAACAGTAGAGCTTTATACAATCGTCGCCCGTACCCTATAATTCCTCTCACCTCTACTCCTCCATAGCATCTCCGTCCACTTGACCGGATCTTGGCCGCCAAGGTTCGCACCACTTCGGGTAGACCCTCTTATACAGCGACATACAAACGGTATCCATCTGGTTCATCGGCCCGTCGAAGTGAGCCTTGAAGTACCCGTGGGTGCCAAGAGATTCCCGGATGTGGCCGGTCCGCCCGTACTTGGTGTGCAGTTGGATCGGGGCGAAGTACCTCACGTCCTCAGGGTTGAAGAACATGTAGCGCACAGTGGCGGTCTTCTTATGAATCTTGAACGGATGTCCAGTCAGGACTATCCGCTTGGCGATGATACGTGTCGTGTCGGGGTTGAGGAAGGTGCCCGTGGCCACTAAGTGCGGCGCTGAAGTAGTCACGTCCGTCAGGGAAGCTCTGGATTTTGAACAATTGGACGAACTAACCATCCGGATCATCAGTCTCGCGAAGGAGCATACAAGGCTGCTTCCCGAACACGACTGGGCCATACGTCGTGGCAACATATGTATCTCCATGCCGTAGATACCGCTCAAATTTGTGGACGTTATTGTACCCTTTTCCACCACCACGTGTATGCTGGCTGTATATCGGCCGTGTATGCATCCTCCGAGGACCCACACACAAGACGAGAGGATCCTGCAAACGTACCACGTATATTCAACACGGGTCCCACGCACCAAAAACCAGGTCACCGTACCTTCGACCGCACCGAGCCATCGTATTCTGTATTCCGTTGGACAGCGAAGTTCAGAACAGTCATCTTATGTTCGTGCTGCCAGATTCCAAACATGACGAAGGGCTTTCCCGCCTCCACACGAGATGCTTCCTGAGGAACATCCTTCAAGTGCACCGTAACCCTAACCCCAGGCTAACCCATGATCAGCGAAATACGAATGTGATTCGACGCCACACGCCACACACCTGAACAGCAGCGACTTCTTCTTCAGCTCTCCGCCGTACGCCCCGCTCGGTCCGCTTGAAATCCTCAAACTGGAATATCCTGGCATAGTCGCGAGGTAGGTTTTCGTACGGGTCCCACGGGCTGGTCCGGAATGATCTTAACCCACGATAGCGTTGGAACCGGGTACGTGCCGGTATATCTAATGGTGTGTCGATCTCATCGGGAAATTGTAAATCATCTTTCTCTTCCTCCTCTCTCTTCCGCGACCGCCATTGTTGTAGCCTGGAAGGAAGTTTAAGATGATGCCACGGGCAAAGTAAGACAGGTGGTGCTTACTCTTTCTCTTCTTCTGCCATATCCATGTCCTCGAATGCGACGCTCCGATTTGTCATCGACTCCATTTCGTTGTCCTCATCATCATCATTATCAACCTTTGTCTCTCGTTCTTCCACCTCCACGTCCCTCATCTCCTCTTCTTCCTCTCCCTCGCTTCCCTCTTCACCATCTCCTTCCTCATCGTCATCATCGACAATCCACGCAGCTTGGTAGTCACTCCACCCCTTCGGCACCCGCTTCACTTTCCTCGGGGTCGTTCCTGCCTTCGCATCAGGTATTTCATTCCCATCCTGTACCGAATCTGCATGTCCCTTCATCTCTTCCTCGGTTGGCCATGTCTGCTCGTTGGCCAGATCATCTGGGTCATTGCTGGAAACCAAGGAGTCCGCTTCCTCTGGATCGGGTTCGGCTAATACAGCTGGCTCGACATCCATACCTCCCGCATCAGGGACTTTGGAATGGCGGGGGAGCGGAGCAGAAGTGACCTTATGACGGCGTTGAGCCCGTAATATAGATAATAATCCACCATGCACTAACCTTCTCTACCTGGTAATCTCCCCAACCTGGCAGATGCACCAGCCTGTTCGCGCTCAACGCAGCGCCTCTGACCACCCCAGTAACCTTCAATATCCCCTTCCCGTCGGCTTGCTCTTCAAACTCCACACTCTCACCGAGCATCCACGTCCGGCCCTCCCTCCACCGTACATCATCCGGTCTCCCCTCGCACAGCGCCCTCGCAGCATTGATCCTATCCGAGCTCGAGTGCATGTCGAATACGCGCGTCTGGCTGGGAACGAAGTACTGCATGAAGGATAGCAGCGACTTGAGGACCGTCGGCCGCGTTTTGCTATCCAGAGATGAGTCGGGGGCGACAGCTGATACGACTGTGGGGAGGCCCTGAGCTTGCAAGGCGCGAAGCAGTGTATCACCCCATGCATCTACCTCAGTAGTCGGAGACAGCACGAAGAGGACGTAGTCGGCGGCCTTTACGGCGTCTAGGGTAGGGTATAGCGAGCGGTAGGGTAGATTGATGAGCTGCAAGGACGTCTTGAACCGCTCCGCTCTTGAAAATGTAGTTATATGCACTGGTCAGTGCGTCTTGGGACAAAGGACTCACTTAATCTTCCACACACCCGTGTTGGGGCAGTCCGAATCATCTACGCCCAAAGCCTCTGCAAGTCCTTTACTGACCTCCCATGGCTTCACGTCGGGACTGAGCGGGATAACCGCAACTATCCGTGGTGCACCGTCCACACCGCTGAATATCCGGGTGGCTGCAACGAGCGATTGTCGCTTTTGGAGCTGAATTTGTTTGGCGTGATTGCGTCGGTTCTGGCGTGCCTGGGCGGTGGAAGGGGTGCCGGGCTGGGAGTTGGGAGAAGTACGTGAAGTCTTGCCTGGACATAACTGTTAGTACTGAATATGTCTGGAGTGCGTACGTTCATGCGAAGGGTGATCTTCCATGGGACCAGCAGACGTCCATCCGTCTCTCCCTGAAGCAGCGTGATGGGGAAATCACCCACCCTTGGCAGTTCGTTTTATGGCAGACTTGCTCGCATGCTTTGACTTAAACGGCTTGTTTTGCTAACGGTCCGAGCGAAGTGTGAGGAGAAGTATAGACAGTGATATACAGCCGACGGACCTGCTTAAGTGTAGGCCTGTGGTGATGCGCCTGTACCATCGTGAAAGAGCAAGTCGCTGCCTAGCTGTAGCCCAAGGAGTCCCGCGTTAAATGATTTGTCTAGCTGATATGATAGAAACGCTAGATCGCAGACGAGTACCTCGTGTATAGAGTTTGTATAGAGTGCTTCAAGTGCATGGCAGAAAAATACAGACCTTCCTTATCGAGCCGCCATTCCTACTCAAGGAGATCGACACGTGATTGCGACGCGTCGAATCGTAACTTGAAATCGTATTTCGCGTTTGTTACTTATCTTGAAACGTAACGACCAGTGGCTTCAATCCGCAGCATTCAAAACTAGGAGTGGGTTCGTGAATACATGCTGTTGGTCCATGCTTTGAGAACCCGGGAGGGTGGAGCAGTGAGCACCTGAGCTACGTCCTCGCTTTTCTGATCTGAAAGAGCTTCTAAGCAGAATAGGGAGAGCGTCTGATACGGTCCAGCAGTAGCATAAGAGCGTATGCCCTCGGCCGCTTGACGGCGTCGAGTACCTCACTGCCAAGAGCTACGCCATCGATAGCTGGTTTGGCTAGATAGTGCCGGTATTTGTTCTCTCTTTCAACGTACGTTCTCGAGTCGACGCTTATACCTCAAAGCTCTTTCGTTGCTGCATGGAATAGATGAAGTAACATGCAAGCCGATGTAGCCACAAGAATACATATGCTCGGGGTTTGTTCACCGCTACAAAGCAGGCCGTGGCGCGGATTGTATCAGCTGAATGGTGACCGGTAGTCCGCGGAGCAATGGGGACTGCGGAGAGTAACTTGTCGGAAGTATACGAATATGTCCTTGTGGGTCCCTGCCTTATTCTCTTCCCAATCTATTTGTTCTCCTTTAGCATATGCCTACGGTAATTCAATAGCGCTCTCGGAAGGCGAGGTATAAGAAGCATCACCCGCACTTCTCATTTCCTTAACTGAAAACACATAGCCCCTGGTAATACTCGAGATGCCTCCACAACTTCGGATGGATCGCGACATTGCAGGTGGTCTCATGAACTCGGAATTGTTCTGGTGTAACCTTCAACCTTGACTTCAGCAACGTGGATACACGCTCAGGCCTCGGTTCAGGCAGGATTGGGTACCCTCTTGAGAAGGCACGTCCAAGTCTTGGGTAGATTGCGAAGACGGTGATGAGCTGTGGGTAAGCACAATCGTGTTTGCTCGGAGACTAACTTATGTATCTGACATTTGCCCGGGGCCATAAGTACTCTCAGTTGATGGACGCCATTCGCACTTCGGATGGCGCACTCGTTGGCTTGAAGAGAATCTCCAGGCCCACGCACCCCTATGAAGTGGAGATCGGCCAGTTCCTTCGTTCGGAACCCCTTCTTTCAGACCCTAGAAATCATACCGTGCCCATATACGAGATCCTAGAAGTGCCGGACGACCAGGATTTACTGCTAATCGTGATGCCATTGTATCGCAGATATGATTCATCTCGCTTCGATACATTCGGCGAGGTGATCGCTTTCCTGCGGCAAATACTGGAAGTAGGTGAACGCTTTGCATTAAAGGATACAAGTATTGAACTGCTTCTTCCAGGGGCTTCAATTCATGCATGAAAACCTTGTTGCTCATCGGTTCGTCCCTTTCACCTTTGCCAATGACTGTCCTGATCCTAGTATTCGAAAGTGACTGTAACGAGTGCAACATCATGATGGACGCCTCCGGGATGTATCCGCAGTCATTTCACCCCGGGATACCGAGCAGAAAACCGGATTATAGTGGGTCTGCGAAGCATTACACACGAACGCAGCAGCAGCCAAGTATTACTACATCGACTACATCGACTTCGACATCTCTCGTCGATACAAACCCGATGAGATGCCCCCCGACGAGGGTATCATAAAAGGCGGAGATAAAACCGTTCCAGAGTTTCGAGGGGATGTGTACTCCGCTAATCCGTTCCCAACTGACCTATATTTCCTCGGGAACTTGATGAGAGAAGACTTCCTTCAGGTACGCCTGATGGAGTTATATCCATCGCCCGTGGTTTAACGTATTCAGGTCAAGTTTGGTTTTGAATTCCTCGAACCTCTGGTTGCGAACTTAGTTCAGGACGACCGAGCAAAGCGTTATACGGCAGACGAGGCCCTTGCTAGGTTCGAGGAGATTGTTAAGAAGCTCTCTTCCTGGAAGCTTAGGTCGCGAGTCGTAAAAAGGAGCGATTCTTCCTTCATTGGGTTCTTTCGAACCATATCCCATTGGCGAAGGCGCATCTCCTTCATCGTGCTGCGGGTACCAGCGATACCGATGCCTCAATCACAGCTATCCTAATGAGAACAAGGGGGACGCTTATTGTAATTTCGTCGTGAATATCTCTATGCTCTATTGCCCCATAGCATTGCTTGTCGCTAAAAGCTGTCGAGTTATCATTTGTATGCTAGTCAAACTTGAGACCATCGTCCCATTCTCAAGCAGCTCGTCTCAAGGACAGCACGACTACCTGCAGTGTTTTTGCACCCCCAAAGAGCTCATTTCGCTCCGTTGAAGGATCCCGAGGATATTTGCCATGCTATTCTGGAAGACCCTTGAATAATGGCTCACAAGACCAATTCGAGTACATTCTTCTTAGTGTGCATACCAACTGACGCCTACAAAGGCTCCCAAAACTCGTCGAACCCAGCTCTTCCCTTTCCCTTCTGTTCTTTATAGTAATCTCGGGAGAACACCTGCCAGTAAGCAGTAGTGACAAGAGAACGCACTGGAACCCAGCCGTCAGACGTGGGATAGCCGGCACCGTTGATCACCTTCGCGGTAAATTGCCACATCGCCTCGATGGCTTCTCTGGTCAGAGGGCGCCGATCGTGCCGTACAATTATGCACTGGAGGAGCAAGCAGTCAGCAGCAGGAAAGATCGTCTGAATTTGGAGAGCGGACGCAACTGTTCCTGGATTTATATCTAGCCATCTGGAAGCCGTACTCAACATCGTGATCGTGGATAGTGGGGGAGACATATCACGCACGGCAGGGGCGCAATCGCGTTTTCTGGCTCAATCCTTAAGAATACGGCAGCCTGGTTACCTTGATCACGAGCACGGACTTGCATACCGTTCACCGCAGCGCTGTACAGTATAAGCGGCATGCCAACTGCCACGCTAACGGGGCATAGCTCCCCTTCACTAAAAACCGGATGATCCGCCTTGATCAGGACGTGCTCAAAAAGCTTGCTTCGATCCTGTCCGTCCCCGCCCGGGACGTCAGCGGTGCCGTACAGACAACCTCCCTGGTTAGGGAGTATCTTGATCCCCCAGATTTCGTTAGGTTGCGCGGGCCTGCAGATGGGTTTGTGGATTTGCCAATGTTCTTTCTGACATTCTCGGCCCTGAGAGCATGCAAGAACGTGAGTGTGTCCAGCTATCGATGGACGGCATCTAAGAGTGGAGTGGACTACGTACGCAATATCGAGCTGTCGCGCCCTTGCAGCCCGAACATTTGTAGAGCTTCTCTTTGTCGAACCCACATTTGGTGCAGCGCTCTCTCCGCTCGTAAGGAGCCATCGACACTGGGTGGGTGCGTTGTTCGTCAGAGGTAAGGGGGCGGTGGGAGACCTGGCCATGACTGCCGCTTTATATAGATTCCTTAACCCGGCGGTCGTATTGCCATGCAAGCTTTTCAAAAGGGTTGCCAGACGATACATCACCTGGTACTGAATACAGTACTGACAGTCCTTCACAGCCTTGAAGGAACCCAGCTACAACCGAAATGGTGCATTGTACTATATATGACATCTCTTTGAACGACGCAGACTGGAAGGACAGCACTTCCGGCATGTCAATCCAAATAGATGGCATATAATATAAATGTGCAGTGGCCCGCACAGTAGCACAGTGTATTGGGTCAATGTCTTGAAGACGCGAACCTTACTGTCAAGGAGGTAGTGTCTCGTAAGAGCCACCGAATAGGAAGCCGGCGCCCTAGGAGGGGCTAACGTCCAAGCGAAGATCACATGTAGGAGCAAGGGTTTGAGTAGTATATCAATGAACAGTGAGCAAATGGAGCGTGAACCAGTGACAAGTGGTGGATGACAAAACATTTGGGTGTATCACCGCTGGCCAGGAGTAACTGTTTGAAGCATCGAACCAGATTTGGGCGGAGGACAGTGAGCGGCTGCAGCATGCAAATATCTCGAGTCTATCGCAGGAAGATCCGTAATGTCATCGGGTTCTTGCAACCGATCCGATCCCTTGAGTTTCGAGGACTCGAGTCCAGTCGCTTGGATATCGAGAGCCACGGGATGACAGGCAGTTCTTCATTGCGTTACCTCACCAACAAAAAGGCAAAGGAGGAAGAACGCGAATTAGGCATGCACATACGTACCCGACCTGGGACAAGATTGGGACCTCCCAAGTTGATGGGTCTACCCGACAGCGATCACGCTCGCATGCATGGCATTTGGAGGGAAGCACGACCTTTGTGAGCAGCGCTAGCCTACAGCTATGATTCGGTCACACTAATCAGCGAGCTTGAAGGCACGTACCCTCACAATCCCGTCTGCTACTAGTATGGCCATGAACAGGTGATGATGCATGGTGCAGACTTGGAGCTGGTGGCGGCACGTCCGTCCAGTGATCAAAGTGCCGCGCGTGAACGCAAGTATATACTAATAATACTATCATTGGGGGGGGAGTTTGACAATATTTCATTGTTAAGCTCGTATCTCCTTCAAATTCAAACATATTCGGGCGCTGTTTTGACGAGTCGATGCGAAATTGCGCGTTCTATCATAATAACAAAACGTCCTTACAGATATCTTGTGTACAGACTATTCCGGCAGCAAAATACTGGTTTCGGCACGATTTCGCTTACACTGGGGGGAGAGTTTGACAATCAGTAACGGAACTGTCACACCGGCTGCGGCAATCTCCAGACGGCATTCCCTATCGGGAGCACCTGGGCTGAACACGCCTGGCCCTTCGGTTGTGCACATACTACAGCAGGGGATGGAAAAATCGTCTGCAGCAGCTCATTTTATTTGTGAGAACATAATTACAGATTGTATAGTAAGTGCTATCCAAGGAAGCATTGAGTGCAAGACGCACTGGGGTCGTCGGCGCATGCACACGCGAATGCGCATTCAAGCTCCGCTTGAATTCCACAGTCACGCCCTGTCTCGATAGAGTGTTTGACAAACACCTACCTGACGTCTAGCAAGGGAATTCCTCCACCTCGTGCATATCGGGCTTGACGAACAGGCAGTTAAGAACTGTAAGGATGTATTCTTTATGTTGTTCCAAGGTTTTGGGACACACCGTTCAGGAGATCTCTCCAAATGCATTCCCCAGTACAGGTATATCAGCGTGTTTTGTGTGTTCACGCACGAAGCGAGGAGAAATAAATTATTCTGAGCTTAGAGACATGAAAAGTAGATGCATGCTCATACGTATGCCAATTGCTGAAGCTGAATATGGGATGTGGAAAGAGCTACGAGCGATTTGTCGTTTTGTCAAACCCAATACCCGTGTCAAACTCCCCCCCAATGATAGTATACCTGCCGAGTCTTTCTGCGCAATCCCAGCTGCTGCAACTGCAGGACGCTGTACAGAATGCTCGCTGGTTTCAAGACGTCGAGACTCGGCCACGGCTAGTCGATGTACATTGTGGCCCGCACGAAAGTACGACGCGGTCAGCAGCCCAGTTGATCAGATCGGTCCCAATATCTCGCCTGCCCTTCGCGACCTTCGCTCCTCAGACGGCCGTCTCCCGGATTTCCTGCATAAGGCCTCCCGCTTCGCGAACATGGTCGTCCAGTCGGTCCCTTCTCAAACGTCCCGACGGTCAGCCAGGTTCCACGCTCCTTTCCTCCCCACCTAGTCGCAGATCGACTCGATGAAGTCGTTCTCCGCCCTGCTCTCATTTACCGCCGTGCTGCTGGCCCTCTCAGGCGTTGAGGGACACCAGCCCATCAAAGCATCCGGCAAGGTTGCGTCGACTTGGTGGGCATCCTGGCACGCGTCGGACTTTCCGGCTTCGAAGCTCAGCTGGAGCAAGTACAACAGGGTGGTGTACTCTTTCGCGTGAGTTATTTCGCAAATTACGACATGACGGCAATATCTGAGCGCCGCATGGTTTCCCAGAGAGACTACCCCGGATGTCAACAAGTTAGATCTCGGAGACTCTGGGGACCAGTTGCTCAAAGGCTTGGTATCAGCCGCGCACCAGCATGTCAGTGAGAGTCCTCGTTCTGTATTACTCTGAATGTTCACGCATCCCCTCAGAATGTGCAAGCAGCCGTCGCCATCGGCGGCTGGACCGGCTCGCGCTTCTTCTCCTCCGCCGTAGCCACGCCCGCCAACCGCACGGCCTTCACCAAAACCATCCTCACCCTCGCGCAGACCTACCAACTGGACGGCATCGACTTCGACTGGGAGTCGCCCGTCAACCAGGGCATCGGCTGCAACCTCGTCTCGCCGCACGACACCGCCAACTTCCTCGCGCTCCTCCGCGAGCTGCGCGCGCACCCCCTCGGCCGCGCGCTCACCATCACCGCTGCCACAGGCATCAACCCCTTCGCGGGCCCGGATGGCGACCCCCTCACTGACGTCCGCGCGTTCACGGACGTGCTCGACTACATCGAGGTCATGAACTACGACATCTGGGGCAGCTGGAGCGACACCGTCGGCCCGAACGCGCCCCTCAACGACACCTGCGCGCCGCCCGCGGACCAGCAAGGCAGCGCCGTCTCCGCCCTCCGCGCCTGGTCTACCGCCGGCATGCCTGCACACCAGATCGTCCTGGGCGTCGCGGCTTACGGGCACTCGTTCCGCGTTGCCAAGAAGGACGCCATAGTAAACGGATCGATGGTTGCATACCCGCCTTTCAACGCCAGCGCCCAGCCGGCAGGCGACAAGTGGGATGATCCTGCCGGGATTGACGAGTGCGGTAACGACGAGGCCGTTGGTGGGTTGTTCGACTTCTGGGGTCTCATTCAGGCCGGTTTCTTGACTTCAGAGGGCAACCGTGCCCCGGGTATCATCTTTCGTTACGATGATTGCACCAAAACCGTACGTGCTCGTCTTTCCCCGCTGTCAGAGCACCAAAAGTCTGACTTGGATAACATCACTTGTAGCCCTACGTCTACGATGCAACGTCTGAAATCATGATTGCGTTCGATAATGCCCCGTCTTTCCGAGAGAAAGGCACGTTCATCCGGTCGGCTGGCCTCAGAGGCTTCTCCATGTGGGAGGCTGGGGGCGACTCGAATGATATACTCCTGGACGCGATCCAGAGTGAAAGCCGTTTCTAACTTGTAGTACTACTTGACAACTGCCCGAAACATGCTCACTCTTGGCTCACTGGATTGTGCTAGCCATAATTTTATTTAATCATAATTCATTTATCCAATCGGGCCAAGGACATTCTCTAGACAATACGTACAGGGATCAAGAAGAGAAAACCTAGACACGGAATAGGAATATGACAATATATTGGTACAAGCGACAAGCCGATGAATAGAAGACCCGTGTGTTTGAATCGACTAAACCCGACTTGTAACGCGGGGAGCGAAGCGTGACGCTGATAGGCTTGAGGAGCCGTAGTCGAGAGTTGCTTGAGATGGATGGATGAGGGTTGATGTACCGAAGAGTATGGAGAGAACAAGTAGTGCATTGGGGAGACCGATAATCCGCGTTGCGGTGTTGATTCCAGTGCGGTGCCGATTCCAGTGTGGTGCGTTCGTCCTGTTGAACAGTTCCGTACCACAAGCATCGCCGCTCATGACTTCTTTCTTGGAAGAAAGAAGGGGCCGATATCATACACCTAAAGCCAGACGTGGGCAAGCGCAGCAAAGACCAGACCATGGAAGAAGTACGGAGAGCAGCCATCAGGGTTTCCTAACCTGAGGAAACAGGCGCCTGTCTTCACTTCTAGATAGCCGGTCGTCGGTGGAAGGGCAGTCCGTGGAGTGCATGCCGGCGGTAGCAAGCGCGGTTCCTGAGCCAATATATCGAGCTCAGTACAGTCAGGGCGCGAAATAGAATCGCGCAGAGGTCTTGATAGCAGCCATGGTTGTTTCCTACCGGAGGAAACGGCGCTTGTCGAAGCCTTGACTGTCGTCCACAGCGGCGAAGAGTCAGATGGCTCTGGAGAGTAGAACAAACTATTCATGACAGGAGCCAAGATCGATCATCCCAGTATATTGCCTGAATCGTTGTCGCATGTCTTGATGTGCCCATAGAACGTGGTACGAAGAACGCCTATCCCGAAAAGGGGTACGATAGTCGACGGGCACCTTGCATGCTAGAAGCGCATGTGCGCATCGTAAACTCCAGAAGTATTGCACTTGAGTACTTGATTGCGGGCTTCACTTAACGTGGCCCTCCTGCGGTAACATTCTGGAGACAAGGTTAACGCAAGCATCTGAAGATAATAAAGTCACAACGTACGTCTCGCAGTATTCTCTCCATCCCTCGTCCCGGTCCTTCAGCATTAGATCATCTATCACGTCCATCGAAAATATATAGAACAATGCTACGATGATTGCGGTCAGCAGAGTATGGCATGCCGAAAGCGTATACACTCACCAACTCGAACTACGACCATAACCATGAGAAGCCCAATAAGCCAGCCAGCACCCTCAAGGAAACTCATCTCAGTCGCAAGAGCTGCGAGGTAGATGAAGAGCAGGATGAGTAACCCGAGCTGTTCTTGCTGTCCATCAAGGCCCTCAAATTCGTCCTCTGCAATGGCCTCATCGTCGGCATTGATTTCCTCCCCGTTCATGGGCTCCATCGGGCCCTCGGCAGCAGCAACGCTGATGTTGAAAAGCCCCGAGGTCGCCTCAGCGTCCTGAATGCTTGATTCATCGTAGTAGTACACAAAGTTAGCCGTGCAAACAGCGGGCTCAGTCAAAGAAGAGCGGACGGGCGTGTCGTCCACAGGTAGTTTGGGCTCATATTCATAAAACTCGAGAGTAGGGAAGACTTGAGGTACGGAAGCATCCTCGATAGGGTACAAGACACTGTCCATAGGCAAAATAACAGAAGAACTCTTGAGGTCCTTGCTAGGCCGGCCGATGTTTCCAGCAACGAGGGCGATAGCAGCAGGAGCCCAGATCAAGACGTCCCCAGGACGTCCGTCGATACCAAGGCGAAGGAGGCCGGGCGCGCGGTGAGGGCGGTGAGCCAGGTTGTTGACGTTGCCCAAGAGCTGGAACGCCAAAGCGATGGCGACCAAAGGCAAGAGGATCATGGTGCCCAAGAAGGGTGGCTGCAGATAAGTTCGCTATGGGCAAGGAAGTTGCTCGCAGATGGTGGTAGGGAAGAAAGAGGGAAGAGGGGAGGCTGACGGTTCTTATACGCCCACTGTTTGGTTCCCGCGGTGGTGGTTCAAGTTGCCAAACAGACCAACTTTGGGCCTATATGTCAATGGTGAAGAGGTGGATACGAAAACGGCAAAGGGCTTTCCGGTTTTGGACGCTGTCGATCAGCAAGGACCCCGTCACGCGTGGGGACCGCGACCCCAGGACCTGGCGGCTGCCGTCACGTCGAGCCACCAAGACACGGAGGGAGAACCGCAGCAATTTCTACTACTTACCTGTAATATACCTGAGTGAATTGGTCGAGAACTCAATACAGGCAGTAGATCACATTTATAATTGGACATGAACATACCGTGAGTCATGGCCAAATCGCATATCATCTTCGAGGGCCAAGCACCGCCGTCCACGAAGCAATTACACGGATGATATTCGTATGGATCTACAACAAGAGTACTCCAAATCGCACTACCCGCGAGGACGGAGATACAGCAGAACAACAGACTTAAACGAAGGTAGTGTGCTCACCCAACATGCCACACAGCAAAAGCAAAATAATATACACACAGCCAAGACGCACCGCACCCAACGGAGTCCTAGTCCATACCAAGAATCGTATAGACAAACCAACCCCAGTCCATGGTGTCCGGGCCTATAACACGAACATGCCACCCGCGACAGCACCTAGTAGGGCGAGAACAACTCCAATGGAGCCGACTCTCAACCCTCCGGCACCGTTGCTCCCTGAAGACCCCGTCCCAGTAGGAATACCCGTGGCGGTCCCCGTTCCAGATAGGGAGATGGCCACAGAAGATGGCGGAGACGACGGTGAGCCTGCATGAGTGTAGGTGACAGAAGTGGCGGTAGTGGTCGTATAGGTCACAGAAGTCGAATCGGATGACGAGCCGGACGAGGGAGAACGAGTGAGCGAAGACGTAGAGGTACGAGTATTAGATGTCACAGGGGACTCCGACGAACCTGAACTGCCACCCGCTGCGCTGCTCAACTCGGCAAAGCCTATACTCGGCGGGTTGGCTCTGAAAACCGAGTAGACATTTTTCTGGTTGTGCCGGACAGTAAGTACGAATGTAGTCAGCACGGAAACCGGCCGCCCGAGCTGGGCCCTATATCATTAGGACGTACCAGGAAAGTGTCACCAACGACCCAGCTGGGATTCCCGCTCCCGACGTTAGCTCCCTGCGTCAAGTCGAAAATCCCGCCCAGGCACATGTTATTGCTGATTGCGCCGAGATTCATATCCGCAGGGGAGATCGGCCACGAGTTACCACCAAACGACATACTGATCTGCACGTTCGTGGAGCATGCTGTGTGGGCATTAGTTGGAGGGTTCGGACCGAAAGAAAGACAAACGCACGAAAAGCGTAAAACCCGGAATAATCCCCAGACAACGCCTGACTACCGGGCACCGCATTCCAGATCGAGTCCACAGCATCACTCGGGCCACCGATCAAGGTCGTGCCAGTGTCGATGGCAGCAAGCGCGCTATTCCCTGAAGGTATGCTTACCGACTTGCCCTGAACAGTCACCCCCGCCACACTAAGCAACCAGAAGCTGGGTTCAACATTACTGGGGAAATCGATAAACTGGACCTCTCCCGTATACAGCGAAGTGTTCGTGCCGCCCAGTGTGAACTCTCCTCCGTATAACTCTGACGTTTGGGTAGCCTGAGAGTCGTCCAAAAGCCGTCTAAGCCAGAAAGACATGACCGGCTGAGTCAGTTGGTTGGCGTTCACCAAGGCCTCCCAGAACGGCGTCGCCCCACTGCTGGCGATCGGTGTGAACCCCAAGCCCATGATACCCGCATTCGTGCCGCTCAGCAGACTCTGGCTCGTCTGGTCAACCACGACGAAGCCCTGATTGCTGATTTGGAATCCCGCCATAGAGACGGTGTCTGTACCGAGCGTGCCCGCGACCTCGCCCGATCCATATTTGATAGTAAGCGATTGCGCTTGTCCGGCAGAGTTGGTGGATGCTTTGAAGGAAGAGGATCTCGAGGTGGAGAATTCAGGGGTATCGGATGAGCATGTTTGACAGGAAGTGCTCGCAACCCATAGGTCGGCTGATCCTGTGTCGAGGATTACATTGAATTGTTGGGCTCTGAAACACGCGTGAGAAAGTCATATACGAGAAAGCGAATTCAGCGGCGGCATTGGGTGCAAAGAGAAGATCCAATCTCGAGCCGCGACAACGCGGTACAAATACAAGTGGGAAGTCATAAGAGAAAGCGAGTACTCACGGGGTGCCTATACTGATGCTCCCTAAGTAGCTTTGATCTTGGCCCTGAGTATACCTTCAGCCATAGTCCACCAAGTCCCTCGGTGTGCAAGACTCACCTGATCAATGATCGGCTCCTCTGCGGTATTCGCTCTCTTCCTTCTTGTCGAGGCCGTGTTCGTGTAGCCATACCTTGCTCTGACATGGTCGGCCGCCGCAGCAAAATGATCCAAAGGATTCCCGCGCCGCGCGAGTTTCGATGACCGCCGCGACAAAGGAATGCGGACGACGCCTTCCGGCGCTGGAGCGGCGTTGGCAAAGGGGAACGCGGCGAGAGTGAGGAGAAGCACAGAGGGGGGCAGCATCGTTGGGAAGGGGAAAGGAATAGGACAGGCCTTGGCGTGTATAGCTATAAAGGGCGGCTGGGGACAGCGGTGGTGTCCTCGGGAAAGCCGGCCGCCCAGAAACCCGCGCCAATGACGCACGATCACGTGAACCCTAACCTTAGGCCAGCCTGCTCAGCTGGAATTGATGTAAGCGCCACCACGCTGCTACCTCCAAGCGAGTCTAGACCGCATCTTCCAAATAGAGCAGGTGAAGGTGTACATACTGCAGTGTACTCGAGCTCGTCGAGCTCTAGCCCGAGTAGAATGTTGGCCGCTCAGAAATGGGTTGACTGCAAGTGTCGTAAATTTAGAAGGGTCATTTTCGACAGTGGATCGGACGCGTCGTGGGGCTCCGTGGTGTCTCTCGCGAGCACCTGTCCGCAATCCTGGCTAATGTTGGCCATCCTTCATCTGTTCCCAGCGGAGACAACGTGTTCTTCCACAGACATGTCGTCATTTCCAGCTGCGGTCAGCGAGGATTGTTCGTCAAGGCCCCGGACAAAACCCGAGGACAGCGGCAAAGATAGACATTCCAGGAATAGCATCCTATCTTCCTGTCTATAATGTCAAGAGGTCCAGCGCTGCACACGCAGCGCAGCACTAGTTGGCCAAGGAGTCGAGGCATCTTGTACGGTAACTCCACCGGATTATCCAAGCGCTACCAAAAAGAGGCCAGGGATCTGTTGAAAGCCAATGGTAATAAGGACACGCAACGACTGCGGATGACGCCAATAATACGATCGTACGTCGATGCGGGAGAATCTGAAACCAAAGCGAGTACGCCGATAAACATAGTTGTTCGCTATGACAGATGTCCATTTACGTCCGGAAAGATTTGGCGGGGTAAACGCAGAAGAGCCCGATGAGGTCGATATGACGGTGTTCATTGAGAGTAGCGACCGGTGGCGGTGCAAAGGTGGGGAAGAGCGGGAACAAGACGAACGGGGAGAAGAAGTCAGGACTTGTAGACGGCCACTACCGGCCACTCTAGGTCTTTATGAAAGGCCAAAAGTCGAGCTGAATATTGCGCAGAGTCGAGTGTCGTCCAGGGGTATTAACAGTTGCGTGTTACGGTTGCGATATCGAGCAGCTGATGAATGGGTATCCTACGCTGAGAGGGATTTCCTGCCAATCCATTGACAACTTCACTTGTACCGACTAGTCCTGTTGAGAGCAAGCACTCCTTCTGTAAAAGCCCCCGGGATGAGGCTGTAGCACGCCCTGATCTGGTACGACGTCCAGCCCGCGGAAGAATGACCGCAGACCTCCATAATGCACCCTGTGCAACGCTTCTTTGGGTCGATATGAATTCTGTTACGCTGATTCTAGTCAGCATTCAGCTGCAGGGTGCTAACCCGTCTGGAGCTTCATCATACCTGGTATAGGCGCCCAATGGATGCATGGCCATGCTTCCCACTTCGTGTAGTGCCTGTTTCAATACTGTATAGTTCCATAGGATAGTAAGTCCCGGCTGGAGGTGTATCATCGGTAAAGGTAAGATCCGGGGGATGGTATTCGGCGAGCCCGCAATGTCCTTGCGGAATATACCACACCCCTTCGGTGCACTCGATTTTATTTGTAAAGAAACACGAGAAGCTGCGACGCTAAGACCCTGTACATCAGTTCAGGTGTCCCCTGGTGTCCCTGGCCGGCGTCCAAATATGGGAATACGGGAAGGTGCGGAGCGGCTGCATTCAAGTTGGACGTCGTGTACTTCAGCGAACTGGTCCATTACTTGCTGCTCCCCTTCGGAGTCATCATCGGATGAACTTACTTACGTTTTCGTGCCTACCGTGACTACTCCAGCAACATGCACAGAACGGATATTGATACTATCGTGTGTTCGCAGTCAGTAGACTTCGGATGTGGCTGAATGAGAATCAGATATGCATACAGTATAATACACCGGACGAAGGTTCGTCAGCCTAATCGATGAATATGAATAAGCCCACTAAGGTTGCACTAAGGCAGAATGATTCAGAATAGGACGAACCGACGGCTCTTGCGGGAGACTCCGAAAGGTCGTGATGAGCAAGAACAAACCTGGGACTGGGGAGTCTTGGGTCAGAGGACGTCACGGCTAGACCGCCGGTAATGCAGGACAGGTTTGCACAGCATTCGCAAGGTTTAGCACAGCTTGGAAGAATCGAAACAGCGATCCCCGAGAATAACGGGAACGGCAGGGGCTCGTGTAACATTTATAAGGGTCCAAAGCTCGAGCCATGTGGTGACGATACGCAACATCAATCGATCAACGGAGGACATCCCAGAATCCCCACACAGATTGGGTGTTTCCTTAGCAGCCGGAATGTCTTGAAAGACGCTGCACGCAACACCTGCGCCTTGCTTCAATTTCCGCCAGGAACGACCCATCGTGCGTACGCACATGTGCCTTGCCAAATATCACTTTGAAGTCACTCTCCCACTGGCACCGTTGTAAACGTGCCAGTCATGTCACGGGCCTTCGGATGCTGAAGATGGTCCAAGTGCGAGGCAAGATCACTGCGGTCCAAGTCTGGGAGGAGCAGTCCTAACATACATAGCGGTGTGCATGCTCACTAAGCCCCACTTGAGGCACACCATCAATCCCAGTGAGGTAGTACAAGTCTAATGAAGCCTATCATGCCCGGCGCGTCGTAATTCGTCAGGTAATGCGGCTGTGTAGCAAAAGCGAAGCCGCAGAATCCTGTAACAGATGAATCCTGGATCCAGTGTTGATACAGTGATAGGGTTAACTGGTAGCTAAGTGAAGATCCTGCGTACCCGACATTCAATGATTCATTCACAATGACCATTTCGACGGGTAGTGTTCCTGGCGCCTACCGCCGCACATAAGTCATGAATGAGGATGACCTGACCACTCACCAGCGAGGTAACTCTAACCTTTCGGGGGCTGCCATTGACCTCGTACACCAGGCTGTACAAGTTGGAGCCTGAATCCAGATTGTCCCACCCCCGAGCATGAGCAAACTATGAGCAAACTGCTATTCAGATTTAGTGCCAACTGGTAGCTGTTTTACATGCTTACGAACCTGGAGCTCTCCCAAGATTGACAAGAGTGTCTGTGCCTCCTCAAAGGCCACGGCTTTCAACACTGATGTCGGAGCCACTTCCCTAAGAATCCACGGATGGTGTGTGAGAAGGGCAGAAGCTGATGTCGTTACAAAAATTCTCAAGTGCACGGAAGACGTGGGGCGGACTTGACCACGCTACGCTAATATTTGCGCCAACACTGCGGCTACACATGCATTTTCAGAAATCCCTCAGGTCGCATAACACTACAGTGCAAATACTCCCGGTGAGCAGCTGACCCTTAAGAGGTGGCGCGCCGGTGGAGGGGACCAGAGTTAAACCGCTACAGGATAATGCCACCACAAACTGAACTTTGCATGACGGGGTGAAGTGGGAAGAGGTCAACCGCTATTTGGTCCCGACACAAGCGTTGAAGAGTGCGTAAGACATAGGCTGGCGTCGTGGGGCTCAGCAAGAATTTTGGGTTTTTGGGTTCCTTAGTGAGCCGAGACGAAGCCAAGGTAAGCCTACGGCGGTCCGGAGGTTGGCGGCAAATCGGCCAAAGGGTGGTTGCGGCAAGTGCGTTGGTCGGCTACCATTGGCACTCGATCTCGAGGAGGGGGCGGTCGTTGAGGGACAATTACCACTTGCCGTTTGTAGCCGCTCCTGGTCTTCCAAATCCCACTTCTCCCCTAAGGGGCATTAGGCCAGATGTCCAGAAAGATACGTGCCGGGTTGGCCAGTTGGACTGCCGTACAACGAGTGCAAAAGTGATTATCGTGTAGATTCCACCCTTCCATTAAATTTCCCATCTGCATCGCAGGGAAACCCTGGAATCGAGGCGACTTTCGCACTCACCCTGTAAGGCCGAAAAACGGATGGACACTCCACGCCCTGCCACCCCCTTGAAGGTCTAATCTGTCCTCCGGCTCTGATATCGTCCAGTGATGAAAAAATGTAACGGATCATGCGGTTGGGATACGACACTAAGCCTGCGACATATCACAGCCACCGCACATCGTACGCGCCAACAAGGAGCTCGTGAGGATAGTGGCCCGCGGCAGCAACTTGGAAGTCCAAGCATAATTTGAAGCGTGGTGAGCAACGGCATGTCGAGAGTTGGCGGCGGTGTACGGTACACGCGTCTCAAACCGCCTTCTGGAGCAGGAAAATTTTGTGTATCTTCTCGTTCGTGGATCACACGGGGACACTATCTGCTCGTCGACCACTAGGCGACCCCGCACTTCGTTTCGATAAAATATTTTAGTCGCGGATCTCAGTGGATGATCGGAACAGCACTTACGTCTATTCCACAACTTTGGATGCGAGACGGTGACATGATATCTCCGATACGGGTTGGATAGAAGTCAGTGACATATACGATGATTCATTAGGGCATACCTTTATTGTTCGATACTTCCGTCCCACGGCAGGCAAAGATCGCCGAAAGACTGGTCTCTTCAGTACCTCTTGCCCAGCTCACGAAGCCGTCAATGTTCGTATGAAGTATGAGGGATCGCGACACACTCACCCGAGTCTGAATTGCTGGCCACACAAGCCGCCCAGGCGGACCATTTGGCAAGCCGTCCGGTCGAACAATTGTTTCGTAGAACTGGTTAAATGATTACAAAAAATGTAGACTGCCACTAACACATATGTCCTTATCTCTTGATTTTCGTCCAGGTATTGGCTCGCGTTCCACCGACAGATCTGGGTGTCTAACCGCCGAGTTGTCCCGTAGTGGCATATCGGTAATATGTCGGTCGTTCCGTTCTGCGATGGCGAGTTGGGTCTATACCGTACCATGCACCGGACCCTGGATCCATCGAGACATTCAGCGGGCGATCCTTAAAGCAGCATGGCGACAGGAGGATGTACATGTGCAGCTGCTCGTTATTCAGATTGCTCTTGTCACCGGCAGTCCACCGGCAACATGAGACGCGTGATCTCAGACCGCACTTCGACAGTTTTCGAGGGTGTAAGGAGCTCCTCTTCGCGCGTGTCGTTGCAAGTGCTATTACAGCCTGAATGGAGGAAGCGTTCAGAGTTGGATACTGGCAACCTCGAGCTCCTCGTCCATACTGTATAGCCACATTTTTTTCGTGTGCACCTGTCAATTCCATGCAAGATGTTGCGCGTGTAATCCATTATCCGCGACGGTGCCTAACGTACCGAAGGCGGGCAAAACCTCGGAGGTCAAGACTTTCCGACGAATCGCTCATAAAACGTGTCGCAAACTGTTGAGAGCCTACGGCGCTTCGACTAAAATCTATACAGTATGATGTATGTAACCCTACGCGAGGTGGGTCTGCGTTAGCGAATGCGCTCACGTCGGTGCAGTTCTGATGCCGCCTTCTTCCACCCCGAACGGGAGAGGCCGGAGTGGCCCGCAAATTCATGTTGTGAGCAGGAGCTCGAGGATCTCCGACGGCTAGCAGCCGAGAACCGTGATCGTAAATCGCCTTCCTCATCCGTTTGACTCGCGACCCAGCGGCCTTACAAGGCAGTCCAGCGCGCTATTATGGCCTCTGAAGTATTACACTGGGAGCTGGGTGAAGCTGGATAACGTCTGGCCAGTCATTCTGGACGACCGGACCAGTATTCCAGACTGTGATGTCGACGGTCCTGCCGGGTTCATCATCATACGCTGTGTATGAGTGCCTATCTGAGTCCTCGCGTTCATTGAAACAGGCCGCAAACCTCACGGCATCCTCCGACCACAATACTAAGAAGCCGAGATGATGGATTTTACGGATAAGAACGGCTTGAACTGACCGCTGTGCGAGAGTGCCCTAGTCACATGTAGAACGCGAGCTCGTCGTTTCTGTCAGGGTCCTTGTAGTCTAATACGCCTCGACTGCGAACGTTCCGGGCACGCTCCTACAGTCCGTCGAGCAAGGACAGAGGCAGGCCAGGATGGCAGTCAAACAAAGGAGCGTCCGAGCAGTGCGGCAGTGGCTGGCTGATACATTCACGGGACTGTCTTGGCACCAGATCCGAAGGCATCAAAAGTGATTCGGAAGGCACGGCAGTCGCCAAAATAGCCGTCGCCCAAGGGGGCGATTAGTATCGGGTGCTCGCGTGGCGACGTGCCCCTTAGAGATCTCAATCATGCTCGAGCTTCCGAGCGTAGGGTCGGTAGGGCAGTGCTGGGTTAACTAAACCTAATCCTGAGGTTTATAACACTCGGCAGGCCTTCCAGCTTCTCTCCCTCTCCTAGTCGTTCTTTTTATTCATGCGTTGTCTCTTTTCTTTATAGCCTTCGATCCATAGCGCGTCTGCTTTCCGAAAGCCCCGCCTATCTTGCTCAAGGCTTCCTTTTATTTTCTTATTCTTATTTTCGCCTTCCGTGTCTGTCCAGGTCTCGTCCCTTGTTGCCGTGAAGCCCACCGCACTCTCTCAGAATGGCCGAGAAAGGATCCGTGGCAAACAGCTCATCTGGGCCAAACGCCACTCTTCAGCGGGGGAAGGCATGTCTACGATGCAGGTACGCCGCCTCCACCCTTCACGCATGATTCTTGACGGGCTGACACCCCCACCCCCCTCCTTAGGAAAAGGAAGATGGTAATTTCGATTGACAGCTGTCACTGCGTTGCATGTCTCATTTTGTCTGCCGCCCCCACAGAGATGTGATGGCATGAAGCCTGCCTGCCACCAGTGTATACGGGCCAAGAAGGGTGACCAGTGCGAGTACGACGACGGGAAGGGCAAGACTAGGACACAGCTGCTCCGTGAGAACATCGCTCGCCTTGAGCAAAGGATACGAGAGCTTGAGGATCCTGAATACACGTCCCCTTCCGTCACGCTGTTCGATCCCCACTCTCAATATTCGGGCTCGTCCTCGTCATCCAGTGCCGGCTCGCCAAGTGCCATCAGCCTCACTTCCCCTTCGCCGTATCCCATAGGTATTGTCCCTAGTATCGAGAGCCGCATGCCACTGCTGACAGTCATACCAGACGTCGCTGGTTCACCTCAGGCCACGTGGGGTCAGCTTTCGGTACGTATATTGGGCTTCGTGACTTGAGCTCTCCAACAGCTAACACCTCGTGATAGAGGTATTCATCTCCTACCCTGACTGGCGAGACTGCCTATTCTTCAGAAGAGAGAGCTCCGCCACTCGAGCTTGCCCAGCTTCTGTGAGCACTATTTGATTCACTTCAGATTCGCCATGAAGCGCTTACGTTCATGCAGACTCGAGATCTTCTTGCCTCACCGTCACCAAGTCGGTTTTGGACTGAATGTCGATCGACTGAGGCAGAGCCTTACCCTGCCACGATCCGAGCAGCACCATCCGGTACTCATGAACTCCATCTACCTTTGGTCCTGCTTCTTCTCTCGGCCCGGCCCGTTGAGTCAGCACGAGTCGCACTATTTGTCGGGGGCACTGGAGTCAATGGGTGATGCGCTCAAGAATTCGTCCAAGGTGTTGGATGTGATTCAAGCTTCCTGCCTGTTATCCATCTACTTCTTTGCCAATGGACGGCTTCTCGAGGGCACTTACCATGCCAGTGCCGCAGCCTCACTTACGGTGCAATGGGGGCTTCACAAACTCTCGCATCAGCAGCTGAACGTGGGCGGATGGGAGCCCCTTTGCCTGTTCCAGCTCGACCCGGCGAGGGACACAGTGGAGGAAGGTGAACGGATCCTCACCTTTTGGCAGGCGTTCGATCTCGATCGCTGCTGGTCCGTAGCACTGCAGCGACCTGTCGCCATCCATGATGAGAGAGACTCGTGCAATTCGGTTAACGTTCCCTGGCCACAGACCATGGAAGAGTATGCTTCGGTAAGTGGGTAATATAACCAGGTTATGAGAGTGGCTAAGCGTCTCTTTGTGGATGTAGGGTCAGCTGGATGATCGTCAAAGCATCCAGACTGTCAGAACGTTCCTTGAGGGACAAGGCCTAAACATGATTGGGGGTTTCACACTCCGTGCTCTGCGGGTAAAATCTTCGGCTTTGCTGCAGAGCGCGAACCAGTTATCTCTGAACTGGAACCTCAGTAAGACCCCACCGGCCTTTGCCACTTTTAGGTCTGATTTCGGGTCCAATCTAGGATTGTCTGACTCGCACGCGCTGGGCGACGAGTTTTTGGCCCTGGAGCATACCATTTCACGCTTTTTGACGACTTTGATTCCTGTGCATCAGCTAGATGGGACGATCCCTGACGAGAAGCACGCCCTTATTGTAATTCACACCATTGCGCACGCCGCGATGATCCATCTGCACTACCGATTCGCGCCAGAAGATCCCCTCTCGCATGAGAAGTGCTTGAGAGCCGCCAGTGCATGCGTGACCGTGATCAAGCATATCTCGGAGACCGACTTCGATTTCCTTGATCCTATCATCGGTGTAAGTCCCTCTATTTTGGGCTTGCGAGATGTATTCCGATAAGCCGTCTTCAGCCCTGCTGGATGGCTGCTGCCAACGCTCTCAACAGCGAGAAGACTCGCTTGGAGACGTCCTGGCCACTTCAGAGTAGTGCGGAAGTGCGAAACGAAATCGGTCTGATACAATACGCCATGTCGAATCTCGGAGCTAGATTCCCCTTACTTGGTACGTGACAGGACGGGAGTGCTTTATCACGCTAACTATGGATACAGGCTATCAGGCAGCTGAGGTGCAGAAGATGCTCTCCAGCATCTGAGTCGTCTCAGGATCTTGGGATCAGACTGGTTGGCTGAGCGGCGTCAAGAGTTTCGCCCACTCTCTTCCGGCAGACTTCGACTCTGGACATTTCACGTTTACAGACTTCACTTCAGACTTTACGGACTGCGCGCGGACTGAGATACTGGACTCTTTCGGACTTTGCGAAATGCGGACTCGGACTTCTCGTACGATCTTTCACGAAACGTTCATTACGCTTACCGTCCACGTTACACTAGTACATTTGGGACATTGACACTAACTTTGCGGATAGGAGGAATGGACTCTGTCTTTCCGCGGACTTTGCACTACTGTACGTGTACGGATAACGGACCTTGCACAATGCGGACTTGTAGCACTACTTAGCATAGTCATATAACTATTTTTATTAGTTAGCTATTGACAGTGTCGTCATCTCTTATAATCTAGCTATAGGATAGTTCAACCCGGTGTTTGCCTAGTCTTTTGAAGTCTGACTGCTGTTGCTGACACAAATATTAGAAAAAAGAGTACCTTGCCTGTCGGGCTCGGAACTGCCTCGGGCGGTACGGGGTGTCTGGATGCACTCTCTTCATCGACATGAGAGACAGCTGTGGCTCGAGGCGGGGCTATCATCTGGTGATGGGCCTTTGAGTAGAGGCAACCTGGACTATCAGTCAGCTGCACCTGCAGGCTGGAGGCGCAGATGTGCTCCTGCTGTAGGCTTGATACTGCGCCTCCTTATTATAATAAGACTTACTTATAATTAGTAGACGAGCAACTGTCTTACTGCTATTTGCGGAACATAAGGCGGTGTGCCACTCTCGAGGCGCGAGATGGCCTCCAGGCAAGAAAAATCCATAGCACCTGCGGCAGGGCTCGGATTGACTTAGGAATTTGTACATAGGGGTTTTCAATATAGAAAAGAAATGTGGTAGCAAAGGAATAGCGAAAATCGGCCCATGAGAGGTCCATAGAGTAAGGGTGCTGTGGAGGCATTGTAGGAACAGTAGCCGGTCCATTGAAGGGGGAGAAAGTGACATATCCCTTCAATACTTCATACACAGACTCAATGTATGTACAGAATGCTGAATTAAATCGGTGAAGCATGAATACTGCACACAGACTGTTTGACATGCCAGTTACTCCTCTTGAATAGTCATTTAGGTGCAGAGCTTCTCAAAATCCATAAGGATCTCGAAATTTCATATCGGGTGACCAAACATCTATTCATATATGTCTACGCACGAGGCAGTATTCATAAAGCAGTCCTGGGACCGAGAGAGCGATTGAGAGACTCGAGAACTGTCCCCGAGCTCTGCCCGAGACGCGCCGGCGCGCTCGTGGGAACTCATTTATCGCGTGACGTCACGGTATCTGGACACGTCGTGCCTCCTTCGGGCATAACTCGGGCACCGTTGACCAGCCTGCAGAACTTGTACGAGCTTGCTTTGAGGGAACATTAATTTATTTTGTAGTTTAATATGATTCTGAAAGACATCTTAGAGTATTTGGTAAACTTACGAGGCCCCTACGAATATTGAGAAGTTCTGCACCTAAATGACTATTCAAGAGGAGTAACTGGCATGTCAAACAGTCTGTGTGCAGTATTCATGCTTCGCCGATTTAATTCAGCATTCTGTACATACATTGAGTCTGTGTATGAAGTATTGAAGGGATATGTCACTTTCTCCCCCTTCAATGGACCGGCTACTGTTCCTACAATGCCTCCACAGCACCCTTACTCTATGGACCTCTCATGGGCCGATTTTCGCTATTCCTTTGCTACCACATTTCTTTTCTATATTGAAAACCCCTATGTACAAATTCCTAAGTCAATCCGAGCCCTGCCGCAGGTGCTATGGATTTTTCTTGCCTGGAGGCCATCTCGCGCCTCGAAAGTGGCGCACCGCCTTATGTTCCGCAAATAGCAGATATGTGCGACATAATTCCCTTACGCGGATGCTCTCTCTCTCGCGACTCTCGACAGTTCTGGCACGTCGTGCACCCTCAATGCAATCCCGGTATACGGAATAGTCAGGGCATACGTGACTTGAGCTTGCACTACCTCTTTAAACCTCTTGCCGTAGTGAGGTTGCTGGGCTTGAACACTAGTCTCCATCCTTGTCAATACCCGAACGACCAGCACGTGTCAGCCTTGTAGTATGGCGTCCTTGTTGACTGAGGATCAGCACGCCGAGGACTTAGAAACGTCGGGGAACGCTGCCATCGGAGAGCATTCTCTGTCAATACCACCTGGAATCTCAACTCGGGATGACACTGAATCCAGCTTCGCCGCTCGACCTCCTCAGATCAGGCAGAACACCGATGGGCATTTAACGGTGTTACCTTCTGCTGGCCGGAGTTACGGTTTGACTAGCAGTCGTTCATCTATCAGGAGCGGTTATCGGTCTCCGAGACAAAGGTCAGCTACCACCACTGGCGTTCATAATACACCCAAGTCAGCACGTCTCGGCTTGCAAGACCACACAGCGGCCAAGTCGGAGTGGTCGTTGTTCGGGTCCGTCATGGAAAACGAAGGCAGTTTAAGTTACTATGGTACCCCTCGATCCTCTGCCAGGTCGTTCAAAACGTTACCGGCCTTCGAGTCTCCGGGCTACATAACAGCGTCCGCTGAACCTTTGACGGAAAGTACTGTTCAGTCGCCTATGTCCGACCACAACATGCCCGATCCCTTTGAGCAGCAACAGTCCAATGTCCATGCCAATGGCTCGTTGGAGTCTTCTGTTCAATACGATTCCGCTCAAGAGACCTCTTCGAGCGCATCACTCGATTCATCATTGACCAAGGGAACGTATCTTTCACACATTCCGGCCCTTTCGCCATTACAGCGGAATATACTCAAGTGTGCTATTGCGTACTTCCTTGGATCCCTCTTCACATTTTCGCCCTATCTTTCTGGATTCATCTCGGATGTCACGTCTGCCGGACAAGGACGGCCAGCGCCTTCAGGGCATATGGTTGCTACAGTGTGAGCTACAAGTTCAGCTGTGATGGGGACGGTGGACCTTACAGTATCCCTGTCTAAAGTGCAGTGTACTTCAATCCGGCCAAAACGGTCGGCGCGATGCTGGAAGCTGACACCTTCTTCTTAATGGGCCTCCTGTATGCCTCTTTCGTCTGCCTGAGCAGCATGTCGATGTTCTGGTGGCTAGAAGTCCGCCCAGGATGGGAATGGCTAGCCGACGTTCTTGTAATATTATGGATTGGAGCTAGCATGAGTGCCGTAGCCTGGATGAAAGTGCGAATGGCAAAGCCATCGTTCAATCCCGGTGCGTCTAGCTACTCCTCGAGAGTGGTTATACATGATTAAAGACTATCAAACAGCTTGCAGCATGATTGCGATAATACTCTTCGTTGTGTAAGAGTTGATTATAGGGCAGCCTACACCTTGCGCTCACCCTCATTTATAGTATCGTGAAAGAAGGTGGTCTGCAAACCCTCCTCCAGGTCGCATTCATAGTCACAGTTGGCGCATGCATCTCGAATATCGTCTGCTACTCGTTGTGGCCACAGAGCGCCATGTCGAATCTTCAGGCTAACATGGTCAAAACACTCGATTCTTTCACGACACTTCTTGAAATGATGACCAGTACATTTCTTTTTGAGGACGCCAATCAGCCTAGCAGGGATAAGCTACAGAAAGCGGTAGATAGTCACCAAGCGAGTTTCACTAGTCTCAAGAAGAATTTGGAAGAAGCGCGGTCGGAGTGGTTATTTGGAGGCCCGTCAAAGCGCCCAGGCAATAGCAGAAAGAGCTCAGGGAAAGCATATCAAGATGCCGTGGACAGTCTCAACAGGCTGGCGCAGCACCTGAACGGCTTGAGGAGCGGCGTTGGGCTCCAGTATGAACTGGCGAAAGCTCACCATGACGGCAAGGTGGTACTGAAGAGTCTTTCCATAAGTCGTAAACAGAAGGCAGATGGTCTCACACCGGACAGCGGGAAGGGGAAGACGGTGGAGGTAGATGTTTTGCCCTCCAAGGACGCGGACGAAGATGAAGTCTTGAAGGCCGCTGCTGAGATGTTCGGTGATCTCGTCGACGATTTGGGACCTCCTCTGAAAGCCCTCACTGTGCGTTTGGAGTTCTCTTGCTACCTGCTGCTACACCCAAGCTGATCCCGCTGAAGGACACATGTACCACTTGCCTTAGACGACTGAAGGAAGCCTTCGTGCAGCGACAGCGCTTCAACCACAAGGAGCCCATCAAACCGAGCGAGTTCAGCGACCTGACTGAAGAGTTGGAGCGAGCACTATTCACCTTCGAGAGTACTTCCAACCACGCTGTCATGCGGCTCTACCGGCGGGGTGAATCCACGTACCAGCATTCCAGATCCTCTGTCAATCTTCTAGAAGAAAACACGATGTTGACGGGTACGGAGCATGAGAACGTATTTCTTGTATACTTGTAAGCACTCCAGCAGTTCGACCACAGCGGTCCTGCTCACCAGTTTTAGCTTCATCTTTACTTTGCAGGAATTCGCGCGGGAATTAGTGTCTCTTGTAGATGCCATGTCCCGAATATACAGCATTGACAAGGCCAGGCTTGCTCGGGGTAGATGGAAGGCTCTGTCAGGCACAGTCGCCATCCTTGGGAGAGTGAAGGGTAAAGCCCCCGCTGAAAAGCGTGGAGGGGGAAGCTTGAAGCACCGCATATGTATGTCTCACGTCAGTGTTACCCACGTTTGGTGGACTTATAGTTCGATACGTAGCGACATACATCGTGCCCGAACGCAAGCATACCATTCCCTCGTTCCCGAAAGTACGCCCGCACGCGCCGAATACCATCCAGACGCCGGCATTGTCGGAGCTCACGACCATGGGCAAAATCAAGCACAAGTTGTGGGAGTGGGGATCACGTATGCGAGAGCGCGACGTAAAATACGCAATTAAAGCCGGGATGGCCACTGCTATGTTGGCTGCGCCCGCCTTCTTTGACGCTACGAGACCTACGTTCATGGAATATCGGGGTGAATGGGCGTTGATATCGGTATGTAATGCCCACCATTCCTCCTCTGGTTTGCTGACCGGCATCCTAGTTCTTCGTAGTCATCTCCCCGACCATTGGCGCGGTGAGTGCAGCCGTATCTAAACTGTCCGATCCGTTCATTTATATGCCCAGACAAACTTCCTGGCTGTGCACCGTATTCTTGGAACACTGTATGCAGGAATTCCCGTTATATTTGATATCATGACTTACGTGGCTGGTGCAGATTCGGGGCGGCTGTGGCAGCCGGCATCTATTCTCTATTTCCCGAGAATCCCGTCGTCTTATCAATTTTCGGTTTCTTCTATGCTATTCCTTGTTTCTACATTATAGTCGCTAAGCCACAATATGCCACAACCGGTCGTTTCGTACTGCTGACGTACAATCTGACGTGTCTATATTGGTGTGTAACATCGTATTCATGTGGAAGACGACACTAATACTCCCTTAGCTATAACATTCGCCAGAGAGATGTGCCCGTGCTATATATTGCGATGCACCGTTCAGTCGCTGTCATTATCGGTGTGATTTGGGCTTTCCTTGTATCAAGATTCTGGTGGCCTGCGGAAGCTCGTAGAGAGCTTAGTAAGGCGCTCGGCGAGTTGAGTTGTTTTCGACGCTACTGTTTGATATGCTCCCCGTCTAACTACTATTCAGCTTCTGTTTGAACCTAGGATGGCTGTATACGCGCCTGGTCGCTTCGAATTCGTATGCACCAGATACGCAAGACGATGACCAGGGGGAGAGTACACCTAACGAGGAAACAGCCCTTCTGTCTAGCCAGGCACGGATACACTTAAGCAATTCCATCAGAGAGTTCATGGCTATGTGAGTGCTGAGGATTCGCTTCCGTTTGTTCCTGACCGCCTTCTCCAGGGAGCTACACCTCCAGATCAAGCTCATCGAGATGCAAGGTCTACTCAACCAGTCTCAACACGAACCCCGGCTAAAGGGGCCATTTCCCGTCAAATTATATCGTAACATCTTGACGAGCTTGCAGACCATCATGGACAAACTTCACAGCATGAGATGCGTAACTACCCGAGAAGAATGGTATGTTCCTACTACTATTTCAGCCAGGACGCGTTGCTCACCATTTCAACACCCGTTAGGTTCACTGTAAGGATGCATCTTTGCGGAACGTGAAGACCGCTGATGTCCTTTGTCAGACTGTTCGACGTGACTTCATCATTCCTGTCAATAGAGAACGGCGAGAGATGGTCGGGAACATCATCCTGTACTTCTCAACGCTCTCTTCCGCGTTCAGGCTCAAGGCCCCCCTACCTCCTTATCTACCGCCCGCAGAAGAGTCGCGACAGCACTTGGTGAGTGGTGGAATCATGGTTTTCTGCCAGATTACTAATATATTTGCAGGTCAACGCTATCCGCACGCTTGACGTCGTCAAGAACCGAGACGTCAAAGGATCCAGACAACTCCTGTTCTTTGCGTATGCGCTTACAATGAAAGGTGTGACGAAAGAGCTGGACTATCTCGGAAGAACGTTGCAGGATGCATTCGGTGTCATTGGACAGACAACGGAGGAGTTCGAAGCAATGTTTAGGGATACTATTGCTCACGCTGTATGAACATTGATCTAATACTGGTACGATATATTTGATGTCCCGAGTCCACATCGCGGCCCGGAGCACGATGCATGATATTAACAAGCGTACGACAGACGTGATGATGATCAGACTGATCAGTGGTGGTCACCCCTGCAATCTTGGATATATCGTGCTCGAATTTGATGTCCGGGGTTGTCCTTTGCCATGGGTGATAATGATGCGCTCTTCGTCTACAAGGGAGGTGTTTCGGTCTGCCTACGGGAGACTGGGGATGACCCTGCGGCAGCATCGCGAGGCGGAGAAGCATCACGTCCCTCCCTCCCAGTCTAGCCCGAGAACTCCATCCTGACCACCTCTTACAGCGCTCTCGACGGCCTCCGCCAGCGCCCTCAACGCATCACGCTCCTCATCGGTCTTGACAAGCGGTTCAGAAGAGCGCCCATGCGTATGTCTTGATGCAGACAGCCCGAGGTCATCGGCAGCCCCAACCCCTAGGGCCTCCTGCAAAGCATCTTCTCTTTCTTGTCCTCGTAGTGCATCAATTTGACGCAGAAGGACTGGAAGGGATGGATGAGCCGTCAGGGCCTTCCGGACTGCCGGAGACGTGGCTGATTCACGCAGCCCGAGTAAGTACAGGAGGTACAAAAAATTATGAAATACTACCTATAGCTTCATACTGATGCATCCGAAGAGGCTTGGGATCATTTCTTTTCAGCGGATCCTCATATGATGGTTCTTCAGGGATATATGGCCACTTTAGAGACGTCAGGGGACGCAGCGGAGAGGGAACTTTGGCATCAAATGTGCCCTTATGTCCTGAACGGGTGCAACGTCAGACCTCTGCATAATAGTTGTTCAGATTATCTCCGCTTGCTCACCTATTCCCCCGCTTGTGCGGGATTGCGAGATTCCAGGGTCAACTGTGGCTGCAGAAGACCCCTGAGTAGTAGCAGAAGACCCCTGAGTAGTAGCAGCAGAGCATGCGCGATCTATTAACAATAGCAGGATCGCTAATGTGCTTTCAAAGTGAGGGACGGTCCTGAGTCTTACCTTTGTGTGCTTTATAGCAGTTCACACTGCAGCTAGGGTCTCAATTGCTGATTGGTAAGAAGCTGCGACAAACCTAAAATCAAACGCACTATACGATCATACACTTCGAGCAGGTGTATTTGCTCTCATTTTGGCTGCATACTTGACACGTTGCTCTTGCCCGGGGCATGACTGATCTTCACAGTTCTTAGTCAAGACTCTGCAGCTCAGTACAAGCAATAAAGTATTTGGCTTCCCGGATCCGGTACGTGTCCGTCCAGACACTCCAACTTCACGTTCAAATCATGGTCGTACGACGTGACCCGTGACGGGGAGTTCGAAAAAGAATCGGACTCGAACTGAGATCGAGATCTTACAAACGTCGTGATATGCCTCTAGCTCTTATACTGCGTCAAGAGTCGAGATCTGGCTGGCGGAAGTGCATCAATGTGACCTACTTTGATTCATTCACGAATATCGCACAGTACTTGTAGTTGGGAAATACGGCATACAGGAGCGCTCTAAGAGTAATAGTTACAACAATTGCGGATACATGTAATACATGACATGCGAGGTTGAAGCGCAGGCTAAGAAATTTATTGGAGACGGCGAATACCCAGAACCCTATCCAGGACCAAGCAAACTCATTACCACTCCAGTTCCTTACTACCCCCGCACAACCCACTTTCCAGACCGCGACATAATTCATCCTCTGGCGAGTTTCTCGATCCAGCAGCCGCAGGGCTGATCTCCTTACCGGCAGCCTTCTCAGCCTCGTAGTGCTGAAGCAATTTCTCCCTCACGAGGTTCTGGTAGTACAGGACGCCGTTCTCCTTCTCGGGATGTAGCACGCCGCTGCTGTAGACGCCTGCTCTGAGATTGCGCTGGGTAGCGACGCACAGATTGAAGTCCTCTATCTCAACTACACACGGCGTTGTCAACGGAAATTTCATACAACATTCAGTCCGTCACTGATACGTACCTTGCTTAAGAAAATCGATGAACTCCACGATTTCGGTCTCTTGGACGCCCTTCTTCGCGAATATGTCATACTCTAGGATGGTCTTCGTTGCAGACACAGGGATAACTCGGATGGAATACCATGCCGGAGAATAACAATTGATACCATTGTTGGGGAACAGATACACCCACAGCCCATTGAATTCGCCAGCCATGTTCTTCTGCTTCTCCGCTTCCTGCTCTTCGGCAGGTCGCTCGGAGAAGATGAAGGAGCCCAACCACTCAGTTAACGAGCTGCTGCGGGCACGTTGAGGCTGCTTCGGTCCCTCCCCACTCGAGGGTTTCAGATTTGCGAAGTGGCGACAATAGTTCGCTCTCGGTGCGACCCGATAGGTCGGGATTGCGAACGCCTTAGAAAGCCCAGGATGTGCTTGAAGGCGCAACCGGTCAGTGATACCCAGGAGGGGAACGTCGCACGATGGCTGCTCTCACCTGTGGGGCAGTGGTAACATTCCTGGTAGCCATCCATCAAGGCTTTCCAGTTGAAGTCGCCGCGCAATTCGAAGGACTCCCGGTAGTCGTAGTTCGAGAAATCGAATTCCTTCAGCTCGTCCTCGAGGCCTTGGAAAACCTCGCTGAACGCCGGAGGACTGGGAGAAGCGGTGAAGTTTACAAAGACATGTCCGGACTCGGTGACATGGGTGTGGATGGGGAAGAGGGAGTTTGCAGACTTGTCGAACCCGGGAACTTTGTCGAACTGAGGAGCTTTACGCAGAGTCCCGCGCGTGTCATAACACCAGCCGTGGTACCCGCAGGAGAGGACGCCGGCCATACCCACGTTACCCTCCTTTTTCTTCGCGACGGGATAGGCACGATGACGGCAAGCGTTATGGAAGGCGCGCAGCACGGGCGTAGAAAGCTCCTGCCCAGCAGGTGCCTTCTCACGTACGATGAAGAACGGGTAGCCCGCAATCTCGTACGTGAAGTACGTCCCCTCCTGATCGAAGCGGGAGGCATGCGTGACATACAGCCACGACTGCAGGGGATCTGAGCATCACAGGCAACCTGATGACGGTGTTCACGCTGACCTGGGAGAAGATAGCTCTCCGCTCCAACTCATAGAGTCGTTCCGATGACCACCAAGAGCTGGGGAGGGTGTAGGTAGTGGACCGTTGCTCGACGGGAGGAGCATCCTTGGGGCCCGAAGGGACGTCAGCGGGTGCGAGCGGACTAGCAAGCATAGCAAATCTCTCTAGGTAAGCGTGAAGATACAAGACTTAGGGCCGCATACCACAGGCATATATAGCACTGTGTGAGGAGCAGCTTTGCTTCGAATAGGGGCCAGGATTCCGAATTCCGCGTACGCGAACGAAGCTAACCTTATCACTAACGAGTGAGGACGCCTCGCACACGATTCCATTCTCCCGAACACGATTGAGTAGGACTGAATGGTCAGCCAATGATACCGAGGAAGCCTTCCCAAGAAGGGTCAGGGAGGAACATCACGGGGCGAGGATGATAGTAAACATGATAAGGTGATAGGTAACACAGCGCTCTCCTAGATGCATGAGGAGCTGGCGCCAGTAGACAGCAGCTATGATGTAGTACAAAGACCGTCAGAAGACCGAGACCATGACCTCTTCCCCACCGTTCAATATAGCATATACCTTGCCACAGTCGCAGGTTGTTGCACAGGCTGAGACAAGAACCTTCTGATCAAAGTGAGTGTGTTCGGAGTTATCGCCCCAGCGATGTCCTAAGGTACAACTGGGAGCATATCGATAGCAGGCGAGCCTCCGTTTATCTTCCGCTGCTTCCTCTTGTCGTATCTCGAGATAAAGGCCTTGATACCGAGGCAATCTTTAGCCTGCGCCCCGAGTGCACTTGACGCTTTTCAAAGGGTTCGCCTGAAAGGAGATCGCCTGACACCTGAAGACACGATGTAGGAAACGGATGAGAGTCCCGTGGAGGCATCTGCGCCATCCATGACAGGAATTGGCGGCCTGGGCACGCGGGACGCCTAAAGAGGTAAACCAAGCCTGACGCGGGAAAATACGTAAATAGATGCCTGCCCACTGACGAGGAGGACGAGGAGCGACCGCAACCTCACGGACTGGCTGCAGCTTGTTATGCCTGACTTGTGGATCCTACATCGAGTACTTGTTCGCATTGCGGGATGGGCGGTCGTTTCGTTTTTCAGTCAGATCCGCGTCATAGGAGGAGAGAATGTCCCCGAGCATGGGCCACTCATCATGTAGGTCTCGTTATAGTTCCGTACGCTGGGGATTCAACGGACTAATGCAAGTCGTGTGGAAAAAGTGCTGCTACACATCATAACATGATGTTGGACCCAGCTATCCTATGTGTGTGTCTGTCTGTGGACGTGTGATGCACTAACGCCCAACGCGACTGAAACCAGCCTCTGCATTCCCTAACTCGCGTGTTCTGCACTATTGGAGTAAAGGTATGACATATCCTGTCTCATCCGTTCCTCTTGAAGGGTTTTCTAACTCTTGGAACCCACCAAGCAAGTCTCTTTGCCAACCCGTTTGCAAAATGGGTGTTGGAGAGCACAGGCAACATCCCGGTAGAGCGCAAGTCCAAGGACCGCCAAGTTCTATTTCGTGGTACCTTTGAAGCTCTTTCTAAAGGATATGCGGTTGCATTATTCCCCGAGGGCACTAGTTACACAGAGCCGCGAATCATGCAAGTGAAAGATGGCGCAGCATGGGCTGCTTTGGAGTACACAAAATGGGCCTCGGAGAACCCGGATAAGGCAGCAAAGGACCCTGTTGTCATAGTCCCTACTGCCATTGTGTATACGAACAAGAGCAAATACCGGAGCGACGTGCGTGTCACTTTTGTCCGCATCTACTCGAATGCTATCTGATGAACACGGTTAGGTTATCATGGAGTGAGTCTCACTGCGACGAGGAGGGTCGTCTGGAATGATTGACATTTACCGGAATCAGATTTGGTCGTCCTATTACTATGGATCCTTACCGTGAACAGTTCATGAAGGGGGAAGAGAGCGAGCGCCGAGCTGCTGTCAAGCGCCTGACCCGGGATTTGGAAGCTGGATTGATCCAAGCGACCATAAACGCGCCGGACTGGTACGTATACTGCAAAGCGATCTGGGACTCATCCTCATCATGCCCTCAGGGATACTCTATATGCCGCACGGATGGCTCGTGACTTACTCTGGGAAGATGACGAGGGCATAAATCTTGATGATTTTGTGACAGTCTCTCAGACGTAAGGGGCTCGAGAATTCATTCACGTTGTCGTACTGAGTCTATCTTTTCTTGGTTCCAGCTTGGTGGATCTTTTCTGTACCCCGGATGTGACGCCGAACTTCCACTCTGTCAAGCGTCACCTTCTTGAATATTATTCGCTCCTACAGACGACTAACCTGACGAATACTACGCTCTCTGCTCTCCCGCTCCCGTCTACACTCGATCCGCATAACGCTACCGTAGCCTTACCCTCACGACTACTGACCCTCATGGCATTAATATTCTCCACGCTTTCGATCCTTGTTCGCCTGCCCTTCTTCCTGGTACCATTCATTCTGCATGCCCCGGTTTACTTCATGGGCAGGCTTGGCGCTAGGTTGGTCGAAGAAGAAGAGGAGACGCAGGCACAGAATAAGGTGGTATTCGGATTCTTGTTTGTCCTCATGATATATCCGGCTACTTTCTTCTTCCTCTGGGCTTTTCTCTGGTATACACCAATCGGAGCCTTGGTATCCGCAACGGTCGTGTTTTTGTTCGCACAGTATCACAACAAACTCGTTAATGGTGCGGGTCGATTCCTTCGCTACTGCTGACCCACGCTCATCGTCATCGTTTCCTCAGACAACTATGAGCAGTGGGTATCTCTATCCGTTGAAGCTGTCTTGTTTGCCTGATGACCATCGCAGCGCGAAGCGTGTGGTCGCCGCGTGGCGTGTTCTGGTCGGGGTATGGATGCCGAAACGCTGGGACCTGTCCTTGGCAGCACTATCGCAATATACGACGCCGCGCATTCCTCCAGCGAATCCCTGGATAGAAAGGCCGAAGCCAAGCGACTCGACCCCTAACTCTCCCCCTCCTCAGGAGGCACAGGCTAGAGGGCTTTCAGGCGTGGCGGCAGAGCCCCCCGTGAAGTCACGCCGCCGTCGACCGCCTACACGCCGACTCATCCGGCACGTCCTGCGCGCTCGAGTACAAGCTGCAAGGGCGCTTGCTTCGTTCTTCGATCAGTTGGACAAAGGCGCTGGTGCAGAGGGGAAGTGGGTTCGGGCTTCGCCTCACTTGGCTCGAGCGTATGGTGGGCGCCTCGATGTGGATGAGGGTGGGAACGCTACGGATGGAGGCGTGTCGTCCTACAGAGGTCCGACGGGTTGGAGATCTGCTAGGGAGGTTGTGACGTTCCTGAGGAGGAAGGGGGCGAAGATCGCAAGCCTGGAGAGGAAGGTGGAGGGAGAATGGGCGGCGCTCAGTCCTGGTGATCTTAGCCCCACCGAGGAGAGCGATGCACCACGCGAGGAGTTGACATGGATCCCAGCAGGAAGTTCCGGCGAATGACTCCGGCTAGGCTGATTGAGCATTATGAGCAGGTCGTCTCGGGTTGTTTTCAGATATATACATAGTATGATATACGGATAGTTGGATTCACTCTTCTAATAATGCTCGCTAATTTCGGTCATTTCGATCTTTTTTACTGATTCAGATGTGTGGATCCTCGATCGTGTTTCATAACCATCTAACGGTCAATCCTCCTGTCCCGCTGCTTTGGCCATACCCAGACCACTTCCGGTATATACAGATTGCTTTGTATGATTGCAAGAGAGTGTCATATAGTCTTGGAAAGGGATGAGAACAGCGACGCCGTGAATACAAAGGCTGCTCAGGGCGTCAGGGTGCCGGACTTCCGGCAAGTGCCTCTTATGGCAGGAATCCGAAGCTGTACCGTCCGTGCCACTTTGAACCTTGGCTATACGACTGGCCTTGCTTTGTTCGCGCATTACCCTCTATCCTCCTCCCATCTTGTCTCTTGTATTTGAGTGTCGCTCTCTACCGGACGCTCTGACACTATTTCTTTGTGCTGAAGCCCTTATCGAAGGAGCTAGACGCGCCTGCTATTTTCAAGGGACCCGCGGTTTCGAATTCAGGTAGGGGATACAGTGCGTGGTGATGATACCCAAAACGCGACGAACTGATTCGTCGTCTTGCATGCCCACTTTCAGTGCAATATCCTGTATTCCCTCGCCGACCGAATGGACCCTCCCCCTGTACCCTCTGACGATGCCATGGTCACGGACGACTCAATCGAATACACGCAGGAGGCTACCCAGTCCACGCAACAGGCGTCCCAGTCTCAGCCAGTCGTTCAAAATGAGGCACACCTCTGGGGCTTCTTGCAACCATGTAGTTCGGAATTGACGCGGATTGACCTATGGAAATCGATTCCGATATATCAATTCGGGCGGAATGAGAATAAAACTGCTGGCAATAATATTGTTTTTCCCGGGCTGAAGATCAGTAAGTGCTTGATTCCGTTTCGCGATGCGATAAGCAGTGGATTACGCGTCCATGACGCGTCGGAACGCGTCGATCCTCTCTCGATGCTTATCTTCGGCTTTGCGCAGGCAATATTCACTGTACAATTGAATGGGACGGAAGGGAAGATATAAACAGCACTATTACTGTGCACGACAAATCTAGCAATGGAACATTCGTGCGTTTCCCTCAGTTGTTCTATCCGTTGACGATGACTCATTCCCTCCGACAGATTAACGGTGCACGGATTGGCAAGGGTCAATACGGCATTCTGCGCGAAGGAAATGAGATTGCTTTCGGAACGCCGCATCCTCAAGAGAATGCTATGGAGGACTATCGTCTGTCGCGCCTTGTCTGCTCGTCTGGATACCTTCTAATGGCTGCCTGGCTTCCAGGTTTCTTATTCCGTCTTACAGCCGGTGGACCCCCAGTGACTGGATTCTACAAAGAATACGATGTCGGCCAGCAACTGGGTAAGGGCACGTTCGCTTCTGTATACAAAGCCATCCACAAAGAGACTGGTCAATGGTACGCCGTGAAGATCATCGACCTCAGCAAAGTGAGAAAGCCTACCGAAGCCGATGCGAATGGCAAACCCAAGAGCAAGACCTCCACCTTCGGTCGCGAGATCATGATTCTCGAGTCGCTGCAGCATCCAAACATATGTCAGCTAAAAGAAGCCTTTTTCCAGACCGAGATCAAAACTATCAGTGAGAACATAGGCGCTCCAGCGGCCGTACACTGAACTCATTCTCAGAAACCGTAGATCTCGTCTTGGAGCTGGTGGAAGGCGGCGACCTTCTCGACTATATCCTAAAGCGAGGCGGCGTGGGTAAGTGGTCTCCGCCCAACTCTGTGAGACGCTTGGATTAATGTCAAACTTAGTTGAAGCGGAGGCACAGCATCTCGCGTACCAAATATGTGACGCCTTGGCCGTGAGTCAATATTATCACTATCGTTCTAGGTCCTCAACTTGAGACACAACTGTAGTACATACATAGTAGGGGCATCGCCCATCGAGATCTAAAACCCGAGGTTCGTTCTATGCAGCCCGGCTTGCCACATTGGTGCTCACAGACTATATGTTAGAATGTCCTCCTGACGAAGGATTCCCCGCCCGTCGTGAAAGTCGCAGATTTTGGTCTCGCTAAGGCTGTTGATAGCCTGACTATGCTTAGGGTCAGTCGGCATGTCTCACGTATGCCACATGGTTGACATAAGACATGGACCTGTAGACTATGTGTGGCACACCCAGTTATCTCGCACCGGAAGTTGTCACACAAACATCTAGCAAGGAAGGATATGATCAGATCGTCGACAGCTGGAGCGTCGGGGTGATAGTCTTCTCGATGTACGCATTGGCCATACTCTTGTGCTTCTGTGATTAACTTTTTCATTCGCCAGGCTTACCAACACTAGCCCATTCTTAGAGAACTCCAAGCTTGAGCTTATGCCCAGGATAGTTCAAAGAAGTATCGATTGGTACACGCTCGAGAACTGCGGGGCGTCACCATACGGTTTGTTCCCTTCGCTTTTCGGTTCGAGTCAATCGTCTAAGTATACCGTTGCTGTCCCAGCCGTTCAGTTCGTCCGTCGACTTCTGGAGACTGATCCCAGCCGGCGAATGACGCTGGACCAAGCTCGTTTTGACCCATGGCTGCAACAGTACACTAAAGCCTACGGCATACAACCGAAAATCTATCCGAAGGTATGTGTTGCAGCCGAGCAGCGCCAAGCGGAGTCTGCAAATGCTGTGCCCGAGGGAGAAAACCGCCCTCCACAGGCTAGTGGACAGAGCCCGAAACTCGAACCGGAGGCTTCCGAACAGATCGCTGTTCCTGGTGCGTTTCCTTCAGGCAGAGGTATCAAAAGTGAAGACTCGCGGTTGCTTCGGCGTCGAAGTCACGTCATAGCATCCCTCGCAGAAAACGGTGAAGACCTGCCCCAGCCATCGCAGGAAATGATCTCGAATGTTATTGGAGAGACCTCCGACTCTGCAAGGAACCATACTGGCAACAAAAGGAAGGCACTGAGCCCTCTGTCGGAGGAGGAGAACGACGTTCAGAGGTCGAATGCCATAACTGACGCGAACACACCTGCCCGTGCCAGTGCAAGGCCACGAACTAAGCCGAAGTCCAACTCTGCCGCCAACCCTGTTTTATCTGCACCAGGCCGTATGACCCGTGCCACTGCTGCGCAGGTGAATTACGCGGAGGAGGACGACGACGACGATGAGAGGCCTAGGAGATCTGTTCGCCCCAAGGTAGCTCGCAGGGCGTGAACGCTGTACCTTTGGGTTTGACATCTAGCCTGTCTTGTATCAAAGCCGGAACCTACCTCGGCCAGTTTGCTTGTTTCCACGCTTATTTCCTCTCGTTCTTGCTTTAGCTGTACCTGTATGTTCTAGTCGCTATCTTGTTGCTCCTGTCCCCGTAATGTGGTGTTGCTATCCTGGACATCTTCCGTTCCGACTCTGTATATCATCAATATCATCCTTTCCCACAATGTAGACGCCTGATCTTGGATTATTCTCTGTGCGCTTGTTTTGATATGACCGCCGTGTCGAACTTGTGGCATCTCTTTGGCAAAAGTTTGGTAACTCTGGATGGAGGCCTGGTACATGCTGTCTCCTTATTTCGCTGCCCAACGCTAAAGTGTGATTGCTTGGATTGCAGGGTACTACATTGGAGGATGTATTCCACAAGGATATATCCCATACTCCTCTCTGGTCTGCCAAACCTATTGATGGGGACCCAGAAGCCATCATCGCGGTACACCTCGCATTTCTTCGAGCGGGAGCCCGGGTTATATTAACTTCGACGTACGCCATTCCGTTACGACGAGGAGCAGTTGCTTCCAATACACTGAATTCTAGGTATCAGTGCGCACATGAGACCTTCCATCGCGCAGGATACACAAGGGAAGACGCTCGAAGAATAATGACGAAGGCCGTTATGCTAGCTGTGGAAGCCAGAAAGCGGTTCTTACAAGAGGAGAACACCGATACCCATCCCTCTATCAAGATTGCAATCGCTCTATCCCTTGGGCCATTTGGGGCTACCCTAAGTCCGGCTCAGGAATTCGACGGCTTCTATCCTCCTCCATATGGTCCTCGCGGATACGAGCCGGACGGCAACAACGTCAATACTTTCGCAGCCGCGGAAGAAGGTAAGGAGGACTCTGCAATCCATGCGCTCTGTCAATTCCATTTGGAACGGTTGCTGGTCTTCGCGTCAGACCTTGACGTATGGAGCAGCATTGACTGTCTTGCATTCGAGACGGTGCCCCTCATCCGTGAGGTGAAGGCTATCCGCAAGGCCGTTACGGCCTTGTATCAGGGTCACTCAGGTCCAGGAGCATCAAAAAAGCCATGGTGGATCAGTACAGTCTTCCCGGATGGCCGCTACCCTCAGGCAAAATTATTGGATGGACGACCAGTACGGGCAGCAGATGTGGTCGAAGCCGTGTTGGGTCCGGACAACGATGCGCTGCGTCCCGATGGATATGGCATCAATTGTACCGCTAGCACGTTCCTTGCAGGCTTAGTGTCCGAAGCAACAATCAAGGCGAAAGAGCTCGCCGATGCGAGAAAATTGTGGCTGGTGTTATATCCGAATGGAGGCGACACCTACGATCCAATAACGCAGAAGTGGATTGAAGGCAGAGACGGAAAGAAGTGGGAATGGGCAGAGGATCTATACAACACGATACAGATTGCCAGACGCAGTGGTTTTTGGGAGGGAATCGTGGCCGGTGGTTGCTGCAGAACGGGACCGGACGAAATTCAGGCGTTGGTTGGAAAGCTATCAATAGAATAGATTCCTTACATTGAAATGAAGAAAAGAGCTAAACATCCTCGTATTACTCACAGGCAGCGAAACGAGAGTTAAAACTTGGGCCCTGAACACTTAGGAGGCGGTCCTGCGAAGGAGGCCCGTGGGAGCAACAGGACTTGTCCCTGGGAAAGTGCGGACCTACTACCCGCTTCGGGCAGCAGCCAATTCTGTGATACACATCGACGAAGCCATCCTCAAGTCTGTGAACGTCGTACGAGTCGACGTGCAGCTCAAAAGCTACTCCGTGGTACGTCTATACTATCTCTACCGTCGTCTGTGCGAAAGAACGGGCGAAAACGGCCTTTTCTTTGGCATGGATTGGACTACGACTCATCGGATGTTGACCCTTGTGCGCTAGGTCCATCATGTCGTCAAAACTCCCTTCCGTCCTCAGTGCGACTGAGGAAGACATTCAGATGCTTATCGCGGCTCATTGCCACATTGGTACCAAGAACTGCGAGAAGCAGATGGAGGGCTACGTCTGGAAGCGGAGGCCTGATGGTTCGTAGGCTCACATACTTCATGCGTTGGGACTCTCGCGTATCCGCCTTGCGATCATAGGTATCCACGTCCTCAACATTGGCAAGACCTGGGAAAAGATTGTCTTTGCTGCCCGTATTATCGCTGCTGTTGAGAACCCCAATGACATTGTCGCCATCTCCGCCCGTCCCTACGGTCACCGTGCCGTCCTGAAGTTCGCCGCTAACACTGGTGCTCAGGCAATCGCTGGCCGCTTTACTCCTGGTTCTTTCACCAACTACATCACCCGCTCATTCAAGGAGCCCCGTCTCATCATCGTGACCGACCCCCGTGTTGACCACCAGGCTATCCGGGAAGCCTCATACGTCAACATCCCTGTCATTGCTTTCTGCGACACGGATGCCCCCTTGAAGTTCGTCGATGTTGCTATCCCCACGAACAACAAGGCTCGCCATTCGATTGGTTTGGTCTGGTGGCTGCTCGCCCGTGAGGTCCTCCGTCTCAGGGGCACGATTCCCCGCACTGCTGACGGCTGGAACGTCATGGTCGACATGTTCTTCTACCGTGACCCTGAGGAAGTTGAGAAGCAGCAGCAAGAGGAGGCCCAGAAAGCCCTCGCTGCGGCAGAGCCCGAGGCTGCTCCCGGTCTTTCCGAGTGGGATGTCACCTCTGCTCCTGCAGCGGGTGGTATCAACCCGGCTCTTGCCACGGAAGGTAATTTCCTTGCGACGATAGTATTTGATCCAGACTCTGATGTTTTATTGCAGGTGCTTTGGACTGGGCTGCCGATACCGCGCCTGGTGCATCCGACTGGGCTGCTGAGCCCACAACAGGTGGTGGAGGATGGGGTGCTGACGCACAGCAGTCGACGGGCTGGGACTAAGAACATGTTGCCATCATATTGTTTTCTGTGGTATGACTTATATGAGTATGCTAGGCTGTCTGCATTTACATGCTATGGGCCACATTGCCGTACAATACATTCAGGGTGTGCGTGCAATCGCAGACTGACATCTGGGAAGAGAATCCAAGTGAACCAGTATTTCTAAGGTATGCAATAAACATGTCAGTATGACAGTTCCAGTGCCATGCATAGGCTATGCACTCCGGGTTTGTCCCAGTCGACTAGAGAAAATGGATGCGAAGGGGTAGGCGATGTGTCTCGCCAATAGGTGTGGCCCTTGAAGTCTCTAGGGCGTCGTGGCTGATAGCAGTGGTCCGTCGGTCCCGCCAGCATCGTAATCGAAAGCTCCAGGGTGTAGAAGTAGGGAGAATGCCCTCACGGAAGAGTCTTCCAAAGTAGACTATAAACATGACCCCAGCTTCCTGCCTTCGGCTCGAGCGGATCGGATGACCTGCAGTATGGCAAGCAGTGTCTCGCTACCACTACTGTATTCACCATTCCCCATGGACACGATATGAGGGAATAGGCGATCTAGAAGTCGTGCATAAACCAGCGTATCGCCGGAGTTGGATAACTCACGCCCGCCGTGGGCCGCAAAGTCGATATGTTCCAGAGTATGCCACAACCGCGGTAAGCTGTCGATATCCGGGTTTTCTGACACAATGATGCACTCCACTTCGAGTTTTCTCAAGTTAGGGCAGTGCAGGGCGATGGATGCTAATTCTGGCATCGTGCAATCCTCGCAGGGGATTATGAGATTCTGCAGGCGCGGCCACGTCTGCGCTATCACGTCTACGCTCTCACCAAGGCTGGAGAGCGACATCTCTATCATGAGGGTGGATAGCCGTTGTGCCGCACCTAGTGAATTGGTTAAAGCATGGTCCCCTCCTTCACTGCTCCCCCATATTGGGAGGGCGAAGCGCACAGCAGTGAGCGTCCCACTCCATCGTGAGGCCAACTTGTCACAGATGGAGATGCACTCTTCTCGCCGCCAGCCTCCGGCATCTTCAGGATGAGGATCACATCCAACGTAGAAGACCTCCAAAGTGGATGTGGATAGGACGTCTAGGAATTTCAGGGCAATGACGGGGTCACCGTTGTAGATCAAAACTTCTTTCAACGCTGGGAAGCCTATCCAGCCGTCGAAGTCCCCCTCCTTGAATCCGCTTATGTCCAGCCTGATTTTGTTCAAGGAATCAAGAGTTGAAAGATCCTCAAACGTCTGGATCTCGATCGAGGGTCGGTACAAGGAACATTGCAAGTGTAGACTTTTCAGGTGACGAAGTTCAGGGATCTAAGCAAATGAAGGTCCTGGCACGCCCCGCAGTTCTACATGTATGCTTTCTAGAAGCGGCGCTGTTCGGACAAGAACACATATGAAGTCCTCCATGATAAGACATGTGTGTCGCTGGTCAGCGTAATGACGGCTCCCTCCTGGCGACCAATCTGACCAAGTGACAGGACGGTCACATGTCCATTCCCACCTTTTGATGAGGACCTGTCGAAGAGAAGGTGTCAAGAACGGTCGAAGATGATGACCCTCGAATGGTTGGCCCAAGTCCAGAGTGCACTCCAATGTTCTCAGAAATGGGAGTAATGGCTTCCGCCTGAGTTGGCTGAGATACATAGTCAGCGACAATCTAGGGCGCCGTGTGTCGTACTCATAGTCCTCTACTGTTACGCGGAAGTTCAATCGACGGACACGATGTGCGTAGAAGTCGAACCGCAACCATTCCTCTGGAGTAATATCATGATCAATCGCCTGAAAGTCCCCATGAGATGAACGTGGACGAATATACTAGGCAGAGTGGCTACGTACGTAAACTTCGTCGGGACGGCGATAATCTTCTCCATATACAGGGAGTAGATGTTGGAGTTGGAAAGAGTAATCCAACTCTTCCCAGAGGACATCCAGAGCTGGATCAGAAAGCGCTCTGCAGGATCGCGCTATTCCTGCAAGGTCCTTAGAGGGCTTGTATTCATCTGAGTCGTCTTGAAAGGTCTTCAGTACCCGGCATATCTCTAACACAACCTCGCGGACGGTTAGGCAGCGATGCATAATACCAGGAAAGAGCTGAGGTCGTCTTCAAATGAACGCGGAGTTCTGTCACGTCGGTACACGCTGAAGATGCTGAAGTTGTCACGGTCACTTCCCTCTTGTATTGCGCTTCTCGTTAGCAGTCCCGCAGTACCCAACTTGGGACGGTCGTAGCTCTCACAAACTAGTGTTGTCTATCGCCGAACTCTGCGTGCTGTATTTCATGCTCCATTGCCTTCACAACTCGCGTAAGTCGTCGACATGAACAAAAATCAGTATGAGCAAGAGAAGGAAATTCGGGAGTTGCTACGTCGGGCCGACCGACATGCAGACAGGACGGGAAATCTGGTATGTCACCTCGGACTGCGATGGGCGATGACTTCAAGAGCTCTGGAATTTCCAGCGGAGAGAAACCTTGCGACGACTTATAGAGCTGGCTCATTCTCCTTCACCGGCGCTGAAAAGCTTAGTTGCCTCGAACATCAAGTATTATATCAAGGACTTCCCGGATTTGGAGGATGATGCTATAAACGCTGTCTATGATCTATGCGAAGACCCCATATCAAAGGTACAGTTTCTGGAGGAAGGAATCGCGCTCGCCGAGCCAACGTTATTTGCAGATACGGATAGAGGGATACCACGCCATTGTTCAGGTGTCAAGAGAGCAGAGGAAATTTATTAAGAGGAACGCGGATGTGCTGGTGCAATTGCTTCAAAGTGGTAAGTCGTGGCCAATCTGTTGTGTATGGATATCTACGATCCTGAAGCATAATCAAGACGAACCCGCTGAGGTAGTCGTTGTGAAGAAGGCCCTGCTAGAGCATATTGACATGGACCCCCGTGTAACGCTGGGGGTCCTCTGCGATCAAGTAGTACCGCATGAAGAGCCTATGGACGAGGAAGAACAGGCAATACGGGAACGACTACGATCACTCGTCTTAGCCTTTCTCACGGGAGAAGCCAAGCGATCCATTATTGAGCGCCATGCAGCTGATCCGGAGTGCGAACGCGTCCTCGTCGAAGGCCTTTCACCGGTAAGTTATATTCCCTCGCGAACCTGTAGTGTCTGATGGTATGACCGTGGTGTAGGCGATTTCGAGGTTATCCTTCCCTGACGTTGACCTTATTGTCCGAAACATCCTCCTGGCTCTCCCCTCATACCGCTCATATTCATCCAGTGGCGACAAGCTTATCCAGTCTATCTTAGCAAGAGCACGGTCGATCCTCGCGCAGGAGCTACGGCCATCTGGAGGTCTCCTGTCCCTCCCGTCAACTCGGCAGTATCTTAATCTTGCGGCATTCGTTTCTCTTGAACGGCATGCGGCTCAGCCGCTCCACCTTGTGCGCTTTTATTGCACTACCCTCCTTAACCGGATGGCGTTATCAAGGCTGGAAAGTGGCGTTCAAACGGCTATTATCCACGACTTTGCTGAAGCTTTGGAAGCTTCCACTTCTGACAACGCCCGACCCAAGAACCCGGTGTCGGAGGAAATACTATCTGTGCGCAATCAAGCCGTGGATGCGTCTGTCATTCTATTTGAGGTGCGTGGTTCCTTATGCTCCCGCGAGCTGTATCCTGAGTCCCATGAAGAGGCTTGCAGAGTCAGGATTACGAGAGAAGACGTGGGACGACTGCCGGAAGCTTATCCGGGCTGTCTCTCAGGTAAAAATTCGCCCGTACGACGACTGCGCCGGACGTTTTAGTAACTTTAGTAACTTTCGTGCAGCGCAAGCAGGAAAACGATTGGTCGCCACCAATTCCCGTGGTCGCAGCAATGCGCAAGATTCAGGCTCTCGCACGGTCGGAAGACCATGCTCAGGACATTCAAGACCTTATAAGGGTTCGCAATGGGCCGTCTTTCATTCTCGCCACATTCATCCGACAGGTTTCTCTTCTCTCTTTGAGCAGTCCTTGTTATCTACACCCAAGCCGCCTCTCACGCAGTCGGCATCTGATACTAACATCGTAGAAGGTAAAACGAACAAGGTTAGCGGGCCTGTCATCCTCAAGCGCAAGATCGAGCACAGAGACGAAGGGGTTCCACCTCGACCAGCATCTGTAGTACCCTCAGTACCGAGCCAAAATGGAGGTCCCAGCAACCGTGCGACAGACGTAACACGCAAGACGGTCCCGACGGCGAGAGGCGATGCGCGTTCCAGTAACGCGAGCTGGGACATTCCCCCTCATGCAAATAAGAGGGCGAGGACGGACAGCGGGAGCAAAACGCCGTCTTTGTTGAGTCGCCTCAGCACTGCTCCATCGCATCCGGGCGCGGAACATGGACTCCCGCCAAAGCCTGAACTTCAGATTCGAGGAAGAGGGAGTCAAGTCCGACCGCGTTCACCCCAACCAGACAAGAGTCTCTCCGGGGGTCTCAGCATTAAGGGTGCGGCCCGGGCTGCAACTCGGAACAGCGGTGAGGGGCCGCCTCCGTCTCGGACGTCGCTGTTGGATAGGCTCTCTGCAGGTGGCAATGATTCATTAGCGGAGAGGATAGAAGGGGATGTGGGGAATAGGAAACAGAAGAGGGGGAGGGGGGTCTGATCGTTCCTGTCTGGGTTCCGAGTGTAACAGGTATCAGGATGTTCTTGAATACAGATGACAAGACTGCCGTCGGGTTATCGCAGCTTCATCCGATCATACACGAGCCTTAGCAGCTATATGATCATCATACGAGTTATCGCTGGTCAATACCCGCAGCATGAGGTATCCCTGATCGCACCAATGAAGCACCATCCTAGCTCGCATTATAATGTCATACACAACATGAGGCATTGTCATGAGCAAAATAGCATCATAGAAGTGAGAGGGAGTGTCAGAAGAGGAAACAAATATCAAGCAATAAGGCTTAATTAGGAGAGCATATACGCAATAAGAGATGAGCAAGCGAGGGCAGCGAAACGAGGCTACTGCACGACTGGGAGCATGACTCGGACTCAGAAACACATGGCGATAGACGCACGTCCCACTCTCACGTCCCAGGCTGATCGGGCTCTTTCCGATGCTTCCGATTGCCTTTGCTGCTCGAGCCCGCAGCGCTCGTGGAGGCACTGGAGGCATTCGTGTCTGCATTGGGGGCCCCGGTGACGTCCTCCTGCACGGGAACCTTCGGCGCGCGTTTGCGCTGCCCACGGCGAGACTCCGTCGGATAAATGCACTTGAGGTGGCGGCGAGCGCACTGGCTGCGAGCGGAGATCGAATGTCAGCAACCAATGCAATCAAACGAGACGGTGGGAGGAAAAAAGATTGTCAGATAAGAGAAGAGAATATAAGAAGGAGGAGGACGAGGCGAGGCGAGGCTCAAGTCCCCCGCCCGCCAATTCCTCGCGTAGACACGAGGCGAGCGGCATCTAGACACTCACTTGCATGTCTTGTCCTTGCTCCCAGGCGACGGGGGCCCACACGCGATCTTCCTCCCGCGGCAGAATAGGCAAGCCAGCACCGGCTTCTTCTCGCAGACCTTCTTCGAGGTCTTCGACGTACTCGGCGACGACATCCGATGCTGCGTCTTGCTATCCACATCCGCCGTACCGTCGGTCTTGACAGGCGACACGGGCGACATCGGACTCGCGGACGACATCGAGTACTCCTGCGGCTCGGGCTTGACGAGCGGGTGGTACCCGTCCGCAGACAGCACCAGCGGATGCGGACGCGCGTGCGTGGGCAAGGCGCGCGCCCAGGGCTCGGTCGGCGCGGGGGGCAGGTCGTCGCGGTCGGGAAGGTACGTCCGGCCCATGTAGAGATCATGCTTGCGGGCGTTCTCCGCGCGGGCCTGTTCGAACTGGGCGAGAGCGAGGTTAGTTAGTGGGGATGGACCGGGCTGCGAGGGAATAATGGTCGTGGCAGCGCCCTGCGGCGACTGCGCGTCTTGCTGCTGGTACATGGTGCCAGGCTGGGCGACGTCCTCCGGGAGGGGGAGATGGTCCATGATGGGCGTCTCCGAGGACTCGTACGAGTAGTTGTGCCATCCGGACTGGGCGTAGTATGGGGAGATAGCCGCTCTTGTAGCGGCCCGCCTCTCCCGCTGCTGCTCCTTGAAGTCATCGAGCCGTTGGGTTTGCTGCGACGGGACAAAGAACGACGGCTGCACGAGCTCCTGGTCAGCGTCAGTGGGCGGCTGGTGCGGCGCAAACCCGTATGGCAGTCGCGAGGGGGATGGGGTGGTCGATGTTGGGGGAACCAGAGGTCTGAAGTCGTGACCCGGGTACCCCACGGTCTCCGGTGCTTGGACCTACCACCAACCGGGATGGTCAGCGGGCTGCGTGAACTAGGAGGAACGGGCGGTCAATTACTCACCGTGGAGGTAGACTCCTTCGGCGCCTGATAAGGGCCGAAGTCTATCCGCGGGTCTTGGCTGCTTCTACTCAGGTTCCCCCAGTCTTGTTGATCGACCGGTTGAGGAGAAGTTGCATCACCGGGGCGGGCCAGATGTGTGCTGTCGGCGAGAGTGTCCTTTGACGCGAAGCCGTAACCGTGCGCATGGCCATGAGGGAAAGACGAACCGGGGACAGAGGAGGAGGGCGAGGCGAGATGAACATGATGACGGCTCGGGCAGCATCCGTCACTCTCTTCACGAGCAAAAGCGTGAGCGCCATCACCGTATACACGTTGCTGACCGTTCCAATAGGTAGCAGGGTTAGACGCGTCTCCCCCAAGACCTCCATCGTAAGCCTGGGTATAGGGCTCTGCAGGGATGCCGGGGGTCGCGAAGGGAGCGGTCGGAACTCCTACTCCAGACGACTGGGGGTCGGAAGAGTCGAGATAATGATTAACGAGGTCGGGTTCGGCCTAAGAGGATATCAGATTTTATAGAGCGGTACTTTGATGCAGAACGTACGCCGTATTGGTCAGACGCGACGGGCTGCTGCTGCCAGTGCTCGTTGCTCTCGTAGACGTTGTTTGCGTAGTAGTAGCTACCGTCGACGACCCAAGAGCGCGTCTCGTGCGCGTCGACGTAGTCCGAGCCGTAGGCAGCGTGTTCGAGGTCGGCGCCGTAGGGCGCGACGTAGCCAGACGGAAGCAAATTGGACATGATAGCGGAAGTAAATCCGAGTCGATCGCGCCGATCAAAGAGGGCCGGCGGCGTCGCGCGCGACGACGTCGAGGGCAAAAAAGAAAAGACGACAAGGACGAGGAGGGCGCGATTCTTATAGGAGGGGGAGGGACCCTTTAGTATGGCACAGGGTCCAGCAGGAGAAGCGCGCCCGCTGCTCGGCTTTGCAGTTCCGGTCAGATGATATCGCTCATAAATATGGACCTACAAAATCTCCATCCGGCATTACTTGCAGTCTCTTTGCGCTAGTACTTTTATATTTTGCACGGCATTATGCCGCATTGTCAGATTGACAACTGTCGTATATTTATTCGCTGAGGATGCTCGCTGATGCGTCTGCGTCGCCGGGAACGGGCATGCATTTCCAGGGCGACGCACCGAGACGAGCGCAGACCCTGAGCTCGACTTCTTACTGGGATCCTCGTACATTCCTCATCACGTCGTCCTACGCCAAGATCCTAACGTCACCCGCTTCTCAGCGAGCCATTTAGCGTCGATTGCTGTCGCGTAGCGATAAAATTGCTCCCGACAACCGTGCCAGTACACGACTGACAGTTTGCTGCATCAGCAACAATGGATGTGTCGGCCAAGGAGTGCGATTAAACTGATACGGGTCATTTGGAATACGACTACTTGCACGCGCAGAAATCGGGTCAGGCAGCCCGAGCATTTAATTACTCGCACGCCTGTTGTTATTGGATCGCGCCGGGGCCTAAGGGAGGCTGTTCAGGAGAAACCATACCGGAACGGGCATATCAGATTCTTACTCGTGTACCCAGCACCTCCTCAGACACTTCTTTTCCTGGCTCAGTCGCGGTTGCCACGCTTCCCGCATGAACAAGGCACCGCGCACCACTGTATATTTCCGCGGTCGGTCGGCCCCTCAAGGAGGGCATCGCTGGGTCGAATCGGGCTTTTAAAGTTGTATGAACCTCCGAGCGATGGGCATTCGGGGGTGCGTTCGGACTTGTGGCAGGCTTCGAAGCATCGGCGAATCTCAGTGAACAGGCCAGGTATACCACCTGCAACGTGCTGCACCTTGCTGCGCACCGTCGATTATGAAGACGCCAATCCTGATGCAAGCCTGGAATGGCAGCAAAGCATATTTTTAGTCGCTGGAGCCCACAGAAGAATGGCTAAACGACGTACATGTGTAAAATGCATGTACGCTGACTGACTGATTACAGCCTGATACAACAACAAAGCATTCCGATAGTCGCACGCTGATGATCAGTGCAAAGCCTCAGCACGCCCACACGCGCCCTTTATTGTGACAGGAAGAACTGGTACAACAAAGCTTCGTGCATTTGCTTTTTCACTCATCATCATCATCATCAGCCTTATCTACGATACAGTTTCAGGCTCCGGGAAGGGTACAGGTTCTGACGTCCTTCCGGCCTCGCCATAGGTAAGGACGCCAACGTAGGGCATAAGGTTGTAGCGAAGAGTGTAATTCGCTGCCTGCGCATTTCTGTATGGGCACACGTCAGCATGATATCATCCAATAGAGGAGCGGCCGAAGAGGGGAGATTGTCCTCTTGTATGACAATAGGTCGAAGCCTTTAATGAAAGAAAAACGAGCCCGGATCCAACGTACCTGAAGGATCGAGACAGGTCACGGAAGACGTACTTGTTCCTTCCCGCTATATTCAGCACGGCGTCTTGCTTCCGCCGGATGATGCTGTCCCAAAGGACTACATCATTTTGAACCTGCCAAAATGAGAGTATGAGGACCCAGCCCGAGAACAAGATGAAAGTGGGGCGTAGTCGGGGATATCGGGGGATGGCTGGGCGCACAATCAAAGGGAGGTGGCGGGATTATGACATCGCGAGGGAGCGAGGGGAGAAACGTACGCCTTTCGAATCCACATATTCCGCCTGGAGGTACACGAACAGCTGCTTGGTATTCCAGTGGAACAAAGGGGTAAGGTCTAGAAAGGAAGGTATAGGAAGTTCATAATCCAACATAGGGGTACTGGAAGCATCGAACGTACCTGCGCTGATATTAAAGTTTACGAAGGTGAATTCTTGTTTCACGGTCGGCATGCGCCGTGAGCTGCCTGGAAATCTATGCACAGCAGCCACGGTATTAGACTTATAACAGCCAATAAACATCCATGGAAGGGGGGCCACGAGACCAAGAAGCGTGACAGCCTTCACCCGCGCGGAAAGGCGGTACGCCGATACAGCACGGGTGTGCGTACGGAACGTGACCCGCTCGCGCAGAGGTGCATTCGGAATGAGATGCATACACTTTAACTGAGGCCAGAGTCAGCTCTCCCTTGGGCTCTGCGGTGAATAGGAACGAGGAGAGCGCGATCGCGGCCAGGAGTCCCATCAGGCATGACGAGAGGAAGGCCGAGAAGTTATTCAACCGAGCATACAGGCTATGCATCGCTGGCTAGTATGGGCAGACGTAGCAGTCGTGTATCGGTAATGTTTGACGTTCTGAAGTGGTATAAGACGAAGCACGGTGATGGCAAGAGCAGGGCGCGCCGTGTATGTCGGACAGTGTGGACGCTGGGAGGAACACGTCGCGACGCGGCACGCATGCTTTCCATATTGGGCTGTGCTTCGTCTTTATGGGCGCTTCTCGACGGGACTAAGTTCGCCATTGGCAGTTAGCTGTCGTAGACTTACGTCCTCCCCTCTCTGTGCACTTGTGAGCGGTAGATTATTTCCAGAAAAAGTGAGGAATTCCTGTGCTGCTTCCTACAGCAAGGTAATGACTGGGGGCTGATGCATACTAATAAACTACATTGGGGCTTTGTCTGCAATCCCCGATTCTGGCCCTCGCATGAAGTTCGCAGACACTGGAACCAGACTAGCGGAACTAGGATGATTGGAATGCGAAACATGCCCAAGACTTCCCTGCGTCCGCGATGCTGGGGAAAAACGTGGTCTATCTCGTGCGTCTCGTCCATCGCTCATCTGCTACCATCGTTTTGCATCAGTTCCCGATAGACGCGCGGTTCCAATGGAACTTTTTTCGGGAACTTCGTGATAGGAGTACGGTGGAGCTGCAACCCACGGACAGTTGTATCGTTCTTTCCATCCCATGCTCGCTGTGGACTTACATTTCAGTCTTAAAAGTCTGTTTTTGCTGCAGTAATCATGCGTTGATCAACCACTCCTGTGACGACTCCATGGTACACCTGCGCTAATTTCGTGGCGGTGGAAATATACTCCTTTGCACACACTATAATGCGGAGGTAATGTTGCGCAACTAGCTCAATCAAAGCTTCATCTGTCTTGGCGGTATGATCCACCCGATATAGCTCCTGCTAGCTAACCAGGAATATGCGATACCCCCCAATTGGCTCGCAGATCATTCAAGTGCTACTGTAAGGGACATAAATGCGACCGTTCATTCTACAACTAGGCTTCTGCCCGAGGATAAAGCCAGACATTGGTTGGACGTGAGTACAGGAGCTGAAAGTATGGATCGGGAAATCACGAAGCGATAGAGTTTAATGTGTGTGCTCTCGCTGTTACAGGGCCTTCGGCACATTCAACCAAGAACGAATGGGATCTTTGTAGCCATCTGAACTCTCTTGAAGACCAAGTCACAAGGCTAGTCCCTTTCGGGGAAGGACTAGTTTACGCCTTGTTCCCGATTTGCGAACTGTCCGGCAAACAGGAGAATCAGAAAGTTGCCGAAGACTGTGTGCCGGAGGGACTAGATTGCCATGACTCCCCGGAAAGGCCAGCGGGAGGTTCTAGCGGGAACGCCAGGGACCCGTTAAGACGAACACGGCATCCCGCTGTGCTTTGTGAAACTGCTGGTATGGCATCTGCCCGATGGCTCAAGTACCAAGAATACTTTCATGTTACATCGGTGATATTGGGGAGAGAGCGGCCGTGGACACCTTTGCATATCACCCTAAAGGACCGATATCCTGAAGCTTGTCGTATGTCGTTCATTTTAATTTAATGGCCTTTGGTATCCGGATCATGTCGCTCACTCTGTATAATCATGTCAGCACGTGCGGGTCAAGTGAGGCAGTAAGCTCGCCCACGCCAATACCAGAAGCTTCATTGTCCCCAGAAGCATCTTAGCACTCAAACGCTTAGCATCGATTGACCAGCATACGGCACGTGCATACGTTCAACCATCATTAGTAGGTGACGACCCCTAAGTACTTGAGCGCCCAGGGGAGTGATCTCTATTTCTCTATTGGCTCACGGAGAAATACCCGGTTACGCATCCTCCACCTAATGATCATGACCTCGGAATGACATACTCCACTGCTACTTCTAGGGTGCAAGTAGGAGTAGTCGTGTTGACGACATCGACCGGTACCTTGATGATAGTGGTATGCCACAATATTCAGATCCGCTTCCGGTGACAGTCGTCCTACCACCAGCGGCCCCATACAGCTGTAAGTACGGCACTCCTTCCGGCGAGCTGTCCCAAGTTCGTTCGTAATTGTGAGTTTTAGTTTTAACGATTGGACCACCAGTAGCTGACAGCGTATATCCGTGTAAAGCGGTTTTCGTAGCCTCCCCCTGAACGACCCTGCTCCGAGTCCCGCGCGCTTCTGGTGCAATCTTCGAAGGGCAAAGTCTCGGGGTCAGGCTGGCTCACTGAGGTATTCGGGCCGTAACTGGATCCTCATACCGTATGCACACTTGGCTGACAGAAGCATGATGCTTGCAAGCCGTCGGACGTAAAATATCGCAAGGACTAGCCAAAGCGCCCCTATCCTCTGGTCGATCCACATCATGGCCTCAAGTTATAGACCGATAAGCATCATCATTCATCGCACTGCTACATGTTGGATACAATTTCGCTTGTCTCTCGCGGAGGAATTAGTGGGAGATAAGCAGAACACGAGTTTGATATCCCATCAGCGCACATGGCCCCGCCCTGTGTATCTTCATTCCAACGTTCGGGTTATGGTTCATCGTAGCCACAGTGTTAATGGCGCAAGTCCGAACTCCGCGGACGACATGCTTACGGTGAAATCCTGGAATTTCACTGTCAAGTCTCGTGCCTTGAGCACCAGGTAGGTACTCAACAGAACTGGATTTTCAATGTGGCACCTGTTCCTGCACGTGTGTTGTTTGACAGCCAGATTAATAATCGCTGTAAGCTCGACGGCACGTCGTATTGTTCGTAGTTTCAGCGGCCTTCCTGACGGGATCGTCGCATCGCGACGGTCCGTGTGCGTACCCATGCATGTCAGATCGTACAGCATTGGGTCTTTCGTGGAAGTGAGTTCCCACCGCTGTATTTATTCATCGCTGCCCCACGAACTCTTCAGGACTTTGGTCATGATAGCGCACACAGCAGTAACCATTAACTGCCCGCAAACCCCGACCTGTCCTCAAGACGTTCACGGGTTTCGTAGATCCTGGATCGAGTGCCTGTCCGCATCACCACAATGCCGGCGTCCCGCCTGCGTCTGCACGGTTCGCGGGAGGCAAAGATCGCATCCCTACGGTTGGACCTTGACAACTCAACAGGCCTGCAACACTACTCGGTCTCGTCCCACATCCTGAAGTATAATAAATCCTTTTTGATTATATATAGCTGTGTGGTATAAAGAATGCTCAGCAAATGAGAGTTCAAGTGTCTGTAATCTAGGCCAGTACCAGTCTTTTCCGGAATGAAGGACTACCTGCTGTAAATAATATAGTGGCCTACCGGCCGCGAACTAGATGTGGGTATTATTCCATACGGACCTCACCACGAAAGCAGCCGGGTCAGGTTTTTGCGATTTGGAAAGTGCTGGGTTCAGCAAGAATTGGACTGTTCGCAGAATCAGTGACACTCAATTTTCTGGTGAATAGCAATACTACAATACCTGTGCGATCCCTGCCTGGAATGAGGTAGAATCCATTCAACGGCAGACCTGTCGCGGAATCGACAAAATGGCCAACGGTACCGGCTGGATGGTCGATCCATGTCCAGGGAGCGGCGCCGCCCTGGGCGGAAAGCTCAAAAGTATAATTGTCGTGAGCAGTCACGCGAATCTTCGGATCGACTAAAGTAGCATCCGCCAGAGATGCGGGAGTAAACTGAAAGCAGAGATCAATATACATAGCCGGCTGAGGGATGTCAAACCTCACGTATTGCTCATTGGTGACTGTTTGGTTGTCTAATTGTGCCGTCAGATTCATCCAAAGGAAGACATCGTTGACCTGGGAGCCGGCCGGGAGGATGTTGCTCAGGCCGGTAGCGCTCAGAAGAACGGTGTTATTCAACGAGGGGACGGTAAAGTCATAGGATGTCGAGTTCAGCTCCTTCCCGGACCAGTCGAACCACGTCAACTGAGCGGTCCCTGAAACATCAGTCCAGCGGTCGGAAGTGACCATCACATCCAGAGTCTCGTTCTCAGGCGTCCAGAAGGAACTGACGATGACCGGGCTATAGACATTGGCCAACTGATAGTTGAGGACCTTCCACCGCCCAGAGTGCTCCACCGCAGACCAGCTGACGCCCTGCCAAATGTCGTTCATCTGCCAAACGAGACTCCCGAGGTTATTCTCGCCCATCCCAGCCCCGCGGCGGTACCACGCGATCTGGGCTGCGACGGTCATAGACTGGAATACCTGCGTGCTGTAGCACCACTGCGCAAACGTCTGGTTCGAGTCGGAGGTGCCAGGTGTGGGCAGCCAGAGCTCGACGCCTTGTGTCATCTGATATTGGCCTTGAGGAGCGTTCGGGTTGGGGAAGGACAGGTTGGTCGCTGGGGGGTGGTGGTCGCGAGACATCACGACTGTCGAGTTGAAGTTGAAGTCTTCGGGGTTCTCCAGGACCTCTTCCCAGCTGTAGAAAGACGGCATTGAGTGGAAGCCGAACTCATTGACGAACCTATCTGCATATCAGCACGAGGTAAACAGGAACTGGAGTCAGCGCAATTACCTGGCGACGGGGAAGGTACTGAGATTGAATGCTTGCGACGCATCGTAGATGTACCGCTCTACCAAAGCCAGTGAGACACGATGTAAGCACTAGTATTGTCAGGCAACGTACCAGCGTTGCCGTAGATATAGCTCGGCGTCTCGTTCAAGAACCGGAGAGCGTATGGGTCGAGGCTCAGGACTCCCGTAGTCGTAGAACAATCCGTATACGCGACCTTCAGTAACGTTTCAGTGGTTCTAAAGACCCGTCGAACTCCAACACTTACCGCATCCGTCTCCGAGGTCACTATCCCATGCAAAAAATCCTGGAACAGCGTCACGAACTACCACCAACCCCATCAGCCTCCATGTTCCCCATCCCCACACCCCCATCCCGACCGACACAGACACACCTGATCAAGATAATACGTCCCATTCGGCAGCAACTCCCGCACAACCATGACGATCCCCTCAATCTCGTTCCCGCCCGCCCACTGCGCGATGCTCGGGTGCGCGTTCACGCGGCGCACGTTCTGCCGGACCTCGGGCTCGATGCCCTCGAGGAACCACGGGTTGAGCGGGTACAGCGAGTCGGAGAAGATGAGCTCGGACCACGCGAGGAGGCCGAGCTCGTCGCAGAGCGCGTAGAAGGAGTATACCCCGCCTGCGATGTCTGCGGACGAGGGCTGGTAGATCCCGCCGCCCCAGACGCGCAGCTGCACCAAATACCGGCATTAGCGTGGCCTGGAATATAATGGCCAAGTTGTTGGACACCGCTCACCATGTTCTGACCGGTCGCTACGGCCGACTCCAACACCCACCTCACCTGCTCCGTCGTCACCCTCGAATAAAACGGGTCAAACGGGATCACATTCGTCCCCTTCGCATAAAAGGCCTTCCCGTTGATCTCGAAATGCCACTGATCGCCCGGCGTAATCCCGCGTTCCTTCACCTCCTCGGCGCTATACGCCGTCTGCACGAGGCGGATCGTCCGGAAGCCCGTCGCGCGCGTGAACGACATGTTCGCCGGTGAGGAGTCGGGGAGGTGGAAGGAGAGGGAGACGGTGAGGTTGTACAGCTTCGGCCCCGTCGCGAGGTCGTGCGTGTACCACCGCTGCGGGACGCCCTCGGGCACGCTCCACAGCGCGCTCACCCACTTCGCCTCGGCGGCGTCGCCCGGGAGGGGCTCCACGGGAATCGGCTGAGATGTGAGGCTGAGCTCGGGGATGGAGAGGGTGATGGTCGGCGCGGAGACGGGCAGGGCGGAGCGCAGCGCGAGCGTGACGTTGACGTTCCAGTCGGCGGATTCGTCGTAGGTGAGCGTGGACGGGTCCGCGAGGGGCTTGGAGATGTCGATGGAGGACTCTTCGAGGAAGACGATGTCTGCGCCTGAGAGCGCTTGGGTGGCGTTGGCGGTATCGAGGAGCGTGACGATGTACGCTGGCTTGAATATACCCGAGGGCACGAAAGCGGGTCCCTAGTATTCCACAGTCACTCTGGGTAAGGTACGAGCGATCGGGCAGCGACGTACCCAGTCCCACCCAAAGTCACTAGAGGTCTTGCGAATATATTCGCGCACCCCGGGGTACTCGAACTGCGCCCACGTCAGTACAACGAAAGCGCGGATAAAGCTGGCGTGTACGCACGTCGCCCGTAGAGGCGATGCCCATAACCTCGGGGAAATGCTGGGCGTCGGACCGGGAGGTGACGTTTAGCCCGTAGTACCAGGCCGACTCGAACGCGACGGTGAGGTTCTTGTCGCCGGCATGCGGGGATGCGAGCTTGTCCGTCACGTCGAAGATGTATTGCCGGAACTGGTTGTTGACCCATGCAACCGGGTTACCTGCCAAAGTCTATGAAAGGTGTGGGTTTCGGCTGGGGGGTTGTCGCTGAGGCACGCACGATGTTGGCAATTGTATCCAGACCGTAAAACACCAACAGGGCTCGTTCTCCCGGGGTATGGTTGCGAGTAGATGTGAAGGGCGTCAAGTCGGCGGTGTATGTCCAGTTGTCATTCACAATCCATCGTTGAAGGTCGTCTGACGCATATTATTAAAAGAATATCCTTGACAGTTGGGCACTGCGAGACGTACCATTGATACCAAGCAAAGGCTCGGATATTACGCCCGCCTTCAACAAATCCAAGTGCGCCTGAGACGGGACAGAGCCAGGTATAGCAATGGACCCGTTGGCGTTCTTGAGAGTCCAGGAAAGCCCGGAGAGGTCAAACGTTGCTCCAAGGGCGAGAGCAGGTAAGCAGGCGGCTGCAAGGAGAGCAGCCATGTCGAACCCGGCTACAGTGGACGTTCAACCGATTCCCGCTGCTTTTATACGTTGCTCGCCCTCCGAATTCGCCTGCGGGCCCTGAGATTAATGAGACGGCATATCCAGCTGACCGTCGCAGAGGACAGTGCTGCGGCGAAACCCATCACGCACTGAAACTGAGAAGACGCTGGAAAGCGCTTAGTGATGGCTTGTGACGCTATACATCCGGGGCCAAGACGCTAGGGCGAACGACTGCCCGACCAAAGCTTTCGATATATCAAAGGATATTTAACAAGCCTGTAGTCTATGTTAGCGTGCCGATTCAGAGTAAGCACTTGACGCGTTTAAGCTTTTAGTAGTGGCCGATCCTTCATTGTCGATCTAATCTCACGGCAAATTCCGGTATTAGGTGACGTCAGATCCTCGTTGGGACGTTGTGGCGAGCGCGACACAGACTTGCGCCTGGCTCATCTGCTATGGCTTGGTTATCCCTCCCTTCTTCTCTTCCGTCTTGGTCTCTGGACAGAACATCCTCCAGGCACATATTCTACGGCATTATCATCGGTATTTCCTTCTCGCTAGCCTCCACTTCCGTTGCGCAGTACAGGCGCGAGAAAAAGAAGGAAGAGGTCAACGACAAATTTGAGCCAAGGCCCATTGAACTGCGAAGTGACGAGGTTGTGGATGGAGTGGTTGGTTTGATAGGTATGCACCAGTCTTTAGAGGTGATCATGAGCAGGGGTTGTATACCTGCGAAGCAGGGCTAACACTCGAGAGCAGGGAACACGCCGCTCGTAAGGATCCCTTCGTTAAGTCGAGCATTGGGTGTGGAGATTTTGGGAAAGGCGGAGGTCAGTGTCCTGTACCTCTACCTACCTGCTCCAGTCCTGTACTTATGTAGAAACACTCAAAATAAATCCAGTTTCTGAACCCAGGCGGGAGTGTGAAGGACCGTGTTGCACTGAGAAGTGGGTATCTTTGCACACCATTCTCTCTCTCTCCGCGTGACCGAGACCTTGGCATTGGCAGTGATTGAGGACGCTGAGCAGGCGGGTTATCTCCATCCGTACACTGGATCACGGATATTCGAGGGCACCGTCGGCTCGACCGGTATCTCCATCGCTACGATAGCCAAAGCGAAGTGAGCCTTCTTTTCATAATCCTGCTTTACTCAGACATCCGATCCGGCCCAGGGGATACGATGCCAGTAAGTCTGCCATCTTGACTTCAACACCGAGAACAGACCAGATGGTCTGTGATTTGTAGCGATCATCATGCCGGATGACGTCGCGAAAGAAAAAGTACAAGCCCTCAAATGCCTCGGCGCGGACGTCGAACAGGTCCGGCCAGCCAGCATAGTGGACAAGAAACAAGTACGCCTGTCCTCTTCCCTTCTCTCCTACTCCGTCTAACATCTTCACCTTAGTACGTGGTACGTCCCCCTCCCCCTCCCTCCTCTCCATACCATACCCACGCCCGCAATCAGAACCTCGCCCGCCAACGAGCACTCCACTTCGGCGAGCCCCCTTCCTCCCCCTCCTCCCATCGCCCGCACATCCAAACCGCGACCTCGAGCGTCGTGGTGACCACCACCGCCTCGGAGGACGTACTCGACGGCGTCGACAGTCTGCGCGAAGAGGCGGAGCTGCGCCTGAAGCCGCGCGGGTTCTTCGCGGACCAGTTCGAGGTGAGCGTCGGTTTTATTGTAAGCGGGGTTGAGGGGAAGTGACCGGGGGTGATAGAATATGAGCAATTACTATGCGCATCTAGAGGGCACCGGCCCGGAGATTTGGAGGCAGACGAACGGGAGGGTGGACGCGTTCGTCTCTGGGGCAGGTTAGTTGGTAGCACTCGGGCACTCGGTCGAATTCACCGCTTCTTCTTCTTCTTCTTCTGTAGGTACTGGGGGTACCATCGCAGGCACAGGCCAGTTCCTTAAGTCGATGGACGAAAATATCCTCGTCGTCCTCGCCGACCCCGAGGGCAGCGGGCTGTACAACAAGGTCAGTCGTTCGGTTGGTACTGGTCTGCGCGGGAACGATAACACTGGACGGCAGATAAAACACGGGGTGATGTATGACCGGAAGGAGCGAGAAGGCTCGAAGCGGCGGCACCAGGTCGACACCGTCGTGGAGGGGATGTGAGCATCGTCCTTTTTGTTCATGTCTCTACTGTATTGAGCCTGGTTTGATGCGCAGCGGGAACAATCGCATGACGAACAACATCGAGCTCGCGGTGTCCAACATCGACGACGCCTACCGGTACGCCCTTCCCTCAAACCCTCACTGACCCATGCATGCGCTTATGGGATATTGATGAATCAACATAGGATAACGGACGAAGAGGCGGTGGCGATGTCGCGCTACCTCGTGCAGCACGACGGCCTCTTCCTCGGGTCGAGCAGCGCGTGCAACCTCGTCGCGTGCGTGAAGCTCGTGAAGAGGATGGGCTGGAGGGAGGGGCAGCGGCTGGTGACGATTTTGTGAGAGGACGATGTCGCAATTCGAGTGGAGCTCTGTTTGCTGACTTGTGGCTTGTAGGTGCGATTCGGGGAGCCGGCATTATTCAAAGGTTTGTCTTGCAACACAGCTCGTACTCAGATGTTGACGTATACGAAATGTCACTTCGTTTGTTGATTAGTTCTGGAACGACGACTACCTGCGTGCCGCAGATATCCCCATCAACCCCTCACTCATCGACGACCTCCTCTCATCGTCATCGAATCCGCCCTCCGAGACTTCATGACCGATTGGCGAAATGGATCCCAGAAATATATGTATATGATGGGCAGTAATTTAGGTAGTGTACACACATTGCAACCCGGGTATGTTAAACATCATGACAACACTAGTGCAGAGCGGAAAGCGGATCGACGACGTGTGCGCATAGGACTACTTATGGATGAGGTGTGTATGATACAGTGTGGTGAGTGCTGGCATAAAATACAGAATAAGGAATGAACCGGAGCGGAGGAGCAGATAGCAGGAGGTCGTTATCCTGGCCAATTGGAGTTGCCGGCTTGAAGGGAGGATGAGGATTGTGAGGAGGCCGGCGTGGCTGGCTGGGCGCCGTTGGGCGGGATAAGATTCGTACCTGGGGGTTTGGGGGATATTAGTCCTTGCGGGTCACGATTACTCGTGGAAGCTGAGCTGCAAAGAGGGTCAGCGTGTGGCGCGGTAAGTCTGCTAGGTAACCGTACCTGTTATCTTGTGAAGTAGAAGCGTCCTGGCCGATCCTAAGATACCCCGCTTGAACGAGGAAGTCCCATACGCGGCTCGTCTTGTTGACGTCGATCTTAACAAGGTCCCGTGCTTCTCGTCGCCGCAGTTTTCCTCCGCGGCGCGCATACTCTCGGACAAGCGTTTCCTTGATGACAAGGTACGGCTTCGGGAGGATACGTAGGGATGAGCAGAGCGCCTGCTCCGCGGGAGTAAGGAGGTGAAGAGAGGGACTGTTGGCCAGGTTAAGAGGTGCAGCTAAAAATTTGATATATTAGATTGACTGAGAGACATAATATTATGATTATTCGACTTACGGGCTTTGCGAACAGGCGGCGCTGCTGATGTACCCGCAACGCTCGTTTGAGAACCGGAGGCCTGCTGGCTAGGCGTCGGCTCTCGTGAGCGACTGCGCCTGTCTAATGACTGTACGCTTCCGTGTCTCCCTTCAGGCCCTGCGGACGGACGCCCGCTGGCAGCCCGTAGCTGCTGAACCCTGTCTGGAGGGAAGTACCCCTTGGTGTAGTCTTCCTTTGCCTTAGCCTGGGGGAAAGGGGGATTACTGGTGGGATCGTCAAGAGTAGTCAAAGACGGACTCACCCGCTTAGCAGCATCTAATTCATATTGGTCGATATCGGCAGCGGTCCGAAGGCCTAATCTTCGATATAGTTGTAATTCTTGTATTCGCCTTCGAAGTGTATGTTCATCTGTGAGGCGAGTTCAGACTATAACAGGCGCCCTTCCGTGCGTAGGAACTCACAAAGCATGTCAGTGACAAACTCCTCGAAGTCTTGGGCCGTCTGGAGCTTGGCAAATGGCCGCAACCTCTGGATAATCTCTTTCTCTTCTCGGGGCCGCTTCTTATCATTGGCTTGCATCTGATCTAGAGATTAAACCAGGGAACAACCCGAAAATACGAGGACAAACCTTTTTATAATCGAGCAAGCCTCTATCGAACATGAGTGCCTTCGCTTCGCGCCGCCTCTGGACGCGTTGGCTGTACATTTCTAAAAGTGTCAATTTGAATGCTAGGGACTCTCTGGTTTCGAACGGTGGAGGCTGAGTTTGTTCCTCTGCTTCACCCTCCTCATCAGCCGCCTGTTCAGCCTGGCCATCCTCCGACTTGGGCGGTTGACTACCATTTTTTTTGACATCTCCGTTGGTCCCCGGATGTCCGTGGCCATTTGGCAGCTTCTGAGAGGTAGCATTGGGCAAGCCCTTTCCACTGGGGTTTATAATACCCCGTTTCTCATTTCCGAGCTTTATTCTGGCGCAGACATCCGGATCATGCTCATCCTCGGGTATTTCATCGCCGCCATATTCTAAACAGACCGCGAATTCGAGATCTTTGACTAGATCTTCTGCCTCATTGTCAAGTTCGTGTTCAAACTCTAGACGGCCGGGCAAGAATGTGGCAACTTCATGTACACCGGGTGCCGAGGTAACGGGCTTCGCCGGTGCGGGGATGGTGGTAGGCATAGCGGATATTCGCCGCCGCTTACGTTCTTGAAACTCAGCCGGGTCAACGTCGAACTCGCGGTCCAACCGCTACCATTACTAGTCAGCCAACGGAAAGTAAACAGCTTCGATACGGACTGACCGGAAGAGGCCAATTCGGCGAGTCTACATATACCGAATTGTAATGCTGTTCGACTTCCTCCTTTGTGCGAGTGCCGACGTGTTCGGCGATGGCTTGCCAATTCCCAAGTCCCTGTAGGGATATACCCTCCAGCAATAGCAGTTCCCTGTGGTGACCCTTCTATGAGACAACATTATCTTATTTTTTTTTACGTCAGAACGCACTCGTCTGCTCCCCAATCTTCTGAGAATATCGGATATGAGTGTAGTTCCTAGGCATATAATCAGGGACGTTACAGATGCCACAGACTAGCATCGGAACGTACAATAACGCGATATGGATGATCCTTCTTGTGCTTCCGGAATTCCTTGCCATTACAAAAGCAAGACGGACAGATATCCACACCGTCCCCTCTCTCGCACTCAGGAGCGGCGCATCGTATCCGCACGGAATGCGTAAGATCACAGGCGCACCCGTCGCATTCTATTTGCACGCCAGGCTCATTCACAACTAACACAAGGCCAAGCCACAGCGTGAGAAATCAGGCTAGGCAGCGGATTGGCATGTCAGTGAGGGACGACATACTCTGGAAATCCTCCGCATTATTGGGCTTTTTCCTTTGAGTGACTGTCATAAGGGGTCAACGTGGCGTGGCAAGTGGTGGTGGTCCGGTCAACGGTGAATGGCCAAGTTTGGGGCAGGTAGGGGATGATGACAGTCGGGTTTGGAGCAGTACGGAAAAAGTCGCTCGCGGGTGCTCTCTTCAAAGCGTCCAACATGCACGACGCCAAGGCTCTGCCCGGATATCCCGAAGTCGGAGGTGAAAGTCGTTTCAAACAATAGGTGCGGCGCCTGAAGATGCCACAGTGCTCCCTGCAATAGGGGGTAATGGGTACTCTCAGGACGGAACGACGAGTAGTCACACTGACCTTTCAGGAGACAGTACAAGATCACCGCTTTCGTGGCTACCCGTCGTCGTCGTCGCCGTGTCGCGCGCAATGGTACAGGTTTCCAAATACGCGCAAACAAGGGCGGACTCCGGGAGCCACAGCGCGTCCGGTTTCAAGTTGTTTACAGCCTGGCCTGTGGCCACAACCTTGCGCATCTGGTGTCTATGAGAATTTTATAGTTCTTTCCACTACCGACTAGGGCCTGGATCGCTGATTCTGACGTGACGGTACAACGAGTCTGCGATTGTCCAAGATGAACGGTCTCACATCATCGGGGGCCGGGAGGTCCGTCGACATTGAGCTTGGCCAAGAAACTATTACGGTCGAATTGGACAACCTCGACTCTGATCCAACCGACGTCCTTGATTTACTGAAGGAGGGGCAATGTAAAGTCTGGGTCTGGACTAAGCTCGCCAGCGAGTATTGGCGGAAGGGCTACTTGGATGCTGCAGAGAAGATAGGGCAGGCGGCTGTCGAATGTGTGCTACATAATCATTTACTGTTATTCGCAATCTCATTTCGGGTTCGACAGCATTTCGGGATCATGGAGCGACTTCGTCATTACCACCGGTATATTCTCTGTTAGCCAACGTCCAAATTGCGCGGGCGCGCAATGCACCTAAGATCATTCTACCTCACGCTCGGCAGGATGACATGTCAAAGGAGAAAGCGAAGGCAGATCACTATCGCGAGTCTGCTCAAATGCTCAACTCCAGTGAGAGAGCTGTCGCGGAATCTGGGCAGGACTTCGACCCCACTTTAGCTTTTTTGACTAGAGGTACGCAGCATGACTCAGTGCCTTGCAAGCTTCCTGCCGAACTGTATCGCTCTTTAGGCATTCAGCAGCTTGCCACCCGTTCACTGGATGATGCGCTGCGTACTTTTGAGGGTGTACTAGTACAAAAACCTACCAATGTCGTAGCGTTACTTGGCAAGGTATGTCCCTTCATATATGTTTGTGGTGCGTCTGCTTGATGCAGTGCAGGCACGTATTCTCTACGCACGCCGGCAATATCCTCAAGCTTTGAAGTTATTCCAGCAAGTTCTACAGCTAAATCCCCATTGTCTACCGGACCCTCGTATAGGCATCGGTTTATGTCTCTGGGCCATGAATCATAAGGAAAAGGCGAAGGCTGCTTGGCAGCGGAGCGTTGATCTTGTATGTTAAAGAACAGTGCCTTGTCACGCACTCACTATAAGCGTTTCGTAGTACCCGGACGGGTGGGCTGCCCAGCTCCTTCTAGGCTTGGAAGCGGTAAATACCAGTAAAGACGAGAGCAAGGAGGTCACCGAACGGACTCAGGCTCTCGTCACGGGCACCAAGCTAATCGAAACAGCTTTCCGTGCGAATAACAGAGGCGCCGCCGCTGCTAACGCCCTGTGCGAGCTACTTTTGATGAAGGGAAACTACGGTCGCGTAAGCTTCCAGTCAGATCCTGCTGTACTTTCTGCAATCACTGATGCGCCATAGTCGCTTAAATTAGCTGAGAGGACTATCCAATTCGCCGACACTCTCTCAATACTCACGGAGGGTTATATACGGGCCGGACGTGTTTGTCACGCGGAAGGGTCCTACTCGGAAGCAGGCAGACATTACTCTGCAGCCAGTGAAGGCAATCCAAATCATGTCCTTGCTGCTATAGGGCAGGCGCAAATGCAGCTTTTAAATGGTCGGTCTCTCTATAGTCGAGGTATCTGTGATAACTTGATTTGATACCCTTAGATGAATGGCCGGCTGCCATACATACACTGGACACCTTGATACAGCACCCAAATCCCCAGAAGTCTCTGGAGGCGATGGTGATGCTCGCTTCGATTCGCAGCCACCAACGACCGGGTGTCTCAGGCTCAGACATGGCCAAGGAGAAAGCTCGCGCGCGGGAGCTATTTGACCGTGTTGCCAAGGAACTTCATCTGTATGAAGATCGCCCGGCACTCAACGGTAATTCTGCGAATGCGCTTCCGCGGTCGCTACGCGATATCAAGGACGACATGGACATGCATGCCGAAGTGGCACGCTTGTGGCAGGAAGATAACCTCGATCGTACTGCTCGAGCACTACGTGAGGCCCTGCGGATTAGCGAATCTACCGGACAAGTGGACCCGAGACTGCTCAATAACTTGGGAGCGTTGCAGCATCTGGATGGACATCCAGAGGAAGCTAGATTAGCTTACGAGCGCGCCCTGACTAGTGCCGCGGGGCTTGCTTCGGATGTCGGGGAAGGCATGTCCACCTCGATCTTATTCAACTTGGCAAGGGCATACGAAGATGAAGGCGACGAGCAACTCGCGAAGGACGCGTACGATAAGTTGCTGACAAGGCATCCCGAATATGTCGATGGTTTGTACCTCTTCGATAAATAAGATCGTCGTCTCAACTTTCTTGTAGCGAAAATCCGGCAAGCGCATATGCTGATGGACATGAATCGGCAAAACGAGGCTCATGACCTTCTCAAACAAGCTCTATCATCACAAAACAATAATATGAACCTCCGGGCATACTACACATACTTCCTCGTCAACTCGACGTCGTCAAAAGTAACTAAGGAGTTCATCTTCGCTACCTTGAAGGACCATGACAAGCACGACCTATACTCCTTATGCGCTGCTGGATGGATCCAGTATAACCAGGCTAGGGAAAGTCGCGAGCAAGGTTCAAAGGCTATCGAGGAACGCAGACAAGGTTTCCGACGGTCAGCCGAATTCTACGAGAAGGCATTGCAACTCGACCCTACATGTGCTTTCGCAGCGCAAGGCTTGGCAATTGTTACTGCGGAAGATGCTTTGGGTTCGTTGGCCGGTGGGGTGCCTCCTGGTTCGAGCAGTGATGAAGCTCAGAGGCGCTTCAAGAATGCACGAGACGCTCTGGATATCTTTGCCAAGGTTCGGGAGTCCATCAACGACGGCAGTGTTTATGTCAACATTGGCCACTGCCACTACGTCCGGGACGAATTCGACAGAGCAATCGAGAGTGTGAGTACACTTCAATGACATATTAGCGGCCTTGGCGTTGACATTTCATAGTACGAAAGTGCATCTAAACGCTTCTACAATGGCCAAGACGTCACCGTCCTGATGTGTCTCTGCCGGTCATGGTACGCGAAAGCTATCAAAGACCAATCCTTCCAGGCCATGAATACGGCCCTCCGCTATGCACAACAGGTATGACTCGTGTTCTACAATTTATCCCTATCATAACCAGCGGTAATTTGCTGTTGCAGGCCCTTCATTTACGACCGATGGATAAAGTTACTCTCTACAACATCGCTATGATACAGCAGAAAGCCGCCGAAATGATGTTCGCCCTGGATACCACTAAGCGATCACTTCAAGAATTGCAGCGCGCAATCGAGCACGCAGGGCATGCGCAGAAGTGCGTCATCTCCGTGTTCGTAATTCCGAGGCACTGAAATTGATATCGTCGAAAGGCTTTTCGCTTCTTTAGCGTCTGACCCGTCTCCCGTAGTTCCGTACAGCAAGGACATCGCAGATCAAAGAAAGAAGTACGGCGATAGTATGTTGAGGCGTGCCGATGAGCAACTAGCTCAGCAAAGGCAGCATGAGGCTGAGACTCAGGCTCGGCTGACTGCTGCGCGGCAGAAGCGACAGGAGGAGAGGGAACGGCAGGAACGGTTGGAGGTAAGTGAGTTCGGTTCTTGCGGCGGGAACGATTATCTCATTGTAACACCAAGCGAGAAGAGATGGAACGACTACGTAAACAAGCTGAGGAGCTTGCGGAAGAGCGCCGGAAGGCGCGTGAACAAGCTTTGGAGTGGAGTCGTCAAGTCAAGGATCTCAGCGATGAGGAAGACATAGATCGACCACGGAAGCCCCGCAAGACTTCCAAGAAGCAGAAGGGTGACACCAGCGGAGATGAAACTGCGAACGATGGGAAACGGAAGCGGAGAGGAAGGGTAAAGAGGGAGAAGGATACGGATGGCGTCGAGGCAGTCGCTGAAGAAGAAGAGGAGGCTCTCTTCAGTGAAGATGAAGGGGAGAAGACCACCAAAAAGGTGTGTGGACTACAATTATCCGCCCGCCCCCCATCGCTCATTGTCGCTCGTGATAGCGCGGCACCAAAAAGAGAGTGGTTCGAGATGATGATGAGGACGACCCCGACGGTGCACACGGACCCGCAAGAAAGAAACAGATGTAGGTTTCCTTTGACATTTAGACACTGGCGTGTTGCTAACGAAAATCTGTCTCGTTGCCCTGCTTCCGTCTCCTGTGTCGCAGAAAGAGCAGAGAGTACATTAATGACTCAGATGAGGACATGGAATGATGTCGGGCCTGTGCCACCGCCACGCCGAGAGTGTTGCTGTATATACGTTCATACTTATGTTGTTATCGTTCTCGTTCTGACGTGCTGTGCCATAGTAGCATCTGTATCTATAGACACATATTTAAACCTAATGCATTACTTCCGCACCTGCCCCATGAGGCCGCAGTATTGCCTTGGTCACCTCGCAGGTACCTCAAGGCGTACACACGTATCACCAGGCACATATAAGGAGAATTCACGTTACATTCATGGGAATCTAGCACAAGGCGGAGATTGTTCGTGAAGCCTATTCTACAGGTTGCCTTTCGCCGATGGACTAACACCAGGCAGGCGCCCGTGAGCCCAGTCACTGATCAAGACACCAGCGATAGCAGTCCTAGGAGGCACCTTGATCGGCGGCGCGTTGCCCTGCCTAACTTCCTTCTCTATCTCTTGTTGTTTAGCCTTGTTCTGTTGTATGCTTGGATCGGAATGCGCAAGAGCAGCGGCACCCTGCTGTTGGGTGTTCTCCAAATTGCTCTGCTTCTCTTGGATATCTGCCATTCGACGATAGTCTTTGCGACTGAAGTTTGCGCCATCTGGGTGGCTTAAAACTTCTAAGATCTGGGCGCGGGTGAACCAACGGGCATCTAGACAACAGGAAGAGAAGGGAGTTAATAATTACGACATAGGATAGAAACGAGGCATGGAACCACGGCCTTGATCGTATAAGCCTCTTGTAATTCCACATACCTTCCAACTCGTTATCCAAATCTACTCGAATGGGCGATGACGGATCTGCGAAGGCATAGAAGCCCACCATCAAATTGGCAGGATATGGCTGTCCAACTTAGTCAGACTCAGAAAAATCTCTAGGGTAAAATCCACAGTACCCAAGGCTGAATTGAGTGGTACTTGACGTTCCAAACCTTTACGCCGGCCTCCTCCCATATCTCTCGTTTGACGGCATCTTCGAACGATTCTCCTGGTTCTATGAATCCGGCGAGTGTAGAATAAAATTTATCGGGGAATTTCTTCTACAACTGAAGTGAGCTTCAGGACGCAGCTGCACGGAGATAGTGGACACGGACATTCCGGCCTAATAAAATCTTATCGCCTGATTCGTCCACAACTGCCATGATAACGACGGCGTCGGTTCGCGGGTGCGCAAAGTTATGCAAGCCTTTGCTGTGGCGGCCATTAACCGGGCAGAAAGGAACCAAGGAGTACCAAAGAGACGCACGCAGAAGGGCATGGCTTTTTGCCCGCATTGTCGGCCCATGGCAACAACGAGGAACATGAGAGTTTCCAACCGGCCCAAAGGGAATAGACCGGGGATCCACAAGCCGGGCAGAACTACAACATATACAGGCCCAATATAGAGATTGATACTTTGTGGATGTAAAGAAGAAACCCCCACCTTATTTCTACCGTTCCAATCGACCATACTTCTCGCCTCAGCAAATAACGCAGCTTGAAACATATCCATGCTCCCCATTGCTGCTCGCGGCTCACTGAACTCCAGTTTCTCTCCCCTTTGAGCCGCTTCGGAACCGCTTAAGAGATCCTTGACCTTATCTGCATCGACGTCCGTAACATCCACGGTGAAGTATGGCGTGCCCTCGATGTTCGCGACAGCGGCTTCAGCTGCACCCTTGGCGCTGAATTCAGCGGATGGCAGCGCGCCACTCTTGCTTTCTTCAGGCTCATGTAAGCCTAGGAAGACGATAGGAGCGCCACGGAGCCGCGCCGCTTCTAACACCGGAGTGTCTACGGCTGCAGTTTCACCTTCACTTCGTCCTTGGCCGAAGAGAGGATCCGAGCCCAAGACTGGTCGAATATCATTCGTGGTAAAACTGGCCAAGCCGCGCGTACGACCATCTGGCTGCGTGGAAAGCAGCGGCTGGCCACCCTGATAGACCAGCCAACGAGCAGCAGGTGATGCAGCCACTGCATTTAGAAATGCTGGGGACTGCCGCAGCCATGATAGACGGTTCAGGGGGGAGCCTCCCAAGAAATTAACGTGTCTGATTTCGACTCAGTCAGTCTTCGATCATCCTGAACCTACACGTAACTCACGTCTCCCCCATTTTCCAGAACTGACGCCAAAGCTTGCCCGACACTCTTTAGCAGAAATTGTTCGTAAAAGGGTAGGCAAGTGGGCAAAGCCAAGCAACTCACTTGGCGATAGAGCGTCCGGAAGCTGACGAACGCCATAGTCGCGATTAGCAATCCTCGGGCAGGCCTTCCTGGAGCGTATCGGAGGCAGCCGGCGGCAAAGCCTGGGGACGCTCCCTTTGGACTTTCCAATGGAGATCATCCAAGTCCGTCGCTGCTATTGAACGCTCGCTGGCAATAGCCATTCTTTCGCCATTTGCGGTCGCGTACGACGAGCAGGAAGACACGAAACATGCGGCAGCTGTTCTTTAGCCGCGTCAAGAACGCGTTCATTCAACTCTATGGACTTCTTCTGACCCCGCCCGAATGGTCTAGCTTCAGCAAAGTCTTCCTTTCCAACGGCTTGCCTTGGGTGCGTTCTGCCATAGCTGGAAAGGTAGCTTTTGGAGCTACCTCTCTAACTTGAGGCTATGATTTCGAGAGTATGTATTTGCTCTCGTGGCTGTCGGCGGGTACCCTGGGCCAGGCTCCAAACACGCTGTGCGTGTTCATCATCTCTAGGTGATGCACAGCGTGTCTCTCTTCTCACTGGAGTCATCCTTCCGAGGGAGCGGTCCCCAGGAGACAACCGGTTATATGTCAGTTCGCGTCGACCGCGCAAGGCTTGCCTCACGTGTTGTTGCAGGTCCATCATGAGTTGGGGTTGGTCCCCTTATCTCAAGCCGCGTTTCATTGTCCCCCGGCCTCGCAGCACTCCAAGTTGCCTAAGATAAAATTGTATCCGCTCCTGATGCCGGCTTGAGCCTGCTCTTCGTGTGGCTGTTCCTGGTATCATCGTCTCCCCTTCCTCCATCCGTACGCCTCGTTGCAGAGTTGCGCGCCGGAAGTTACGACATACACCGTGAGGTCCTGCTCTGCGTTCAGTTACACGCCAGACAGAGATTTGACGACTTTGCTCCGTCCTGGCCATATTCAACGCCCTTTGACGTTTCCTTTTCGGGTGTGCTGGCATGTGCGTTTATTGCGGCCCTTTTAGGTGTATTATGCATCGTTAATCGCTCGCACTTGTCATGCGGCTAGGAATACCGGGCAGGTTCCTATCCCATGGACTAGTTCCGAGACCTGGGTAACTATTAAAGGCGAACGTCTGATTATCCAACCGCTACAAGTTTCGCTGTTCCAGTGAGTTGTACGCGTCCTTCGCCTGCACTCTTCGCCCTCAGCCTAAACCTAAACGATCCATTGCTATCCGCAGAGATGGCTGCTGTTCTTTGTCCGCGACCCACGATGCCGCCAGACCACCCGCGACACTCGCCTTCGACAAACCCGACGCGAGCTACACCTAAACCGCGACTCACTCCCGCCCAGGCAATCGTCAAAGCCTGGTTGTCGGAGTCGAGCAGCAGCCAGCGGAAGTGGCGGGAGACTGACGCCAAAGTCAAGGCTCAGTTCACGGAGCCCAGCTCGCCACGGGGGCGCGAGCCCAAGGCAAAGATGTAGAGGACTTTCGCGACCAGACCGCGACACCCACCCACCTCCGCCGACGTACCGGGCGGCACTCACGAAGACCATGCTGGAAACGCTAATGATACGGATCGATGACACGCAAACGAACGGATGACCGGGAGTGTAGGAATGGAGAGGAACCCATTAAACTTATAGGAAGGACTGATATTTGTAGCTCTATTATGGTGCTGTATATGTACACTGATTGTATTCGGAAATGGCGATTCGTTTGTTTTCCGTAATAGGACGTAGATTAGATTACTGCTGTAGCGGTGGCTGTGCCACGCCCTTCTCTTCCTACGCCTCGGACGCTGTCGGCCGATTCCATAGCTTACGTAACCATCTACTTTTTGGCATTTCTGTTCTCTGATTGGCGGATGCCCCACGCTCGTATTTACGCTTGCCGCCACCGCCACTTGGCCGCCATCGCTAGCGACGTCGTCGAGTCACTTGCCTTCACTGCCTACGTCGACCTCGAAGATGAACAAGACGGTGAAGGACTTGACTGCGGGGACGGCTGGTGGCATTGCCCAGGTAGGAGGCGGTCATGAGATCTTGGCTCAATCGCAGGTTCATGAAACAATGGTCCAAGGTCCTTGTGGGCCAGCCATTCGACATCGTGAAAGTGGTGCGTAGTCAAGGAGATGGGTGATACACGCCAACTTTTAATGATACCTTCGAATCACAGCGGATGCAAACTTCTGCTGCGGGCACGTACAAGGGCATGCTCGACTGCGCCGGGCAAATCCTCAAGAACGAGGGTCCGCTAGCCTTCTACAAGGTGCCGACCCTGCTCTCTCATCGTCTGCCTTGAACCAACCGTATCTTTCCGCCCCGTCTTGCAAACCGAAAAGGGTACCGTTCCGCCTCTCCTCGGCATCGGCGCCTGCGTATCGATCCAGTTCGGCGTGCTTGAATACACGAAGCGATTCTTCGCAAGCCAAAATTTGTCCAGGGGGCTTGGTGGACCCGACGGAACAAGTCTGACCGATGGCCAGTTTTACTGGGCAGGTGTCGCCGCTGGCGTGGGCAACAGCGTGGTCTCGGGTCCGGTGGAGCATATTCGTATCCGTGCGTGCAGTTTCCAGGATTAATTATCGCTGCGCTACGTGATGTCAATATCTGCGGTAACCTGGGCTAGGTTTACAAACACAATCTGCGGTTAATCCAACCTATGCTGGGCCATTCGATGCCGTGCGGAAGATATACTCGGCTCACGGTATCGCCGGTATCTACAAAGGACAGGTTGTCACATTATGGCGTGAAGCAGCTGGCTACGGCATATATTTCTGGGCGTATGAAAAGCTCGTGCAGAGGGAAATATCGAAAAAGGGAATTAGGAGAGATCAGATATCCGCCCTGAACGCGGTGCTGTACGGTGCTGGAGCCGGATATGCTGTAAGTCCCTGCAATAGCGGACTATACCAGGAACTCATATGCAACATGATAATCAGCTGTGGGCGGTCATTTACCCAATTGACATGATCAAATCCCGGATGCAAACTGATGGCTTCTCGCCTTCCACCGGCCAGAAATACAAGTCTACGCTCGACTGCGTACGCACGGTATGGCGCACAGAAGGAATAAGAGCTTTCACCCGGGGGTTAGGTCCTACGTTGATCCGGTGAGCTCCCATCACAGACGAGCTACTATCCGGGAACTAACATCATCGATAGGTCGCCCTTCGCAAATGGAGCAACCTTCCTGGGCTTTGAGATGGCTAGCAGGGTTTTGAATAACTCCTAGTTCCTGGTCCTGAACACCGTCTATCGGTACGATAGCCGATTCGACCACCACAAGTTACGCAATTTGAAAACCGGGTTCAACTTCGGACAAGTTATCTAACGATGGATGCGGAGATATACCGATAAACATAGAGTTAACGTTAGAATCTGCATAATCCATAGACGATGTATTGATCTTCTGTCTCCATCTAGTCGTTGCTTTGTATTCTGCTGATCTTCAAATTAGTTCTTTGCGCTTGGTTTTTGTTCCGAAAGTACTACGTGCGATCCGAGTAGCCTGTCTGTCCCGAAGTCATCGATAAAGATGAGGGAGCGTCAGCGCAGAGCGATCCTCTCCATTCTGCAGTAGCTACAGCCACTGGCATAAGAATCAGAAGCATGCGAAGTGCGGGGATCAACCAGTCCAGGTATAGCTTCCGAAGAGACATCATGACCGGGATCTGCTCCCGGTGTATTCCAAACATTGCGGAACTTCTTCATTTTCCATATTTTCACCCCCCGCACTCTGCTGCGCAACCATGCCCGGAGGTATTCAACTTCAGCGAGCTTTCCTGCGCGCGCCCAAGTTTGCGGTTGTGGGCGCTTCTAAGAATCAAACCAAGTACGGAACGAAGGTGAGCGAACTCAGGCCCTTGGAGAGGGGAAATCCACCTATCCAGACTGCATCATACTATGTAGCAGTACTAGTGTACCTCCCCTTGTTCAAGATTAGGTTAGACGCGACTTGGGATCGATATCGAGCGATATCGAGTTCCGAGGCAACCTTATCTAAAGAATAAGGGCGGGCAGATGATGTCCTCCATCCCGGACTCGACGTTCCATTACGATGCATGTGGGCGGATGGAAGATCTGATAAGTTGTGCCCTTCTGCATAGGTGCTGCAATGGTATCTTGCCCGATCAAAGCCCGTCACGCCGGTCCATCCTGTGCGTTATCGCTCCCCGTCTCCGATGGTGATCTACGCGAGCGGGCCTGAGCCTAAGGGCAGATCACGATCACGTCGGCGGTCGTCTCCCCCTGGTCAGAGCTGACTTGCCCGATTAATTATCCTTGTTGTAGAGGGAAGTCGAGCTAGAAGGCCTCCGGACGGTGCCAACTCTCGCGGAACTTCCTGAGCCTGCCCGGACCTCGGTGCATGTCATCACGCCGCCCAAGGTACCGCTCCCTTACAACTAACGCATCTTACATCCTGGATTTCTGATTCATGTATGACGTAGGTAACTCTGGATATACTCTCGCAGGCAAAGGTGCTGCATGTGCCGACGATCTGGCTGCAGCCTGGCGTGGCGGATGAGGAGGTCGCTAAGTTCATCCAAGAAAACGGAATGGAAGATCGTGTCATTTATGGCGGCCCATGCATTTTGAGAGACGGAGATGGTGTCTTGAAGACTATGGCCTGAACGGATATGTAGCATCCGCATTATCATCTGCACGGAACCTGGTGGTGAATGGATTCCCTTTGCTTCGGTGGATGCCCGCCCTCGTACTGATCACATATCTGCATGTCGGAATTTCCTCTTGAGCGGTCCAATGGCTTGATGCAGTCATCTGAGCACGCGTGATCCGTGACATTGTATCGAAATCGTAGTTCGTACTATCGTTCAATCAACATAAGCCAGAGAGTATTACCGGAGATACGTATGTGGGAAGAGCCAGCGGACTGACTACCGACGTACATTTACAGCATGCTCTTGAGGATTCCATCCCCCTCTACGAGGATACACGGCCCTCCATAAATCACCTTGTCCTCCATGTTATTATCCCGTATAAACGAGACAACCGTGTCATCATGGGTGCCTGGCTGAAGCCAGAGCGCTGGGATAGAAAGGGCCTTCGCCTCTTTCAAAAGGCCAATGGTGATCTGTACGACATGAGAGGCGCATATGATTCTCAGCAGTAAATATCGAAGCAAACCCGAGTCGCTTAGTACCACTCACTGGCGGAGCAGTAATGACGCTGACAGCAGTCTCTTGAGGAACAGATAGGTCGGACAGTGACTTCACTGTTGGGAGGTCCTCCAACTCCGGCTCTCTCTACCGGGTTTGAAGAGGACACGATGAGCATTTAGCCGCAGGAAGCGAGGCGAATGTGCGACGAACAGGGTGCACAGGCGTAACCCGCTTGCCGCGGTCTTTATACCATTTCAGAACCTGCGAACCGAGTACCCTTCAGTAAACTTCAGTCGAATCACTATACAGCCGTTCGCGGAGGCCCAGATTACAGAACCTTGGTTCCCCATTTTGACTGGTCCTTTGATGCGCCGACGACAGCGAATTGAGGCTGCGAGAGGAATGTTCGCTTGACTTGCTCAACATAGGTCATCCTGAAGCCTAGCGGACGATATGTTCATGAGAATGCCATTTGGAGTTGCTCTCAACCACCTCGTTCAGGCTCACAGAGGACCCGGCTGCTCCGGGCCGGGCAACTGGTCGCATCCTATTCGTTTTAGTCTACATCTTGACCAGTTTATTCTTAAGCGGTGGATACTTTGGGGGTGGTATAATCATTTCGTCTTTAATCGTGATTTATAAAGCAACCTTGATATTGGTGAAGCCCTACATTCCAATTCAATTCTTTACAACACGAGATCTGACCTTGTTGATCATGATTCTTCACTACTTGTACATTACAATACTGCCCTTTCACAATTTCTCCTTCAGTTCCCCAGATCAGGAATACGACCTGGAACAATCTCAATCCAGTACCTACAGAATTGTAGTAATCAGAGTCAAGATAAACACTACCTGAAGCACTGAACTCACCCATCAGGATCCAGAATGAAGGCAATGTGCCTCATCTTCCCGTCAGTCGGCTTCTTCTTGAAGGTCACACCAAGCTTCTCAAATCGTTCGCAGGCCTTCTCGACGTCAGGGACGGTGATGGCAATGTGCCCGAAGCCCTTTCCGGGGTCACTGTTGCCGGATGCGTAGCCTTGGAAGTTGGGGTCAGACTCAGTGCCGTGGTTGTGCGTAAGCTCGAGCACGCCTGAGATGTGGGAGGTGAACCTGAGATACACAGATAAAGAATGACAATGGCGGTTCTGACCTTCACGGCTGAACCGAGTCTCTGCCTTCTCCTGAGCCGTCAGCTTGCCTCCGGATCGATCAAATGCGAGGAAGTAGAGGGTGAAGCTATCGAATTTCGCCTCTAGAATGGATGGTGGCCTTCAGTCAGAGAAGTAGTCTTGCACGAGATCGGGAGGGACAAAGGTACCTGAGAGTAGATCCATGCCAAGCACCTGGTCGGTCATTTATCAGTGATCCCCGTGAAACCGAGGTACAAGGCGGAATATCACCTCTTGGTAGAATTTGAGAGACACCTTGGGATCCTTGACACGGATCATGGTGTGATTGAACTACATTAATAGCGACGCGTAGAGTTAGATTCACGCTGTCTCCTAGGGTGCACCTGCAGCTTACCGCATAATTCGCAGTCTCCGGATCGCGCGCCATGGTGTGCAGGGGATATACGAGCAGTAAAGGGAACAAGGGGAAGCTCGGAATTATATACCCTCTCAGCTCTGGTCAGGATTCTAAATTTATGAAGTCATAGGACGCCGATAAGAGATCGGAACTCCGCGAATCGCATCCGAGGTCGCCCAAAACGTCGTATATCCCGACCGTCCTCGTCCTCGCCAGAAGCAGGCGACCGCAGTTTACCTGCTACATAGAAGCAAGCCTGTGGCGAGAGTATGTTCAAACCATTCTAAGCTACGCAGACGAGAACGCCAAATAATCAGGAGCGGCAAAAATACCCAAAGCTCTCATGCGCATGGTTCTTACAGAGCTTGCGTCATAGTCGTATTAAATGAAGACTAAGGAAGTCCAACATGTACCACGGCGGACAATACAGCCCACAAACATAGTGAAGGTCACATTTCCCCATCACAACAAGCAGGACTCTGCTAATTGTGGCATGGTTCCCCGTGTCCGGCAAGTCCCGTGTAATGCTCCGACTTGCCTTATCCAGCGATTCTATAGCCATTCAGCTCACCCCTTGTCTCCTGCCTGCCACGACGACGAGCTGTGTAGCCTGCCGCCCAATGTCTGGGCTGCTGTCCATAGTTGGCTGGTTTTTCTTTCGCATTGGATGGCCGTATGACTTGTTCCAACGTGTTGAAGACCTTCGCAACGCCTCATCGCTCCCGAGACTGCGATAATCTGGTTCATATTCAGGGGCTGACGAGCAACAGCCGCGCATATATCCTGGGTTTCCTTTGCTTAAGGTGCACATATGATTGTATGATCTTTGCACCTGCCTTCTCGGTCAAGCCTGCTGCTGCTGTTTCCTTCCACCACGCCGGCGATACGTATCTGCTGGCTAGCGATCGTCATGGGGCTTCTGTGTCTAGCGGAGATACTCGCTGTGGGTTCTGATCATCTCTAAGGGCACCGGCGTCTTTCGATTCAGACTGTGCCGTCTACTAGTTCGGAAGCTCTAGAGGCCACTTTCTGTGGCAAGCAACAATCAACACAGATTGGCGCAGAAGCGCTACAGCGCCCTTTGTCTAGCCTGGCTCCTGCAAATATACGACGCCACTCGAGCTGGCTCTTTTGTCGATGTGCTAATGACGATTCCGGTTTCATCCATTCCGCCCTCTGGTAACTTATTGGTCTGTGCCCCGCTCAGCCTGTAACGGCCAACTAGCCATCCTGTATGCTTGTGTACGCTCGCCCAGTCAGACTGCTGGTTCAGGGTGCTCCCTCGCCATTTTTCTTGGGGGTGTCGTCTCCGTGCAGTTCTTCGTGGGAGCTGTGGCCCTGGCAGTCGCGATCCAAATGCTGTGCAGACGCGCGGAGTCCCAATCTGGCGCAATCTCCGCCCCAAAGACGCGTCTGTTGACTGGGTTCACGTGTCACGGTTGGCTTATCGTCTCTCTCCATGTCGACCACCGTTTCCTCCCTTTGTGTCCCCTCCAAATATCGTCGCCAAAGTACGGACGTCCTGGATGACATGCTTACTTTGCCTCCCATAAGATCTCTCGGCGACTCTAGCTCCCCGTTACCCTCATCATCGCCTATCGTGCCTCGACTACCAGGTCTCAGTTCAATGGCCCCTTTATCGTCTTCCAAGCGCTCTCCCCTTCGAAAAACGCACGCGCGTATCCAGTCGAGTCCAGCGCTAGGCTTCGAGATCGGGCTTTATGACGTTGACGATGACAACGGTGGATCCTCCGTTTGGACGCCCTATAGGCACAATGGCGATCCGGCCGCGGGGAAGGTTGCAAGGACACGGTGGCACTCTGCCGATACTGACATCCCCCTTCCGAGCTTTAGAGCCAGTTTTTCGCCTAGTGATGACTCTGAGCCTCCCCTCACGTCTGACTTCGACATGTCGGAATTTTCTGAAGATATGGACGTCGATGTCGTGGATCTTTCAGGCGACGAAGACTTTAGGCAGCCATCATATTCTCATCATCTGCGTCGCGGGCAGGACGCAGAGTTCCCACAAATCGATGCAATCGACTACTCCCATGACCCGAAGTCCTCGTCTCACTCTGTCTCCGCTGAGCACGGACGCTTAGCCAACCTCACCGCACACGATCCCTCGGCGCTCAGTATTGCGGACATTCTCCTTCAATTCCACGATCAACCGCGACATGCCAGATCAGACAGCATTGAACCGCCCCGCCGTGACCCATCACCGTTACCAGAGCACTCCTCAGTGGCATCCGAGGATTCTCCCTCAGAGGTGTCACATGTTGAGGCGTATGACGCCCCGCCTAGTCCCTTGTCCCCGCTTCCGCCATCGTCGCCTGCGCTGTCGCTTTTGTCGATGGGCCTTGATCTGGCGGCCGAGGAAGACGTGAACGATGCAGCCGACGTTGAAGTTGTGGCCGCTACGACGTCGGTCGTGCCGTCGGATTCAATCCCTTCCGGCTCCTCGGAGTCTTCAAGACCGTCTAAAGTAATGTCTGTTGAGATGTTGCTGCTCCCGAGACATACTACTCCTGAGCCTCAGCCCGCGAAAGTCGAGGAGGTCGAGCTCGCGCCATTATTAAAGCAACCGCTCGCTAATAAGCAAAACCAGCTTCCCCATACTGCGACCACCAGTACCGCCGTCTCCCTTGACCTTGATATCGAGACGAGTGACTTGTCCGCGCTATCATCAAGACCTTCTACACCTGTCTCTCGTCGGGACGCGAATTCCTTGAAAGAGATAGCAAAGGGGAAGCGGGTCGGAACTGCAGTTCAGGTGACGAAGACGGTGAGAGTCAAAAAGCCTGCTGGGAAGTCTGACGTCAAGGTCGAGGCTATCGAGGACATGGGAGAGAAAACTGCGCTCCCCAAACGGAAGGATGGCAGTGCATCTGGGTCAGGACAGGAGCAGAGGAGGAGTACAGGTGCTGAGGATGGTCCGAAAAGGAAGAAGATTCGCACCGTCGTGGACGCACGGGAGGATAGTGGGCCGAAGAAGAAGCAGCGTGGCAAAGAGGAAGCTAAGGGTTCCGCCGACGCTGCTTCATCGAAGGTCCCGAAGAACAAACGGAAGAAAGAATCTGAGCCGCCCTCTACATGTCTGGAACCCGTTTCTTTGGAAGCGGAAGGAGACTCCGTATTAAAGCAGCAGTCGCCACCTGTCCGTCAGCCATCGCCGTCTCCTGAAGCTTCATTATCAACGACTACGCCGGGAGTGCAGGCTGCCACGTCCGATGAGAACGATGGAATGTCGAATACCGAAATGGTGGGGCTTCTCATCGAGACCTTTGCCATGTCGCGTGCATCGTCTATGCCTCCTTCCTCACTATACAAATCAGCCGTGCAGTGCCGTCCCGCGCTCAAGTCGCAGCGAAGCAAGGATGAATGGATAGCTGTGATCGAGACAGTTCTCGCTGAAGGCAGAGAGAGATGCGGCGTGTTTGAACGCGTTGAGTCCAGTTACAAGGTGCGTTCTCAGGAATACTGCGGTGTGGGAAGCGTGTCTCACTCGCTTGTCGCATCCCAGGGCAATTCAGATCGTCCGCTCGAGGCTCAGTGGTTCTACGTCCCGGAGCGAGACGAAGACCAAGAGAGAGCAGAGCTCATTCGGAGTATGATGCCTCGTCTGGAGAAGCGGAAGGAAACAAGAAAGTACAAGCAGTATTACTGGCAACCATTGGACAAGATGTCCAAATGGGACCCTGAAGACGAGATGTGAATGATGGAACTTCTGCTGTATGTCATGGCATGCTATTTATGTTTTCGAACTTGCGATTTGTCACGAAATTTATGAATATCTGCATTGTTGTATGGTATCCACATACCTAGTGTCCTCGTAATGCCCAATTCAATCTTCTTCAACACTCAGTTAGAGTGCTAATCTATAAACCGCAAGAAAGGGAGTGGAGCGCAGAAAGAGGGATGTCCCCTAAATGAAGTTGTGAGGTGTCCTTGTCACAGCCCCGCAGTAACCAGTTAGCATAATAATGAGTGTCGGCTAGCCCAGCCCGCCTAGCGCTCATCCATCTGTCCTTTACTTTTCTCTCCCACCGGCTGGGACAGCACACGAATCTGAGCTTCAACACGCTCCTCGTCGCCAGCCATGTCCTTCTTTAACCGCCACCCGCGCTACACGATCGCGCTCGTTGTCTGCCTCTTCGTCCTCGTCATCATCCTCTTCAATTCCGACTCTGCTGGGCCTGGAGGACCGAGTGCGTACCGTTTCCGTGGCCAGAGGCGGCCGCCGCCGCCTCCAGGCTTGTATACGGAGGACGTGGTTGCTATGAACGAGGCGGCGTACCAGGAGTCGCTGAAGGAGAGACAGAAGCTGATTGCCAAGTACGGCCCGACTGCTAGCTCGGTCGAAGCGTTCCCCAGCCACGGCGAGTTCTACACCCTGTGTAAGCTAGTCTATGATCTCTTTCGCGCGCCATTACTGAGTGTGCCGGCAGGGGACTTCTTCACCCCCGCATTCCAGTGCCCGCACCGCACCGAGCGAGTCGGCACGCTCGGTGACGGAGGCAAATGGGTCTGTGGCTTGGAGCGGATCGCGAGGAAACCCAAGTGTGTCATCTACTCCTTCGGTGAGTGTCGCCTTCTTTGGTGCAATCTACCAGGGGCGCCAGCTTCGGTCCATTGTCCCTGCGACCGTCTTCGCATGGGAACGTCGGTGGGAATGCCCTGAGTGGGTTATCATACCGGGCTCTATTTTCAATTATGGAGACGCGTTCTGCGCGTGGGATGGGGCGCTTTGCTATGAACGGGGGAGCTGACGTAGTGGTTGTATTTGTGACTAGGTGTCAACGGCGAGTCGAGCTTTGAAGCTACCCTCCTCCAGCGCGCGCCGGGATGCGAAGTGTGGGGCTACGACTTTAGTGTAAATTCGGTGAGTATTCTATTCTTCATAATGTCGACGTCATTAAGAGAAGTCTTGCATGTAGTTCGGCCCCGAAATCACTGAAGTTCCGTCCCTGAATGCGCGGTCCCACTTCTACCCATACGCGCTGGGCTCCTACGACGCCCCCGAATCAAATCCGCCCTACTACACCCTCCAGTCGCTCATGAAGAAGAACGGCCATGACTTCATTGACATCCTCAAGGTCGACATCGAGGGCGCGGAGTTCGAGTCGCTCACATCTTTCCTCAACGCGCACTCGGTCACCGAGGGGTTGCCCATCGGTCAGCTGCAGCTTGAGATCCACGCGCGCGACAGTAAGTACGGCGAGTTCAAGAACTTCTTGAAGTGGTGGGAGTCGTTGGAGAGGTTTGGCCTGCGTCCTTTCTGGACAGAGCCGAACTTGGTGTATGTGAACCTCATCAGAGGGGTTAGGCCTGATTTGGTTGAGGTCAGTTGAGGTTTCCAGTTTGCCTTCTTCCGTAATTAATCATTTGCTCGACGTCACAGTACTCCTTCATCAACATCAGAGGCCAACACGAACTCGTATCCGACGAGGTCATTCACTAAGAGCCGCATATGTCTCCCGTATAAGTATCCTAATCCTCTACGGACTTAATCCAGGGCCATTTCCTGGCTCTCGAATGGACCTCACACAATTAATTCTGTCAGCGGCGTGGGCCAGCGGTCCTCCGTACTCTTGCTCCGCTCCTTAGTGTACTCGTATATGCGCGCACGGTAGAATATAACCGGGGCATTGATCATACCCTCAAATACTGTATATCCTCAGAAAGGCCATTCTTATTTATCTTCCACTCTGAGATTTGACTGAGACTGGAGGGCGTCGTCATTTCGGCCCTTTCCGTGGGATCGAATTCACCGAATATTCGCCGCTCGCGTCGAGGATTCCCTGCAGAGCACCTCGTCCTGCTGTCCGAGTTCCTGTCTGATTCTATGAGTGTTTCTCTTTTCATCTGTCTATTGGTTGTTCTTGCAGATGATGACTCTGTTTCTTTTCGAGGGCGCGTAATTTGTAATGCGTCTAGTGATCACTAAATGTGCTCGATATGGGCGTCAGTCATCATCTTCCTTCTAAATGTTCTATTCGTGATGGGACTCGACCGGCGCGAAGTCCTGCACGACTGGCCGTGGGGGCAAGCAAGTCAGCTGTTTATGCAGCTGTATTATTCGAAGCCGTTGTATGTAATCCTCAGGCTCGGTATAAAAGCAGGGGGAATGTGTTGAACCCCCCCTGCAACCGGGTTCGCTATGGCTGCCATCCTTCGTGGCCTTGCAGCCGCTTGTCTGCCTGCTCTAGCACTGGGCGCAACGTTCGACCTCTCGGGTCTCTCTTGGACGCTCAAGAACGCGAACGGCTCTATTGCTATACCCGGCTCTGTCCCATCTCAGGCGCACTTGGATCTTTTAAAGGCAGGTGTGATATCTGAGCCTCTGCTTGGCATAAATGGTATGCGTACAGTGCGTAGTTCTCGTGAATGATGTCGTTCTGACCTGCCTAAGACGACCTGCAACGATGGATCGTAAATGACAACTGGACTTACACGGCTGATCTGACGCCCTTCACGTCTACGTACGCACATACCCCGGGCGAACGAGCTCTATTGGTATTCTACGGCTTGGACACGATCGCGAACATAGTATGTACTACAGTCGCATCCTAACAGTGATGTCTACAGCTTTCGCAGACCCTGGCAGGGAACCCTGTCGCATGGGTGAACAACCAATTCCGCCAATACGTGTTTGATATCACGGAAAAGCTCGCCTCCCCGCGTTCCGGCGATAACAATCTGACAGTCGCGTTCGAGTCCGCCTGGTACTATGGGCTGAACGTCACCTCCCGGCCCGACGCCGAGTATTTCCCGAACACCGCGAACGTTACCACTGTAGACAACGTGCATATATCCTAGCTTTATCCGAGCTTTCGCTCTACTGACATCCGCGCAGTTCGAATATCCCGGCGTGCGTCAGTATATCCGCAAGATCGACGACGACTTTGGTTGGGATTGGGTAAGTGACTCCGCGTGAGACTGCCCGACCGATCGCACTTACCCCCAGCGAATCTGGATCCTTAGGGACCCGCATTTGTGCCCTCGGGTATATTCAAGCCAGCGTACATTGTCACGCTCCTTGATCCCACGGACATCATCCAAGTCGCCCCGATCGAGCTCTCAGGCTCGGACATCGTTTTCCTCGAAGAATCTTCGATCGATATTTACAAGCCGCTCTCGGACCCGTCCACGCTCACGTACGACGAGGCCGCCGACTGGAACGTCAACGTCACCCTTGCGCTTCGCTCCGCCCTTCCCCTCTCGGCGCCCACTATCACCCTCTCTATCCCCGAGCTCAACCTCACTTCGGATGCGATCGCCGTGGAGTCCTTGCCGGGGGACACCGCGGAGGCGAAATGGGTGACCGCGATGTGGACAGTGCCCGAGGGCCTCCCGCAGCGGTGGTACACGCACGACCTCGCGACGGGCCCGAAGCTGTACAACCTGACTGTGACGCTCGACTTCCATGTCTTCAAATTCCCGGCTAATATCTCCCTTACCCGCGCGACCGGGTTCAGGACGATCCGCCTCGCGCAAACGGCGTATAGTCCTGAGGAAATTGCGGCGAGGGGGATTACGCCTGGCGACCAGTGGCACTTCGAGATTAACGGAATGGCGTTCTATAGCAAAGGGACGAATATTATTCCGTTTGATCCATTCTATTCGAGGATTACGACCGAGCAGGTAAGGTGGGTGCTGCAAGCTGCTGTATTGAGCGGTCAGAATATGGTCAGTTGTGATTCTAAGTCCCAAGAGCTCCACGGGGTAGCGCTGACGCGGTGCTTGATCCAGCTACGAGTCTGGGGAGGCGGGATGTACCAGCCATCCTCGTCCGACGTCGCCGGTGGCGTATACTCGTTCTACTCGCTCTGCGACGAACTTGGCATCCTTGCCTGGTCCGAGCTCATCTTCTCGGACACCTTATACCCCATCAACCCGTTCCTGCTGGAAAACATCGAGCCCGAGGTCCGGCAGAACGTGCGCCGCGTGAACACCCATCCCAGCAATGCGCAGTGGGCGGGCGGGAACGAGATCGAGGGGATTGTGCTGCAGGCTAACTATAGCTTAGCGAATGGGACGCATTATCTCAATGAGGTGCATTGTGATTGGATGTTGAAGGGAAGGAACTGGAGGACACTGATGTTTTCGCTCCTAGTTCGTGACGCTGTTCCAGGATTTCTTGTACGGCATAGTGACCTCGGAGACGGAATCGGTAAGAGGGCTTCTTCGATAGGAGTTTGTAACCGCTGAAGGTTGCTGTAGGTTCCCTATACGGATTGTTCTACGACCCATGGGGTCCTGAGCCTTGAGCCGTACGTGCTCCGGTTCTTGAACGCCACTCCTGGATCCATATACGGCAATTCTGGTACGTTGTCTGAATGCTATCAGTACTTCCTCGATCTGAGCAAATATTATAGAGCGGTACAATTACGATGCGTCGCAGGCATTCAACCTCAGCACTTTCCCGGTATCCAGGTTCGTTAATGAGTTCGGCTTCCACTCGATGCCGTCTTTCTATAGCTGGGAAGAGGTACTCGAGAACCCTGAAGATTTCAACTTTAACTCCACAGTCGTGATGTCTCGCGACCATCATCCGCCAGCCGGCAATCTGTCGTTCCCCAACCCGAACGCTCCTCAAGGGCAATACCAAATGACGCAGGGCGTTGAGCTCTGGTTGCCCACACCCGGTACCTCCGACTCCAACCAGACGTTCGCTCAGTGGTGCTACAGCACGCAGATATTTCAGTCGATGACGATGGCGGCCCAGATTGCCTTCTACCGTCGGGGGGCGGGCTTTGGCGAGAATAACCTAGGAAGTCTTGTCTGGCAGCTTAACGACATTTGGCAGGGTGTCAGCTGGTCTGCCGTAGAATACTCTGGTCGATGGAAGGTTCTCAACTATGGATTGGCCAACGTCTATAGCCCGGTCATCATCAGTTCGTTCTGGACACCTGAGAACGGGACTTTGGACGTCATGGTCACCTCCGACCGCTGGACTGATGTTTCAGGGACCGCTCAGTTGACGTGGTTCGACTGGACCGGGAAGGAGCTGAACTCGACTTCCTATGACTTTACCGTCCCCTCGTTGAATAACACCGTTCTTCTGAGCGCTACCGGCCTGAGCAACATCCTCCCGGCCGGCTCCCAAGTCAACGATGTCTTCCTCTTGATGAATCTGACGGCACAAGCAGACAATCGGACCGTCACTAACGAGCAATATGTGAGTCGTCTGCTTCTCCTCACGGGCGCAGATATTGAGCTTTCGCTCTTAGTTCACTCCCGCATCGCTGGCCAATGCTGCGCTTGTCGATCCGCAGATTCGCGTTGTCGGTCACGACAATTATACTTTCGAGCTCTCGGCACTGGGCGGCGTCGCTCCTTGGACATGGATCGACCATCCAGCCGGTACCGTTGGCTACTTCGTCGACACAATAACATGTTTGCCGTCGAACGGATTCTACCTGATCCCAGGGAGGGACCGCACAGGTAATGTGCTCCAGTTTACGGAGGAGACAAACCATACTGATGGTGCTGATAGTCCAATTCATGCTAAATCCGATACTATCCAAGTCACAAAGCCCCGACCCGGCGGAATTTGTAGTCAGATCCGTTTGGAATAATACGCACGTATAGTTCCTGGCCAGTACTTTTGTCACGTAGTTGGACAAACGAATACCTGATTACTCCGGAATCCGGGAAGGACTGGTATTGCCATAGATTACAGATAAACTACAGACACGCTACATCTCGAAAGTGACAAATGAATAAGTTAGTTTACAACGACCACTGGCAACACATCTACGAACTGCAATGAAAGGTAGAAATAGCGTCCAAATGGATGCTAACTAGCATCGAAAAGTGATAAGAGTACGCGCAAAGTCCGGTCGTTCCCTTGTCCGTAGTCTTTAAGCGAGGCGAGTAGAGTCTGGACGCCCGCTTCGTTCGACAAATGCTTGAGGGTCAAGGCCTTCAAAGAGTTCTCGATGCGGAGCGAGAGGGAGTCCATGAGGAGCATTAAGTCATTGTCAGAGGCCTTCTCGCTGATCGCAGGCATCAGCAACTCCGCATTTCCGCGGATGATGCATGATCCTGAGGAGGACTCGTCGGCACCGGCTTGACCTGCTCTGCTGCTTTTGCCTGGCGGTTCGGCCCGGAACACCCGACCGGAAGTCAGGGCCTCCAGGCGGATGGCTAACATCTCCAACTGACGCATCTGGTCCACGCTGAACTGTATCCTGGACGTGTTCTCGCTTGGCCTCTCGTCTTTGAGATCCTTACGTCCTGCAAGCGCACGAGGATACACGACCGAGAGCATCTCGGGGATTTCCAACCCCTTGAGCTTCACCTCCCCAACGGGGACCACCTCGATACCGATCTGCTGTATGGCCTCAATCGCCTGAGGAGCCTGAGAGAAGGAATATTCGGTTTCGGGCTCAGTGCCCAGTACTTTGGCGTTAATCTCTCGGACGACATCTGCGCTGCACATGATCTGACCTCCTGCAGCACGAGCGCAGATCCGCGCCGAACGGTTGACCATAGTGCCAAAATAATCCATACGATGCGTGATCGGATCTCTTTCGCATACGGGAGTGCCACAGTGCATACCCATCCTCACGGATAGACCCCTCTCAATGATACGGCCATCGGCATCGAGTATTTCCTTTCCGTCCTCGCACTCTAGGATTTCCAGAGGCCAGGCTTCCTTGAGTAATGCTTCTTGAACCGAAAGACACCACCACAAGGCTGAGAGCGAATTCTGGAAGGAGCACATGAAGGCATCACCTTCGGTCTTGACTTCGTACCCACCGCAGAAGCGTAACTGCCTCCGCAATAGGTTGTTGTGTAGGCGCATAGCAGTCGCCATCCCTGAATTCACCTCCCATAGATGTGTAGAATTGCGGATGTCGGTGAACACCAAAGCCACATGTCCGACGGGAGGTGATACCTCTATATCGAGACGTGATATGTTGCGATCATTGATTTCATCTCGCCGTCTGCGGCGCAGGGATGAGGCATACTCTGGATCGACGAAAGAGTCCATAGTCGGTTGACGAGAGCGTACGTTGGAATGAAAAAGTTCGGCCACGCTGATGACCATGATCATGGTGCTGCCATCTGCTCCGTAGCTAATGGCAAAGTCGCGCAGTTTCTGAGCTGCGATCATTGGATCGTCGCGCGCTGACCGAGCGATGTCGACCGCTGTTTGATAAGAGACGTAGTCCCACAAACCGCGGTTGCCTATGATCACGAATTCGTCTAAGGCACTCAAGTGGTAAGTGTGCACATACGGCCGCGCGTTGACCACTGGGAGGAGATTATAGAACCCGAAGGCACGGGACATGTCAACCTCATCATTGACAAGGCCCTTGGGTGACACCCAACCTTCGGCCGCTCGAATCCTCGCAGTCTCCTCGCGGTCGAATGGGTCATGCTTTTTCGCTAGAGGCATCGCAGCACCCTGTTTTGAGACTACAGCTAGAGCATTCCCCGCATTTGCGACGTACAGGGTCTTCTCCTGGAGATACAACGCTATACCGCAAGCACCACTCTGGCTGGATATATCGTGGACGGCGTGGACTTGCATGCTACCGCCAGTTGACATCTTGCGATTGTTACCCGAATAAAGACTGTCGTGCATGGATTTATTGAGCGCTAAGAATGTCCGCCTCAGAGCATCGGGGACGCCATTAGCATCGATAAGATTGATCATTTGGAGCTCTTTGATGAGCGTAGGGATGAACCGGTCATGCAAGTATTTTGCCAGGACATTGTTATTGCCCTTCGACTGCGCACGCCCGAACATAGCGAAGACGGCCTCGTTCTCCTTGCCCCGGAAACGCGGTTGCACGAGGTCGAACATGCTGAGATGCTCCGACTTGCCTAAAGTATCTGCAATACCGTAGGCCAACCCATTGACGTCGGAACCGGAGGTGCGGACTCGGCGATCTTCTGTCTCTTCTGGAATATTAGGCACAAAGGTCGTGGTGACGTCCATTAGACCCAATATGCGAAGTTGCGTCAAGTCCGTAAATCCAGCCAACATCTTCCGATGTTGCTGTTCCACGTTGCGTTGCCCCTTGTGACTCATGTGAGCGTCTGGCTTGATCTCCAGTCGTTTGTTTCCAGACAAGTTGAGATATTTCAGGTTCGTATTGAAGTTCCTACGGGAATGTCAGGGGAAGTCATACTATTATCACGATGAGACGTACCAGTTCCAATCGAACTCCCAATTGTTGATATTGTACTTCAATACGTTACTTCCGACATCCAGAGCCTGAAGACTGGTGACTTTCGCAAGCTCCTGCGGTAATGTCTGCAACTTGTTTCCATTGAGGAAAAGGACTGTTAGCTTGGTTAAACGATGGAGATCCTCAGTCGGAATGATTGATAATTTGTTTCCGCTGAGGTATAGCTCTTCCAACTTCAACAGGCTGGCGAAGAATCGTGACGGCATTTCTTGTATATCGTTGAACGACAGATTAAGAACTTTCAGTTCCTTCAGGACGGTCAACGCATGCAGTGCTTCATCCCCTAACCTGTTCTCTCCTAAGAAAAGGCGTTCCAACGATTTGGCCAGAGGAGGCATCGCACGAGCTTGCTCGAGGGAAATAGTCGACCCTTTCCTTTCAGATATCAAGGAGTTCGCAAAACTATTGTTGTCACCAGCCGGAACCGGTGGTACCGTCATGGGTGGGTTATGCCAGACATTGACCAGGTTGGAGGTGAAGTTGATATGGACAAGGGAGGCGCAGTTCCACAACTCAGCCGGAAGCTCCGTCAAGCTATTGTTGTGGGCGTCAAGGGTTTCTAGCTTCTGCAATTTCCCGATACTGATTGGCAAAGAATCAAGCTGATTATCTGAGCACGATAGATGCTCCAGTCTCTCTAGCTGGCCTAGAGATTCCGGAATGAACCTGAACGAGTTATGATCGAGCTTCAAAGACTTCAGCGATGTCAGCTGCGAGAAGATTGCTTCATCAAGGGAGGGTAGCTTCGCGTAGGAAATATCTAATGATGTGAGGACGTATGGGAATGGATTCTTCAGGCCCGAGACGAGAGTAAGCTGGGTGATATCATTTCGAGAGGCATCCAGAACCTCAAGCGACGGTCCTAGAGCGAGCTCTAAGCCGTGTATCGCGTTGTGATCGGCCATGAGGGTTTGCAGCTTTGGTAGGCTGCAGACGATCGACAAATCGGATATCCTATTCCGACGACAGTCGAGTAACTTCAAGTTCTCCAAACGGGAAAAGGACTTGGGTAGGCGGGAAACCTGATTCCCCACGATTACCAACTGCTCCAAGTTCCTCAGCTCGCCAATCTCCTCCGGGATCTCTGTTATCATATTGAATGATATATCGAGGTCAACCAGACTCTCAACCTTGCATAGGTGAGAAGGGACTACGCGAAACTTGTTATTCGAAATGTTCAGGTACTTGAGCGACCGCATCCGAGGGAAGAACCATGGAAGGCTCTCCAGCCGGTTATTCTGGGCCTTCAAGTCCCGCAGATCAGGTATATCGTCCAGATAAGACTCATCCAGGTTGACAATCCTGTTGGACGAGATTTCTAGCCGATGTAGAGTAGTGCAATAGCGCACACTCTGAGGCACCTTCTTCATGGCCATGTTGGATAGGCGCAGATCCCTGAGCGTCGTACAGCGCTGTATGAAGTCGCGAGGGATCTCGAGCATGGGGTTACGGGAGAGCGTGAGGGAGACAATCTCGTCCGCGTGGCTATACAGGACGATTGGAACAGTTTTCAAGCTCCTGCCAGTCAAGTCGATGTACTCGAAATTCTCGATGACCAGTTCTTCTTCCTATTGTGTATGATCAGCATTGCAAATAAGTAAGTTCATGGAGACTCACTGTTGGGCCAAGGAGATTGCTCTTATACACGAATTTGAGGAGAAAGCCAATATCTTCTTTCTCCAGTAGATCCTGACCGTCCTTCGCATCATACCCAGCTTGTTCTAGGCGTCTGCGGACGATATCTGCAGGCCTCTCCGTTTGTGCTAAGACTCGTTCTACCGGACGTGTTAGTGGGCAGACCAGCGTTCCCTCGATCACTTACCTCTGCCCCGTTCTTTCAGATATAGACGATGAGTCTCGCGTTCAGGGTCAAGTAAGAGCTTCTCATTGAGAACAGGATACAGCTCTGAGACAGCGACAGATAGACCGATCGTGACGATATGGTAAGTTGAATTGGGCCGGTATACGCGAATCTTGTACGGCCGAAAATTGTATATAGTATCTCTTCGGTCCATATTCATGGTAGTCGTTTTCCGATGCGACCGCCGCTTTGACGCGCCATTTGCATTCGGGTAAGGGCTTGCCCCGCCAGTATGACCCTCATCTGAGCTGGAATAATCGGGCTCGCCGAGAGCGTCCGCAGCACCATTCTTGTCAACAACAGCCCAACTATCCGGGGCATCCCAAGACACATGTTCCTGAACGCCATTCTGACTCGGAGGTGGGGGCAAACTCTTGGGCGAGATATTACGCTCCAAGATCGGTGCATTGGGGGGTCGAGGTCTCCCTGCTGTACCAGTACTTGGTACCCATGGATTTACGTTGTTCCAGATAGTATGCGTAGACGATGGGCCCGCTCGAGAATTTGAACTGTGGCCAGACAGACTCGACCCGCTAGATATACCACTGCCGGCTACAGAGGCTGAGTCGGGATGTAAAGCGTTCAAGTCAATGATGCCCTCCATGTTATCAAGATTGGTATCAAGAGTCATATCGGGGTCTTCGCAAGGCGAACTGGGGGAGGAGTGGGAAATGGACACCCGAGCGTTTCCTCTGCGCCGCGCCTTCTTGTCTTTCTTCGGGCTGCTTTGAGGAGGCGATGATATGGAGATAACCGATGATGACCCTGGTACAGGAACGGGAGGGAGGAGTAGAGAGGCGGAGGAGGCTTCGCCAGCCATACGAGGTTTGCTGCGAGACCTCTTGATCTTGCTGAATATGTTTATGGATGACTTGGACTTGTGCAGCTCTCTCGCTGGCGAGTCGCTGTTCCCAGAGCCTGTCGTAGTCCTGTCCAGCGAAACCTGCGACTCACTGCCAAACACTCTTTCAGGGAGGTTCTGAGCGCTGGTTTGACGCGCAAGGCCGAAGGATGAGAAAGACGGTTTGTGGCCAAAGCCAAACGACCGTTGGGGAGGCCTCGTAGGGGTCGCAGGCTAAAGGTCTACTGTTACATTGTGAGTATCAGAGGCGATACCGACGGACTCACTGGTTCATCCCATGGTGCAATGTCGGCTGCATTGACCGAAGTGTCCTGACCGCGAGACACCAGGACCTCGGGGTTGACGAAGTCCTCACTCCCCTTCGCAAAGTCCAAGGAGTGTATCTCAAGGGTCGACATCGTCGAACAGGCCATACATCTGTATCGTCCAGCAGGGCAAGCACTATAGGCAGTGAGCCGAGTACAAAGCGAACAGTGCCGAGCCTGTTAATCGGACAATGATTAGTCTCCCACCTACTACATGCCATGGGAACTCTGCGTCCAAACCCGGACACTCGTGTTGGTCCTGGAAGGCTGGGAAAAGCTCTATTTTAGACCAAAGGGCCCAGACCTCATGGTCTCAGGTCTCCGGGACCACTCCGAGAGCGCGAACCATTGTCCGTCGTGGGGCCATTATGGCGGGTGCTGTACCCGGACAGCCCGGTTGCAGCGCTCTGCAATTCGCTCACCTGGACTGCGCCCCGCTTGTGGGCACCACTTCTTCCTCTATTGACCTTACGACCCGCACGAAATGTCCTCTACGACGTCGGCGTCGGCGTCTGCGACGTCGTCCGCGTCTCCTACTCTCTCCGCCGGTTCCAATCTGAAAGTTCGTTCACTGCGCCATGCTGCCTCAACGCGCCATGTCTAACCGGCGGTTCGTCCATAGGTCGTCGGTATCATTCTAGCCGTAGCAAGTGGTGTTTTAATCGGGTCGAGCTTCGTCTTCAAGAAGAAGGGCTTGTTACGCTCGCAGGCCGGGCAGATAGCAGGAGAAGGTGTTGCCTACCTCAAGTCGGTATGCACGAAGCACGCATGCTTCGTCGTTCGTTCGCTTACTCTCTCCTGTTGCGCAGCCACTATGGTGGTTAGGCATGATCAGTACGTCTTCCACTGGGTTTGAGTGGACATATTTCGTGAACAGTCTCCATGCAGTGATGATTATGGGGGAGTTATGTAACTTCGCCGGTGAGTGCCTTCTACTGTAGCCAGATTACGCATGCTTATCTCATGGCTAGCATACGCTTTTGTGGAGGCATTGATTGTGGTGCGTCGCAAACATGAGGCGCGTAAAGTGGCGTCTAGATCTTTCCTCTTAGACCCCTATGGGAGCCCTCTCCGTGGTCATATGCGCTATCCTGTCGTCGATCTTCCTCAAAGAAACCCTCAGCTTCTTTGGTTGGCTGGGATGCGGTCTCTGTATTGTATGTCGTACTACCAGTCTTCGAGGCCCATGCAACCCTGACAATCCCCCTCTCAGATTGGTTCAGTTGTTATAGCCCTGAATGGGCCCCAAGAAGCTTCTGTCGGACAAATCACTGAATTTCAGAAGCTTTTTCTTGCGCCGGGATTCCTTGCCTATGCAGGGGTACTCATAGCCGCCTCCCTAGTAATCGTATTCTTCGTCGCGCCTAAGTAAGCCCATTCCACATTCTGCTTTGTGCCCTTGGTAGCTTATCTGACGACTTATGCAGGTATGGGAATAAGCATATGCTTTGCTATATTATGGTCTGTAGCATGATTGGCGGTATTAGTGTCAGCGTCACAACTGGCCTCGGGGCTGCCATCGTCACGACGGCTTTTGGTGACAATCAGGCAAGGCCGATCATCTTGATTCTTGGTAGTATCTCGCTGATATCAGGGCGCAAATAGTTCAAGCACTGGTTCATCTATTTCCTGATGATCTTTGTGGCTGTCACCTTGAGTGAGTTATTATCTTAAACGACTGATGCTGGGAAACTAAGGTGGTCGCAGTTACGGAAGTTTTCTACTTGAACAAAGCTCTAGCTATATTCAATACAGGTCAGTGCGACATCATTGAGCTCTGGTCACTAACTAATATCTGTTTGTAGCTATGGGTATGTTCTTCATGATGCTGGGAGTATGTTGTGTATTGACACCATTTAAGTCACTCCCACGTACTACGTGATCTGTGAGTGATTCCATTAGGTTATGCTTATCGAATATTCATCAGTTCGCAGTCACCTTCTTCTCTATGGTGACCACTATTGTACGTGCTACTGAATTTGAGGTGTGGTATCAATCTTACCGAGCATGTCTTAGGTCCTTTTCCAAGGCCTGAAAGCCTCCGCAGCACAAATCCTCACCATCGTCATGGGCTTCCTCACCATATGTGTCGGGATCACAATACTGCAAATGTCCAAGGTCGATCCGAACGAATTCAAGAAGTTGGATAGGAAGTCTACCATCCTTCTCCAAGCTGCCCGAGCCCACACAGAAGCCGTGGACGAGAAGGACATTGCTGGGATCGAAGACCCCGGTATCGACGCCCTGCGGGGTTCATTCGGCGCTTTTGGTAGTATCGTTAGGGCGAAGAGCGCTAGGAGGATGAGCATGAGCACGAATGGTACCGTGCGCTCACGGCGGCATCGCGATCGCGAATCGGACCTCGACATGGAGCGCAACGGCAGCGTCTACGATCCTGGCTCTGAGTTCCGAGGACACCTGAAGCGTCATCAGCTGTATGATGCCCCAATGCCGTCACCAAATGCTCAGGAGACCGGCTCATACAGAGAATCGGTCACTAGTAGACCATCGATAGCCAATATGCGGACTCCGACGATCAAGTTCGGCAGTCAAGACGTCGTACATCAGTATTTCCCGACCGTCACCGGGGACCACTCCGCTACTCACGAACATCGGGAAGCGCACCATTCAGCTACCCTCCCTCCCACTCCTAAACCTCATCAAGCCTCGGATCCCTTCAGGCAACCATCACTGCCCGCCACTCAGGAGGAGGCTGACGGTGCGCTGCGCTCCGCGCCTCCAGTCATGACTGGTCTGAACACTTCGGACCCGTATCATCGACCTCATGCAGAAGATCCCTTTGCCGGGTCTCCATCAACATCGACCCTTTCCTCCTTCCCCTCAATAAGTTCAATAACGCAAGCCACCCGAGGATCAAGCATACGGCCTTCATTTATCAGTGACGACGACGATGTACGTAATAGCCGCCACCACCATCACCATCATCATCACCGACAGTACCCCAGGGGAGATAAAGACGCGGACAAGGAAGAGAGCGAGAGCCTGGTGCACCGGTCGTCGTCCGAGGACGACGACGTGCCGCCGAACCTCGGCTCTATACGCCTCGTTCCCAGCGGGTCCTTTACGAAGTTCTGACAGCTGTTTCTTGGGATGTTTAGAGGCGTGTACTTGTACGCTGAGGCTCAGGCTTCGTTGTTTTACTACTTATACTATCTCTCTCTGTATCGGACCTACGGACCAGTAGAACTACGGATGTATCGCGTCTTTCGATCTTCGCGCATACATGTTGCCTTACTATTTACGACATTCACGAGTCTTACTCTGAGGACAGTATTGCAATTGACTGACTGCAGAGATGTGTGGAGTAGTCCCGTAGTGGGCCGCGCAGGGCATTAGCCGCCACACTAAGTACTGACTCGTTCACGTGACCGACGCGTTCGTTCGAATTCGACCTCGACAGCGAGTCGCTCTCACAATAATCACCTATCGCCCCGAAGCCGTCAAGTTTCTAGCACTTCCACTGCCGCCAATAAGTGCGCAACTTGCTACGATGCTCAGCTCGCGACCCGTCTCTATCCACGCCGACGGCCCCGCTCAGTTGGGCGCGAAGACTCCTGGGAGGCCCCTCGCAAAGGGGAGGAACGCGCTCCAAGAGAACGCTGTTCTTCGCGGAGTGCTCCCAGCTACTGTCAAAGCGCGCAAGGTCGCCACACATCACACACCATTCCACACCAAGTCTACCAGTGAGTCTCCCGTATCGATTCATCGGGACAGCATCTTCATATCGATATGTAGAACATCCAGGCAGCAGCAAGACAGGATCGAAATCTATCCTACTGAAGACTACCTCGAAGCCTCTTCTCGACAAGACACCGTTTCCCAACAGGACCGCCCGTACGCTGCGCACGCCCGAGCTCGCAGATGAGAAGATCGCGAAGCTCTCGTTCCTGGATGTGGAGACCGACGTGCCGGGGTCCTCGCAGCAGCAGCAGCATCTACGGCCCAGCTCGTCGAGGAAGAGCCTGAGGCTGCCGCGGAGCGCGACGAGCATTAAGTTCCGCACGCCGGTGACGACGGGGAATCACTGGGATGTGAGCGACGGGGAGGTGCAGGTGCAGGCGGAGAATGCGGACGCCGAGCAGGAGGCGGTGGAGGTGGAGGACGATGATGAGATTGAGTATATGCCGCCCACTGCTATCAGTATGTCGTTCGTATACTCCTACGGTGCCATTAACTGACTGTCGATGGCAAGTCCCGCCGTACGAGCCCCCGTTCGAGATGCCCGACTATAAGGTGTTAGGGAAGGAGCTATTGCAAACAGCGTTTTCGTATCCGTACGATGATGGACCTCCGCCTGCTCTGGACTTGAGCGTGTATGACGAGAAGTTCTTTGCGAGTATGGAGGCCGAGTGTGAGCTGGAGCTACCAGAACTCGGTAAGGATTCCGTTTTCATTGGTGTATCGACGTGGCTGACGCTGCTTGAATTATAAGACGATGACAACCTTCTTCCTGCGGAGAAACGGCCATCGTCGTCGGCTACAAAATCATCAGATACAAGAACCACACGCTCAAGAACAGTAAAAGTGTCCAGCAATACTACTTCCCGGGCATCCCCGGAGACAGCACCGACGAGACGACCAATTACTCGAGCTGCCGCCAAGGGCGGGACCACTCCTGGAAGTTCTGAAACTCAACCGCGCGCCCTTTCAACGAGGAGTCCGTTGATGCGAGCGACGTCCGTGGCGTCCACTCGGCCCACGACGCGGTCAGCAGTTAAGGCGACCGCCGTGGCCAGACCAGCGACTTCGACGTCGACGTATAGACCTTCGCTCGCGGATATTCGCAAAGCTGGAGGGCAGACTCGGACAGCGGCGAAGGCGACGTCTGGACAAGCCGCCGCGGTTGGCGTGGTGCGCCGGGCGACTTCGACGGCCGGTCGCGCGACTTTAGCTGCGAAGACGTCCTCCGCGGCTGCCCGGCATACCAAGACCGATTCAGTGGCGGAGGAGCAGGAAGTGGACGGGGTACTGTTATTCGATGAGCAAGGTATTGGAGGGGATGATTTCTTGTTCGACGTGTGATGCCTTGCAATGTCCTGGTTGCACATTCACAGTGCTATCAAGATGTGTTGTATCGCCGTAGTTTTGTCTTAAGAGTACTCTATAGCTACAGTTTGCGATGTATGTTCGGATAATTCGTGGACAATGACCAGTCGATCACAGCAAGATCGCATCGGGACCCAAGATCTGTCAGATGTGCGAGCCAGCCGCTCTCTCCCAGACCACGATGTCCTCCGCCCTCCCCGCCTACGACAGCGGCGCCGGTCCCAGATACTACAAGCACCCGCGCACGCCGCTCACCGCCAACCGCTCGACGTACAGGCGGCGGCGCATCGTCTGGTCCGCGATTCTGCTCTTCGCCGCGTTCTGCGGGGTCCTGTACATCGCGGGCTGGAGTCCCACGGGGCTGTCTCTTTCGTCGAGCCTCAAAGACTCGGGCTACGAAGCGCAAGACGCGCCGGTGTACGCGGCCAACGCGTCCGAAAAGACGCTGCGGATCCAGGAGATCCACGGCCTGCTGCACTTCCTCACGAGCGAGCGCACCGAGTCGATGTCGCTCGACCGCGCGCACGCGTACGGGGACGCGGAGGGCGCGCCGGTCGACTGGGGCGCGGAGCAAGATCTGAGTGTCTTTAGTGCGGGCGTGGAGGACGATAACTGGCCGCGGAACGTGCGGGAGCTGACGGACCGCTACCCGGTGGTGGTGTTCAGCAAGGTGCGTGGGGTGTCCTGCTTCCTCGCTCCTCAGTGTCCTGATTTACCTTGGTCAGACGTATTGCCCGTAAGTGCGAAGCTTGACCTGAGGGTTTGCTTATGCTCTGACGATGCTCTGCCAGATTCTCGAAGCGCGCGAAGGCGCTCCTCGAGTCGTACCAGCTGACTCCGCCACCCAAAATCATAGAGGTCGATCTGCGACCGGACGGCGGCATCCTGAAACAGCTCCTCGGGCGACTAACCGGCCGCGCGACGTTCCCGAACGTCCTGCTCACCAGGCGGGTCGAGGACATGTCCATAGGTGAGTAACCCCATCTCGCGCGTTCGGGTTGGGTGCCGACGGACATCTTTGGTTGTTCAGGTGGCTCGGACGACATTCACGCCCTGCACGAGAACGGGGCGCTCAAGGGCATACTCGGGGAGGCGGGCGTCAAGGTGAACGGGCCCTAGCCGCGCTGCGAGATAGTTTGGAGTATTGTGTGCTGTATGGATATACACGAGCGCGGGATTTCATACAGGTATCCGGGTTTCCGTAATGTAATGGTATAACTGATACAACTGCTGCACGATTGTGATATTAGCAAAACGAGTCTGATAACCTGCTTGCTTCATCCCGTGGAGCATTGTTCCGTGCGGTAATGTAAGGGGATGGCAGAATGACGTGCATGAGTACGCGGTGCCCGGCGAGACAGTCTGCCAGGTCAAACATTGGGAGGGTTTCGAAAGATACTCGGGGACACGATGCTCTCGCCCTCTGAAGGGCAGGAGAAGCACCTGCAGCTCGACCAAAGGAGGCATCGCGCCCAATATGTCTGGACTGTCGACTGACGAGGTGTCGTATTAGTATCCTAAACAGACTTCAAATTGCTCTCGACGACCCTCGGGCAGTGAACCTGGGCCTGAATGATCGTCTGGATGGATCCTGTTCTCTGGAAGACCCAGTAGGGGATAAAACAGCATTTGTGTACTTGCAGGAATAGCTCGAATCACGGAGACACGGGCACCCTCGCTCAGACTCGGATGCACTGCAAGGGAAAGGGCGATGGGAGGCCAATCTGTCATACTTGGTCGGGATCCGGAGTAAGCCCATATAGATCATCTTCAAGGATTTATCTTCGCGGGCTCGGGAGGTGGACCATGATACCCATGTCGCTGTCGAGGGGAACTGCGCTGGGATACAACAGGGCCCTGATCATGTATATGCCAGATGTGCGGGCAGAGTACGCCTGGCGATGGTTCGCTCTATAGCGACTGCCAGGGCGTAGATCATGCAGTGGGGACAGGATGCCCAGGCTGCAGCGAGTTATAGGTCAAAGCTGCTTGGATACGTCCCCTGTTATGCCAAAGTGGAATGTTACTACGATGATCCAATGCGTCTATTAAGTTGTGATCTGCTGGCATCGATGTAACGTCGTCCTTTACGGCCACAAAAACAAGAGTGAAGATCAACGCATTGTGGATCCGTCTGAGGTGAATAACATCTTTCGGACAAAAGTAGACAACGCCACAAAAGCGATGGTTTCGAGGTGGATTCTGAACAAGGCGCGGGATGACATCCGGTTGACCGTGTACGGCAGTGGTGGCTAACAAGGGTTGGATAGTACAGTCCAGTCAAAAGGTTGATGTAGAGTACAGACGCTGTCAGAACGTTTGGGGTGCAATGCCTGCTGTTGCAGATGAAGAAATGCAAGGAGGGCACACGGCGTCGGCGCCGAACGAGGAGCGGATGCCGGGCCTGGGCCCTGTGGCTGGCGATGGAAAGTATTCGCCGTTGTTCTTTCATTGCTTGCCACACGCCTAACACTCCACTCTTTTGTTTGCAGGCCACCTGCCGCTCGTTTGTTCCATTAACTGGCCAGCCACAGAATGGCCCACCGCCGCACGGACTCGTCCCGCAAAATGCACATCCTCATGGGCCCCAAAACACCCGTCCTCTCCGACGCCGGCCACATCGTCGGCCCCCCCGCCCTCCCGACACCCCCGCTCTCCCCCGGCTTCGCACCCGCCATGCTCGCCCCCGAGCACCGCGACAGGCCCGCGGCCCTCCTCCCCTACGCCACCCCGTCCCACTCCTCGTCCTCCTCATCGATCAGCATCCAGCTCTCCGTCTCCTCCTCCTCCTCCTCACCGTCCGCCGCAGCGAACCCGCTCCGCCTCCTCGACGCCCTCGCGCCCTACACCCGCAAGCGGCCCAAGCACTGGCACCGCACCACGCTCGTCGCCCTCGCCCTCCTCGTCCTCCTCTCCTTCTACGTCTTCCTCGTCGCCCAGCCCAACCTCGGCGTCCGGCTACGGCCCTCCGCGCCCCCCGTCGCCGCCACCCTGCCCCTCTCGCCGCCCAGCCGCAGACCCAAGTACGGCGCGGTTCACCACAGGCCAACAAGGCCCCAGCTTACGCTGGACCCCGCGCAGGAGCTCGCCGCGGTGACGTCCTTCATCGTCGCCCTCCCGCAGAACGTGATCCCGCCCAGCGTCGATCCCAGTAAACCCATCGACCCGGAGCTGGTGCTCGATTTCGACACGCGGGGCGAGGGCGCGCGCGCAGAGCTCGACGAGGTCATCAGAGACGTGTGGACGCGTTTCCCCGTCATTCTGTTCTCCAAGGTGAGCGTTGCTTCGTTTTGGCTGGGGTTGTCCTACCTCGAATTTGTATGGCGTCTTCTCCAAAGGATGAGCAGGCGATCAGCGCCATTCAGCCGAGTCCAGACGGGAGTGCATAGCAGGAGGCGATAACACTTGAATGGGGCAGAGGCAGGCACTTGGAACCCGCTCCTTTTCTATATACCCCCTTCTCGCGCCTTTCTCGCTTGCGCAGCGAACACCAGGCACATCGCTCAGGCCCACTCCCTCCACTGGCGCATGTCGATCCTTACTCGGTTCGGCGCAGTCCCTTTTCATCCCCACCCTCCATCTCCATCTCTTTCTCGTTTTGCCGTCCCCACTTCCAAATGTGTTCCTCGTGATTCGTGATTTCAAATACCCTCCAGCGCCAATGGATTGATCAGAATGACTTACCGATTTTGTTCCTTGTTGCAGTACCACTCCGCCGCGTCGCGCGAGGTGAAGGCGATCCTGGACGGGATGAACCTCAAGCCCGCGCCGGCGATTATCGATGTCGACCAGAGACGTACGTTCCCTCTCCTCCCCGTTACCCCTTCTCACATCCAATCTCTACCCTTCACAGCCGACGCAGACACCCTCGCCCCGCTGCTCTACCGCCTCACCACGCCCTACCTGGACACCCTCGCGCCCTTCCCCGACGCGCCCGAGGCCCCGGCGCTGCCCGTCCTGCTGCTCTCGGGCCACCCGCTGTCGCTCACGCAGATCCGCGAGCTGAACGCGCGCGGCGAGTTGCGGGCGATGGTCGGGCGGAGCGGGGCGGTCGTCGGGGGCGGGAAGCGGAAGAAGGGCGGGCGGAGATGAGCCGTGATCGTGGCTTGCCCGTGGAGAGAAGGGGAGAGCGAGAGACCCCTTTTAATGGGGTGGGAGAGGAGCGGCAGCTGGATTCCTGCCGCCTCGGACTACGCGGAAGGGATGGTATTACTACGACATACATACGGCTTGGTGAAATAATTGGTTGGGCGGGCCTGTACATGCATATATCGACGGGGTGTATCTTACTTATGATGCTGTCAAGTATGAGTACGTACGTGTTTATGATAGAGAGACCTCGATGGACTTTATTTATATAGTCAGGGGGCACATCATTTTTGGTCAGAACAAGTGTAAATTAATAGGTATCCATGGACCGATGGTGTAGTTGGTTATCACGCCTGTCTAACACTTGTGTGTGCACAGGCGGTCCTCAGTTCGAGTCTGGGTCGGTTCACTCGTAGAATTATTGTTGGCCTTTTTGTTTAAAAAAAGTTCAAAGACCCTATGGCCGGAAGACACAACCTGCACGGCAAGCAGTACTCATAAACTGACTTCATTCAGGCTGCACTCATAGACATGCGATCCGCGCTCTGTGGATACCTGGCAAGACGACCGCACTCTCCCCGACCTCTGCAGGAGGCGCGCGAAGCAGTCCTCCGACCAGCGGTTCGCCCAGCTGCTGCAGGACACCTCCAGCCGTAGTCTGCGCAAACTGGGCAGCGCGAGCTTGTCGAACACGAGGTCCCACCGGTCGTACGCTACGATCTCGAGCGTATGCAGGTCCGGGACGACGACGGGCTCTACCAGCGCTGCGTCCTCCTTGGAAGGCGGGCACGCCTCGGGCACGGACATGAGGCGGAGTATCCGCAGCCTCGGGCAGCGCGCGAGCACCGCGGGCGCATGCGCGCCCGAGAACTGCGCGGGGCGGTTCACGCGGCCGACGAACACGTCCAGCTCGGTGAGCCGCGCGAGCGGGAAGCGCGCGACGATCGTGGCGGTGTCGAGGTACGCGTTGAACAGCGTGAGCGCGCGCAGGGCGGGCGCGTGCTGGAAGGAGAGGCCGCGCGGGAGGGACTCGTGCGAGGCCGGCGGGGGGTAGGGCGTGTGCAGCCAGGTGTTGCGCAGGACGAGGCGCGCGAGGCGGGGGAGGTCCACGCCGCCCATTAGCGCCTCCAGGAGGGAATCGGTGAGCTGCACGTCGAGGGCGCGCCAGCGCGCTGAGGAGCTGCGCAGGGTTTGGATGACGGCGAGGGGCTCGCCGGAGGCCTGCAGCTGGAGCGGCTCGCACACTACCTCCACATCCAAGCCGAGCGGGTGCGAGCGCTGCAGGAGCAGCTCGAGCGCGCGCGCCTGCGCGGCGGTGGACAGCTCCGAGGCGACGACGCGCACGGATGTCCAAAGGGACGGCGTGGCGAGCGCGAGCGCGCGCCACGCGCTGCAGATCTGGCCGACCACGAACGGGTTGACGAAGTGCGGGTGCTGAGCTGGGTAGAGCGTGCGCGTGTTGCAGTGCCGCATGATGGTGAGGACGAGCTCGGGGAGGAGGCGCCGCCAGGGGGAGACGACGCATTTGTGTGCCTGGATCTCGGCTTCGAGCGCGGCGCGGTTGCGTTGGAGGTGGGCTATCTGGGCGTCGAGCGCGGCTAGGGACTCCCTGGTAGAGGCGATGATGTCGTGGGCGTGTGCTGCCTCTGCGTCGGAGGGGACGCGGTTGGAGGTGACCAGGTCCTCAAGAGCGTACGAGTCGGTAGTCATTGCGCTGTAAGACGCTTCAGCTCATTCCACTCGTTTACTAGTGCATTGAATGCATTCACCTTGCTTCCGTGTCCGTTGCGCATACAGCAAGTTGGACAAGATGGTACACCTGCTCTCATGGCGCTGCTTATAATAGCATGAGCGAGCTGCGGTCCCGTGCTACATCCTTGGACTCCGTCTTTGGGAAACATACAGTCAGCTCTTACCATTAGCAAATACACCTTGATCAACGTCGTCCGTCATATGATCCCGGAATGGCTGCGTGTGAGCAGGTTAGGACTAGGGCGTTCATTCGGGCGGGAGCCAATCAGGAGGCTTGGAATTACCACCGGGAAGGATCAAGCCTGCCAGTGTCGGTCGGTCGAGCCTGCGCGGCGTAGAATCGACAGTGCATGTTTTGAGTACGTTGGGAGCAACCTGATGCGTCTGGCGCCCCTTCGGGTGACTTCCTCCCGACAGATCTCGGAAACGAAACTCTTGTCTCCCCATGTGGCACAACATCTTATCGTACAAGACTACAAGTACCGACCATTCGATCGCGGTCAAAATATTAGTAGCGAACCGGGGAGCGATGCTGAACTACATACAGCGAACCTAGTGGATAACAAAACGCAGTCAATAAATACCCATAATACAAGCTGTCGGAAATATAAATCCAGGTCGTTCTAACAGGTACAACTCACAACTCACACCCAACCTCCCCGTCAAAAATACGACCCGGACCCCGCATACGACCCCGCCGAGCCGGGACTCGTCACGCCCTCCACGCCCTCCCCTCCCTGCCCTACCTCCAGCGCCTCCGCCCGCCTCCTTGCATCCTCCACGCTCCCCGGCCCAAACGCCGGCACGGGCCGCGCCCACTCCTTCCGCGCCACGGCCAACCGCCCCGCGGGCACGCGCGCCTGCAGCTCCGCGCGCGGCGGCACGTCCTGGAACGCGACGCTATCGTTCATCTTCCCGTACCCCCTCAAAAACGCGTCCACGCTCTCCGCCTCGCGGACCACGCGCGCGCGCCGCCACTCGCGCAGCGCCTTCTCGCGGTCGGACGCGGACGGGTGCTTCGAGGCGTTCGCGTCCTTTGCGTCCGCGAGCTCGTGCTTCGCCCAGGCGAGGAAGCCGACGGCCTCGCCCGCCGCGGAGCGCTCGCCCGCGTCGACGCCGAGCCACTTGTGCGCGAGCGCGGCGTGCAGCGCGGCCTCGGACGCGAGGTAGTGCCGCAGCACGGGCGAGACCTCGCCCGAGCCGAAGTCGTCCGCGCCGTCCGCGCGGTCTTTGTCCTTGCCCTTCGAGGAGAGGCTGAGTTTGGATTTGGAGGAGGAGGGCGTCTTGGCGAGCGCGCGCGCGGAGGAGTAGAGCGCGGCGCATTCGAGGTGCAGTTTCGCGATGAGCGCGGGGGAGGGGTGCGATTTGGGGAGAGGGGGCCCGGGGATGAGCGTGCTCTCAAAGGCGGCCTTTGTGAGCAGCTTGCGGATCGCGAGGGACTGCGCGTCCGCGAGTGACATCCTGTATGACAGTCAGTTACACGTACGCGAAGGGCGAATAGATCGACGGAAAGGAGCGGCGATGATGATACCTGACGTGCACTCACTTTCCCAGCGCCGCGCAGACCTCCCGGCTCAGCTCGACCGGGCGCTCCAACCTGCCCAGGCCGCTCTTCTCCCTCACCTCCCTCTCCCACTCGCCCAAACCCACCTCGCCCACCCACCCAAACAGGCCCGCCGCGCGCCCAAGCAGGGACACCGCGAAGTTCAGGCGCTCGTCCTTCTCCTTCCTCTCCGTCTCCAGAATCGATCTCTGGGTCTCGTAGTCACCCAGGGAGACGAGGACGGCGTGCGCGAGGTTGGTGAGCGCGAAGGCGGAGGTGAGGAGCGTGAAGAGGAGGTCGGCGCGCAGGCCGGGGACGGAGAGGCGCGGGGAGGCGTGGAAGAGCTTTGCGGAGAGCGTCGTGCGCCAGCTGAAAACTGGGGGATGAGCATGAGACGGACGCCACCGCCAAAGTGTGAGCGCATACACGCACTTGGCTCGGAGCGCAGCTGCAGCTCGCCTGCGTCGACGCAGTTCAGGACGCCACACAGGTGCGGGACGTAATCATCGATGACCTGCGTAAATGAGAGTCGTACACGCAGCGTTGACAGCCGTGCTCGCGCTCACCTTGACCAGCCTGAGGTAGTCCTTTACGTCCGTCCTCTTGCTTTCTTTCAGCGCGGCTCGCAAGTTGGCACGCGCCTGGGTGGCCTCGGCGAGCTCGACGGTGTATGCGCCTTGTGGGTCGCTGACAAAGTCGATGAAGGAGACGGCGCCGGTGGTGGGCAGCTCGAAGAGATGGATGCTCATTGCATGGGAGGACGGCTGGCTGGGCGGGTGTTATAACAAAAGTGTGCCTCGATAGAAGAACAGAGCTTAAGTAGGGACTTGCTGGACGGATTTGAAAGAAAGAGACAGCAAAATGGGGCACAAGCAAGTGGAAGCAGTCATCTGATAAGATTGAGTCTTGACGGCCTCGGCACCGCCACATCCCTCGCGAAGCCGCCAACGCCAGCCAATCGCAGTCCCCGCTTCTTGCTGCCACAACTCCCCCGGACGCTATCAGTCAGCCTGATACATTACATTGTATTACAAACAGATATTGTAATCCACCGCTCACACATCCCAGCTCTAGCAACCATCACAACTCTGATAACAATATTATCCCTTCTCTTCACTTGCCGTCCCATTCCTCGTCCTCCGCTGAATGGGGCGACCCAACGTCATCCTCCACATGCTCAGCTGCAGACCTAGGCTTACCCAGAGAGGCCTTGGCGACCCCGCTCTGACTCCTCGTCTTCCGCCTCGACCGGCTCCCCGCCTCGCCGCCCTCTAACGCCCCGCTATCCCCGTCCGCCCCCTCGCCATCCACCGCGACAGGGGGATCTTCGTCAGATATATCGTCTTCGATAATGCCCGTCACGGCAGCCCTCTTCTTCGAAGACTTCCGCCCCTTTGTTTCTTTCGTCTCATGCTCAGCAGGCGGCCGCAGATTAGCTATGCACGCCAAAAATAATAATCAGTGCTCCTGCTCTTAAACACGAAACAGGCGCCTCTCGCGGCGACACGGGATACGTACCATGAATGACCGGCTGTAACCCGTATATCCGGTATAGATGCAGCACCGCCTGCTCCTTATCCTTCGCCTCGATCATCAAATCTACAACACCCATCCTCAGCGATAACATCCGATACCAAAACACAATGTGCATACCCATATCGTCGGGCAGGTCATCTGGCAGCCGCTGGCACCGGTCCGCATGGGCCCTCTTCTCCATGACCGTCTCGGCGCCCGGCCGTGGCTCACTGAGATGCTGCTTCGGTTTGATCCCTCGCCGCGCAAATATAGCATTCGCGCGGCGGATGATCTCAGCAGGCGGGATACTCGAAGGGTTGATCCAGTCGTGATGGTAGTCTGTAAGCAACATGAACACTTCCACAGAAAAGCGTCGAACTACGGCTGGAAAACGCACCGAACACCAGAGGAATGTCCAGCTCCTCGCACAAAGGCAGCAAATCTTCAGCGCTATAGCACATCTTCGCCAAAAATACAAGCACATAAGAACCCGATCGGCCTCATTCATTGCCAAGACCAAGACCAAAACCAACCTCGTCGTTCTCGAGCACCAGCCGCTCCCTCACATTCCGCGGCAGAAGCTCGGTGACCGACTTCTTGATTCGCTCCAAGGCCGCCGGCTTGTCCCCATACGTCCCCCCGCCCTATTTCCATGTCAGCAAGCATAATCCAACTTAATCCCTTCCAGACAACCGAGAAGCCAAACCCAAACGCCTCTGCACCGACATACTCACATGAATAATCATGACGCTATCCCTCCCCAGCCCCATCCGGTCCATCATCTCGCAGTGGTACGTCAGATCCCTCACAGCGTTCGCCACCACGCCCTCCTTCGGGCTGCCCAGCTGCGTGAACTGCCCGGGGTGCGTCGTCAGGCGGTGCCCGAGCCTGTTCGCGAGGTCCCCGACGGCGCGCAGCTCGGGCTCGCAGTAATCGAGGGTGTACCCGTATAGCGGGTGCGAGGCGAAGGGGAACATCTCGGAGGACATGCGCATGAAGCGGATGTTCTGTGGGGAGATGAAGGGTGAGGTGGGTGAAGGGGAGAGGAGGGGGAGCGTACGTTTTCTTCGTTCCATTCGATGAGTTTGAAGAGGTCCTTGACGTTCTGTCGACCTAACTCTTTGACCCACTCTATGCCGTTCTTCTTGATAGAATCAATCCTACCCGCGCATACACGTCAGCTTGTAAAGCAAGCTTCTGATAGCTGGCAGAAAGCTGACCTGCACGTCCGCGAGCAGAATATAGCCTCGCTCGCAGGCTTCTTGTTCCTCAGTATCGTATTGAGGCACGCGTACCCTGAACGCCACCTCAGTCAGCAGTCATAACCAGGGAAAGCACGGGCAGCATGGGACTGACCCAATCGCCCCTTGAACGTCGTCGCCCTGCTTTCCACGTCCGGTATCACATACACAGGCTCCGGCTTCGGCGCCCTCGCCTTCCTCACCTTCGGTACAACAGCCACTCCATCTTCGTCTTGCACCGCACCTTTCCGCGCCTTGCGTTTCCTCTGCTTCGGCGACCCGTCCTCGCCCTCGAGCGGAGTCAAGTCAGACTCCGAGTCCAAGTCCTCCGCCACCACGACTTTCCGCCTGGTGGTACGTTTCCGCTTCGTCGGCGACGGTATGGAGGGGTCCGCGCTCTCAGGGAGCTCTAGGTCTTTTGGGAGAGGCCCTTTCAGCGCGAGCTCCGCCAGAGCGGAGTAATCGACCCCTGTGCCTGCTGCTGCTGTCCTCCGCGTCGTACGGGGAGTGCCAGTGCTAGTGTCCGGTGGGACGACCTGTGCCTGCTTCCGGCGAGGCATTATGGCAAGACTTGAGAGTGTACGAGTCGACGTTGATACGAGCCTGTGGAATGGTGTTCTGCCGCTAATGCGAAACAGCGCACTACTCGTTCGCAGGCAAGAGATCGTGCTGTTTATAGCAGCCAACGCGAACGTCGGGTTTCAGTCTAGACTAGTAGAGTGGTAACAGTATGAGCAAGTGAAGACCCAAAGACAGACAAGTCCAATTCACCTTAGCCTCCCGCTATACACTCTTTACCAACCAAGAAAGCCGCGAAACAGTAAGCAAAAGGCGGGTAAGCCTGCACCCAGCCAGCATGTTGTCTTGCATGGCGCTGACAGGTTGGAGCGATCGATGCCCGTAAGACATCCCGCCGCCTGCGTCATCCCGAGCCAATGGCGGGAAGAGCTGTCAGCATGTCAAGTCGGGTCGCCTAAAGCGGGTGTTTGTCGCGGTTTGTAGTAGGAAAGTGTGGCTGCGATTGCGGCCGCCCTTCTCTTGTAGATCGAAGTCGCCTTCGAAAGTTGGTCCTGCAACAGGGTATGTCTAGCAATATACAGAAGGGAGGTCTATATTCGCTCGATTCGAACTATGCGTGACTACACAGGCCCCCTTTTCAATATGCACTGGTTTTACAGCATCCGAAACATCGTGATCTAGTCGTACACCCGCGGCAACATGCCTCTCAAGCAGGACGAAACCAATCAATCCAAGCTATTAATCCCTTTGGTTGTCGCAGCACCGCCCTTGTCCTTGGTGTTCGCCCGGGGCACACACTGACTCTTGTGTATGATCTTCCAGTGTCGCTTGGATAAAAAGTCGTAATGTCTCAAAATCATCGCTGTCAAGCAGAGCTTACCTTCTGACACTCGACCGAGCAATACCTACACGCCACAGGGTAGTATCAGAAAACAGATGACCGATGATAAAACGGGCTCACAGTATCTTCTTGCACGCGCTGCACGCTCTCAGAGCAGCACCAGCCGGCTTACCGCAGGCCGCGCAAACACTTTCCCGTTTCTTATCCCTCGCGTTCGTCACCGTTTCCTGCCAGAAGCCTCCCGAGTCGTCACTCGGTCTCTGCTGCACCGACTCTCCCTTCTTGTTCCACCGTTCGTCCATCATACGGATGGTATCCTGCGCTCCAGGCGCTATAGGCTGGTTGAACTTCTTCGCCCCACTCTTCACGGAATTGGGACTCGCTAATGCAGTATTGAGACGGGCGACGGCCAGCTCCTTGTCGAATACATTGTGATCGAAGGTTGCGGGAGACTTCTTGTAATCTTCGTAGTTGGGAGAACTGAGGATTTCTCGGATCTTCTGTCGTCTATCAAATCTGGAGTAAGCTCTTCTGTGTCTACGACAGCAATATGACTGGGACGCACTTGGCACTCGGCGAGCCTTTGTCCAACATCTTGAGATCGTCCTCCCAATTGAAGTTCCCCTGCATTTTCCTACAGATTCTGTATAAGCGTCCGACCAATATTTCGCAGTTATGGGTAACCACGTACCTCCCGGACAGATCCCACACCCTTCCAGGATCTCGACATGGCCGTCTGAGTCTTTCTGATCAAATATCTTCTCTACCTATACAAAGTAAGGCCCAGCGGACATCGAAGAAGCCCAGATAGTCTTACCTCAATATCATGGTACCATTTGTCCCCGAAATCGTACAGATACCCAAATTGATCGCCTTCTTTCCCGAACAAGTGTGCAAGCATATATCTTTGTCGTCGTTGTATAAGCAGAGCAAAGCATTGCAAGACTGTGTCTTACATGTCGTCCGGGAGAAAGTCATATCCAACCTAGGCAATTCGCCGTGTTGGTATCTGCAAGGCCATAGAATTTCAATGACGTACCTGAGCAGAGTGTGCGCGGTCGATTGCTCCTGATTTCTACGAACGCGAGCCTCAAAACGTCATTACAAATGATGAACTCACAGACGTACCTCCGGACCAAATAGGGCACCATCCCGATAATCGGTGAAGGTATAGCAATGATAATTGCGCACCCTGCCGTTGTCTTTGGTGAACCTGCTGTTCCAAGCTGCCCATGTGAGACTGCACGCACCACCCCATGATGGGAGATATGATCTTGTCCTGGAAGACGCCCAGGTTCGTCCCAGCGGACACCCGGAACCTGCGCCAGACACGCGGCTTGCCGTGTGCGTCCGTAAGGCAGCTTCCCAGATATTTTCAGGGAGACGAATCTATGCTAGAAAACCACGTACCACAGCGATATGCGCAAAATTACGTCTCTCTTGTCTAATCCCGCGAGATCAACCTGTTCGAGCTGCTGGCGCTTAGCATTGTAAAAGGTGAGACAATGTTTGGGTTTCGCACAAGCACACTATACCTTCCGTTCCATTAACACTTTAAGGAATTGCCTCTCAGGGGAGGGTGGATTATCGGCAAAATACAGCAGCTGGTAGTTCATCTACATGTAGGACATCTCATAAGAAGTGAAATCGCCCAAGTAATTCCACACCTCTTACCTGGCGGAACATAATAGCAGCGCCGTCGTCTGGTCATCATGTTAGTTGTACCAGATGATATAGAGACTTAGCGGCGCACAATCAGGCAGATTGTCAGCCTGCTGGCCGGCTTCGCCATACTGTATCGAATGTCACATAACAAGTCAGTTTATCATTTGCTCAGGCCACATACCGGATACAACCCCCATGCGTGGATCTGGCCTTTCGGGCCTGGCTTGGGCTGGAAAGTGTGGGGATCTGTTCCACGTAGAGGTCTCCAATCACAGAGGCAAAAAGACGGTGCGTGACGGGGGTGGCATACCCTCAAGGAATACCTCAGGCAACCCTTCGCCTTTGTCTTTCCCCACGAACTTCACATATTTCGGCGGCCTACCACCATTAGGCCTTCCGCGGGGCGCTCTCTCCGGCGCACCAAACATTTCGTAGAACGATCGCAGACTCGATCCCGCGAACATCAAGGTAGGAGGTAATGAGTGTGTACACCCTTTGTCCTGTGCTCGAGATGAAAGGAGTGGCTGTGCATCGCCGATCCCACTCGAAGTCTCGAAAGGGAAATGGAATCACCGACACCGAGGACTCAAGCCGCTGCGTCTGTGATAGTTCTATCTACATGGGGTGATGCGTAGGCTCGTAGACATCCAGCTGCACAGCCATCAATGGCGACCACGCTGAGTTATAGGGTATACCCCAATATATGAAGGGATAGACGAAGAATCGTAGATACCTAGGCGGAAAGCGAGCTAATATGCAGGGACTTCCACATAGATCTAGAGAAAAGACTGTAATGAGAGCATTAGATTGCCGTCAGCTCACCTTCCTGGCTGATGTGATCACACTTACGGGACTTTTTTCGAGCTGCGCGGGCGAAGGTTATAAATCATTCCCCGTAGACTCAGCTCAAAAGGAGCGGAAGCTTACTGAGAATGAATTACAACCTCGTGGAACCAGGAAAGGCCGGATGCAGAGGTTGCGTGAATAATTATATACCATGGAACTCTCCATTACTTACATTGATATTAGCCATATACGTGATTACAAGGTGTAATGTATCCAGTCACCTTCACATTCCTCTTCTCGATCTCGTACCAGCAGTCCCCGGAGGTGCCTTCCGTTTCTTGAACAAGGTTCCACCGCCGGAAGACGGTGCTGGAAACCCCGTCTGAGATGAGGGTTCTTCCAATTTAACCGAGGGTTCCTCCTCTTGTTTCAATTGAGTATCTATAGGTGGGACCGAACTTTCTAGGGGGAGCGAGGGTGAAGGATCTTCGGCCTTGACAGTCTGTTGCGCCTCCGGAGACTCCTGCTTTACTTCCTGTCCAGCCGGATCCACATCCCGCGACTCTGGAGCAGGACTGGTCTCAGACGGCTCCCCGGGCTTCTTCCACTGTATCTTCGACCACTTTGGAAGAGGAGTAGCGTTGGGATTGCCAGATATTACACTCCCTTGCGTAGAGCTCGAGGCGGAGGCTTCTGTCTCCGTCTTCACCTGGGGTAGTTCGCGATCCGCTGGTTCTTCCTTCTTGGTCTTCAGCTTTATCGGAATAAGCCCAGGGTCGTAAACCTCCCCTAATCCCACGTCCAGTTTCTTCTTCTTTAACTTCCAACCCCGAGGTGCATCGTCCTCTGGAGGAGCAGCTTCTGCCGGTCGTTTCTGTGATGCATCGGCACTGACGGCGCTGTATGGGATCTCTGGAGCTGGCGAAGCGTTCTGTGACGGCATCGTGGGCGTTACTATCTGCCACTCGCCCGCGACGCCCATCGTCCGCCGCCGCTCAGCCTCCGCTCGCCTACGCTCTTCATCTGGGTCGGTAATGCCGAGCGACTCCGCAGTCGTGTAATTGGCCCACGGGCTCGACGAGACGGGTGTAGCGGCAGACTTTCGAGAAGTAGAGGCTGTTGGTGCCGAGGATGCCGATGTACTAGGTCTAGCAATACCAGACCCCACGTCTTGCGCGAACGCAGCTTGGGCGGCCTCAGGGTTTACGTTAGATAGAACGCGCAGTAAGGTAACAAACCACACACCAGTTCGACCCTTGCCATTTCCCTGCGTTCTTCTTCGGCATCATGCTTTTTCTTCTCGCTCGCCTTGTACAAGCCTCTGACGAATCGCTCCTTGTTGCCTTGATGCCTCAGGCCGTTCTCGTGCTGCCTTCGTGAGGGCGCATCGTCTGTTATATATATCTCGCAGTACTTGCAGAAATATTTCTTCTTGGAGACCCAGTATTCGCTCATAGCGGCAGAGGCAGGTGGAAGATACGGACAGAAAGCCGTGCGACAAGAGCTGTGTCCCACACGTGATAAATGAGGATCAATGCCGCCGAGTGTGATCGGAAGCTTCCGACAGCTTCGTGTTGAACAAGGTTGGATTCGTCCGAGAGCCCCGTGGGTCCTAATACGCGAGGGCATGTATCGCGTTCCCACCGACGCCCTCCTTTCACGTCTTGCTGCTTAGTACTGCCCCGCTTCGACTCCGGGATACTCGCATACCCCCTCTTGTATATATTTTGACTGTATCATTATTCACTTGGCCGCGCCATGTCGGAATCCGGGGACAATACCGGCGGGGACACTGATATCCTGAGCCGCAAGGCTGATGAGCGCCCATCGCCCGAAGACGGCAAGGATAGCAATGACAAGGTCGATGTCACGGCCCAGGTAGCCTCATTGCGCACCTCGGAAACTGGGGAGCCACAAGAGTACAGGTTGTACAAGCAGCGATTCGTCGGTCTCGCCGCTATCGTGAGTGACTGTGTCATGTTGCCCATACGCGGGGTATTTATGCAGGGCTGTATAGTTCTTGCTGAATGTCATCAGCGGGATGAATTGGCCATGGTTTGGCCCTATCGCGAATAACAGTAAGTCGCGTGCTTTCTCCATCTTTATCCAGTATGGATATCCATTGTCTTTCCTCGTGTTCAGCCGCAAGGGACTATAATATTTCATTGGACCAGGTTAACTGGCTAGGGAACACCTTCTCCATCATTTATTTACCGACAGCCGTATCCATCCCACCGCTAATCGCGCGCTTCGGTCTTCGGACAACAGTGAGGACACAGCCACGACATTCCCCATACACTCTGACGATTCATACTGCAGTGTATTATTGGAGCCATTTGTCTCATCTTGGCTTCTTGGATCCGCTATTCCTCCACTGCCCACTCTCTATCACCTAACTCGGCATACGCACTCCTTATCATCGGCCAGATATTCGCTGCATTCGCGCAGCCGGTTTTCCAAGTTATCGGACCCAAGTATTCTGAGACTTGGTTCGATCTGCGGGGTCGGACCACTGCCACGATGATTATTGCGATCGGTAAGGACATCCCCATTATTTTACTTGGCTGGGCGTTTCGCTGACACGAAACAGCAAATCCAATCGGTGGCGCTCTTGGGCAGCTTATATCACCGATAGCAGGGGATACACGACAGTCGGTTCGTGCTGTCTGACTCCCGTGACATATAGTTCTATCCTGACCAACCGGTTCAGATCCTGGTTCTTGGAATCATTTCTACAATCGTTACACCCGCCGTTCTCGTCGTCGGCAGTGCGCCACCTACGCCTCCAAGTGCGTGCACTCTCCTTCCCCCACTTACAAGGGACGCTTACTACATCGGTATTGCTTCCAGCTTATATTGCGTCGCAGCACTCCCCCTCGCTTAAGTCCCTCCTGCGTGCCATGGCTGGCAAGCAGGACAGGAGCACGCCAGCGTACATGACAATTCGCGAGCGGATGGATTTCGCCATCATGATACTGATATTCGGCGTTCTTGTCTCCGCGTAAGACACTTCCTCAGCTCCCTAACACCAGATCACTCAAAGCCTTTGTAGCACAAATACATTCTCCATATTGAGTGACCAGTACATGGTCTGTTAGTTTGTTGTCCTCCTCACTCACAGGCTGACCTCAGTCTTTATAATAGAGCCCAGTCGGCTACTCTTCCGACATCTCCGGCCTCATGGGTGCAACCCTCCTCCTCTCGGGCATAGTAGCCGCCATAGTCACAGCACCGCTCTTCGATCGGGTGCTCACGCACCACCTTGGCCCGACCGTCCGCATCCTGTGTCCTATCCTCGCCGCCGCATGGCTTTCGTTAATCTGGGCAGGTCAGCGGCATCTCACTCGCTCACACCATAATAGAACTGATGACTGTGAGTTATGCAGTTAAACCGCATAATACAGGCGGGTTATTCGCGATCATGGCCATTCTTGGGACGACGTCTATCACGATGCTCCCGGTGGCGCTCGAGTTGGGATGCGAGTTGACGCGGAATGCCGATGGCAGCTCCGCCTTACTTTGGGCCTCGTAAGTGACAGATCGTCCTTCACAGTAATCGTGTATCTTATACTCACTGGTTTGACAGAGGCAATATGTTCTCAATAATATTTATTCTGGGTAAGCTTGTAGTCCGCATTGCTGTATTTCGCAAACGACTAAAGTACTGAATCTGTCTGCAGTTGAAGGAGCACTGAGAGCAGGGCCGGACGCGAATCCGCCCCTCAACATGCGGAGAGCACTGATATTCAACGCCGCCTTTGTATGGGGTGCTGTTGTATTTGTAGTATTGTTCCGAGGCAAGCAAGCACGGAGGGCAATGGACGAACATCGACGAAATATTCACGACTCGCCACGGCAAGAGGACGCATGATACCCTGATATGGACTTGTAATTTAACTGTAAAGCTAGATTTGTTGTAGTGTCATTAGTTGTATGTACTTCTTTCGATAGTTGTATGGATTTCAGCTCTTAGTGGTTCATACCGGGCGAGAGGTCAAGAGCCCGAAAAAAATGCGATTTCCGATTGGTATCTGATACACAGTGAGCGTATGCTTTTGCTGATGCAATAATAAATGATCGTGTGTCCTCCGCAACCCGTCGGAGATGGTCGTGTCGTCACTATAGTTTAATAATAAATATCTAAGGGAAAGCCGTTCCACGGACGGTTTTGATCCAAGCGGAAGCTGCGTCGGGGAACTGAATATGAATCAGCGAGGTCTCGAGTATCTGTGCAATGGAAGATGAAGCTTACCTCCCATACCATGACACCGGCGTTCCAGCCCTTAGCCTTTGCTTGACTTACGCAGGTGGCGAGGAGAGCCGGGTCCATGAAGCCGTTGTTCGCGTCGCCCTGTGCGGGCTTCCCGATGACGAGCTTGTTCAGGTCGACGCCAGAGGCTGCGATCTGGAAGAGAGCGCTATCGGGCCAGGTGCTCGACGAGGTGTTGAGAAGGTTGTCGCAGGTCGTGTATTCATCGGTTCCCTCTGGTGGTACAAGCGTATTCAGTGAAGTACACAGAGTTGTTCAGGCAACTAGTACTTACGGTTGTAGAACTGAATGTTGTACTGTTGATGTAACGGCTACGCTTAAGAAAAGGTACACTAAAGAATGAACTGGATGACTTACCCAGTCGATACTAGAACCGGCTTCCTTGTCGACTTTGATGTACCCACCTCCGGTATAGTGCCCATCATTCCTAAACCAAGGAGCGACGGCTGGTAGAAGTTCCTCAGTATGGCAGTCAGGTCAACCATGGTAAATAACTTACGAGCGTGAGTGATGATGTAATCGCTGGCGGGCAACTGCGAGCGCAGCTGCGTCGTGAAGTCAATCAGCCATTGTTCTGCCTTTCCATCGCCCTTGTTGATAGCATCGAAATCCTGGCCAACTAGTCAAAATGGGTGACATGCGAGATTAATGCGCCGATAGACACCTCATAGTCGACGTCAATACCATCAAGCTCGTACTTCTTCACGAAGTCAGCCATGCTGTTGGCTGCGGTCACTGCGTCGACGCCAGAAGTGGTGGGCGTCTCCGTCGCGCCGAAGGCGGATACCAAGAGTTTAATACCAGCGGACTCGTAAGACGTCTTGAGCGTCTTACGGTCCGCATCAGCCAAGTTTGCCCAGGTAAGAGCTTGGTCGGCCGCGCCCGATGACAGCAGGAAGGATAACATGCTGATGAAACAGCGTCAGCGTCATAGACGAAAGCATCAGCAGGTGGCTTAAACTAACAGAGTATTATAACCCTAATAAGACCATTGATAAGCGCTGAAGTATGGATCTCTGTCGGCGAGACGAACTCACATCGATGTCAGCGGGAGCCGGGGGACCGGTCTCACCAGACACCCATTTGTCCGTGTAGATCACCCAATGGGGTGCGGCCTGAGTGGTCCTGACCGTAAGATCCCTGGGTTCCTGTATGGGGGCAGCGAATACCGTGGCCAGGCACGCGAGGCCAGAGAGAAGCGCAGCGATACGAGCGAACGTCATGGAGACCATTGTCGATGAGCGGTTATAATACCTGCTATCAGAGGGGAGCCAGAGCTGGCTTTCTACCCCATTTCCCACTGTCCTTTATACGTTCGAGAGTGGACCTCTTTCGCAGATGCAAGACATATTTTTGAAGGAGTAGCTGTGGAAGTGGAGCAGGCAAACGATCCGGCACATCTTGGATTACCATAACCATATGGTGAACTTTTCGGCCGCTGCTCGCGTCCACCTGCAACCTTGCTACGCGGGATATCCACGATGGTCCGACCAATGAGGCCATTGCTTGAGAACAGCGCCTTCACGGATATCCTCATGCATGCATATCAGCGTCGTTAAGTCGCCCCCCTATGCGTGTGATCCGAGAAGTTATCGCTCTGAGAGTTAGCCCCCGATTCCCATCGACCATGGAGGACGATCTCGCACTTCGAATTCCCAACGAGTATAGGGGGTAAACAGAATTGGACAGACCGAGTAGACCGACGGATAGAAGGGAACCCTGCATGTGCCTCAACCTTCGAAGAGGTCCCATACACAAGGCTACGTCCACAAGGTGCTAGTAAATGCGGGATGCTCTCGAAGCAACCAGATTCTGCCTATCATGTGCAGAGGGGGTCACGTATGAATGCTTGAACGTCGACGTCGACTAAAGCGCGTACTCTATGCACCATCAATGAATGATAGTACGGTCAAGCGTCCGGAGAACCTGGTGGGGAAATGATCCGACACGAAGATGGCTGCCAATGGCTCGCGCCGCGGGCCGCTCTATGGGTGTTAATCTAGGAAAACAACTGACAATTCGTTATCGTTTCGTACTACATACTCGTGTGTCGTCCAGGTAACAGTTCGCTCGGCAGCCGATGGACATGATTACGTCGTACAAGCCTTGAGATCTTGAGATACAGTAGGATACAGTAGTGTGCAGTGTACATACTTATCAAAGCTCAGCGTCAACGTCAGGAGTTCTCACATGCGCAATCATCATGCGACATGGAAGCTTTGGAATTTGCACGCATTATCGGGATGGGTGTTTAAGCGATCGTGAACGGCGATACATACGGTAAACCAAAGTTGTGAAAAGCATCTTGCTATGGCAGGTCCAGCATACTCCCCTATTTGTCCGACTCTCCTGTCTTTCTGAAGCCTTCGAAGTACTTTCGACGGAAGTCCTGATGAGCCGGGACATGGGAGGTACCTTCTTCGACCCCGTCGACAGCTCTGCTTGCCATAGATATTCCTGCATCGAAGCTAGGCGCGGGGTATGTTTCCGCGGTTGTCTTGCGGACGGTGACCAACTGGGTCCCGTATGTAAATATAAGGGTAGACGAGTGGGGCAAATTACGACTCACTCTTCGCCCCCATGACCCGAAGTCCTGCAACGAGTTAGCAATTACCTCCATGCCTTCACACAACATCGTGTGGACATCAACTTCCTGGTATTCGTCTGTGACTGTGGGCAAGAAAAAGACAAGACGACCACCAGGCTTAAGGAGGTAGCGCCCCAGCAACACGAGATCCTTTGCCAATTCTGCAAGTTCGTACGGCTTCGTAGGAGGGATGTATGGCTGGTCGTCACTGCGGTGGATACGTGCTCAAAGCAACTGTGAGGATGAAATAATAATATAAGACGTACGGCCGGGACATCGACGCTGGCGACGACCTGGGCAGATCAGGTCTGTATTTCTTCCTTCCTAGCCGTTTTGCTCCAGCGCGGACGCCGTCTATATCGCAGATCTGCATAAGCTTACAAACTCTTGACATCCGGCCCATGTTCACCGCTCACAAGGGGGATCGGTTATTATTGCATCGAAGAGCTCCCCACATCTCCATGGGTCATGGGTCACGTCAAACGTGCATAAATCAAGGATTCTTGAAGAGACGCCGTATTGAGCAGCAGCACGAATGATACCAGGCTGTTTCTCTGATAGGAAACCACGATTAGTAACTTAAGGAAATATATCATCACATTCTCTTACCCTTGCCACGCATCTGACGACCATCGATATCCGACCCGAAGAATTGTGCACCAAAGTAAGCTGTCGTCTTCACGATGGATCATTGGGGAATGTCCGGAGCTGACACGGCGCAACACACACATAAGCCATGCTTCCTGTGCCAACGAAGGGATCGTAGATTAATTTTCCGGGGGAGGCCTGTTATGTGATATGAGACATATGTTCGATAAAATCTCAGATGTCTTACGAGGGACTGATTGGCCATGAGCAGCGACATCTCAGCCTCCATGCTCGTATTCCCGTAGTATAGGCGCTTCTTCACATCGAACTTTTTCACAAGTGGTCGGGCGGATCCGTCCTCGATCTGCAGGAAAGGGACGCGCGCAACCGAAGTGTCCATACATGGAGACTTGCGAGCCACATGAATTTACTTGACGTACCAACCTTCCGAACCATACCTGGATGAAGTCACCATCCCCTTCATGCTTCTCTCTGGTAGTCCCGCTTCTACTGGGGTCTGCAAACTCAGATATGAATATGCGCATTAATTCATTTCATGTGACATGGCGCACACTCTTCAAAACAACCCAGGATAATGTCAGGGTTCTTCATATCGATTTCCCCCTGGAAGTCCATGTAGGAGAAGCTTTCAACGACCTCCCGCTGCCTCCACTGGGGCACCGTATGATTATGTGCCGTCACGTTGAACTTGAACGATGTATTCTTGATATATCGAGACCATAGATGCCGCTTTCCCTTGTTGGCTTCATGTAGCTCCTCGTACGTCGACCCTCGACCATAGTATTCGTAGATAGCTCTGGGGAACAAAAATGGTCGAGGCTCGTATCCTCAACAACAGCTTGTTCGCACTCACTCATTCACTCACTTGATCAAGATGCATCTCCTGGCTAAAATTCTGGCGTGTTGTTCGTCTTCCAGTTCCAGTACCATGAATGGCCTGGAGGGATCAGGACTCTCTGAGAACGCTATAGTGAACCCATTGAGCTCAGCAATCGATAGTATCTCCGGTACGCGAAAGTCTTCGTGAACTTGCGCAAAGACAAATAAATATGGATCCCTCATGCTGGAAACTGCAGAGCACCTTGCAACGCCACCCAAATCGGACAACTTCAAGTTCAGCTGCAGCACGGGCGGCATTGTCCGGTCAAGAGCCTTTGCCACATCACTGAGCATGCCCCGGGCCTGGATTGATCAACATGCCTTTAAACAAGATAAGTCAATCTGACTGACGCCATTACCCTGCTATACATCTCCGAGACAGGTAGCTGTGTCGCCGAGCACGTCTGAAGCAATTCTGGGACCGAATCTTTCGCTGTGGCCGAATAGTAATAATGAACGGTATTAAGCGCTCGGCCTTCGCAGGGCTGCCGATCTGTCGCTTTCCTGTCGTGATAAATGTGATGCTCAGGCCCTGACGGCTGCTGCTACGGCTGGAAGATATATAAGCTGGGAAGCTCCTCTGACTGGAGATCTCATGTTTTGCCGCTCGACTAGTACCCCCGACTGACAAGCGTAAAATCTGTAGGGAGCACCATGCCACCTTTTGTTGAGGTATGTTCTGACGAGTACATATATGCCATGGGAGATGTTTGCTGATACTTTGCCTTCCACGAGTCACCGGTCGGTAGTCCAAGGTCCTCACCTTATGAGGCCCGTCCTCCCACTTCTAGAGCTAACACGCTCTCCGCGCGAGTGGGGTCCTTTGCAACGGGTGTCAATGATGCGTGGGGTAATTCCTCCGTACAGAACGCCATCCAAGTACTTGAACAGCTTTCTGACCTGGGCAGAGCACTTCCATTCGTTGCACCGGCATTCGTACTCCTCTCTTTGATTATTCAGGTCGAGAAGAAAGCCCGGGATGCGGACCTGAAATGTACCGACCTTCTCAATCGCGTTACCTTCTTAGTGGAACAGCTCGAAGTCCTCCGGCGGGTCGACGTCACAGATTCGACCAGGCGCGTCATCGAGCGGATGAACGACGCCATAAAGGACGCAGCAGCGCTGATACAAGCATACAGGAAACAAAGCGTCATAGCGAGGAGATTGAACATGGGTAACAGGGATAAATTCTTGACCTGTGCTCAAGCTATCAGCGCCTGCGCCAATGACCTTATGATGAGCCTGCAGATACAGCAAACCGGCCAGCTGGACATCTTGGCTAGGTCAATACCTGTCGATTCGGAAGACGAAGCCGCGGAGAGCTTTGTCAATCGTCTCGGAGGTGCGGAGAAGATCAAAGCAGACCCATCCCTGATCGTCCAGTTTGCTGAGCAGCTGCACCTGAAAGTTGACGACGATACCATTCGACAAATCAACACCAGTATCTCCGATCTTATGGGAGAAACCCAGAATCGTCTCCAGCATATGTTGGAGGAAAATGCTGGGATCATCGCGTTTCACAGCATCAAAGAGCTCGTCGCTCAGATGAACGAGGCTGAGAAGGAGCAGCAGTTCACATGCGTCCAATGTGGGACACGTTACCGCAATTCCACTAACGGTGCCAACTCGTGTACCTTTCATCCAGCCTCATATCCGTCGCGGGACGGAAACTATCCATGCTGCAGCTCTCGGATTCACTGTCAATCTCGATCACATCGAGCAAAGCACCATTGCGACTATCCATACGGACCATTCTTCAAATATTCCTCCAACATCATCAATTACATCGACACGGTCGACAAATGGGTGGCCGTAGAAGATCGCAGTATGTCCGGAAAGGACAACCAGAAAGCTTTCATAGGTCAGCTCCTCCGCCTGGCCTCCAGAGGTGACTTTTTGCAGGAGCCGACCATCATAATCTCTGTCGGTACCGTCTGGCACACAAGCAAATATTTCCTCGACACGTTCACGTGCGAAGATCTCCGTCAGGTCAATGACTTCGTGCGCATGAGTGGCAATACCACGATCTTCCGGACCTCGAGCGATGAGTCGGACTACTCGATGGCCGAGTGGGTCATAGGTCCTACTGGGAACATCGTCGGCATACGGCTGAGCGTAAAGGCAGACACCTCGACCGGTCCGTCCACCAAACTGTGCCCGATAGACCTCACGCACTGCTCAAAATCGGGGGAAGTAGTGGTGGAATCTGAGGGGGGCTTACGCTCTTTCAAGCCTCGGAGCCCGTATATCCTGCCGGAGACGGTCCGCTTGGGGCGGGAACTTAGAGAAGAGCCTCTGCGTGCTACTCGAACCGACTTCAAGACACGTACTTCACATTCGCTCCCTCTCATGTTGAGAGTGATGTCCGATCCGCCGCTCAAGGCCAATCCCGAGTTTGCCCGCTTGGACGCTGACATATTCACGGGATCCATTTCTATCTTCAACAAATCGCCAGCTGCATCTCCTAACCCAATGACGATCGCCTCTGCATCAGCGTACTATCGTTTAGTAGGCGAAAAAGAGTATGCTCTAGCCGCGGAACTGCACTTCACAGGTGATCAGCAGCTTCCTGCCACTATCGATTCGAGACGCTCTTGCGTTTTAGATTTCAAGGTCGTAGTGCCGCGCTCGAACGAGGATGCCCAACTTCAGATACGCTGGTTTAACCGCGCGTTTGTCGCTCGCAAGAGGCCTATTCGAATCAAGCTCGTGTTCAGAGATATGGAAGAAGAAGAGTGTTCGCTTGTCGTTGAACACGTATTTGATCCTTTATGGCCACTTGACAGAAAGAAGGATGAGGACCTCGCCTTCTTTCATATCGACGACAGCGAGCGGATGGAAAGGAGGGCGGTCCATGTCAAAGGACCTGAAGGAAACCGGGTCATCAGCTTCAATGGCCACAACTTTGACGTCCTCCATCTACAGAAGAGTGTATTCCATGCAATGAAGAGTGGAGAATCCGAAGTCGACTTGAGCATCGGCGGCGACCAGTCTGGCCTGTGGCAATGGCGCGTGTGGGCATTGATTGACTTGTCTTGCTTGCGAGTGTATGCGTTCAAAGTCTTGGTACGGCAAGGCGAGCGCAGTAATAACCCTGCAGCGGTGTGCCTCGGCTATGTGCTCTGTCCTGAATACGGGGAGGTACGCGATGAAACTCGTCCCATTCGATACGCCACGGAAAAAGTCGAGGTGCCAGAGCTTCATGAGTCAATACCAGAGGCAATCCTCACCGACGACTCCTTTGATGATGACGCCCCTGACGAGCCTCAACCATCTGGCGCTCGGGGCTCTACTGGCTCGGGGCACATGCCAATAGTCCTTCCCGACGAGCTGAACATCCGTCTAAAATCTATCGACAACAATTTGTCTAGGATTGCCACAGCGTTGGAATTGCTTGTCGGACATCTCTCCAAGACAGCACCATGACTCGGACTACAGTAGTCAGGGATGTTGCTTGGAATCGAAGTTTACAAATGCAGCACGCTACTGTACGGGTTTTGTCATGTATAATGAAAAGCCAGGTTCGCCGACCTTCAAGTTCTACTGCCATGACGGCTTAAGGCCGCTAGGGACCTTATGTGAATAACAGTCCGACGAAATGACAACTTGAACAGCCCGCATCAGGCGCGAGCTCGTCGAGTGTCGTCGCTGCTATGGTCACGCAAAGTATGTCGAAGACTGCTTGTGATTTCTCTGCTCCTAAGGACAGCCCGCGCTGACGGCAAACGCAAAAATAAATTAATCCCAGTACCCGACAGTCTCAGAACACCCTCTTTATGCAACTCCCTTCGAAGCCTGACCAGCGTTCTTCTTGTCAGTAGCAACGTTGGTGTCGAGCTTCTTCCTACGAAGAAATAATGGTAAGCGAGGGCTTTCGCGATTGAACATGGAAACCGCGCGTACTGCTCTGCGTCGATCTTCGTCTGTATTGACGAAGTAGATTGGCCAGCGGCCTGTGCTTTGGCAAGCTATGCGGGGGGGACAGATAAGTCATCATATTCGTCTGTTCAACACAAACGCACCTTGATGTTAAGACCCTGTACTTCGGCGGTCAATTTCAGGACCTTGTTCTTGATCTTGCCGTTCTGGAGAGCGTCAGCTACAATACGGTATAAAGATTAATACCGTCAATTGGTGCAATAAGATTTCATGAATATACCTTCGTCACCAGAAGCAGCTTCAATGGCAGGGTTGAAGTCATCCGTTTCAGCGCTCTCAGCTGCCTTCCTCATCGTCTCGATGTCATCGGCGGTTTGGTCGTCGACGGTTGCGAGATCAACGCCGTCGAAAGGATCGACGAAGACAGCGTTGGCCTGAGCTTGCGCATCACCGGCAGTCCCGTCGGAGATCTGGAAGTCGGCATAGCTGTGGGGACGTGCGGTAAGCCTCGCAATATAACACTGGTGCAAATTATACGCACTCAAGGAGCTGGAAGGCCCTCTTGGACAAACCAGCGGAAGTGGGGACTGGTGCAGCGGCGACAAAGGAAGCGAGGGCGGGGAGCAGGAGGAAGCTTGCGAGGGAAAGGCGGACCATGATGATTTGCAGAGGTATGGTAGGGGTTGAAGAGAAGGCTAGGAGAAAGGCCGTGTACTCTGTCGGGCGGAGAGATTAACACTGTGCAAGGACCAGGTATGTCCGGGGACTCACGAGATAAAATGAAGAGCTGCGAAGGAGAGTAAAGCAAAGGCTAGCCGTCAAGGCTTGCACAGAAAGCTACGCTGAAAGGAACAGAGAAATGGGGAAGCAACTTCAAGTTGACCGTAAAGAAATGGTCATCGAACGGGGACTCTTTTATACAGAAAAGGACGGCTTGGGTCGGGCATCTCTGATCCGACTTCACGCTGCTTTCGAGTGCAAAGAACGTTCCATCGAACGACGATCCTCGGCAACGTTGTCGCCACCGAGGAAGTGTTCAGGCACGGGGCCACGGTCGATAGGTGTTGCTATGAGTAGTACGCCCGATTAGGAAGGCGTAGTATTGGCAACCGCATACGCACCGTCGCTCGAACTCGCCAAGCAAGCCAAGGTGCCGATGAGCAGAGGACCCCTGATAATAGGTATCAAGGCTTTATTTTAAATCCTGAGAATCCGAGCTTTTTGTCCGCGCCAAATTTCCGGATTTGGTGCCATTTTGTCCGCGAAAAATGTGGCCTGAGCGGATTTTGGCCGAAAATGTCCGCGATTCTGATCAGGGCTCTGCTTACAAGACCTTTGTCCGCGCTGTAGGATAAGGCATTAAAATGTATCAATTTTGCTCTTCTAGTTAATGTATATCTATAGCACCACTCTATTCACCGTCAGAAATCATGTCCACACCGCTCGCCGCCTTGCGTTTGCGGCGGAATTTTGCCAGTTCTTCCACTGCGGGAGCCAACTCCGCCATCTCCGATTCGAGATGGAACTCGTTAAATAGAAACAGTCATGTTTCTAGTATGTGAACTACAGTAACTTAATAAATGCTGGATAGACATAGTCTACTATGAGATGGGATAGGGACCCACAATGGCCACATCCGTCATATAGAGAAAAAGTTAAAAACACATGCCTACATGGAGAATCGAACCTAGTATCCAGGAATCAACCAAACATACATGGCTCAAGCGGTAACCCCTGGACCACGAGACTATAGATGTCCGCACAAGCATAAGGCATCGATAGCGCATGGTACATATGTCCGCGAAAAAAATCAGACGTGCACCCGTTTTTGGGCCTTTCTGTCCGCGAAAAATAAGGCCTGGTGAGGTCTAATTTGGCTTGATTTGTCCGCGTTTCCACAAAGCCTTGATACCTATTATCAGGGGTCCTATGAGCAGTCGTTGAGACTTACTTGCCCGTGAACGAGTTCGATGCCCCCCCCCCCCAAAGAAACACAGCGGGCAAGGACCGGTGTCCCACCACTGGTCATTCATCTTTCATGGCAAGAGTGGCAGAACACTTTCCTAGGATGCTCCGTAGCGGAACATGATACAGACATAAAGAATGAAAGGACAATGTTAATTACTGTAAATGTCCCCTGATTTTTGGGGACCATAGTAAATGTCCTGCAGACCTTTCTTTGTTCACTCAAAGGACATTCTTCATGTCCAGGTTATGGTCCAGCAAGGACCATTCTAGGAAAGTGTTCTCCCATCAGGGAGATGTTCCTGGCATGCCCGCCGGCGAGACATCGGTCTCTGCCCGCAGTGAAAGAAAGGATGTCGCAGGGACTAGTACTGAGTACTTCATTGAGAACGGAATGCGAATGTGGTAACCATACAACAAGTCTACGCGACCCCAGGTAAATAAAATACATGAACCGGATGAAAGATGAAGGTTAAGTTACGAAAACAAGAGCAAAACAAGTTTTGACAGGCTTAGAGGTGTCGCATATAATTGTGCCTTCGTCAAGTTGGTGGCCAGGACAGAGGTTGGTCCTCAGCTCCCCAAACCCTCCAAACATGTTGTTGCAAGTTTGTGACGCCCAAGGTCATGTTGCCCCACATCTCCGAGAAAGCTCCTCGCCAACCCACTCGCTGTACGCCGTCTGGGATAGAGAAGATAGACCAAGAAGTGGGAGTAGTGATGGATACGTGGTGCAGGGTATCTCGTTTGATCAGATGAAGGTGTAGGTCCGGATAGAATGGATCGTAGTAGGTCGTCAAAAAGATGCGTCGCGCACGTAAAACGGAAACCCTATTAGCAATAGTTAGTCGAGGATCACTTGAGTCAGAAGCCGATACGCACTTGTACATGATAAAGATCAAGACTATTTGCAACGTAATGAAGCACGCAATAGTCCAGGGACTGGGAAGCCTCCAGCGCCCATCTTCCAATACCCCAGACTAAGTAGGAATGAGGCCAAGATCGCATAGAAAGGCAATGAAGTCTCACCAAAAGTCTGTTATTCCTCATGCTCTCCTTCAAAGGCCCAAGCCTGGAACGGAGTTCGGGGTCTGAACTTCGCACCATCTGCAACGACCTAAAAATCTTATCTCGCGCATCCCTAGCGGAGCGCGAGACTCGTTGCAGCTCCTCGGCACGGCTGTCGTGGATCCCCAGACTATTCTGGGATCTGAAAGACATGAGTACGTATCACAAATGCGCTACAAGCTTGCTTACCGTTCAGCCTCAATGAAACCTTCCCTCAACTCTGCAATAGTCTCTCGCACGCGAGCCAATGCCTGACCTTGAGACAGCGGCGAATCTCCGTTCAGAGTGCTCACGTCGGCGCTAGATTCGACTTCCTCAAGAATTTCGCGGCCCATCGCGTCGACAATCCTGATAGAGCTTCTATTCCGCTGGCTCGTAGTGGCTTCTTCTTTAACCTGGACTTCCTCATCATCATCTTCCTGCTTGATCGCGACCTCATCATTAGGTGCTTCGCGGCCGAAGGCATCGAGTACACGGATGCTAGGGCCTTTGCGAGGAGTACGTTGGGGAGACGGAGGCGTCAACGAGAAGCTGGGATGCTCGGACGCCTGCTCTTCGTTGCTCTTGAGCGCATTTGCACCGTCGGGACCGTGTTCCGCAGGTTCCCGCGCATGTTGCAGACCGCTCTCGTCGGAGTTATCTTCGAGTTTGAACTGAGGCGCTCCGTACGGAGCACCATTTCCGATGCCCAGACCCGCATGAGACGCCTCGGACTCGGAGGTCTCGACTTCAAATCTAACTTTCAAGATACTTTTCCGCCTCGATCCCGGCGTATTCATCCACGCACCAGGAGGTGCGGGCGTCTGAGTTGGTAAGGAGGCTGCCCGCGACAAGGATGACACTGGTGTAGCATGCCCATTCTCCTGTTCCGTCTCCGTCTCTTCACCGGCTTCGGGAAGCGAATGGGCTCGACTAGGCGGCAACCTCGGAGGAACAGGAGTTGCCGCCCAAGCACCGGGAGGTTTAGGAGTCTTCATCATGGAGAAGTTTATATTGTTACCGATGGTCGCAGGTCTCTCGGGCGTGTAGCCTTGCACATCTTCAGTATCTTCTTCGGAGGACGAAGGAGGGCCAGGTAACTCAGGAATATCCTTGGTAGGAGACGGTGCGCCCGTTTCTACTCTGGGCGGGGTAAAGGATTGAGGACGGGGAGGGGTGACCAAAGATAGATAAGGTTCATCAGTTCCCGGTGGTGTTCCAGGAGGGGTGGCAGGAGGGTTTTCAAGAGATCCGCGTTCCCGTTGCGGTGGCCCACTTTCGTCGTTGGCACGTTCACCATTCGACTCAGACGCTCCTGGGGCATCGCTGGCAGGAAGCGGGGTGACCCGGATGGTGGGAGTGCTTGTAGCTGGAATCGACTCCTCGTCGCTTGCTACACAAGTCTCAGTGTCAGTCCCGATTTTAGCAAGAATTGATATATACGAACTGAAGACGTCGTCCGTCGGCACTCTAAGGGCATCCGTAGGGAAGGCAACAGAGTCCACTCTGGGCAATGGAGGTATAGCGCCTACAGCCACGCTGAACTCCGTCAAGCTCCGCCTATGGCCTCTCTTCCGTGCTGCATTGCTCTCAGCTGGAGGTTCCCTACTCTCCTCGGGTGAATGAGATGCTTCGGCTGATCCATCGATTTCACCATCCGAACGAGTGTTCTCATCGTTGACGTTTAGAGCATGGTCTGAGTTATCCATCGAATCTTCGTCCAACTCGAGAGGCGGAAGTGGAGAATGGCTCCTAGACGGGAACTGGAATCCAGCGCCCTTGAACGTCGGAAGTTTAGTAGGACGGTGACCAGCATTTGAGAGCTCGGGGTTGGATTTCGCCCGACTCTGCGATGAAGGCATAGGGGACTTGGGTCGCGGGATATGACTGGCTCGCTTAGGCTCGAGACCAAGATACGACGGAGATTGCGAACCCGCTTTAGCCTGCAAGTGAGGAGAGGACGGGGACTTGGGACCATGGCCCGAGACTGACAGTGCGGACTGACTAGCTGCAGTCCGTAACCCAGGTTTCTTCGCCGGCGTCTTCATCGAAGCGGTTCCTCCCGTCTTCTCCTCCGGTGGAGTGCCCTTGAGGATCCCTAGGCTTTCAGTCCGTCGCCTAAAGTTCAAGCTAAAACGACTGTGGGTTGGGGAGGGCGACGGCATAGGCGATGTTGACCTGGATGGGGGAGCAGGAGAGATGGAACGCCTACTGATCTCCCACTTCGGATGTGGACTATTCCAATTCCGCTCTCTCTCGTGCAGGACCACTTCCTCAAACTCCGGCTCCTCGTCTGGATCAATACTTCCGATAGAACTACCGCGACCAGAACTTGTTATCGACGAAGTCCTTCGTTGACTTCTGGGCTTCAACGATGGTACCTGTGAACGAGAAGACTGCGTAGAAACGATGGACTGCGTGGATTGTGCCGAATCCGGGCGAGAAGGAAAGCTCTGTGTACGGGACCGCTGGAAGGATGATGACTGATGAAGGCGAAGATTAGCGGAAGAAAGCCTCGGACGGGGTTTATTCCAATTGCGCTCCATCTCAGCAGCTTTCTCTTTGGTCGCGGACGCTGGGCCTGAGACGAATAATAATACTAAGCGGATTGAGCAGAAGATGACAGGGACTCGGAGTTACTTACGTTCGGATCGTAAACCTAATGCACTGGGCGCTCTGGATGATGAACCATCCGAACCTTGGAGGGATGCCAGGCTGTCCCGCCGACCTAGATTAGGGGCGCCATCGGAACTCAGCAAGGACGCCGAGCTTCCCCTCCTAGAAAGCTCTGCTCCAGCAGATAATCTTTTTTGATTTATGGAACTCGTGCTTTCTTTTTTCTTCAGACCATTCCGAGGGGAAGACTCAGAACTGTGCGAATGAGAATGGGAATGGCTGTGCTCTCCGGCGGCCCATGACATGGGGCGTGACGACGCCTTTGCCTGAGGGCGATTCCAGTCTCGCTCACGGTCGGCTAAGGTGAGCACATCAGCAGGAGAAGAGAATGCGATCATTTCGTAACACCCACCAGCCGTCACAGGGACTGCAGCCTTTGCCCGAGATGCTAAGAGCATTGTTAAGTGTTCATCTGCATTTTGCTATGATTATATCATGCTTACGAGTACGACCAGGCTCAGGGGTGCGCGCCGCCATTCTAGGGTCACCACTCTTCTTTGAAGTTTCGTGGGTCGGTGACTTTAAGTGAGGTAAGCGACTGTTCGGTCGAGAGGCAGGCGTTGTGTGGCGTTGCGGAGGAAAAGCTAGTAAGGTGTAAGGAACCGATCAGTCCACCCGGGAGAGAGCCGCCTTACGTGGTCTCGTGCCATGCCCGGAGTCTCCCTCGTAACTATCTGAGTTGTTCATGGCTCTTTGCATCTCGGAGTCTTGCTCCAGCAGGTCTGCAACTCATAAGTCAGAGCCAACCGTCAGTCACTGCAAATCACTAACTGGAGTGCATCTGTATCTGCGACGGCATCTGCATCGAATGTAATGGCGTACTTGTCGCAGCAGGCGGACTGTGAAGTTCACGCAACAAAGTAGCAGTATCTTCGGTCGTATCTCCAGCCCCATCGGAGGCTTCGGAGGTAGCATCTGCCATAGATAAGCGGCATCCCCACACAATAAGCAGAAATGCCCACCTTCACGACGACGACGCGAGGAACTCGAAGCTATGCGGAATCTGTCCAGTTTGGCGCGTAAAGAATCATAGGTCGCTGCTGCACTGGACTTCACTGAGTCTTCCGAGTGTTGTTGGTATTCTAGCAGCAGTGGTTAAGGGGCTGGACCACCAATCGACGCGATTGAACTCACTGGATACACGATCTACCTCTTCATCGCTAAGACTCAGACGCTTGTGTTTTCCCTTTCCCCCAAGCAGCTCCGAAAGCGGTGGTTTCGGACTGGACTCGATGATACTGGTGTCGATGCTGTTCCTACGGCGCGATTTAGGGGGCGTGTCTGACGGGTCCTGGAGCACCCGAGAGAAGAGCTCCTTCAAGCTCTCTCGGGCCACGCTTGGTGTCCCTGAACCAGAATCTGGAGGCTCAAAGTCGGATTCACGCTCGGAAGAGGATGGTGGTGCCGCAGACGTGTTATTGTTGGAAGTCTTGGGAACACGAGCCAAGAGGGCGCGCAAACGCGCAGCAGGGTTATCAGAATTGTGAGTGGGCGGCAGAGACGCGCTCGCGGGTATCCTTGGTGTCGCCTGGGTATCTTCCTCGTCGTCCAATTTTTCGTGGTCGTTGGTGAGATCAACGAGAGGAGCTGACGGGTGACGCGACGGCCCTGCCTGGGGAAAAGGGGGTGACGCACGGTCGGCCATGGAGGCAGAGTTCCGGGTCAGGCGCAGTCGCGGTGCAACGAGGGAGGGTGCCGCGGAACCGTCCATGTCGCGATGGACGGCGGGAGGATCGCCGACGTTTGTGGACCAAACGTGGACGAGGCGCGCTTGCGGCGCGTCGGACAAACACGCGCAAATTGTGGCAACGTGTCAGTACCATTTCCGGCTTACGCGTCCTCGTCGTCGACGATGCAAGCCGCGGTACCCGCTGTCTATACGCTTGCATTTGCGGCGGTCATGCACTGGCCTCGTTTCAACTCATGGAAGGACGAAGGCATATCTTTCTGTCATCTTTATATCAGTGATATGACATCCTGCTGTTGTCGACTGTGTGTAGTATACCAGTCTAAGGTAGCTACAGGAGATCAATATCAAGTCTGGGTACCCTCCATTAATATTCATGACCATCTGGAAGGTCCTCGACCCAGCGCAGCGAAAGAATCAGAATCAGTTGTCTGTTGCTCTGCCACAGGCACTTGTGCCATCGCCGGCTTCCCCTTGTGTCATTAGACATGAGTGATCTTGGATGAACGTGGAGAAAGAGATGAAGAGATACACGCCAAGGAGGTACGGCAATCGATAACTCTGCACTGAAAATAGGACACAGACTTCTGCTGCTATTCAACCGCATTGATTCTTTCATCCGAAACATATCACAGACGTTCATTTCAGATCGGGTGATGATGCAACGGCCGAGGCGTGGCGTGGTCCATCCCCTTAACAGCGGTATAAAGAGGCGGGGTTGGATCACCGGCTTTACAGTCCAGCAGTCACAGCTATACTCTGAACTTTTGAAACCATCTGAATAACCATGGTCGCACAGTGGGAGCCCGGAACCCAATACAACCTCGGCGATGTCGTGGTATACGAAGGTAAATCCTAATTGGCGACCTTATTCTCCTCTGACAATATGTTCCCCCAGGTGCCCAATATAAGATCATTCAGCCTCACCGCTCGCAGGTACGTTACCCGGACCATTCTGTCACCTCAGCCGTCCTGACGAGAATCCGATCAGTCCGACTGGACGCCTCCCGTCACCCCGGCCCTTTGGGGCCGTCTTCCGGAGTCTGCTTGGGTAGGAGACCAGCAGCAGCAGCAACAGCCACCTCCGACCTACAACCAAGGTGGGCTCTGGCTCCTTCCGTGACGCAGAGTAGTCACCACTGACCCCATCTATCCAGGCGGTGACCAGAAGCCCTGGAACGAGCAATCTTCCCAACAGGTTCACATTGACCACGAGGAGCGGAAAAAGAACTGGTTTGATCTGGATGATGACCGCAAGAAGCAGCTGGAGGTACGATGTCACTTGGTACCTGCGCACCATGGAATATACTCACAATTGCCGCCACTGCAGATTGGAGGTGGCTTGTTGGGAGGTCTTGCCGCCCTTGGTGCCGGTTACTTCGCGTACAAGGAGCACGAAAAGAGCGAGGAAGAGGTGCATACCTGCCTTGCGGGACTTCGCGATCAGTTGCGTTGCTGACTGAACATGAACATACAGAAAAAGGCGCAAGTTTGGGCTTTCCAGAACTGGCTGCACGATGCCCAGGCTCGTACCGAGGAGTACCATCGGAATGGCCCCCGCGGTCCTGCTACTTGGATTCTGAATCACGGTCGGAACATACCTCAGAACGCCATCGCCGGCGGTGAGGAGCACGGTGAGCCCTTATATATTGCGCGGGCTTACTATGAGGTTCGTTTCCCTCCGATTAATGATCGATCTTCTGGCTGATCGATTCTTGACAGGGCGGCATCAGTGCGTTGTCCTTCTGCGCGATCATTGCCTTGACACTCACTTTCGTATACGCAGTGGTGGGCAAGGCGTCTGCCCGTCTCAAGAAGGGTGCGGCCATCGGGTTCAAGCATGACGAGATCGACGTAAGCAGTGCATGAACTCTTCAGCTCCGAGCCACTCCATCTAACGAATCGTAGGTTGAGACGTTCGAGATCCTCATCGGCGACATGCGTGGCCTGCGTTGGGTAGACACCTCTGGTCATCTCGATGTTCAATCCCTGGGTGCCACTCCGGTCGAGGGTGGCCGAGAGTCTGACGGAAGTCCTATCTACATCGCTCAGGCACCTCACCATGGAGGTATCCACCCGGGCAAGGCGAGTGCTGTTCTTGACGGTGAGTTTCTCCCCGAGATTGGGGGATGAGTGGTTTATGCCACCTGTGCATTACAGGTGCATACATTCCTTATGATGGAACCGAGAAGAAAGTCAAGGTGAGCAGAGCATGTCATGGTGTATTTTTACGTCCCACTTACGACATGTTGGGTGCAGGAATACCGCGTACTGTGCTATGCCTAGACAGTCCGCAACTAGGGGCGGAATAACATTGCGTAACGGGATTCAGAGTTGTACCCTACAAGTCCAGCGGAAGTCAAATGAAAGAAGTAGCATGTCATCGATTAAGAGAATTAGCTTGCTAGTGCTGGTTTATCTCTTACTGATTTACAAACCGCGTAAGTGCTGGGGTCCAGGGAGAATATAAGAAATGCAGCCGGCGTGAAGATCTCAATATTAGTGGCAAATTAGTGTACCTGAGTATCAATGCATCGGTCCGAGTTGTGTCCGAGACCTGCACGACCTGTGCACGACAGTGACGCGCTCTGTGGCTCGACTCTATTCTTATGAGCAGCCACGATCGGGCTACTGGATAACCTCCGATGATGCAACTTCCGGGCCTGCGCAGTGCCCATGTCACAACCTTGAATGGCCATCTGTTCCTTGGCCGCGGTTATAAGAGAGCGAATGGCCTAACGAGGGGATCCCATTGGACCGCCCTGCCCTCCCCTCAAGCTCTTGAGCAGTGCATAACATTCCGAAGATATGGTAGTGGTGACTCTCGCCGCCCTTGGAGCAGCGTACCTGGCATATCATGGGCATGGGAAGTCTGAGGAACAGGTACGTCCACACAGTGGCCAGACGATGGGGATCATGCGAATGGTACATGTCCGGTAGAAAAAGGCAGATTTAGAAGGCCTTCACAAATGGTTCTTGGCCGCTCAAGCCCGTACAGAGGAGTTCTATCGTGACGGTCCGCGCGGTCCTGTGGCTTGGGTAGTTAACCAGGGCCATGTTATGCCCGAAGATGCCATACAAGGAGGAGAGGAGCACGGCAAGCCTGTTTACATTGCCAGAGCGTATTGCGATGTGCGTATTGCCTGCGACTATGTATTTGTAGGATTCTGACGAGGCTGTCCGATATGCAGGGTGGCGTCAGTGCGTACCACACGTTGTCTGCTCACGATCTTCCTACTCACCGTTATTTGAACGAGTAGTGGTTGGCAAAGCATCTCCCCACACGAAGAAAGGCGCGGTTATCGGATACAAACATAACGAAATCAATGTAACAACATCAGAGATATCCTTTCCTTGAGCGAAGCTGAAGCAGCGTCTTCCAGGTCGAAACGTATGAGATACTAGTCGGAGACATGGATCAACTAATCTGGGTTGAGACTTCCGGTCGCCTAAACATCGACTCTCTGGAGCACAAGCCTGTGGAAGGCGGCTACGAGCCTGACCTCACCCCCATCTACATCGCCCAGGCCCATCATCACATGGGGACCCATCCTGGCAAGGCAAGCTCTGTGCTAGACGGTGAATCGGGTTCCCTGCAGGTACACATTCATATGGCTGACATCTCGTGCCATCGATCCCAGGAGCATTCATTCCTCATGACGGATCGGAGAAGAAAGTTAAAGTGCGTCTCCTATTGCTAACTCGTTGCTGTAGATTACAGTGCTGATATACGATTGAAGGATTATCGCGTTCTATGCTACGCCTGATTTACGATGCCTATATCAGCCTCCTACGAAGGAGTGTAAACAATTACGTGTATGGTATGTATCATGATATCTGTATCGCTCACGGGGGCAACGTGGTCATGACCCAAGCCTCCTACGCGATTCCCTGCCCGCTTGGTCGGCGCTATTGTCAAGGTCAGTATATTAGGTGCGAGGTGATCAGCCTGTCCAAGATGTCCTCGGGACTCCGGTCTATGTTTGCGCGAGAGAGAGGAAGCAATCTCGTGAACAAATAATGTTCCAAGTATTGCTAAACTGGACCGCATTAACAGCCATCGCATTCTCCCGCCGGCAAGCTGGGTCGTCTGGAACTTCTCTCCCAAGTACCGCCAATGCCTGACACTGCCGCATCGTATTGGGATCAGCGGCCACCACAGAGGGCAAACAGTGATGTTGAGCTTTCTGCCCACCAAGGACCACGCAGAAGGTGATAGTCCCATTGGCACGGGAGCCACCTTCCCATAGTAACTCTTGGGTACCAGCCACGTTGGTCTATTGAGAATAGGACTGGTCCTTCCTTCTGACATACCGCTGCTTCTGCATCATACTTATTGTTCCCATGCATCTGACTGCTGTGTCCCGGGAGTGTATAAATGCCACGACTGTGCTTCAGGGTGAACCACTGGCAGTCCTGCCAGCTACCTCAGCATGGAACCTGCTCAAATATCGGAGATTCGTCTTCGTAAACACACTGCCGCATTCGTCATCTGCTACGAAGTCGGCCGTTCGGTTTGGCATCCGGGAACGGTTGTTGGAAAATTTAACCAACCGACATACACAAAAACAGTTGGCTTGGGATGGCGATTCGCTTTTGCATGCGGCCTATACTCGAGCAATGACCTCTACCCCATAGACATTTACTTCCAGCACCAGGGTGTCGCGGTCGGTTCGACACTTCGTAGTCTGGAGGTCGTAGCCATCTTCAATAAGGCACGAAGAACGATTCTACAGGACTGGCCCATCAAGAGTGAAAGCGCAGATATACCTAAAGTCTGCACTTATCAGCCAGATTTCGCGATACCCAGCAACGCTAAGGAAGGGACAAAATTTCCGGTGATCTTCTCGTTCACTGTGACGTACGCTGTAGAAGATACGCAGGAAATAAGCTGCACGCTGGGGCATTCACTGTCTAGCGGTCTGTTCGCGGACACCAGATTCTTTGCGTATTCCATTCGCAGGCCCTCTGGTGGGGTACGGAGACCCCTTCCTCTCTTTGCAAACGGAGCGCTGCTGAAGGCGAAGTCAGCTTACTTCGTGGCCTGTGAGTGGGCTCACTATCACTTGGAACGCGCTACTCACAAGCTGCCATATTACGCAGTGCTCTCCAATAATGGCTTCTCCGAGTCCAAATCTGCAACTCTGGACGACACATTTCCCGCGGGCGAAGAGAGCGAAATCCTTGACTATGACTATGAATCCGATAGCGATCTGTCGGAGGCAGCGGATCTCGCAGACGTTGCGGAGTCTGATGGCTCCGACAAGACCCATAGCGAACCACGCCTGGATCATGTTGTCCAGTCTCAACGGAAGGGATTTGGTCAAACGATTGTAGTGAAGGACGTTGCTTACTCGACGTGCGTCTCTCGCCCGAGGCAGGGAGCGCTACCTGATAGCCCTTCTCCTGCAGATTAAAAGCGCTCATAATGTACCTGTACACGGGAAAGATTCTCTTCTCGCCTCTCAAGTCGTCTGGAGCCGAGTGGAGCAACAAGGCGAAAGCTGGCATTCACTGTTCCCCCAAGTCAATGTATCGACTGGCTGACAAGGTCAGTAAGGGATGCGCACCGTGCTTCACAGGATAATTACGAACTGAGAACCTACAGATCGGCCTCGTCCATTTGAAGCAGAAATCACGCGAAGCTATCCGAGCGGGCCTATCGGAGTCGAACATTCTGCAGGAAGCCGTATCCGGTTTCACCTCCAGGTGGGTATTCCCGACGCAATAGACCCATCTTACCGCTGAGCTATCCTTCAAAGATATGATGAAATAGAGGCCATGGAGAAGGCGATCTTACTCAAGAATTGCCGCTCACCTGGTGTGAAAGCAGCCATGCCTGATATAATGAAGAGGGCAATCGCAGATGGCGAACTGTCCAGCGCCCAGGGCATCATTACCGTTCTCGTAGAACGGCTGATGATAAAGGAATGAGCATGAGCACCCAAGTCTCGTGCGAGTGCTTTCGAACTAATCATCATACGAGAGTCTTGGACTTGTATTTTTGCGCCATTCGTCTCAGCAGTATTCCGGATAGAACTATCGCTTTGACGGCTGCTGTACTGAAGTTAGTTCATGGCTCCTGTACACACGTCTGTCTTAGTGCATGTAACAGTAATCCCAAAATTGAACGCGCCTTACCTGGCTCTAGCCATGTATCTATCCCTTCACCGCCTCGGACGACTATAAGAACCCAGTTACCTTGATGGTATGTTTTCATCTTTTCATAGCGTTACTAGTCGATGTTTTTCTGGTGCGGCTGATTATAGAAAACATACCGGGTGTTGACGATTCAGGGATGCGAATACGACAACGACCGACACGATCGGCCGTTATTGAAGAGGCTGACTCCGCAACGTCAATCCGAGCGGATCAAGCGAGCTCTGACCTCCGGTGGAAAGTCAGACCCGCGCGGGACGCACACGGTAGGTATGCTAGACCGCAGGCCCCCGTAGCTGATGTGGAGTTCTGTGACCGTCTGCGCCAAGCGTGAGCGTACGTGTGGGCACGCCCCTCCTGGTCTGATGAGAGGGCTCCGAGCGTATATCACGAACGAATGGGAGACGACTGACCCGCTCTTTCTTGCGTATCTCTGAATACAACTCGAGATTATTCTCCGGGGAGTAGCTTTCAATGGCAACCTGTGCAGATGCGTAGGCAGGTACCAAAGTAAGACAATAGGACACAGTGAAATTTCCGTCAACACTCGCTGAAATAGACCGCCTAAATATCACCTCTCTTAAAGCTACCGCGCACGTCCTAATGCGAGGCTGGCTTGAGCGACGGATGGAAGGACTATATCCCGGCCCGGTCAGGACTAGCCTGCATGGTCACCTACGTCGGAGGGGTTCGAGCGCTACGAGGCCCTGCGATGATTGTGTGCCACAGAGAGATGGGTTGGATGCCGAACCTTTCGGAGAGTACAAGGATCCTGACAGATGTGATCCCGAGCTCTCTCAGAGACTGTAACTGGTTGATTGGGTTGGGCAAGAAAGGATCCGTACTCTACATATGTCACGCATACCCCCGCAGGGGATTGCCACAGGAATATAGCTGCTGGAATCATTATCCCGAGTATCTGTCAAAAATCTTGATGTGACTTTGCCTTGGATAGACACTCAAACGACTGGCATAGAAAATGAGGACTATAGGCCGACTATACAGGGGGTAGAAGTGAGAGCGGCATATCTGGCCGGCGTGGTGTTGAATCAACGGCACCTTATGAAAACAACAGAGACGGCAACGAATGCGGCGAGAGGAGTATATACTTGCAGGCTTGGCAGAACATGCCATGTGCACAGCCCCTCAAGTCGAGTCCAGTGATCAACTATCAATTAAAGGACGACTCGAGCGGAATGTCTTACTGTACTGCAGGCGATCGCTGCTGCTGAATACCTTGAAAATAGGAGAAAATAGTGAAACATGGGAGGCAGAACTGAGTGGAGGACGCAGGATACTACGATCGAGGCAAGTATTGGTATTGATGGGAGTGACGTGACAGGAGTGCCGAAGAGCGGGATCACAGATATTTTAGCAGACGCAGGACAGAATGGGCAGCCCATTCACCGGCGGTTCTGCGCCCTTCCACGCCAGGCTGCCATATCTTTATTATACCCTCGACTCTGTCCATTCCTTTCTGTGCCTCCGTCCCCGCCGCCATGCCTGGCCTCCTCCGCGCTCCCACCCGCCTCTCCGGCCGCGACGCCTTCCTCATCCTCCTCGGCGCATTCACCATGCACATCCTCTCCATCCTCTCCGGCGGCTTCAACGACGGCACCAAGAACGAGATCGTCGTCAGCACACACTTTAACTCGACATGGCAGGTCCACGACAAGGATCTGCGATTTGACGAGCCAGAGCCGCAGCAGGCCCTCGACGAGCAGCTCCGAGTTATCGAGACGGACACTCGGACGAAGGATTCACCTCTCTCTGACACTGAGCCCAAGCCCGAGACGGAGAAGAAGACAGCTGACGTCTCCAAGGCGTCTTCTCTGCCGGCCACGACGCTTGCGCACCACGCGCCGGGCTGGACCATCTTCCACGACGTTTACATGTCCAACGGCACCCTCTTTGTCGTCACTGACGACGACCCCTCCGACTTCCCAGACCCCATCTACATTACTTCAACAGGTCTTCCTGCCGTCAACTCGGAGGAGAACATCCGCGCAAGACTGCCGACCAAGTACGAGCTAGACTTCATATCTACCTCCGAAGCGCAGAAGCGATGGGGGAAGAGAGCAGGCGAGGCAGAGAACCGGGTGTGGACAGTCCAAGGCAACACAGTATGTATCACATCGCCCCGATCACCTCTCTCGGGCTCAACTTGACGCTCGTAGGTGCTGTTCAACGACCCGGGATCACAATGTAAGCGCTTTTCATATCATTTATCTATCCCCTTCGCACCCCATTTCTACACTGCCACCAATGCATCTACCCCACTTCCAACGAGCATGCCGTCAGCCTCAGCTGTGCAGCCTTCTCTCCCGCCCACTGAACGGTCTAGCTCAGGTCACTCTGGACCGTGTTCTATATCTGCCACAACCTCTTCCGTTGCTCCGTCCAAGTGGCTGCGTAGATACTGTCCCCATCGGGAAATCCCCTCTTTAATCCAAACCTTCGCCCCTCCCTTCACATTCACCCGCTAAACACTACATACACGTTGCTGACCGTCCTATGCAGTCCTCGATCACTACTACCACTTCGTCGCCGAACTGATGTTCGGCACCTGGGCCTTCTGGTCAGGTGCCCAGTCCCAATACGAAGCCCCGCGGAACCGCGACTCGCCTATCTCGAACCTCTTCCTCGGCTCTCCCTCATCCTCATTCTCGTCTACATCCTCGCCCTCCTCCAAGTCCGATCCCTCCATCCCCATCTTCGACCGCGCGATCTTCTCCCACGCCCTCTCCTCGCAATGGCGCGACCGCCCGGGCTTCAACTCCTACTTCCTGCGCGCCGCCTTCCCCTCGCTGACCGTCGAAGTCCAGGAAGACTGGGAGGACCGCATCAGGAGCACGCAGCCGCTGCGCGCCGGCGCGCTCTCGCCGTCGAGCGCGGCGCCGGACGCGCTGCTCGGCCGCGCGTACCACTTCCCCACGCTGATGCTCGTCGACCGCAGCGCGGCGTTCAAGGGCCGCATCTGCGGCGGCATGAACCAGCGCACGGCGGCCGAGGCGTACTACTACATGCGCGACCGCGGGCTGCTCCGGCTCAGCGGGCTCGAGTACGACTTTGCCTCGGAGACGCCCAAGTACGCGGCGCCGAAGGAGGGCGGGGCGTGGTGGGAGGATGTGCGGAAACGGGTGGTGCAGTATGCGGGTGCCGGTGCGCCGGAGCATCGCGAGCTGCTGAGCAGCGAGAAGGGGGATATCGTGATTACGTATATCTCGCGCCAGGGCGTGCGGAGGCGGTTGTTGGAACCCGACCATGAGGGCTTGGTAGCGGCGCTCAAGGAGCTTGTGCAGAGGAAGAATGCGGAGGGCGGACGGAAGTGGGAGGTGAATGTCGTGCAGGCGGAGAAGCTGGACCGGGACGAGCAGGTTAGGCTAGCGAGTCGGACCACGGTGAGTGTTTGGTTGGTAGTTGGGCTGGGGCGATGGGCTGATTTTTGGTGTGTATAGGTGATGCTGGGCGTGCACGGCAATGGCCTCTCGCACCTCATCCTCATGCCGGTATCGGAGCGGTCGACAGTGGTCGAGATCTTCTACCCGCAAGGGTTCGCGCACGACTACGAGTGGACTTCAAGGGCGCTCGGACACAGGCATTTCGCTGTCTGGAACGACACGTAGGTGTTCTGTTTGCCCGTTCTGGTATGTGGGCTGACGGAAGGCTTCCTGCAGCGGGTATACGTGGCCGAACCAGCCGAAGGTCGACTACCCAGAGGGATTTCAGGGCACGGAGATCCCAGTGCATGGGCCTTCGGTGGCGAAGTTGATTGAAGACAGGATCGAGGGGCGCATTCCCTAGGTTATTTGCTCGGCTACTCGACATCACGCCATCCGACTTGCGATGCCCTCGACATGACCCGTTCACGACGGCAAAATGTGCACACCCCCCTCCCCCGGCCTTCGGAGCTCGTTCTCATTCAGGACAACCTGTTTATTTATTTGTTCTTCTCTTCTTCGGTGTACTTACTGGACCCTGGCTCGCTCTCGCTCCCTCACTCACGCTCGTTCATCAATACCGTCTGCTTATAATCCGCTACCGCCTGGACTGTAACCTGTCTTGCGCTGGCTTGCTTGCTTTCTGAACCTTTCCCGTCTGTCATTGGTTTTACTATAGGGTCCCCGGCGGGTTGTAGGATATCATACGGTCATGTGTAAATGTAAGTATCAAATAGTAGCATCTATAAACTTCTCGAACCTATGGCTGGATGGTGTGATCGTAGGTCGGTGGAATCGTCGGGGTGTTCCTTGGTATGCACTGTGCCGGATAGAAGAGAAATTATGCCCATCACTCGCAATAGCCGTGAGACGCCTTCACCTACACTTCACTGTAGCTTTAAGCGCTCAGGGAAGCAATGACACTGTCAGCCAATCAGCGTCCGGCGCTTCCTCGAAGTACAATCGGCGGGTGTAAGGGAGATACCTTATACTGCTTCATTCTGTAGTATCCGTGAGTAACGTATGAAGGCCTTTCCCCTCAACTTTAAATGTCAGAAACCTTGCGATTCCAATATTAATTACTAGTGCTTACACCGTCGTAACCAGTAAACTAGTAATGGGTGAACGCTGGTCTCACAGTCTCACCAGATATCAGTGGGAGCCGCACTTGCTCGGTGGAAAATTGGAGATGTGAAGAGTCTGAGAGTTGTTTTGTTCGAGATCGATGAGTATTATATGCACATCCACCTGTAAACGACAGAGGTTGATACATGGATCCGAGAGAAGGCAATTTCCATTTCGCTGGACGCCCGACTAGTACTAGTATCGCGGAATGCAAGGCGAGAAATACAAGGTCACTCTGTGCCAAGGTGGAAACGGTACGCGAAACAGGAACCATCTTGCTCACCGGCGTTTATGCTCGCTGTCAAGACTCGGCATTGGGCAGCAAGTCGAGTGTCCAAGCGCGAGACCCGGTGGGGAAGACTCGGAGGCGCATGGAAAAGCGCCGCAGGGCAGCTTCCGTCGGGCAGTGTACGGTCACCCGACGTCTGGTCGGACCATTCGCTGAGCTATGCAACAGCGGTGAAGCCAACTTGCCGGCGAGAATATAGCCCGGCTGTATGGCGGCTATGAGGGGCGGTGCAATATCGGTACGGATGCGCGGATCGTATTAACGAGGGAGCTTCACCCCGCGACAACGAGACCCCCCTACACAGCGCCGTCTCTGACCTCCGTACAAGTCAGACCGGAGTCGGACTATCCGGAAGGCTGAAAGGGGACGCGTATGATCATGAATGTTGGACCTCTAATACTATCCCTCGGTCATCGACCGAGCTCGTCCGCCACCATTTGATCGGCGATGTGGACGGAGACAATTAAGTAGCCGGAGCATAGGTCTTGACTGGAAGAGCATGGCAGCATACCTCGACGGAACAATCGTAGGGGTGGCGAACATCCATTCAGGGCTAAGTGCTTCATATAAGCAGTGAAGGCGGCGGACACTAGAGCGAAGCTCGCACTGTCCGGTGCATATCTGGAGCGTCTGCACTGCAGATGGCTCGAGTTATTATGGGAATAGTGCGAGCTCCGCTGTAGCCTTAACATGCCATAGCACGCCCTACTTAGCTTGGTACCAGTGGGCTGATGGATAGTATTAAAACGAGGAGGTGCAGTGATATGACGTCGATGCCTGAGAACGCGCGCAGCGCTAAGAGGAGTCGCTGCCCGACGGGGAGGAAACAAGTCGTGATGGCCGCGCAGATGACCAGAGGCTGCGAGAATGACTGAATAGACCGGCAGAGGCGAGCGTCGAGTATCGTCCCGCCTCGTTAGTCGGGCGTTATATAGGCCAGCCGTTAGAACGAAGGTACGGGCGTTAGAGCAAGCGAACGGCGGAAGTCATGGTGATGTTCCAAGGTCGGTTGCATCGGGGTAGCTCGAAGGCAGCCATCCTCACCAAGACTAAAGGTGCGCAAGTGCAGCTTCAGCTCAATTATCAGAATATATACCAGCTTCCTGTACGCTCATACGAAGGGCTATGAAGATCGAGGTCACCTTAATTTGACCACTGGCGTGTCTTATAATTAATAGACCGGTATATAGTAAGGCGGTGGGTATTGTTGATGGATACTTTGGGTTCGGGGGTGGCTGATGGGGACGAAAGCCTCATCGCGCAGGGTCAGCAGACGATGGGAGCTGTCAAAGATACACTGCATGTAGGGCCTTGTACTTACGAGAATCGAAGATCCCCGCTATCTCCTGCGCCACCGAACCTTAAGTGAACTCTAAGTGGAGCAGTCGCACTCACAACAGCGGGACGGAGGGGCACATCGGGCACCGGAATTAGATATGAATTAGATATGAAGGGACATAGGGATATTAGGCCTACGATGAAGTGATAACTCCGGGCTGGATGATCCCCAGGCTTGACGGTAACAACTCTGTATAGGGTTGTAGTATCGGCTTCTTGATCACTTACAGACATGAAGAGCTTCTTCCTTGGTCACCGGATGTTACGTACGAGTGACTGAGAGATATATGAGAAAGAGCAGCGATTTATCAGCTTGTTCAGTATTCTAAGCACGCCTTCTTACAATACAAATAGCAATCGCGCTCGACGAGAATGGTACTACCTTACCAATGCTTAGGCTGATAATGACGCCCTACTTGCGAAGTCGAAGAGGACAAAGACAAGCTCACAGGAACCAGAACACACAGAACCAATCAACGTTGGCAGTGATCGAAGTGTGGAGCCCCGCGCAGAACATCCATACCCCGGCGAAACAGGAGGGCGGGGTCGTCTAGAAATGATCTGCCCTGCAACGCCCGACGCCCAACCCGATCCAGAAAGGCCGCGCTGAATGGAATTGAGACTGGCAGGAACAGGGAAACTTGGAGGAACGCAGATCACTAAAAATTTCGACAGGCACAGGCGCAGATGGAGGGGCCTTGCGCTGCGCTAGAAGGTGAGTGTCGTAGTTTCGGAACAAAGGAGGATTTGTGTCTGCATGGTCTTTCGTGCGCTTGAATGAAGAGACGGACCGGCATGACGTTGAGCAAGAGCCGTGTCGGACGGGAATGGGAAAAGTCGGCGCCACCGCACATCGTCACGAATGGTGTGGGCGTCGCTGGATGAGATGGCTACAAGATCCGATTGCACGACGCCGGACGAGTGCCAAAAACGGCGCAGCGTGCCTGGAGAATCGGATGGTCCGGCACAATCACGTGCAGGCACTTGGCAAATCAATCGACGAGAGAAGAAAACTCTGCGGTGGGGCCTCCTTATCAGACACGATTGAAGTTTGTACGGGACGATGTAATACTGGTATGTGAGCGTCAACGTCGTGTTGGGCGACGAGCAAGGGCAAACCAGTGGTTGAGTGACGCAGCCAGGGTTAGGAGCGCGAGTTACTCCACGGCGTTCAGTAGGATGAGTGGACGGATTAGGAAGCGTTCCCCAGACTCGGCACACGTCGGGTAATCCTGTATTTGATATCGAATCCGGGGCCGAGTGCCGGAGACAGTAAGAACCGTCTGGGGCTACGCCCGCACGTTACCGCTGTTTCGGGTCGTACGATAAGTGGAAGAGAGGGGAGGAGGGCGAGTGCATTCCGACCGATTTTTGTGAGGTTTTCTGTAGGTTTTGTGGACGCGATACTACTGTAGCACGAGAGGCGCGGGGGACGCGGAATGGGCGGAGAAACAATTGGGCAGAGAAATGATACGGCAGGGCGCCCATGGGGGAACCCCAGATGCGTCACCTGATGAAACGCGCAGGCGACACTCCACATCCGGTTCCTCGGCGCGATTGTCCATCAATCGCAAGCAGCCTTTGGCGACCGTACCGCTATAAAAATGCGCGCGTATCTTCTCCGCAAACCGTTCCCTCCTCTCCGCACTCCTCTTGCGACCATGGCTGGGGTATCCAACGACTTCAACGAAAAGGCTTCCATCGACAAGAGCGACTCTATTTCTTCCGTCGCCCCCGCTCGCAAACAACACAAGAATGCCCTTCAAGTTGAAAACGTTAACGCCAAGCTCGCCAACCCCCTCGATGGCGTTCCCGCCGAGCAGCTTATGGCAGACGCGGACGAGTTTGCAAAGTCCCATGGCTTAGGCCACATGTCCACCGAGTTCCAGAAGGGGGCCTTGATTGCTCAGAACCCTTCCGGTTTTGAGGCATTGACCCAGTTGACGGAAGAGGACAAGGCTATTTTGCGGAGGGAGGTCACCCACAAGTGGGATCAGCCCGCGCAGCTTTACTATCTGGTCATCTTATGTTCAGTCGCCGCCGCCGTGCAAGGAGTACGTGTTTGTCTTCTGTTTCCTTCACAACTCTTAACCCTAGTCGGCAGATGGACGAATCCGTTATCAACGGCGCGAACTTGTTCTTTGCACCGCAATTCGGCATCGACCCCAATACCTCCACCGGGGATGCGGGCCGGAACCAGTGGCTGCTCGGTCTTGTCAATTCGGCACCATACGTGGGTCTGTTCGGATCTTTACAACGTTCAATGATACTGAATATTGGGTCTCTCACAGCTTTGCTGCGCCGTTCTTGGCTGCTGGCTCACGGATCCTCTCAACCAGTGGTTCGGTCGCCGAGGCACGATCTTCATCGCCGCCGTTTTCTCCTTCGTCACATGCATCTGGCAAGGTGCTACCAACTCGTGGGAGCACTTGTTCGTCGCTCGCCTGGTCCTTGGTCTCGGCATTGGTCCCAAGTCGACCACCGTCCCTGTCTATGCTGCAGAGTGTACGCCCGCTACCATCCGTGGTGGTCTCGTCATGATGTGGCAGATGTGGACTGCTTTCGGTATCATGATCGGTTATGTCATGGATCTTGCTTTCCTCCACGTCCGCTCGTCCGAGGTACGCGGTCTGAATTGGCGTCTCATGCTGGGTAGTGTAAGTGCTTCTGTCTCCATTCGTCTGAATCAAGGCACTTAGTTTCGTTCGTATAGGCTGGTGTCCCCGCTCTGTTCTTGGCTATCCAAGTCTTCCTATGCCCGGAGTCGCCTCGTTGGCTAATGGGCAAAGGCCGCTACGAGGAGGCGTACAAGTCGTTGGCCCGGCTGCGTCGCCATCCGCTCCAGGCCGCTCGTGACATGTACTACATCCACGTCCTTCTCGAAGCTGAGCGCGAGATCAGCTCGGGACGCAACAGGTATCTCGAGATGTTCACCATCCCTCGTAACCGCCGCGCCGCTCTCGCCTCGTGGATCGTCATGTTCATGCAGCAATTCTGCGGTGTCAACGTCATCGCCTACTACTCTTCGTCCATCTTCGCCGACTCTGGCTTCAGCGAGCAGTCTGCCCTGGCCGCATCGCTCGGGTTCGGTATCCTGAACTGGCTGTTCGCGATACCGGCTGTCTACACCATTGACACGTTCGGTCGGAGGAATTTGCTATTGACGACTTTCCCCGCCATGTCTGCATGCTTGCTGCTGACTGGGTTCGCATTGTAAGTGAACCCCTGCCCTCTGTTTGGGCTTACCGCTCATCGTTCCGCATAGCTGGATTCCTGGGACCGAAGCCCGTATCGGTGTAGTTGCCCTCGGCATCTATCTCTTCGCCATCTTCTATTCCCCAGGAGAAGGTCCAGTACCTTTCACTGTGAGTGTCCATCTCCTGGTTTGTTACGAGCGCTCTATCTAACCCGCCGTTTTTCAGTACTCTGCCGAGGCGTTCCCCCTGTACATCCGTGAAATCGGAATGTCGTTCGCAGTCGCCACGACGTGGTTCTTCAACTTCGTCCTCGCCATCACTTGGCCGCGGTTGCAGGGTGCGTTTAAGCCGCAGGGTGCTTTCGGTTGGTACGCGGGATGGAACATCATTGGCTTCTTCGCCGTGTTACTGTTCATGCCCGAGACCAAGGCGCTGTCGCTCGAGGAGCTGGACATGGTCTTCTCCGTGCCTACCACCCGCCATGCGTCTTACCAACTCAAGGCCTTCTTCCACAACTTCCGCAGATGGGTGCTCCGCCAGAAGATCGAGCAGCTGCCTCCGCTGTACGACTTCGAGGGTGAGATTGGGGAGAAGCACTATGCGCCTGGAGGAGCAGGGCACTAAACTCCTTTCTACAAGGAGGTGTTACGTTGTGATGTTTTCAGGATGTTGTCTGTGTTAATGATTAGCGCTACGACCACTTGTATTTTTTAGATGACCACGCTGCATCTTGTTATCCAGCTATACCATACGTAATTTATCATTACAACCTCACGCAGATATGAATCTGAATCTACAGTTTCGAGTGACGTTGAGTGTGCTCTGGGCTATCCACAACATACATCAACCGTCATGATATGATCGTGAGGCAGGCTCGGGATTATCCGCGACTGCGATTGGCTGGGAAAGGCAGAGTCGCAGGAAGCTGCGTACAGACTTAGTTCGGACAGCACGTCTCTTCGTCTCACTGAGCCATGACACAAGCTAGCGTGCTTCAGTACGAAGCACCATGTAAGTACGCAATGTCCTGCACGTCCGCCAGGCATCCATTCACCGTCTCCCAGGGCCCGTATTCGCGCTGGACTGGTGCAAGACCCCCGCGCCCGGCCAGCAGCATCGCCCGCGATCGTCCTTCCGCCTCGGCGTCGGCTCGTTCACAGAGGACTACCGCAATCGCATCGCGGTCATCGGGCTGCAGGACGAACGGGTCCTCGTCGAGGATGACTACACCGACTACTCGGACTTTACGATACTCGCGGAGGCGCACCACGGGTATCCAGCCACATGTTTGCAATGGCAGCCCGCGTCGTCCGTGCAGTACCCGTTGAGCTGTAGGGGTTCTGGGACAGAGCTGCTGGCGACGACGGGGGATGCGCTGAGGGTGTGGGAGTATGCGGGGGAGAGCGCGCCGATGGTGTCCGGGTATGTAGGTCGGCCGGCGGGCTCGTCTAATCGGTTGACATTGAAGACCGTTCTGCCTGGGGTGAGTCCCCTCTTGTTCCTGTTTGACTTGAAGTACTCATTCGCCGGGACTGCGCGCAATAGAACAAAGTCCAGAGCCAGAATAATGCCCCGCTTACGTCCTTTTCCTGGAACGAGAAAGACCCAGCACGCATCGTGACCTCATCTATAGACACGACGTGCACAGTGTGGAACATCGACACATCGACGGCGCTCACGCAGCTGATCGCGCACGACCGCGAGGTCTACGACGTCGCGTGGCTGCCGGGCTCCGTGGAGATCTTCGTCTCGGTCGGCGCGGATGGCAGCCTGCGCGCGTTCGACCTGCGCAGTCTCGAGCACTCGACTATCCTCTACGAGACGCCTGCCCCGAAGAACGTCCCTCCTCCGTCGAATTCGCCGTCGAATTCTGCGCGCCCGCCCACGTCGCCTTTGCTGCGGATATGCTTCAACCCCGCAGACTCCAATTATATGGCTACGTTCCATATGGACGGGTCAGAGGTTCAGGTGCTCGACATGCGCAGCCCTGGGCAGCCTGTTATGGAGCTGAAGGCTCATAGAGCGCAGATTAACGGGTTGGGCTGGAGCACATCCGACACGCCTATGCTCGCCACAGCTGGTATGCACCTCCATCTGTGCCTTTTCGTCCCTCGGACTGACCCTCGCCTCGGCTGCAGGTGACGACTGCCAAGTCCTACTCTGGGATCTGTCCAGTTATATGCAGCTATCCGGATCCGCCTCGCGATCACGCATGAACTCCCCGCGGCCTGACGCCAAAAAACAAGTAGTCACTGACCCTGTCATGGCGTACTCAGCCTCTGCAGAGGTGACAAGTTTGGCGTGGTCGCCGCAGATAGGCGGCATGTCCATGAACACTGGACAATCGGTTGGGCCTGGCGAATGGCTAGCTATCACCTCGGGCAAGTCCATAAAAGCGTTGAAGGTGTAGTGCCGCTCTGCGCCTGCTATTTAGGGTCAACGGTTTAGCGGGGCCAGTCTCTAACCTCGATACGGGCTTTGTCCGGGCGGTACCTTGCGGTGGACACCTTGTTCCCCGCTTGGGTACATAGCTGAGCGATCCGTTCGCGCTAAACGTTGGCGTTATCTCCTTGGTGGCTGTGGCGAAGATATACCTTGCCTTGCCATCCTGAGGCTGAAGGATCGAGGCTGGTCGACTGAACTCCGAGATCCCCAACACCTTCCAGTATCCCTTGGACATCGCTGTTATCCTCTTTTTTTGGGATGTAACGGTTGTATAATAGCTGTATTTGTGAAACCTCTGCATCAAGTCGGTATATGGAGTAGACACCCGAATCTCTCGGATACCAAGGCAGTGTTCCATCCGTGCGCGATAGGGCAAAAGCCCCGGTGCCAAGGGGGGTTACTGAGCTTGCACCTGGTCGGCTCTCCACCTGGACCGATTCTTCGAGATTCGAGGCGCCTTGTAGGCTGTAACATAGAAATAATTCCTTCCCAGTCAACAAACCAGCTGGTTTTTCTGCAGCATATGTTAGGAATCTGTACTTCATTCTACGCCCAATTGATATGTCTATCTGAGAGCCGCAGCTGGTACATATCGGTTTTGTTATCAGGACGCTCCAGAGCCAGGCACCTCAATTTTCCTCACGAGATAGGGACCGCGTGGTTTATCCTGTCAAATCAGCCACAGAGCGCGGCACCACCCGCGTCCACACCGATGATGTATAAAATTCCTGGGGGCAAAAGCGCCCCGTCCTCTCGGCTTTCTGTCCTCCTGCTGGTCCCACCCTTCGCTGTCCATCTGCTTCAGCAGCGCACACGAACATGGCCGACAATACGGGCTTGCATTACAACGCGGAGCCGGCCACCATGGCTCCGGGGCAGCAGCAGGAGACGCCAGTCGAGAGGCGGAAGTCACGCGATACTCACTCTTCGTCCTTTGACAAGGAGAAGCAGCCCGCGGACTCCCAGGTTGTGTCGGAGCGGGACGAGGATGACGAGGAACCCGAAAAGTCGCGCCATTTCTTGTTCGCAATGCGCCGACCTGTTATCCTCACGTTATTGGCGGCTACTATCTTGGGATGGTGGATCACTGCGACAATCTTGCCCGCAACTCGGCATAGATGGTATGCATTTTTGGCCACACAACATGAGCATTTACCCACGTATTGGTTTCGATAAAGGATTGTGCAAACTCTTTTTGCATGGTTTTTCATCTTGTGAGTGACTTGATATGACAACCAGGCTCTCTGACTTACCCGTACAAGGGTCATCGCGTTCCGGTTCATTCCCGCCCGCGTGGTATCGCGTCCAGTAGAGGCTTTCTGGAAGCCCTGCGTCGAGAGGCCCTGGTTCAGCCTTCCGAGATATGTCCGACTCACCATTGGATGGCTCTGTCTCCTTGGCATTGTCTTTGGTTCTGCATTCGGCTTCCCTCTGCAAGATGTGAGACTTACCAATACCTATACTGGTTCAACCAATCTTATGTACCCGGTGGTTTACAGAACAGCAGTTACGGCGACCGTGCCATTTCGGTGCTTGGCCTGTTCGTCTTCCAGTTCGGCTTCTGGGCTACTTCCTCCAAGCGTCACCTGGTGCCATGGAACACCGTCATTGTCGGCTTGTTCTTCCAGCAGGCGATTGCGCTCTTCGTGCTGAAGAGCTCAGCCGGTTTCTCCATCTTCAAGTGGATCGCCGACTTGGCGTCGGATTTCTTGAACCAAGCGCAAACCGGTGTCGCGTTCTTCTTTGACCAGGAAACCGCTGACAAGCACTGGTTCTTTGCATCCACTGTGCGTCTTCGATTACCGGTTGGACTTGGTCTAACGGAGTAGTCTGATATGCATCTGCACTTTTTCTTTCGTAGCTTGGTGCCATCATCTTCTTCATTGCCTTCGTGCAGATGATGTACTACCTGGGCGTCATGCAGTGGATCATCAAGCACTTGTACGTATTTTACAGAGTGCGGCCTGTACGTTGCGTCGTACTGAACATCATCCTCTCAGCGCCTGGTTCTTCTTCAAGACCATGAACATCTCCGGAGCCGAGGCCGTCATTGCCGCCGCATCTCCTTGGATTGGCCAGGGCGAGTCTGCCTGCTTGGTCAAGCCGTACGTGGACCTGATGACAGTGTCCGAGCTGCACCTGGCCATGACTTCCGGTTTCTCGACTATCTCCGGCTCCGTCCTTGGCGCATACATCAACAAGGGCGTACCAGCTCAGAACCTGGTTACTTCGTCCGTCATGAGTATTCCTGCCTCCATCGCTATCAGCAAGATGCGCATGCCGGAGACAGAAGAACCTGTCACCCGTGGAATGGTCGTGGTTGACCGTGGTGAGGCTGACAAGGGTCAACGCCCAGCGAACGCCATACACGCGTTCAGTCTCGGTGCTGTCTTTGGTATCGTGGTCGCCGGCCAGATTCTGTGAGTCTCAGTGTTCTCTCAAAATTATCTCGGCGTGCTAAGTGTGACCCAGTTGCAACGTGTTCACCATCCTGTCTCTCGTTGCGACTATCAACGGTCTGCTCACTTGGATCGGCCGCGGCTTCGGCATCCACCACTTGACCCTGCAGCTCGTCTTGGGATATATCGGCTATCCAGTCACCTTCTTCTTGGGCGTACCAAGGGCTGAGATCCTCCGTGTCTCCCAGTTGCTTGCCACGAAGCTCGTCGCTAATGAGTTCGCAGCCTACACTGGTACCTATATTTCTCAGCTTTCTCGATCCGCTGCGATCTAATAAGTGTGCTGCGTAGATCTATATGAGATCATGCAGAGCTCGAATCCGCTGAGTCCCCGCGCATTCACCATCGCCTCCTACTCCCTCTGCGGGTTCGCAAACTTGGGCTCGCTGGGTATACAGATTGGTGTACTTGGCGCGATGGCGCCTTCGAGACGAAAGGTCATCGCATCAATTGCCACGTCCGCCATGGTCTGTGGCTTTATTTCGTGAGTCCTGCCGTCTTTGTCCGAGACCATGTTAGGTGATAACTGACTTGCATGTGCGCTCCGCAGAACGTTACAAACCGCTGGTATCGCTGGCATGCTTGTATGAGTTATTTATTGCTTTGTCTTGTCGGGTGGGAGTCTGTTGTAGTTATTATATTTTGTTTTTCTGATATAAAGACCTTTCCACGAGAAGACTCTGTCGGGTGGTGAAGATGGAATTCTACGTGTATTGGGTGACGCCGAGTTCATTCCTACGTCTGGCTAATTTACAGGGCGAACATGGATCGTCTCAACGGGTGTTGTAACGTTGGTCCTGCCTCCCGCAGAAGGCCGGTGGTACGTGTAACAACTAGAACACAGAAAAGAACTGCGAGGTCAAACCCACGTCGGGTACTGTTGTACAAATTATGTCGTAGTACTATGCTACAAATGTCCTTTGCAGCCGAAACAACTAGAAGTAATGATGGCATCGGGCCTTACATGGGACCGCCGACCCACTCCTTGACAAGCCCTTCCCAACACTCCTTACTCATCACCATATGTTCCCCTTCGCATGTCTCGAGCAAGACATCCCCTCTCTCGTCCAGAGTCTTCAAACCTATCGCATCCGTCGTATAGACAGGCTGCATCCGCATGGGAATAGTCGTCTTCTCAGCCTGCGAGACCATCGGAAGTTGGTCCCCCTCTCCAGCAGAGAGCAAGCGCTCCGCGGGGGCGTAGCTGCCGAACCAGGAGCTCTCCTTGGGGACGACGGTCTTGTCCTCCGTGAACAGGACCATGATGAACTTGTTCAACGACGCCAGGTTCTTGGCGTAAGTCTCGTTTCGCCCAGATGTTGGGGCCGTTATGGATGGCAGCCCGTAGTCCTCCGGGAGCTCGTTGTTGATGTTGGGCAGGAAATGGTTCCGAGCGAGGTAGATGGGTAGGTGGTCTGGGTCTCGGTAGTATTGCGCCTACGGAAACATGTTAGGGGGTATCTAATATGACGAGAGCGACAGGAGCGACCTGGATTATGTTCTGTTGCGCCCATGTACCATACACCCCACCCTTGACGGCGCGACGGGCAATTTGGCACCAGATATACCCAGGCCCTGTGCATCAGCAAATTCACCAACGTGTCAGATACTGTACTGGCATATAATGAGCTTCACCAACCTGGTTCGCACAGAGGTAGGTCCGAGACGCCCATGTGCTGAGAACCAAATGTGATGAGGTTATGTACTGGCGGTGAGTTGTAACGTTCGATATATGCGCGAAGGAATTGTCCGCCTGAGACACAAACACCGCACCGTCAGTCGTGTAGTGACGGGGAAACTATGTTGTATGGCTATTCGGACAGGAGATAGAAGCATACCTTGCGAGAATCCTATAGCGTCGAAGCCATCTCGAAGCTCTGGGATACCCTGTAATTGTTCCGCTACGACTTCAAGCTGCTCATTGATATTCCCAAACTATCATGGTCAGTAGAGCGGATTCAGTATATCATTTCAAGCTACCGTGACGGTAAGACATTAACTAACGTACCCAGCCCGCCTTCCGGTCGTCCTCCAAGTCCTCCGCCAGGAATATCGAATGTATGAAGATACCTTCGTGAATCTCCTTCACCTCATCCATAAACCTTATCATCCCAGGAGATGAGTGAGAATCCCCTGCGTATTGTATGATCAGTACGCCGTGAGTCGCGTCATGTTTATGAATCGTATCGACTGTTTGCTCGCTGGACTTACCCAGCCCATGCCAGAGGACTAGAGGTCGCGGCTTTGACCGCAAGCTCAGTCCTACAGCCGTTGCATTTGCTGCAGAAGGTGCGGTTGGGTACCCTGACACCCAACTCGGTGAAATTATCTGAGAACATAAGGCCAGCAGTCCCAATGCCAGCATAACCATGACCTCCAACTACTGACGGATTGCGGAATTGCGGGGAAGGCTAGGTCCACGTGGCTTATGTACCCTTTCAGAATCTGCCATGATCTGACAGCCACAAACAACGGACGTCGGCTTCTCGACTCTGCACGAAAACCCCAGACCTATAAGATCATCAGGTCGTTGGAAGCAACGCACGCTTCTCCAAGCAAATGGAACCAGCCCAAGAAACACAAGTTACTCGTCGTACTAATGTCTGCAAATTCAAGATCGATATGGATCGCGATTCCAATCCTACTGCCATTGGTAACGAAGTCGCCTACTCGGACGCTCGTGACTTGGGATGGCGCTTTGGAATAGCTCGTAACTGGAGTACCAAAGCTTTCTCCTTCCATTTTGACGGCACCCGTGTGCGAGCGGGCCGAACGTTGTCCATATCCGTTGACGTGCATGAGCCATGGACACGCCGCGCCGGGCATCACGAAGATGTCAATGTGTCTGTGGTCCAGGAAAAGCCCCTTCCGAACTACACCACAGAGCTGTATCAGCTAGGCTCCTTCTCGTGGAAGCAGCACAACCAGGCGTGGCAATGTACGGTTACCTTCACGATGATGGAAACGATCTGTATGGACACCTTCAGGGTACACGAAAAGATGAGGTCCACACTGACGAAGTCACTCTCGGATGGTCGCGTGATCGACACGCGGTTTTTCGCATACTCTCAACGCCTGAGGTCCGGCCAAGTGGGCGCTCCACTACCTATCTTTGTGAACAGCGCTCTTCTGAAAGACAGGTCGTCCTACTTTCATACATGTGTGTTTTATTTTTCTTTGCCTCAGTATGGGAAATCCAGGCTGAAGATTCCACAAAGTACTCTGTGGAGAAGGGTATGCGGAATCCTCGCTGGAAAAGCTTGACTCGCAGTTTCCGTCCACGGAAGAATCTGCTGTGGAAGAGTTTGAATACGAATCCGATAGTGATTTGTTGGAACCACCGGACGTCAACGACTTCCCAGCGGATGAGCCTAGCGATGTAAATCCTCAGGAACAGGTAGACTCAGGAGCTATTGGGGGACTTCAAAGAGATAATAGTAGTGCTAGTTCGCGCGGTGTCACCTGGGGAAGATCAGTTGTTATCAAAGACGTTGCGTACACCACGTGAGTTTTCTCCTAATACATCTATAAGGCACCTACTACTTACGGGGACTCGTAATACAGTCTGAAAGCCCTCATCTTTTATCTGTATACCGGCGAAATCAATTTCGCCCCGCTCAACTCAGAAAAGCCGTCTGCGATACCGCGGAGTGTCCAAGACGTCGATGACGTGTCACCGCCCCAGTGCTCTCCCAAGTCTATGTATCGCCTAGCAGATAAGGTGGGTGGCATCTATTTTATCCAGAAGTCTGAGTTGACCCAGTTGCATTCACTATGAGCAGATTGACCTGCCGGAACTGAAAACACTGTCTGCCGAGGCAATTCTAGGGAGCCTCTCGGAGAAGAATATCATCGAGGAGGTTTTCAGTAAGTTTACATCCAGGTACGTGGTGTTCGGATAGGGCACGACAGCGCCACACTTTTGACGATGGCCGCAATGTCCGACAGATATCCGGATATTCGTAGAATGGAGCTAGACAAATTGTACTTGAACGCACGCCAGCCTGAAGTAAGAAACGGCTTTATAGAAGTTATGAATACCATGGCCGGCGAACCACGGTTTGCTGATATTGCTGGGGCCCTTTTCCTTCGTCTCACGGGTTGATTTACTGTGCCACCTCACTTTGCTACGTGTCATTCCCTTGCCGGTGTACTGATGCCTTTCGTCATGCGCACGCTCTGGACGACTGCACCACGAATGTCTCCATGTGTAAGGTACACTTCATATACAAAGCAGGGATGACTATCTATTAGATAGATATCCTTCTCTATGCATCCACAACGTTAGCCAGTCCTAGCTCTCTTCCCGAAAGGCCCGACTTGGATTAGCAACGCTACATCGCCGTAGACATACGAGAGGCTAGCCTCATTCCCGAAGTGTGCTACGTGCGGCTGCTCGTGGCGATTACGCACCGCATTGAAGGGGGTCACCCAGTACACCTTCTGCACCTTGCGCCAGTCGCGATTTTCCCCCTCCTGAATCATCGTGCCATCCATTTCATCCAGCGCAGTCATATCTTCTGGTCCTTCATGTTCATAGATGTACTCAAATTCATTCGGTCCCGACATAATCATCTTCTCATCTCCCTCTTCCCAATAGATGACGCGGAGGGACACATCGAGCGAGAGCTTCTCCGCGACCCTCTTGAGTATGCCGTCGCTGCCCTTGAGGATGGCGAATATGTTGCGAAGAGATCGCCGCGAAGGATCAATGGGGTACTGGTGCCGGAGACCAAATCCGAGTCGACCACCTTCAGGTAAGAAGGTAGTGTCTTCGAGCAGCCTTTGGAACGTCTCCTTCAAGAGATCCTCTTGGGATAGAGTAGAGACAGGCATGGGCACCACAGCTTGGAGATCGTCGTAGTACAGATTGTAGGTGAGAGTCACTCGGTATCCCGAGTCCACCATAGTGACTTCATGCTCCACGTCGCTGTAAAACATAGCATACGCGACGGAATTCGGAGGCTTCCCGGCTAGAGCCTCCGCGGCGTCGAACGACCACTCCTCGCCCTTGTGACGAAAGATGAGTGTGCCCCCCTCATGTGCGCTGGGATAGATAATGACCAGCGACCCGAACATATTCTCAGCTCTGGGCGTGTCCTGGTGAGGCTTGAAGAACGACCCCTTTCCTGCGGAAGCGAAATGTACGTCAAACGTGCAGTCTGCACCCTAGTCGGCTCGCTTACCGTAGGTGTTCAGTTTATAGAGCTGCACCTTGATCGCCTTTTCCGCGTCTCCGCCTTCCAATAGCTGAGAGCGTAGGATGCGTATCAATGGTGACTGCTGCGGATTGACGTTGGTAGCGAAGTGAGTGATATCCAGCTTTCCTGCCTTCCGGTATGACTCGTCAAGGACGTCCACTTGATTCCTCCCGAACGTCGCAGGGACACAGGCTTCCGCAAGGGCCTGTAGTTTGTCTTCGGACCCCTCTGACATATTTATGTACCTACCGAGCGTCCAATTAGGTCTGACACCTTGGAGCAGGAATGCGGATACTCACCGGGCATCTTCATCCTTCCTGTAGTACAGGTCAAAGCTCTCTGGAGATAAGGTACAGACGCCACTGCAGTACGGTGGCTTGTTGGTGACCGCAGTCTTCAGAACCTCCAAATGCTCGTCTGAGATGTCATTCGAATAATTGTCCGAGATGCCATCCGAGGTGTCCGATGTATCTGACATGAGGATGTATATGAACCACTATGCGATGGCCTGAATGTTTGACCCCTCCTACCTCCAGTTTTTATACGGTGTATATCCCCCAGACCCTGTGTGTTTTTACGTGAACATTCACGCTAAGACTACCGGTACCGTCGTGACTCGCATATTTACCCACTATATATGTATAACGAGTCAGGATGAACACTGATCAGTGAACACCATGACAGGGCCAATCAGGACTCACCGGAAGCATCGAATGCGAGTACCTAGACGACCGCGATCAGCGGAACCAGCACGTTTTTGCCAGAACACGACCCCGTCTCCAGTCCCATGCCTTCCATGAGTAATTCCAAGTGATCACGCACTCATGTGCATCTTACTCACACTAACGTTCTATGGAAGATGCTTCAACAACTTCATTGCAACAACCGAGTGAGAGTACATCATCCTCTAACAATCAGTGACTATTGTGACTTGTTGTTATGGGAAGGGAGCAATAGCTAGATGAGTATCAATAAGGTGATGGAAAACACTGACGACAGACTATCCATAAATAGTAATGAAACCCTGAGGCGATGGAGAAAAGAGACGGCATACACGAGGCAGTGGCGTCAGGTGGGCACCTCGACCGAAATGAGAGGATGCGGCGGAGAGCGGAGAGCGGAAAAGCAAGAGGGGGAGGTGTGAGTGATGACAAGTTGGGATGGGGAGTCGGCAGCCGAGAAACAGTGATGTCGGTCGAGGGAAGAGTCGAAAACAGTGTCGATGTCAGTCGGGGGTGATGGGAAGGAAGCGTCGCCAGAGGGGGAAGATCGACGGGACAAGCGATAAAGTTACAACGAGTTTACAAATAAACGGTTAGCAGTCAAGCGAGACGAGGGATCAGCAGGTAAGCAGATGGTGGCATAGCCACCAAAATACGGCAGTTTTAACGAAGATACCGGGGAATCGTGGGCTGTTCAGTCAGATTCAACCATTTGGATAGCGCCGCATTGTTCACAGTGAGACCACATCGTCCTAGAGCCCGTGAGGCCAGTGGAGCACGCGATCCGAAGCTTCGGGATTTGCGAGCAGTTGGGACTAGAAGCAGAAAATATGTCAGTCTGGGCAAGAATACTTAGCAAATAAGCGTGGACGATGATACTTGCCTGTAGTGGCGAAGAGCAACAGTATTCCTGGGCTGAAGAAGAGAAGCCATCTTAGCCGAGGTCTCGGGCGAGAGCATATAGTTGGACTGGAAATATTGCTCGGCCTGGTTGGCGCCGTACATGTTGGGGAAGGGGTAGAGATCGAAGGATGGGTACGACGCAGCTGAATGTAACAGTTGTACTCAATGAGGTTCAATAGCACAGCTGGATATTACATACGCGATTCAGACCCACTGGACGCGGTAGAAGCGGTGCTGGCAGTCGAGGGCAAACGAATGTGGCGATACGGGTCGTTCATTGGCTCTGCATCAGACATGGACGCGTCAGACATGGCAACGTCGTTGTCCGACTCTTCAGTGGGAAAAGGAACGAGTCTGATTTGCTTCCGGTTCTGATGCGAGGCGAATTAACAGCATGTTCAAGAGGGCAGCAACGACAAAGGGACGTACGTCGGATGCGAGAGCGTCCACCGGCTCAGCCTCAAACTTTCTTTTGATGCCCATAGGGGATAGTAGCGGAGGGGCAAGTATGGGACAGCGAAAAAATAGGCGGGAGGAGGTGAGGGGAACTAGGAGAGCCTGGGGAGGGGAGCCGAGCGGCGAGACGCCGTACTATATACGAGAGCTGTATTTGCATCTATTTATTCAGGCCGAAGCCCGGAGCAAATCGCTGCTTTCCTTTTGCGACAAAACTAAATTACACGTATGGAAAAGCGCAGGTCATTCCCCACTGCCGATTGGCTGGGTCAAGGTGCCGAAGTCCGCCGGGGCATGTAACCTGTCTAATCTCACAAATCCGGCGAGACGCCTAGGCCTTACGGACGTCTCTCCGGCGCTCACCGGATGATTGTACCGTGCGAATCGGCCCCTCAGAGAAGCACCCGGTGGGAAGATCAGCTGTCGCTTCTCATTCAACGTGACGCAGTCACGGACACCCGGGCACGTGGACTCATCAGAGAGTTTGGACGACGTGGACGACCTCACCAGCGACGACGACGACGACGGCGGCAGCAGCGGCGATGGCGGAAATCGACCCGACGGACATACCCCTTCCAAGGCTGTTAGACCCGATCCTCGACTACTTCTCTTCTCACCTGCCCGGCCCTGTGTACTCTTTCCTGGAAACCGTGCTAGCCCACTCATTTGCCTTGTTTACTGCCCTCTTCTCTCTTGTATACGCTTTAGCGACCTCCAGACCGTCGGAATGGGATGCACAGACAGTTTTACCACCCTTGATTAGTCTCCTCGCCGCGTACCTCGCACTACTGAGCGTATATCGCACGACGAGCTGGATGGTCCGCTCGAGCCTGTGGTTCGTCAAGTGGGGCGTGATCGCGGGTGCCCTCTTTGCGGGGACTGGTTGGGTCATGGGCAATAACGCTGCAGGCGGAGGCGGTCTTACGTCTGCCATTGGCGGCATTCTACTTGATATGCTCAATGGCCCCGGTCAAAACGCGGCGGGCGGGGCTCGACGGCAGACCCACCGCACGCAATCGAGGTCGCGCACGCCCAGGCCTAAGCCCTGGGAGTCGTTCGACAGACATCGTGAATGGCAGTACCAAGAGGATCGGGGTGAGGAGGACGATGGGGAGATGAGCAAGATCTTCCATGACGTCCTGAACGCAGCTGGGACAGCCTTTAGAGAGGGAGGTTGGTGGGAGACTTTGAAGAGTGCAATGGATCGTAATGTGGAGAATGGAGATGCGGAAGATGGAGGTGACGAGCGCACGCCTCGAAGAAGACAGCCGAGTAGAAAGACGAAGCTTAAGACGGGAGCTGCGCGCTCACAATGACCAATGCTTATTGGCCAACTATGTATCCCTGATGGCTGGAATGGCTTGTATCAATAGGTGAGTTTTAGAATAAGACATTCAGCGGTTCTTCTTGACGCTCTGATTTCAGTAGAACGGACAGTCCTTTCTGCACAGCTCAAGGACGATGCGGTGATATCCTCATGACAGTGACTTGTCCTGGTCCCTCTTTGGATAATAATGAGTAATCTGTGTTGTGTGCCACACTCGGGTTTGCAAACGTTATAAGCGCTGGCCTTGTATAGCAATGTTGAATTTGGATATTGGTGTGACAGAGGCTCGAACCCTTTGTTGGGATATCCCAATGTAATTCTTATGCTACCCCGGAACTCTCAATTCAGGCCACCGTACGTAACCCCATTTACTTCAGGGAAAGGCTGTGATGTCATATAGCAGCACCAGAACTCACGAACCAGACCTGCACCAATTGCTATCGCCCGTGGGCGTGACGCATTTCCCATAGGACATTCAACAAGGCTCGGTCTTCGCGATGATTCATCTTATTGGCCACCTTATGTTGAATGGGTGACGTACGGTTGTTGCCTATATGCTACATACTTGAGTACAGGGAAGGACCAAGTCTGTCTTGTCACTGTTCATGTCTCGGATATATCCCGAGGCAGGTCAGGAAGCCGATGGAGCCTGCGCGTTGTGCGCTCTACGCGGTATCGTCTCCAAATCGGTAGGGCGCTAGTGCAGGACGATACAGTGACGAATATACAGGGTGGGCTCCTTTCGGCAGTGTTGCAACCGAATAGGGTACGGGACGTCCAGGAAGTCTCGGATCTGACACGACACGAGACGTCGCGCAGCGAGGTGAACAGAAAGATATGCATAATATATAGCGGAAACCCCGAGGACAGGAACAAGACAACTAAGCCTTTGTAGCCTCTGGATTTTGTCGTCGGTAGCTATCAACGCCGAAAGGTTAGGTCTGTTAAGCACATCTAAGGAACATGACTTACTTCCAGATACGAACCAGTTGCCCCGCACCAGTCGCTCCAACGAAAAAGTTGACCTTTGTTTCATCTAATGAGCATGGGAAGGAGCAGACCAATATCTCCACGTACTGCAGCAAGACTGTAGTTAACTGGCGTGATAACGAAGGAGTATCGGACCCAGATCACACCCGTAGCCATCAAGGCTGTATATGATGGGTCAGTTCAGGTCCTTCGTATACAGTGAGCTGGACGTACCAAGGTTTTGTGACACACTCAGTTTCTCCGGTGGGCGCTGCAAATCCTTCAAGCCCGCAGCAACCAAGCACCACTTCATCATCGGCGCCCAAAAGAAGACAGTCTTAGGGCCTGTAGCGTTCTCCGTTCAGGGAGCCAGTTCATACGATCCTGACACTCAAGTACGTGCCTGCTGGGTGGTTCAAGAACGCCTGGAAGCGAGAAGTAGCCGCCGTCGTAGCTGGTCCTGACATTGCTCAAATTTTCTGTACTGAGGTAGACTACAAAGGTTCGAAAGTCAAAGAACGAGGGGCGAGGACAACGTCTGAGGATGGACGGCGGACCCGGGAATGGATGACTGATATCCTGCCGTACGGTGGGAACTCTCGGATTTAGACCCGGAGGCGGATGTGGGGAAAGCGTGACATTGTCACCGTACGCCTTCAGGTTGCTTTAGGTGTGCCCAAAGACACTATTTGCGGTAAATGCACAGGGCTTCTTCAAGTTAGAGACGACTGTCCTGTAGGAGGGTACACAGAGCAGAGCCGTCTTTACAACAGCTAGGCAGGACCTCGCCTGCTTGTCGTCTTTCGGGGCAGTCTGAGTACATCTTTTGCATTCAGGCAATCCTAGGCCTTTTGATCACTATCTTTTATTGAAGGTAAGCCTTGAAGCATACACCGTAAGTGCCTACAAAGGACCCGAAGCTGCGCCGGTCGTAGACTTCAAGTGCGTACGTATACGATGATATGTCACGGACACGTGTCAGAGTAACACTCGTTTCTTTCAACTGAAGTTCCGATCGTTGAGCTTAGGCTGTACGCACACTATCACCTTATGGCTTCCCAGGATATTACTCTCGCCGATCCGGTCGCGGAGGAGAAATCTAAGAGTATATATGACACGTGCTGGTATTGCCGGAAAGTGGTCGGTAAAGCAAAGGTAAAGAGATGTGCCAATTGTAGGTACGTGAAGTCTCGCACCGACCGCACCCGGACGCAGCACGTCAGTTCTGCCATGCTGAACAAGGATACGATTCCTAGGATGGTGTGGTACTGCTCCAAGGATTGCCAGAGAAAAGCGTGGCCAACTCACAAGCCCCGCTGCATGACCGGCTCCAATCTCTGGGAGCAACTAGCCAATGATCCGGACGGGGACGACAAAGCAGCCCTGCATAAAGATCTGACAAAATGGGTAGCCACATGGAGGGACGTTATCAGCACCTACGCAATTCACGCCCTCGACATAGCAAACCACGGCCGACAGAGGATCAACACCCATACGTACGTCTCTATTCCTCACAAGACAATCGCACAGCTTACTCACTCTGGCCATCGCAGGATTCTGATAGAACTGGAAAGCCGTAGGAACCGTTCAACGCGGGCTGACATGTTCAGGGTGAGCGGTTCTGTGCAATTTTCGCCATGGCTGAGGTCCTGAGCATGTGGCACTCGAGATTGTCAAAGCTAGCTTGCTTTCGCAGCAAGAATTCACAGATTGGATCAATAGTGCGGACATCCTACCCGAAGACCTCGCGCGTGTACGGGAAAATCGGGGAGCCGACACTGTTCAAATCGCTCTCACTTGTGATGGTCAGGCTTTACGATTCCTCTGGTTCCAACTCAGGGATAACGGGGAATCCTGCGAGAGAGACAAAAGGGAGTTCTCGGCATTTATGGCGAAAGCATGGCCCATGCTTCTGGAGGCAGTCATTAACTCCGGAGATCCAGACATGGAGATGTCGGAAGCTTTAGCGGCTCTGACCGACGAGCAGAACGCGATGATTATGGACATGATGGCGGAACATATGTTGTAAAGGAATGCATCAGACAGCCAGGAACCACATGGACCTGTTAACGGTAACTGCGACAAGCAAAACATATGTCGCAAGACGTTCACAGGCATGCACACGACTGGCGACAAGACGATGCGGCGAACCGAGCGATCCCAAGAGAAGGTTCTCACAAAGCCTTATAGAAATCCTCTTCAGTCCAACCATACGTTCTTTTCAACTTCTTCGCGAACTCCTTCAACATCACGGGATGAATAGTCGGATCAGGGTGGGCTAATAAATACACAGCGCATAAGCATATCATCTATCCATCATGTGAGGGAGACCTTACGTTTGTGGAATGTAATAGGCTGGAAGGATGGGAAATAGTCAAATACCCCTAGACGATCAATGAAGTGTGAGTGAATGCACTTACTGGATCAGAGGGATCCGGCGGATCGAATCGAACACTGGAACCCGCGGTACTAGGATCGTATTCGAAACCCATCTCTCTCATTACCTGCGATGGGAGTAAATAAGGAGCCATATCCTTCTAAATGGTTATACTCACCTTCAGGAAATGTTCCCATTTCATAGGAGCTTGCCCCTTCTTCTCGTCCTCTGCGGTCCCGAGCAACTGGTGCATCAGATCTTTGGACTTCTTGCCTAGCCTCACGAACCAGCTGTGTTTGCTACCCTTCTTGACTGGTTCGGCGTCTTCCTCGTCCTCGCCCTTCTTCCTGCGTCCGAACCTCGACAAGAGGCCCTTTTTCTCCTTGTAGAACGATGACGCATGATCCGGGCGGGACTTGATCTTCGTCTTGGAGCTGTCAAGGCCTTCCGATTGTAGGTACGACCGCGCGGACTGTGCAGTCGGCAATGATGCAGTCGACATATAAGGCAAGTATGTCGAAGAAGTGTTGACCGAAGATGGCCGAGGCACTGACGTGGGCGACTGAGGACCATTGGCAGAAGGTGAGGAACCCTTCTTCTTTTTCTTTTTGGTCGGTGTCTGAGGAGAAGTGGGTTGAGTAGAATGAACAGGACTCGTGGACTCTTGGGCGGGTTTCGGTCCCTCAGATTGCGCGGACACAACAGGCACCGGTGACTCCGTGGTTTGGTCAGTAGCCGCGGTAGCTGCAGACTTCTTCTTCTTCTTTTTGGGTTTCTTCTTCTTCTTCTTGGCTTCGTGCGATACATGCTCTTCATCTTGTACCTCTTCCACAGTTACTCCGCGTCCTCTGGGCGGTTGAGCTGCGCAGCACAGATGAGCCACAGACGTAGAGCCTGCATAAGGATATGTACCTTGCGTCGTCCCGTTCCTCGCGGACGGTGCGATAGGCTCTAAAGGAGGTACTTCTTCGTCGTCCTCAAATGCGGGGGAAGGCTTCTGGCCGCCGAAGAAAGGTTTACGGGGCTGCGTCCTGGTCTTGGTTTTGATATTTGGGTCGGCAGAAAATAAACGGCCTACATGTCGTCGTCTGAGTGCTCCCTATCCGGTGGTTACTAGGACTGACCTCTGAGTGAACCGAGCAACTTGATGAAGGGATTTCCTTTCACTTCGTCATCAACGTTAAGGTCGGCCTCCGCATGAGGCGATTTCGGGTTAAGGTAGTCAGGATCCTGTAAAGCATAGTCCATTGCTTCTCGCAACAGATCCCTGGCCTGCTCCTCTTCTTCCGTATCATATTCCTCATCCTCGTCGTCGGTCTCGTAATCATCCTCGTCATCTTCGGTGTCATACTCATACTCGTCCTCGCTCTCTTCCTCAGAGGAGTCCGAGACAGATTGAAGGGAGGGCATGGAGGTATCACTCTCGTCTCCTGGGCCAGCTGTTATCGCAAGAGGTGCCTTCTTAGAAGTTTTACCACCCTTGACTCCAGAGCCGGACGGACCACCGGATATTTCGTCCTCTTCACGGAGGGATGGCATGTAGAATGAATGCCACTGGGGAGTTCTCTGTTTATCCTCGGTAAGATCCCACAGGTCATCGATGTCTTTCCCGGACACAGCCTTATAGTTCTATACAATGCCGCACGGCGATTAGTTTTGGATACGAAGTACCAAAGTACTGACATACGGTATTGATCGTCTTCCACAGCATTTCAAGGCCTTGCTTAGTCTTCGTCCTCTCGAGCGGGAAGACGTAACTCTTGATTGATAGATCCTTCGCGGCCTTATCGGAGAATAATTGAGCGTCGACCCAGTTCTCATATTCTTCCGGCATATTACGAGGGGTGTTCTTCAGCTGGGTGGAGTCGAGACCTAGCAAAGGTCCCTCGATGATATCTTGTAATTCTACAGCCATCTATACGGCAATGGAGTTCGGAAGTCCGGAAAACAATAAGTTGATGAATTTCGCAAGATGTTGGTCAAACCCACGACGTACCGCCAAGTCTCCGACGGCATCCCAAACCGCCTGAGGGAAGCGCTTCGCTTCGCGGGGCGATTCGTCCACGGCGTCATGCAGGATGGAATACAGCACTTGCTTCGGATAACGAGACTGAGGCAGGCACAGCTCAATGATAATTGAGTCCAGGAAGGACTTGTATACTGTTCTCAACTCTTGCCAATCAAACATCATCTCGGGATCATCGGGATCGCTGTTAGGCACCGGCTTGAAGTATCGAGCGTAATGCGCTAATAAGTGACATGAACCTTCAAACACCCGCAAGTAGGTAGTGGCTGGGGAACTTACGAGCTGCCATCACATAGATAGAGAATTTTGCGTGGTATACATTCACCAGTTCGTTGACCAAGTCGTATAAGACGAGGTAGAGTTGTTTAAGTCGCTCGTCTCGTCGGATCTGGCTCCTGGCGGTGTTGTCTCTTAAGCCTTCCTCATCGAGGTTATGCAGCGTATCCCGAACGAGCTTCCACGCGGCAGCAGCCATGTACGAATTGTGGATTCTAAGCCATGATCAAGCAACAGGGCATATAGTGTGATTTAGCGGACAGATTGCATACTGTGACAATTTATTAATTGCGAACCTTGTAGCTACGATCGAGGCCACGTAGTTGGGATTCTGCAAAGGATTAGACTTACGAGGGGGAGTTCGACTCTGAACCTCTGCCACAATTTCAGGGTAGAAGCATTCATAGTCTTGCAAAGTGTTGATTTCATCAAGGGCAGCTAACATGTTACAGGGATGGGGATTCAGACTAATCGCATCACGATCTATGCATACCGTTAAACTGGGCGTGCGCAATCCGTAGACATCTCTCCAGCCTGAAAGGAGGTCCCAGAGCCTTTTTGGCCATCTCAACGCGTTTCTCGAGCAGGTCATCTGAACGGTATGAGCCCCTATGGCAGATCTAATGGTATATCAAAGTTAGATATGGCACGTACCCCCTAGTAGATCGAGCTTCTCTCTGCCGCTGATTTTGTTTGCCAGGACGAGCTCTCCAGTTCCCATTGACCCAAATTTTCCGTTGCGCAGCACTAGTGCTCGTGCGGTCGTGGGCTTTTCACCATTTTCAGTCCGCTTGCCTTGATATCTTGAGGAGACATGTCTCGGACCGACTGGAACTAGTTCTCGGGATTTGGATTCTGTAATGGGAGGCTTAGCAGGCTTTCCCTTCGAAGCCATAGTCGCATGCAGCTCCCAAAAATGACCAGCCGACAGCCAACAACAGAGATGCAGAGAGAGTATTCAGTTCACTCGGTTTCAGATAATATTGCCGGAACTGGCAGCGGCGCGCGAGCACGGTACCGTCGCGACTGCCGGGCGCTTGTGCTAACAGGTATTGCATTTCAGCGCCAGACTCGTCGGTTCGTCCTTGATTCATCCCTAACACGAACGTTAAGTATCTCCAAAGCATACGCCTGATTCGACCATCCGAATGTTTCCCCTGATGAACGTAGGAGCTGTGTTGGGTGGCGCTGAAACATACGAAACATTTCGGGCAGGGCATGCATCAGGATCACTCGGGTCACCATCAGTCGGGAATGACGGGACTTATATGACTACCAATGTCGAAATGAGAGCCTTGGCGGTCCCCGACCCCTCGACTGGCGACCTTCGACGACTTCATTCTGCTGGTCAGACCGGTACCCCCTTCGCCCTTCGTTAAGTGGTTTTGGCCTTGATGGCTTCATTCAACGTCTCCCGTAAGTAGCAGCGTGATATACTGGTACAGTACCTTCGTGGACTGACGCTGTGTCCAATGTCTATCTTTAGTGGAGGACAGTTCGCCTCTGATTTCTTACTCACCTGCGGAAGCTTGGACGGATAGCCCTGAGAACGATCCATTGGTTCAGGTAGGCCGCCTTAAATGAGCACTGCAGGGTCTGAATCCTGTTACGAACTAATTTTATTTACGCACTAGAGCTACTCCGCTTCTTCGTTGCACGCAACTTCTGCGCAGGGCGCAACCGCTACCATCACATTCAATGGTAGATAAATTGGATTGCCTCCGTCGAATTCAGGATTGAAATCGGGACTCTCAGGGACTGGCATCTGGTTCTTTGGAGGTCGGAGACCTGAATATGGGTCATATACCTTGTCTATCGACGGGCAGACGACGAGCAACGGAGATGCCAACGCAGCAGTACCCGTGTTTGACCAATTACTAGCAGGAGCTTCCAACCTAGGAGCGGGGATGCATACAGCTGTCTTGACGAACACGGGATCTGAATCAGGACTGGACCTCGACTCTGTCGTCTTCGAGGCTGCAATAGGATCATCTGGGTGCGTCCATGCCTTTGGCATAGGTTGCCCATGACCTTACTTTGACTCTCAGTCAAAGTATCTCTAATCAGACAATCGACGATGCGCAGCCTCAGATCACCTTCTCTTCTGATTGGAAAGCAAATACTGGTGCAGAGTACATGCAGAACACTCTGCAGTAAGTGATATTGGGCGGTTGTTAGCAAACTAATCCATCTAATTACGCGCCAGCTTCACGCAGAATGGGGGAGCAACAGCTTCCATGACATTCTCTGGCGAAGCTGTTGCAATCTATGGCACTGTGTCTCCTGATCACTCTGATTTCTCAGTTGCGATCGATGGAAAGACTACCACGTCCGGTGCAGGCGGTGGTGGTCTCGCTCGAGTCCTTCATGCTCAGGTAAATACTACTGTTTCGCGTCTAAATCACTCCGACTGACGCTCCATTTAGACATTGTTGGTCAGTGCCAACCCTTTCGCTCATTAAGATATCGCTTAGTTGTTCCCTTTGGATAGTATTTTGCCAGCGGCCTTGGTCATGGACAGCACAACTTACTGCTCACAGCCAATCCTGAACATGCTGGACAGCAAAATACCGGTGCTTTCATGGATGTTGACGCCATGCGGGTTTACAGTGCTACCGGAGGAAGCAATAGCAATAATGCGAAAGCGAACCCTTCGGACAGCAAATCGTGAGTTGCTGTTTGGACGATCTCCGACTATAGTCTTATGTTCTGCAAACATAGGAGCTCGAATAATGGCTCATCGTCGAGACACGGGTTGAGCAGTGAATCAATAGGAATTATTGCAGGCGCTGTTGCAGGAGCCCTTGTCCTACTCGGAGCCGTCGCTTTGATTCTATTCTTCCTGGTACGCAGGCGTAATCGTCGGAAACGCAGTCGCATGCCCCTTCAGTCACCACGTTCGCCCGACCTTCCAATGCAAAGACCCGAGATGACGGAGCCAGGCGTGCGACGCTCGGATAGCGTCGGGCGGTCATTCCCTGCTCCTGTATACAACCCACGACCGGCAGGGTATGGTGCGATATCCGGGCAAGCTGCAAGAACTAGTCGCGATTCAGACGCTGGTTCGATCCGGTCGATCCAGTCCTACGACTCAAGCTCCCGGTTAATATTGGACCCGGCTCCCAAGGGTAGGATACCAAGACCACCACCCCCTACTGTGGCACGAAGTGGAGGACCTGCTCCTCCACCTTGGTCGGACTATCAAGAGGTCAGTATCTCTCGCTCCCAATGATATGATATACCCCAGTAGCCCGAGCTGACGCATAGCAGGGCCAACCCATACGACCGTTCCGGCCACCAGACCTCCACTTATCACCTGTACCCCTATAGCAACGGTCCTACCATAGTCACCTCCCACACATTCTCTGTGTCACTGTCTGTCAGCGTCTGTGTTGTTATAGTTTCATTCCGATTTACTTATAGCGTCCTGCTGTCCACCCTTGTCTCCTGCGTGAGAAATGATAAATATAAATGGGAATTGGGACCCCGCCATAGCGACAAGGCGGCGGTGTTGATTGACTGCATCAGTCAAGCGAGTATTTGTTGGCGGAGGCCTTAGCTTTTGCTTTACACTCCTTTCTCCTCGTCCGAGCTGCGCTCGCTTTCCTACAAGCCTAGTCTTCTTTCTTTCTGCGTCCCCTCCCGCTAGGTCGAAGCAAGTCTTCCTTCAGTTTCCTTCCTTCCAAGTATCCTGGCACGCACCGAGCAGCGCTCGATTTCCCCCAAGGCACCCAGTAGCAAGTCGACGTCAGAGCTTTCAAGTGTATTACAACAATGGGAAACTTGATCTGGCATGAATATGCTCGTTTGCTCGCCGTTACGTCCAGTGTTTGTGAGTGGTCGTACTCAAATGACGGAGTGGAAGGATGCTGACAAGCTACTGTCCTTGCGGCGAGCAGATACTATATGGGCGAGTTTCTGGGGCTTCTATTACCGAAAGTTCTTTTGGGATTTCGTTGGCGGCATCGTTAGGGCTCCCGGAGGTCTTCAGTACGTGTCACATCCCAGGCCCACCCTGTTGTACAGTCTTGCTGAGTATCTTGAATTGACTAGGCCGTCTAAAGCCAATGCCGTCTTCATTACCCTGATCGTAAAGGCCCCTGTCATTCAGATTCTGGCTATGCTCCTTGCCTTTGTCATACTGGCGCTTGAATTGCCGATTCCGCAAATTAAAGGCACCATGATACATCGGAACTTCGTCATTAGAATACCTTTGTTATTGCTGCAGGCGTTCCTCACGATCCTGTTCTATCAAGTGAGTCATGAAAGCATCCTGGGACCCGATACCGATGCTGATAGACGTGGAAGGGGACGAACGCGGCCTTGTGGTCCATGATAACTGCCGCTTGCTACGGTCGAGCTGTCGTGTTGGGCGAGACAATGAAAGAAGCGAAGGATAATAGAGGGAAGGGTGGGCGCGCTTGATCCGGCGTGAGCCTCCCGACTCGTTTCTCTCCGTGCCGAAGGGTAGGGGAGCATTGTGCAGGACCGGCTGGTTCCCGTTCTGGACTCCTTTTCTTATAAACATCGGTCGCTGGCGTCTCCAACTCAAATACTTGTATTTGTTTGCTATCGTTTCTGCTATGCAGCTTCCACAGGAGTGTATCTTTTAACCTGTACATTTGAAAGAATAAGAGGCCGTTCGGCATGTGAAGGACGTTCTGTCACTCAGTTAGCAAGCCATGTTCTGTGAGCCGACAGGAATCGATGCCATTACAGTCTTTGCTTTCTTCTCAACTCAAGTTTCCTGCTCGTTATGTGCGGCTAGCTCCTTGGCATGAGTGTCCGTATGCTATTCGGGGCTTACGCGTCATCCACACGAATGGGCACCGCGCGATTGGAAAAAGAACAAATATACGCCCCTGGACCTCTGCTCTCTCGAAGCTACCCCATCCTCTCGGGCAGCGGTCATCTTTCACCTACACCACCATGACTACAACACCCGAAGAGATCATCAATCGATTGCAGGGTAAATTCGAGAAAGCGCGTGAAGAGGGTGATCTGTTGTTCTTTCCCTCGACAGTGCAGAAGCATCAGGAAGGTCAGGTCGAGGTAGGTCTCTTCGGTATGCGAGATAATTGTCAGGTTGAGCAGGGCAAAATGTCGTGCTAACTATTCTCTGTATCCGGGCAGTATGAAATCAGGCTTTGTCCTGCTCTTCAGCACAAACCACACCTCCCCACCCCGCATTTCGACCCTAGTCAACAGCACTTGGGCGGCAAGCCTGATCCTTTCGCTCCGCCATACATCCCCAATCTATATATTGGGGAATTGAAGAGCGAAGAAGAGGGAAACGAGTATGTCGTATTGGTGAGCAGATTCGCTTGCTCTGTCATGTACGTATGCACAGTGATAACGGATGTACTCGGTGAATCAGTTGAACAAATATTGTGTTATACCCCTGCACTTCCTTCTGGCAAGCAAGGGTTCGTGTTGGTCATTCATTATGGATTAAGAAGCGTTCCTCCTTACCAAAAAGTATTACAAACAGAGTATGAGTCGCAGGCATCTCCTCTGCTCCCCCCTGATCTGGTCCAAGCGTACCTGCTCTTACTTGCAGCAAAGAAGGAAGGGACCCCGTTCTTCGCTTTCTACAATTGTCAGACAAGCTCGTTAAACGTCATGGGATTAGAAATTCGCTGACGAGATGTGTTGACAGGCGGAGACCGAAGCGGTGCCAGTCAACCTCATAAACACATACAATTCCTTCCGTTGGAAGATCAGAATGGCCCACCAACAGAGCGGCTTGCGAAGGCTGCGAAGCTAGAGTCTCCAGGTATGCGTCTACATAGCATCATGACAGCGAGTTCTCAGTCTCCACACCCGTGTAGAGAGGCCATTCTCCTTATCATCGCTGCCATATGCGAACCACATCTTCCGCCTCCCGTCAATGTCCACCTCGACGCCTATCGCCCAAATCGAAGAGACCCTTTCCCATTCATTCTTGTCCCTCGTCGATCTCGTAATCTCTACCGTCCGGCATCATCCAGACTACCCTGCTGGTACACCGTCTTACAATGTTCTGCTGACGCTGGAACATATGCACTTGATTCCCCGTGCAGAGGAGAATTATACCTTGAAGGAGACCGGTGATCAGTTGAGCATCAACGCTGTAGGCTTTGCGGGCATGCCGCTCGTCAAGAGCGACGAGGAGATGGAAGCGGTGAAAAAGGAGGGTGTCGGGAAGATCCTACGAGGCGTCGGGTTGGAAAGCGTCCATGAGATCCAGGTTCAAGGTACAGCTCTGGAGGTAGAGCAACTTGTTCAAACCTGAGTATTTTTCGATAATACGTACCCAGCACGCATAATATTACAGGGGATACAAGCCTCAAATCCTATAATGACATCGGAAAGTGAGATACGTATATGGAATTCGCGCAACAACGTGCATGTGCACTCCTTCAAGAGCGGGTCCAAGCAGTGATCGTCTGGGCGAAGCCGTTCCTGTTCGCGCTGTTGGGGATTATGCCCTGTTCGTTGATACTTAGCTGATAAACACTGAAAACTGTGGAGAGACTGTAGATGGAGACAGTGGAGGACGAGTCAATGTCGAGGATCTGCTGCTGGCAGTTAAAGTTGTTATCGCAAGTCTGGTCGTAATTCTTAAAGAAGGTATCAGCTCAGTTCCAATGACTGTTTGGAAAGCCAAGCATACCTGGAAGAAGCTGTAGAGCCCAGCACCTTCAAGGAGACGCTTGAGTCCCATATCTGGTGAAGACGAGCTGGTAAACACCTACCAAACACCAGAATATTGCTGGATGATGCTACTCGGAGGGACCACGCTGCGTTCTGGTTGCTGAAGCTTGGGTCGTTGTATGAGCTCACAATGCTGAATGGCGAGGGAGGAGCAGGCGAGGGCTGGTAATATGGCTGGGGAACATGAAAGGTAAATCCATACTGCAAATCAGAGAAATGATCCCATGAGCTCACTGTCTCTGTCTGAATCAAACCCAGGTAGTGATTAGATGCGCCGACAAGCTGATAGTTGTACAGGGTATGATGTTCCGCTTGATGATATTTTATTTGTTGCTGCAGCTTTTTCATTAGATGAGATACACTCACATCCTGCCAGGAAAGTGGCAAATAATCAATAAGCGTTCCGAAGCTCCAGTACTCAGCTGAATGAACTAACTTACCTGTTCCAATCATCCATACAGGGCCCTTTGACTGGGAATAGATTCCACGACCGCTGTACAAAGTGACCTGTCCTTCACCGGATGCGTCTAAATCGTGGTCTGCCAGCCACACCCATGTACCCTATGACAAGACGACCATTGAGTTGCTCCTGCTTGGGATCCCGAAACCGCTGGGACGCACCTCGAGATAGGCACTTGAACCTGCTGTCAAGTGTAGAGCCATGAAGTCGGCAAAGCAGTTGGAGCCGGTGTTTGTCTGTTTTGCGCATTGGGATGCTTGCAAATTTGTCCCGGCAGCTGCGAATGTGTTTCAACCGACGACGAAGCACTGCAGTAATCAGGATGGTGTGAACTTACTTCCGCCAAGCCTGTACCAATGAGTACGAAATCAACCTAATGCATGCGAACAAGAGGAGGCTGTTGTTCGTACCTTATATGAGAGTCCCACATCCCCGCAGCGCCTTGCTGACCGGATGGGTCGTGAACGTTCCATTCTAGGACGATCGCGCCAGCCGCTGTGTGGCGCGCCTCAGACCGTGCACTGATTCAGAGTGGGATTGTGACATACCCGGGCCACGAGTAGTGAAGATAATGTCTGAGATTTCCAGAACACCCTGTGAGTTGGCATCACCGGCCCTCACGACCACCTGAGGATTGTTCTGGTCCTGGAATGCGCTCCCGCTGCCCATGATGACAGACCATGCTTCGCCAACGATCTGCGTCCCGGCAGGGATGGTAAGAGTCGACGTGACGAGGTAGGTACCTGCGTCGAAAAAGATGATTTTGCACCCCGCGTACTGAAGCTACTTGTCAGTAGCTGCCATGTACGTAGAAGTGAAGAACGCACGGTAGCAAATATATTCTTCAATGCTGCAGTGTCGTCGGTCTGGCCGTCGCCCTTCGCGCCCTGAGCCTTGACGCTAACGATCTGATTAACGGAGTAGTCCTTATACTGTGGATGTGTCTTCCCAAATATATGCCCAGCACTGTCAAGAAGGTTGGACGCCTTAGGTATCGAGGGAATACTGGACTGAATGAATTTGCCGCTGGAGCTGGTGCCGGTATACACGTTCCCTTGAGCCCAGGAATTGATGGTCGTTGTCCCCCCGTTGAGTACGACGGGCCCACCATTGACCCCAACTGCCGTTGGGACGTTGGTCAATTTAACGTTATTGAGAACCAAAGAGCCGTCTAGAGAGCTAGTAGCCTTCGAGTATCGCACGAATATAGGCGTGTTGGTCACGACAGCATCAATAATAGCCTCAGCTCCGACTCCCTGGGTATTCGTATTTTAAGCCGAAACAGTAAAACAGCAAGGTAATGGCGATCACTGCGTACCTGGTTATCTTGAGTAGTACTACCGGTTGTCAAGTCGAATCCGACCTATAAGGAATGTTCATTTTGCGAAACATTTCAACAGGAGGGTGGACAAGCGGACCTGGCAATTATTGATATTGACTCCTTGAAACGTCCAACCTGCCTACGAGTCAAACGAGGCGGTGTAGCAAGGAGAAAGTGTACGCACCCCAGTTCCAGGAACCGAAGACGGCTAATTGAGGAACAAACGAGATCAATTAAACTCCTCTCTCGTTTGATAGTAACATACCCGTATTGGCGTTGTTAACGGTCAAATTGCGGACTGTATATCTGCGCGGATTCAGAAAGAGGTGAGTCACCCAGTTTTGAAGCTCACTGTTGGTTCCCAACCCAGATCCCATATTGACCTATGCGATAATCAGAAATTCTGCCCTGAATAAAGTAAACGCAACGCGTGATTGTAGCATACCGCCATTAAATATCAAGTCTGTGATTTTATTAGTCAAGTTTTCCTTGAGGATAGGGAAGTAGCTTACCTCCCATGAACCCTCCACTGAGCGAATATCCCTTTGAGACATGGCGATGAACGTATACTGGTAAACGTACCTTCCATTCTCCATGAAGATACCTGACCAAACATTTAACACGAGAACTATACCAAGATACGAATATCAATGCACCTCGATGTGTATTTCCGCTCGCAGTGGACATCTGCACCACGATATTGATGAGAGACGTGGCCTGAGACCCCTGCCAATGGAGGCCGGTGGCGGTCGATGCAGCGGGCATTTGACGCAGGTCAATGACGAAGTTCCGGACGGATCGGAAGCTGGGAACTCATGAGGCTTTAATGTAACCAAGAAACCACGAGCCAACTTACAAGTTATTCTGATTGGTGTACCACTGCGCACCATAGCCGTCGGGAATATAGGGATCAGCGCTTGGAAAAGGTCAGTATGTACTGTTCAAGATGAGACTAAGACGTACTCTACGGGGATATTTTAGGAAGTTTGCATTGTGAAATATGAGTATATTTCATAGGTCGAAGTAAAGCACTGACCGATAACAGCCAGGCCGGAGAAACCGGAGCTCGCGAGCAGAGTCGGAGGCGACCTAGCGTCCCCGATCATCTGAGTGTAATAGTACGCATTGAGAGGGGCGGAGACAAGGTATGTCCTGCAGAAACCGTTCGGCTATTGCACTGAGGATCTGACCATTACATAGCTCACCCTTTCGGGAAGTAGACAACGGCAGGAGTAATGCTATATTCGAGGCGTAAAACTATACCGACGCATATCATAGGGCGAAACATACGTGGATGAAGGGCAATTACCTCCTCCGCATCGATTCCCGGAGGAGATAGCATTGCTGAAGTAACTGTTAGGGGTGAGGGCGTATAGGTACGGATAAACACGGTACTTGATTGCAGCAGTATCGTCAGTAACACCGTCTCCTTTCGCACCGAAATCTTTGACGTTGCGGAAGACCTGGTAAGAGCTAGGGTTTGCGTTAAAGGCGGATGTGCCACGGTGCGTGATCGTTTCCATCCAGTATGGGTCGTTTGGGCCCGCGTTTCCGGCGCCTAGAGGAGACGAGCATGACGATCCAAGGCCAGAGACCAGTGTGAATGTCCCAAACAGGAGAGCCAGCAGGAACGCCATGGAGTTGGAGGACTTGATCAGCCCCATATCGAGGGCTTTCCCTGGAAAAGGTGGGAGGGCCTTGACGACCAGAGCTTGAAAGCGCGGGGCTCTTATACAGGGCGGAAAGCGCACGAGTTTCAAGCATACTCAATGCATGCACGCTTGACATCTCCATGTAGAACCAATCTCGTGCTTCAGGGACCATGCACAGTGAGCAAAACGCGGAGGGAGTAGGATTCATACGGTCGCAGAAGTGATTCACAAAGAGAGCTCGCCGAGAAGGAGGAGCGTTGCCAAGGATCATGAGGGAGTTCGCCAAAAGAGGCCCAAACCCCTCCCATCCCATACCTTTGCGAAGATGGATACATGAACGACAGGGGCATAGGTTCTTTCCCGGCCATCCATCAGACTGGGCTCCATGCGCTCAGGCCCGACTGCCCTCGAGCTACGATGCGTCAGAGACCTGTTCAGGCGTACCGGCATTTGGCATAGCAAATCCGAGGGCCGAGGAATAAGGATCAGACGCATTAGCCTGAGCAGTGAGAGCATGTGGTATAGTTCACGCGTAGCTTATCATCTACGGGACTGAAAGTCCATAAAGCAGACAGTACGTCGGATTAGGTTGCTTGCTGTCTTCTGCTGCAGATGCAGCTGAGTCGACATAGTTGAGCGAAGGCTTAGAGGACGCGTAACGACGGTCAGATGTCTTCATACTTCTTCATACCTCAGACCTCAGACGTTGCCATTTCGGCAATCGACCTTTTGACGGTAGTACGGTGCGCCAAGCATGGGTCTCAACGTGAGTATCCGATGGTCCCGGTCAGCCGTAGAGACCTAAGTAAGGCCTGCTCAAGATTCCCAGAGCGATCTGCCGCTCCCCTCCTTCCATGCCTTCTGACGTGAACGGAGCTAGGAGACTTGCTCGCTATATCCACCGGTCGTCACCGACTGTGTGCTGCAGCTGCGAAGTGCTGGTCTTATGACTGAGGCAGCCATGAGGATCAAGACCCTGAGTAGGTGGTTGTCGAACATTAGCTCTCTTGTTTAACTTACGGTTCATCAACACAGATGATTGGATTAAGCAACTGATAAGACAGAATCACCTGTCCTGCCACTCAGTGAGCTGTGGATCAGCCAGGGTCAGCACAGTAGCGAGAGGGAAGCCAAGATCAGATGGTACAGCGGCGATTGACTGGAGGCAAGAGACAAGCCCGGCCGCTATTGTGTCGGATCCGCTGGAGACGAGTTCGGGCATCGGACCCGACTACGTCCAAGGATGTAACTTAACCAGAGAGCAGTGGCCTCTGCTGACAGTGGTCCATGTAATGGTCGAAGGCGACTTGGATTTGACCTCTGCTGTAGAGTAAGCGTAACAAGCCGTCTCTATGCCGAAACTTTCTAGATACTGCGTATTACTGTACTGGGGCGCGACACGGTCACCTGACCCAATGTGGCTCCGAGTCGCGTCTCCGAGTCCTCGCGCCCGAGTCCAGTCGTGTCCGGAGCAATATGTAGCACAGCATTCCCACAACCGAACAGTGGCCGTTAGGACCCGAATTAGACTGCTACTTCAGGCTCCTTTCTAGCGGGATATTCTCCTCGCTGGCACAAAAATCAGGATCGTAGCCGCCCCAAGTCGGGATCATAAATAGCATCCCGCGGTAGAGTAGCGCCCAGAAAGCCCCTGCCCGGGTCTCACCCATCGAGCGATCTTTCTGAGACATACAGACAAACTCGGTGCGAGATCCTATCATGCCTATAGCAAGCCAGGTACGCATTTAGTTGTTATTGGCCTACAGTCGCATATATTGGCATAGCCGTGTCGCAGAAAGGAGGCTTTGACGCGAGTGGTAGGAAGAGCGAGCCGAGTCAGGTCGAAATACTAATACAAAGGAATACAAAGGAATACAAAGGGGTAGGCATATGAGCAGACTATTTGACGTAGATATCTATATCTGTCGCCTCGCAGCGCTTTCAAGCAAAGGCTTCTGCATCTCCGGCCTCGTCGACACCAAAAGCAATCTTGCCGATACTCCCCCCCTTCTCGATAGCTGCATGACCTTCACGCAAACCCTCGAGGGACAGCTTGAATTTCTGCGTCAAGTGGCAACGGATGCTGCCTTCCTCAACTAAGTCTGCCAGCTCCGTAAGGATTCTGTGCTGGGATTCCAAATCAACCCCGTAATATGGCTTCGTGCCAATAACCTCCCAAATGAAGGCCAGAGACTTCGCCATAAATGGCGTGCCGTACATTCTCGCTTGACCCTGGACGATTGAGCATACTTTACCTAAAGGCTCGCATATTTTTGCGCAGGCGTCCATGTATTGGTCAGTGGAATGAGTGATGAAAATGTACCTAAGATGGAGCCATTCGGTCAGCGCAGCAGACTTCGGAAGACCCCAGCGATTATACCTTATGGGTACTTCGAGGCGCAGACTGTCGATCTGCTCCTTGAGATCCTTTCGATGATTGATGACATGCGTCGCCCCCATGGCTTTCGTAAATTCCTGGGTCTCCGGGCGAGACGCCGTTGTGACGACTACAGGTAACTGCAAAACTGTTCGAGCAATTTGGCTCGCAACAGAACCGACACCTAGCAGACTTATCAATATACCTGTGAAGTTTGACAAACCATTCCGCACCCCCAGCTCCATTAATGATTAGTAGACCCGCACGTTCGCCTTTCCTGATCTCCATCCTTTCGACGAGCGCTTCATATGCCGTCACGTAAGTCAACGGCATGGCAGCCGCCTCTACGAAGCTCAAGTTGTGCGGCTTCCTGCCCACGCTCCTTTCATCTACGAGTTGCCATTCGGCATTGGAACCTTGTCGAACCGGACTTCCGGAATAGAACACTTCGTCCGAAGGTTTGAAGAGGGTACAGTCTTTACCCACTTCTTCAACGATCCCTGCTGCGTCGAAGCCGCAAATCTGGTAAGGGCGCGGAACACGGTCGTAATAGTCTTAAAATAACGTCATAGATCAGAACCATGATCGCTCCAGGGATGGGCGCCATTGCTAACCTGGATAATCATCGTACCTCCCTGCACGCACTTTCATGTCTATCGGGTTCACGGAGCATGCCAGGACGCTGAAACCTCATCGTCAAACGGCATATCTCCAAGATGAAATACACAAGCTCACCGGACCAAAATGTCTCGCCCCGTTGGCGAAGCGGGCTTGGGCACCCGACGATGCTCGAGTCTATCGATTCCCCCGTAGTTTTCGACAACGACAGCTTTCATGGAAGCCATGAGGGCGTCACAATACTAATGGTTCTGAGTTTTCCCTGTCTTTTATCTTGCTTGCAGGACTCGATCTGACGTCATGCTCCCCACATACACTGGACACACGTCCTCCGTAGAAGACCGCCTCGAAGGCGTCGCTATTGGGAGGCAGTTGGGACTGAGCAAGAATGTACACGCTGGGCGAAGAATCCTCTCACCATGCCGCTTGATGCCCGTATCCGTACCCGTAACGAGCATCGCGCAGCGGATGGCAGTCGGGCTGCATTGTGTTAGACTTCTGACAGGCAAATACAGTATGCGCGGGTGCTGTTTACAGCAATCGGCGAAACGATAGAGAAGTTTGAGATTTTCCGCACTCAGCAGCCGCTCCACGGCTTACTTATTGGAGTAGGGTATCACCAATTTTGCTCCGCTAATGCTGTGTCCTGATCAAAACAAGAGTGGTGAGTCGTGGTGCACTGTGGACCCAAGTGGGGTATAATTACCTTTCCGGGCTCGGCTGCCTGCGCGAAAAATTCTGAAAGTTCTCTATCGTTTCGCCGATTGCTGTAATATAATCCGGAGACCCGCGCGTGATGCGGTAAATGTATATCTGTCAAAGGTACAGCAGAAGGAATACCGCCACTGCTCGGAGCCCAAGCTCAAGGGCTAAGAGTGCCGGAACCCTCACGATATTCAGCCTCAAGTAAGTAGTAGCCAATACAATCGCGGCGAACCCTACGTAGTGCTTCGTCCCCGTATCGCTTGGTCAGTGCAGGGCCGGATGGCCCGATCCTCGAGGATGAGCCGAAATAGGTTTCTTTCATCGATATTTTTCGGAGGAAAAGGCCACCCTTCCAATATAATACGCTGTTCATGCCGTCTTCAAACTTCGGTGATAAGCGGGATTCGCTGAATAACATTTTGTTACGTAAAGATCAAGAGCCATTGTACGTGAAAGAAAACAGCACTTACTACTGCCCTTTCCCCACTGTAAAGTGCAGTAGAATGGTGCAAGATGCGAAGGTGAACCGCAAGTGTATGGCACACCCGAGCCCTCCTTCAAGTTGCCCTTGACAATGGCGACCTCTCAGCTCAAGGGAGTTATATCGACCTAATCGTTGTCCGTCCAGAAGTTTATTCACTCCAAAAAGTGAGTCCCAAAGGACTATGGTAAAGCCCTGGCTAGGCAGCAGGGCGTGACCGTTGATGTTCCGGGCTTCCGATCTGCGTCTTCTGTTCCGCGCAACAGGCTGGAAGGTGGAAACCTGCGAAACGCAGCGCATTTGCCTGAGAATGGGCTGAAGGCAGAGAAGAAAACCGGTCAGCTAGTATCGGGCGTCTTGATGTTGCTTCAGCCTTCAGCGCTTCAGCCACTGGCACTCGCCAGTGAGATTCCCACGGACAACACGGAAGTAAGTGGACGAAGGTTCGCTTCTCCACCGTGTTCTTCCAGATGCAATCGCCTTACGAATTTTACGACTGCACGTACGCCTACTGGGCTATCATAGTGCTGTCGTGAAAACTATCAAAACGCTTCTTCATAATCTTTCAATCTGACTACACCCTTTCTACGAGGATATTCCGATATAGCCTTCGGAAAACTGGATTGTGAAACGTGTTTATGGGATAATGTACGCAATGCTGCTTGGAAGCAGACACACATCCTGGAGAGGAATGAGGCCGTCAGCACAACTTCGGTCCGTCGTCCGGCATCATTTGCGTCAGCGAAGCTGAACTCCATTAGCCCGCTGCTATCGGGTTCTTCCAGGGACAGTTCCAGCAGTCACAGTCTTTCGATTATTAACCGCATCTATTACATGACCTGCCATTTGCATGAAGTTTCAGCGGTCATCATCATATAAAGTCATACGGGATGGCGGCCTGCCGTCACGGTAGTGCACCCGCGTCCAACGCTCGGGCATAGTGATTCTTTTGAAAGCACAATATCCGCATTAGAAAACCGCCGAGCTCCCCATGTTGATCATCAAGTACGTTCCGGGTCTTATACATTATTGGCACGCGAAATACCGCCCGCTCATCCTGAGCCACATTTAGAATCGTCCCATTGGGACTCAGGTTTGACCGGGGTGCAAGACGATCGGTGCGTATGGTGTCATGTCAAGTGTACGCCTGATCTCGTAATTCACGACGTGGAAAGATACTGCGGTATTATTATCCTTCACTCTGAGGTATAAAAGGGATGTCCAGTTGTTGGAATCAGCTTAACGGCGCACAGCAGTCATGCTCTCGTTCATTACAGCGGGCGCCCTCCTTTGGGCTACCTTGGTGCTGTCCAGCCCGGCTCCACCACCTACCCCCCAAGGAGGTGTTGGACTGGAAGCTACCCCGTCGTACCATGTCACCTCCGACTTTGATTTTCAATCTCTTGTAAGCACTATTCATTAACCTTACCTCAACTCTCAAATTTGCCTATCCCTCACCACGTCTATAGAATCTGGCTCTCAATCAGGAGTATATTGAACTTGACCTTTTCCACCATGGTCTTGCTGTTTTCTCCGTTGAAGAATTCGAGGCCGCTGGGTTGGACGCCGAAGACCGGTTTCTCATCGAGTTCATGGCTGATCAAGAGGCCGGACACGCAATTCTCGTCTCTAACATGCTTGGTGGTAAGGAATATTCGCTGCGCCCACCCGCATGCTTTGCTCACCCACTTGGTTGCTCGTGGCAGCCCGAGCGGCCAAGCAGTGCAATTATACTTACCCTTTCGATACTGTTCGGGAGTTCGTTGATTTCTGCCAAAAGGTCCGTCTCTTGTCAAGGATCGCAACAGATCACTAATCAATAGTCTTGCGGCATTGTTGTAGCTGACTCGCTTTGGGGAATCCGGTGTCTATGGTTTCCTGGAGCATCTAGACAACCGAGCGAGCGCGGAGATGCTTCTGCAATCGATTACCACTGAAGCCAGACAACAGATGATCTTCAGGCAATTCGAGGGCTTGTTCCCTATGCCGGTACGTCACCCGTATCGGTTCCGAGATCGGGCTCTCATCCACGAATTGTAGGTATATTTTGAGACGGGTATCACTCAATCAATGGCTTGGACCCTGCTATCACGTTATATTACTCATTGTCCTGAAGAGAACCCGCGCATCGAGTGGCAGAACTTCCCAGCCCTTTATGTCGTTGTAAGTCTTGCCACAAGTTGCTCGTATGGCCCGGAACTCACATGTCACACAGAATGACCCCACTCAACGGGCTCTTGCGATGAATGTTACCCCCTCCATCACGCATAATCTGTCTCTGCCATTGACGACTCCTGGTCAACAAGTCGAGTTGACCTGGGAGGACCCTGGTAAGACCGTCGGATATGATGGCTTATACACCACCACGACAACCGCAGGAGCTCCCAAAGTCAGTCGTCGATTCATTCTGACTTGACGTCGTCTGATGGGTTTCCCTGCAGTATGCAGCATGGATAGCTCAGCTGAACATCACGTATACGCCCTTGGAGAACATCAATGGGAATTGCGCGTCCACGAAGCAGCCAATCGGCGAAGTTTTCGGCGTCAATACCGCTCCTATTGTCAACGGCACGATGTAAGCCCCGTTCCACTCCACCTGAAGCTATTATTGAAATTATATTTTGGCAGCTTTGTCCTCATCACGGATGATAACCCAGTCATTACGCCGGCTAATCTGTCTCTCTTGAACGCTCACGTCGTAGCTGGACCTGCTATCTATCAGGCAGGCTGATTCTAGCTGGAGATTAGCGCCGCGGACGAAGGGGGATCTGACGACGTACGGACACTCACTATCTACGCTCTTATTGGACCCTGTCCCGAGTGATCCGGGTAGTAAAGACATGGACGGACGTATTTGCTTGGACGTTGTTTATTTTTGTCAGTAGGCTACTTCGGTACCCGAACACTACAGATTTGCTTGGTCGTCTCCGGAGACCGGACATATGACTGTAGAAAGACAAGACGCGATCATGCAAGTGCGGGGAAAACTTATGGGCGAGCTACTGTAATTTATCGGTACGGAGGGGTGGCAGCCTTGGGATTCTGGATGCCTCAACATATCTCGATCCCGTCCTGATTCTTCCTGAACATCGAGTGGGAGTCGAGCTAGACTTCCTCCGCGGCCGTGATCTCGATAGTTGGCCTACGTGCGTAAACATACTAGTTTGCGAATAGTGCGTCATGTACATACCGGATACCACTCAGCTAGATCTCATCGTGGTATCGGTCACCGGGGGTTCTGCAGGTCACCCACGGAATGCCGTACGCCTGGGACGGGTCCGTGGTGAAAACCGTGGTAAGTACTGGGCAGACTCTAATGGTACAACGATTGCAGTGCCCGTCCGAGAAGCGGTTCCTGATCGCAGAAGACAGTCCGTACTTAGAATCGCGGTCAAGAAGCTTGCGTTATCCTGACATTGAGTTTAGTGATGTTCACACTCAACGCCACCGATCGCGACGTCCATAATGCATCCCGCTTTTGCCTCGTCTACTTCCGATAGGCCTTTCTGGCTAACTATGCCCCGTAGCAGAAGCTCTAACCCGGCTTTTGGCTACTACAGTCACCGATCTGCCTGTTCTATATAGGGTCCCGCCCGGCGCCCTTAGGGTCTGAGTCAGGCTTACCTGCATCCCGCTGTAGCCATTGCAGCCGTTTGCAGTTCGATGGGCCCATTTCTTGAAAATCATTTACAGTCGGACCATGTCGGAGAGGGGAATTCAAGTCCCCGAGGCCTCAATATCAGACCATTTGGACTTCTTTTAATTCCTGGGACGTCCCTGGCACCATGTCCGACACACTCCGACTATATGTGACTTTCTGAAGTGATGGCCTAACGATCTGCAAACGGCTGTGATTGCGGTTTCCGCTATCCGGAGTGCTATCCGGAGTACCGAGGACAACGCTGTCCTGTTTAGATCGCCGTCCTCTATCTGACAGAGCCCTTGACAAGGCAACGGTATGCCTGCCTGGATGACCCACCTGACCCGAAACGTTTTCCGAGAAAGTAGACTTACCTGCGCTTGACTGTAGCCGTGCGAGGGCCATGAGTGTTCGCGGGATCCGTCATGTCAAGTTAATGTATTAAAGCGTGTGTGCTCTGTTCCGCACGTACTTACATGCAACCAAGAAAGTGGCGAAAGCCGGTGTCAAAAATAAGCGTCAAATGGACTACCACTGTTGTGTTCTGGTATGTAGACGTCTTCCGTAGCGAATCTGCTCGCGCCGACGCGCCCACGGTTGCTTGAACTGTTCCGCCGCTCAAGTAGCTTCTGGATTAGTGACGACAGCACCTCGAAGTTGGGTAGCCTCGTGCTGTCCGCGCCGAAGGCAGCAACGACCCGGGGCAGACCGTCCGATATCTCTGGGCAATCCAGTTTGCTGCAGATGAAGTCGATTTCCATGTGGCGGATGCGCTCGTACCTGTCGCGGGAAGAATCATGAGGGTACCTTCAATGTCTCGGATATCAGCGGACGGACCGAGAGGTGAACGTCGAGAATAACTCGTCCAGGATGTTGTGGACGGTCAGCCTATTGCGAAGCTCATCGAAGGCACGGTCCTCTAGGTCCGCTATGCCGTACTGTGGTCCGTTCAGCTAGGTTGCCAGCCAACCAATCACGACTCTGGCTGATTACTCACTTTATCGGCCAATCGATACATTGATTTAGGCGAACATGAAGGCGGTTTCATGGCGGCGATCGCGGATTGCGCTTCCAGCCTTTCTGATTTCTTCTGTTCCTTTCCCTCGGAGGTGAGGGGGGAGAATACAACCTCCCCGGTATAGCAGTACCAGACGAACGTTCTTAATCTGTACAAATGCAGTGAAGAGATGTCCGGAAAGCGGGACAAGCAATACGAACGTCTTGTGGGCGATGTCCTTCACGTGCGCAGTTCTGCCTGGACCGCGCCCTGCCGATGAGGCATCTTGCTATGTAATGGGTGATCACAGAAGGTTACATGCTACTATTACTTACTTCGAATGGGTGCCGCACTGTCACCGTCAGGGTCGTCTTCACCTGCATCGAGGTCGCTGTCGGAGTCGTAACCGTACTCCTCCGCCGAGCACGACGATTCTCCCGGTTGCAGGGCGCCGCCTCCGAGCTCATTCACGGATGACTCGGTGAAGTAGGCCCTTGAAAACACTGCGCATAGGTCAGCATCAGGCTTGCGTGGCCTCGTTGCAAGGGTACACACTTGTCTCGAAATAGGTCGATTTAGCCTTCAAGATGGTGCTGTTAGCATAAATAGGCAACGGCCCGGACACCTGCCCGTCGACCATGCGACGAGAGAACCCATAGATTTTGGTATCTATGAAATCACCCTCGTCAAGTGACGATCGCAGCGCAGAACGCAAGCTGCTTGCTACACGGGCGTCCGCTGGGGCCGTAGAAACGTCCATACGGTGCTCAGAGGGGTTCTCTGCGCGTACATTGAATGATATTGTAAGTTGGGCCAAGTTGGTACCAATGATCTTCATTGTAGCGAGGTGGGTGACCGAGTAGGGCGGTCTGAGTATGGTTGTCCTCGAGACGCCCGACTGTGATACAGCAAAGCCCTCGCCGTTGGGAGACCCACCCATAGCGCGCAGGAAATGCGGCGGCGTTCCCCCTGTGCTCTCAGCTAACACCGTGACCGTTAGCTGCCCCAACTTGGGGTTAACACGGGAGGGGTCAATATGGATCCAAGGCTGCCTAGTGAACCCCGAACGCCTCCATTGGATTATGAAACGATGATTGTACCCGCAGGGTTCAGAATATGTGGGCTCCCCGTAATCATTCGATGCAGGATCCGAAAGAGAGCGCGCATCGCCTTTCAGCCTGAACTTCGAGACGATGCCGCTTGTCGTCTCGGTGTCTTCGCCGATGCGTTCCATCGCAACAGTCGTAGCCGGGTCTCAAGAGACGAAAGCAGGACACGCAGACTAGCGTTAGGTGGAAGAAGAGCTCGACGACAGGTTTCGTACTCATGCGTAGTCCCACAGTCGACAGGTAATGTCTGCCTCAAGTCTTGCTTTCATCACGCCTAACGACAAATCCTTGGTGCTCGATTGGCTCGACGACGTCTCCGGTACTCGGTCGAGTTGGTTCCGGTTTACTTCTGTGCCACAAGCGCGTTCGTAGAATGACAGTGTATTGGCGGTCGGAGACAGGGCGACAGGGAGGGAATAAAACATGGGGCGTGATGGACTGCAGGCCCTAACAGAGACAATCTGAAGGTTGTTGTAGATGGTCGCCCGCTAGTGAATACACGTTTTGTGACTTCTAGATTGAAGGTCGCATCGTCTTATCCGCACCATCATGGCTCACAGCACGACCGCCACGGCGTCGCACACGTTGCTCAAATACTCTCGCTCATATCCAAGTCAACGACCCAGTACTGGACCGAGTGGAATAGAGGCGGAATGGCAGCACTTCGCAAATCCAGTCATCCGTTTAGTGTTGGACACCAGAAAGTCGGCTAGGGGCGAGCTCGAGTCTGTCAGGCTGCGCATCTTGTGGTCAATGGACACCGGGCTGGACTCCATGGATGCTGGCCAGGGTGAAGTTACTTTCGTAAGTGACGCTAGAGGACTGAAGGTGTGCGCTCATCCCTCAGCCTCCTCGGCTCTCTCAGGAGGACCTGGACCTCTTGACCTTCTCGTCTCTCCAAGGGAGTATACTCTCCCAGACAAGCCAGTCTCAAAGTCTCCCTCTGAAAGCCGTGTATCGGGAAACCATGGTCGGAATTCGCTATCTCCACCCGCGGGTAGTCACTGCGGGCACAACTCCTGTTTGAAAAATCCTTACCATCGCGACTTCACGCACTAGTCAGACTGACATCTCTCACAGGTATATCGCCGCTTCCAAATTACCTTCGCCAGCGTCACGGCTGCTTCAGAATTCATAAATGCGATCCGAAACGTCTGTCCTTGCAAAGCCAACAACACGCCGGTTTCAAATCGGAGCATGACGATGAATGCGCCAGCAATACATATTGACCGTCCGTTGCAAGCGCAGACTGCTAGTACACCAGCACGCCATACTTCAGTCGCCGTCACGTCTCTCACTTCGTCGACACAGTTTGCGAGGTCCCAGGTACACCGAAGTTCGCCGCTACGCTCTGAGACAATGGCCAATGCTACTCCCGTCTCAGGTCCTCCATGTTCTTCTCCAGAAGATAATCGCACTCACGCGGGTACTGTCTCTTATAATCTACGGCTTTCTGACCGACAGAATCGACCTTCTGCAATGTCCTTGGCTGCCATAACCACTCCCTTCTCAGAGCTGCCCGGCGCGGCAGACATAGCTCCCTCTTCTCATGCTGCTGATCTTGCTTCTACTTCCGCTTTTGCTGATGCCTCTATGCTTGCTGTACCGTCTATGCCAGGGCCCCCCGAAGTAGGGGTTACGATTCGCGGAGAAAGCCTGACCGAGGCGACTCGGACCATCCCCTCGAATGTCAATCCATTATCTTCTATGATGTGTCCTAGTTTTCCAGTACCATCAGATCCCACTCCTCCCTCGTCGAATAGTGATTCTTCTGCTATGCTACCCCCGCCACTTCCCTTGACCCTTCCTCAAGCCCTGGATCGTCCTCTCTCACCTGCAGCGTCCTCTAACACTCAGAGTGTTGCCCCGGATCGACTGATGGCGTCCTTACGGGAACTACCGGAATTATACAGCCTCTCATCTGCAGACCTGCATGCGTTAGTTGGGCAGGTCATCAGGGAAGAGGGTTTCTTGCAGCTGGTCAGTCTACGCATAGTCTACTGTGGTTTCAAGCTAACACTGCCCCTTAGCTCGAAAGTTTAGACCGTATGTGGAGAGAGAAAGGGTTTCTGAGCCAATTGTAGACTTACGTGTGTCACTACTGTCTGTTCAGATAACGCTCCTTCGTGCAATCTTCCATACGCATTACGAACCCGTTGTACAAAGCTAAGGTATCTACAGTGTACAACGCATGACAGATACAGCCCTACATGCTGTCTAAAACTACATCACATCAGTATTCAGGATAACATATCTGACTCAGTCTGTTCAGCTTCATCGCAAGCCTCCAAAACAAGGTGGGACCATAAATACGAGCCTATGCGTATTCAGAGCTGAACACGTCTATGCGCCCATAAAGCGTATGCCCATTCTGAGTGGCACAGTAGCTCGAAGAACGTGGATGCCAATACGAATAACAGTTAAGAAAGCCCACATAAAACCAACTAGCTCATACGTCAGAGTGATATCCGGAAGGAGACAGATAGAACTTACAAATGAGCATTGGGATCCAGAATAGTATAAGCATACGGTCGTCTGCAACGGCAGCAAAATTAGTCGAAAACGTTTCACGTACGTGACAACAGTACTTACGCTTTTCCCCGCCCTTAGGAACTCTCTTCTTTGGCGGCTTATATGTGTAGGCATCCACTTCTTCGTCAGGGAACGGCGTATCCTGCTTCAGCCGCCGAGCTATATTCCTTTCTGGCCGTGCTGTAGCAGTCAAGGGCTGTGTTTCCAGGGCAGTCTTACTGACACTGGTGCCCTCATGTGCTTGACGGGGGGTATAAGCAGGAGGAGGGTTCTCTTCAACCTCCTGACGAGCGGTATATTGTTTAGTCCACCGTTCCAACACGGTAAACCACTCGGGCACAGAAGGCACAGCTGCCACACGAGGCTGGACAGGGCTATCTTTGTCCTTGTCACTGCCGCTGCGCCGCTCAGTCAAGAAGTTTGCCAAGCCGGGAAGGGGTACATAGACGGGGAATACGACAGGCAGCTGAGGCAATGCGCCCCATGGCACGTTGGGCATGCCAGGGATATGAGGAAGCCCTATGTGTGGCACATGCGGCATGATCCCTTGCGCAGGCTGGAATTGTGCTAGGGTCCGCTGGATCATTTCGACCAAAGAAGCAGCCTGCTTCTCATCTACACCGTCCTGCTTGTGCTGTGTCGGCGACTTGGACTGAGTAGCCGGTGTATATTCACTCGAGGGATTCCCATGAGATTCGTGATCCTTCTCAGGAGGTCCCCGACGTACAGCACGCTTGGTGGCACTGCGAGCTTCTTCCTCCGAGTCGTCTTCTACGTCCCCCCATGTGGCTTCCTCGTCCTCACGATTCCCAGGCGGACTCCATTCGCGGTCACTGTCCGTCTCGGCGTAGAGATCATCAAAAAGATCGGGTGGGGCGATCTCCTCCGGTATTTCGCCGCCCACGTTTACGATATCCAGAGCCGCACCACTGCGGACCAGCAAGCGCAGACATTCTTTGGATGGAGTAATAGCGGCGAAGTGCGCTGCGGTGAATCCGTTCTGATCTCGGACATCCGGATCAATATCATGTTCAAGCAGGAATTTCACCAGGGACGAAAATTTGAGGAAAGTCGCCAGGTGCAGCAGGGTGTGGCCACTAGAACTCTGCAGGGAGATTGCGTCGCTTGTTGCGACGCCCGTGCCTCTCTCGCTAGGTGTGTCGAGAATAGACAATAGCTTGATAACTAGTTGCTCGATATCCCCGTGCAGACCGTTAGCGCGCGACAGGGCAGCTAAAGCAGCGACTTGCATCGGAATCGATTGGTCGTCCCCGTTCTGAGAGTCGTGCGGGCCTGCATTGCCGACAATACGCATAGCCACATTCTTCGCGTCCTCTAGTTTACCGGTCATCTTCAGACCTACGACCTGAAGCGCAAGTTCCATACTGCAAAAACGTATAATTAGCCACTGCAACACAATTAAGGAGACGAATGCACTCACAGCGCTCGGTCTGACTCATCAATGTACGTAAACATTGTCGGGGGCATAGAGTCGTCCTTCTCAATGCCCTCAAACCACACAGCGACGACACCAGCAGACACCCGAGGCGGGAGCAGGCATACCAGAGTGTTATCGCTCCACCTATGCGTAGAACTCGCCACTGCGTCGCCAAAGACGCAGTTCAACTGCATCGATGGATGGAAGTTCATGCCAAGGATCGTAACTTCAATACCGCCATATGTCGGTCCAGATGCTGGAATAAGTCGATGGATCTTCGGTGGCGGGAGGCTGGTAGCAGGGGGCCGAAAGTCAGGATTGAAGTTGAATAAGAAGGGCAGGGTTTGAGGAGCAAGCATTGACGTAGGCTGCATTTGCATCGGAATTTGGGGTATAGGAGAGGGAGGAGCAGTAGGCAAAAAAGTCGGCGATACCGCATTTTGCAGAGTAACTGCAGCCTGCTGGGGAGTAGGGGCCATGTTACGGGTTACAGCTTCCAAAGCACGGAATGCATCGGAGATATTTTCATTAGTAGAAGCATGTGAGTTGGAGGGAGAGGGCAAGTACGTTTCGGACTCTGAAGCGTCTGAGCCCGGAAAAAGGGATGGGTTAACGGAGTATAACGAGGTTCCTGCCCCCAAATATGAAGGAAGAGTCGGGGAAAGCGAAGTGAGATCACCTACGCTCCCGGCGCGGGAAACATTGGACGAAGCGTCGGCAGAGCGTTCTTGTGCCCTTGCCCTCTTCTTAACCTGAGCCGGACCATCCTTGGAACAGTTGAGTTTGCGTTTCGATCCGTTCAGCTCACTCGTCTGATCGACGTGAGTCCAGTCAGAGTTTTCGTTTGACCCTCCTTGTTTATTCGTGCTCTTGTGGTCATCCGTGATCATGATGGGATGAGTCGTGCCCGAGCCCACAATTCTCCCAGTGTGGTCCACCATGGTGAAGTGCACATGAAAGCCCACTTTCTCGCGATGGTGTCGGCAATAGCAAGTGATACGCATTGGTAAGATGGCGGATCCGGTAGAGAAATCGACGACCTCTGGGCAGTTGAATTGAATGATGCTGGAGGTATCCTCAAGCTTCGGCTGCCCGGTCGGTCGGTTGGGGTCGTCTAGGGAATCAGAGTCAGATCGGACAGGTCGTACTCGGGCGGCTATCTTGCGGGCTACTCTCTTCGCCTCGCGAGTGCGACAACTGGAGCAACTGATAACTTGACTGTGAGGGGGTGATGCACATGTTACCGCAACAGCCAGGTGAAGGATATCTTCCGGTTGAGGGTCTTCGCCAACTGGTTAGTCACAACGGGCGCTAGGAGGCGTACCATAGGCTCACCAATCTTGCCTTCCTTGCGCGTCCGCTTTTTTGTCGAAGTGCCCTTCGGGAGCTTCAACCACTTCCAGGAACCAATCTTGTCATATTTGAACGGCTCTCCGGATGATGAACTGGCGTAAGCCAAGTCGATCGTTACTCGAACTTGTGTCTCCACTCGGGACTTCGTACCCCCTTCGGGAATGCTCGGTATGATGATGGGCAGGCTGTGAGACAAAACGGATGGGAAAAGGAGACAGCGGTTAGAGTAACGGGAACTTACTTATAACATGACTCCTTTGGTGGATAAACAACTCTGTCCGAGGCTGCTGAGGGCTCACGCTTGCGAGCCAAAGGGGTTGGCGGGGGAACGGGCTTCGTGACAGGGACAACATTGGCGGAAGTCAGAAGGTTACTGAATTGAACCAGCTGAGAGGCTGAGGCGGATGGCAGCAGTGGAGAAGACGTGCTGGAAACGTCAGACGTCTGTACTGCGGTTCCGTCGAGAGCAGATAAGAGGGACTGCCTGAATTACACGGAGAAAGGGGTTCGGTGACTCTAAGTGCACGGGACTTCGAGGACCACGTACTCATCATAGGCATGATTATGAATCAGGTCATTGAGCGACAGTATTCGCTCGTCCTCGCGTTTTGAGCTGTCCGGATACAACCCGCTATCACTCTCCCAAGCTGCGGTAGTACCGTTCGACAGAGAGTCACGCCAAGAGTTCAAGTCTGTATCGTCGCGCACAACCAAAGGCTCTGGACCATCGGATGCTTCGGGAGTCGCTGGCGAAGGCGAACGAGAGCCCGCTGCAGTTGCGGACGACGCGGACATAGCAGGATGGAGCGGGGGCCCGAAAGTGTCTTGAGTGAGTGCGTTAAGGACCACGTTCTGATGATGTGGGAAACCTGCCGGCAAATGCCCCGGCTCCAGAGCGACTAAGACTTGTTCTATTAGGCGGTTCCGTCGAGATCGTCCGGGCACCTCTGCGAGCGCAGGCAGAGAATAAGGAATGCGCGGAGAAGAGGGCGAACGCGACGGAGGATAAGGAAAGGGTATAGATGCTCAAATAGAGCTTGACCTGAGTACATGTACCGTGCTGTGTGAGAGTTTCGGCCCGATAAATTCAGACTCCGAAAGCTGCCCTTTCCATGGGCGTGTTCGGCGCGTTCTGCCACAACCACTCTTGTTCGACGCGTGTAACATGAAGCGAGGTGCAGAAAAACAACTAAGCAAGGACGATGCCGAGGACGAAGTGGCCGACGAGGAGGGTGAGGTGAGCGTCTCTTACTGAATGTCAAATGCGTTTGTGACAGAGGGAGAAGCCAGGAAGTACCCCGAGGTTTCAAGAAGGCGGATGAATCTGAATTAGCGAGAAGGAGGTGCGCACTCCGCTGAATCAGTACTTTCATGTATTATTCAACCCTCGTAGAATGCGTGCACTGCCCAAACGAATGTCGGGGGCCGTCCCTCCACCGGCAGCACCGGCACCGGAACCTGCCACAACGAACGGTGCAGCGTCCAACGTAAGTTCGGTATGCCACTTCTGGAACGTGTCCTTATCCAGCTATATGCCAGCCACCACCGCGTTTTGGCGGGTTTGCAGGATTTGGATCAGGGGGGCCCAGTCCCTTCTCATTTGCGACCGCTGCCCCTTCCAATAATACAGCCAAACCAGCGTCTACACCCTCGCTCAGCGTGTTCTCAAGCACATCCAGCCCTGCTGCTTCCGCTCCACCTCCTGTACCATCAACTACGTCTGCAAGTACAAAGTCTTCTGCTTCTTTCTCCAGCACGTCATCGACTTCGTCGACTCCTAGTGCTGCAAGTTCTAGCCCGCCTGCTATTAAACCGGCAACTAATGGCACTGACGACTCTGGCGCCTTAAAATATTACACATCCTTGCGTGGTCTAAACGTATCCTTCCTCAAGGCCATTACCAAAGCCGTAGAGGAAGATCCCTTCATTGACGTCGCGATTTTGCTGGAAAGGTACAAGTCCCTGCGGGTTGAGATCCAATCAGAGTTTGAAAAGAGCAAGAAGACCTTGGAGAACGGCGAAGCGCGACCTAGCAATACCTCAAGTTCCTCGAAACCATCTGAGCCACCCCCCGCTATGCCGGCGCCCCCGAGTAGTTTCAAAGGCTTCAGCTTCCCTCCCTCTGCCCCAGCCATATCTACTACCCCGAGTGGCGGATTCACGCCTAAGCTTGACACGGCCGGGTCTTCAGGTAAAACATCTGGGTTCTCGTTCCCGACTGCGCCGCCGCCTTCCTCCTCTGACAAACTGTCTGGGTTCTCGTTTCCGAGCGCGACCTCGACCTCCTCTGCACCATCCACACTCCCCTTTTCTTTGACTCCTAGCACGGCGTCATTCAAACCAACTTCTGGTGCCCCTGGCGCCTTCGACACATTCAAGTCTGATGAGAAATCCAAGTCTTCAGGCTCGCCGTTCTCCTTACCGTCCACGTCGGCGTCTACTTCCGATAAATCGGAGAAACCGGCTTCGGCCTTCTCATTTGGGTCTACAGCTTCAGATAAGAAGACGTCGTCTGCCTTCAGCGGAGGGGCCTTCAGTTTTGGCAAGGACAAGGACAATGAATCTTCTTCGTCTGTCAGCAATCTCTTTGGAGGTACCAGCGCGTTTGGGACGAGCACGCCGCCCAAATCAGACAAAGCTCCCGCCAGTAGTGGATTCAGCTTTGGGACGACCTCCAGCAGCAATACTTCCTCGTCTGGATTCGCTGGCTTCGGCAAACCAAGCGGCGGGAGCATAGGAAACCCCGTAGGGTTCGGTTTTGGCAGCCCCCCGAGGTCGAGCGAGGGTGGTTCTAAGTTCGGATCTTCCGGTTTCAATTTCGGTGGCTCGAAAACGGAGGAGAAGCAAGAGACCGAGGAAAAGAAAGAAGAATCCGGAGAGAGTCAGGATACAGAGAAGGAGGGAGAAAGCGAGGAGGGGCAGGCAAAGGAAGAAGAGGTCGTTCACACCAGCAAAGAGAACCTCGGTGATGTAGAGGGGGAAGGGGAGGAGGATGAGGTGACGACGCATGCGGTAAAGAGCAAGGTCTATAAGTTTTCAAAGACCTCGGCGGACGAGAAGGGCAAGTGGGTCGACTTGGGTGTCGGTGCGTTCTACCTTTCCCAAATGGCATACCAGCAACACGCTGAACCCCCTCAAGGTATGCTCCGGCTGAAGAAGCACAAAGAGACGGAGTCACGGAGAGTGCTTCTGCGTAACAGCAATTCGGGCAGGGTTGTCATTGTGAGACTCTTTTTCTAGTGTCGAGTGTTTTTGACTGAATCGGGTTTGATGCAAACCGCAGAACTTCAAGATATACGCAGGTCTGACACCGAAGGTCAACAATAAGCACGTCAGCTTCACCGGCCACGACCAGGGCGAACCGGTCAACTACCAACTCCGTGTCAAGACGCAGGAAGACGCTGAGCAATTGAACCAGGCTCTGCTGAGAGAAATCGAATTCGTAAAAGGGCAGCCCGAATAAACGATATGTCCTTCCACAGCCAAGCCCCGTGTATCCTGCTTTGTTGAAGTTCTATTTTATTCCTATCCTCCGCATTCTTTGCTGACCGGTTACACTATGGACATGCGTCCTATCCTCCTTGACGAGCGTACAAGATTTAATGACTTCCGTGTCTGCGCCCGCTATCGACCGCTGAAGTGGCTTTGGGCGTTGTGCCAAGTGGAGCTCAGCACAAAAGCTTCACTGAGTAGCATCTCGATATCGTGATCCGTCCATGATTGTGTAGGCAGTGACTGCAAGAACATAATGATGCCCTGCATGATATCCCATAAGCAAGATTTGCAATTTGACTATCCTTGTGACTTACTTGGAAGTCCATCTGTCGCAGTTTCTCGCTCCATTTCACAAGGAAAGCGGAACATACATAGAGATGAAACTGCGAGAAAGCATCGGCTCCTTCAGCCTAGGTTGCACGCTATGATGAGACAGCGTTGTTGATAAGAGCTATATTTCGGTCTCACCAGATACGTATCCCACATGCGGATAGTGTTTCGGACGCTGATCTCCCTCATAAGCAAGCAATTCATCCACCTGAATGCGAATTGCATAAACTCCACATTCTGGGAAGCAAGATGCGCAGCTAGAGGGGCTGCCAAAGTACGTCAGTCTGAAGTCTGGCCCGATAATGGGGATAGACGGACGATCTATGCGCGCGACCAACTCAGCCATCCGTTTCACGCTCCGGTGTATGCCAGGCTGCCCTGCGATGTAATTGTCCTGGATCCCGTCCAATAACCTAGATAGGCAGAAGTAAGAATCCGCTTCGATAGCATTGAGGACGCTAGGCGGTAGGATAGTTGGATCGAAGTCTTCCGCTTCTGAATCTGCATGATAAATGAGTCAGTCGCGGCCGGATGATGGAGGTGAGGGCCACAGTCGCACCGACATATGCAGACAAAAAAACTTGAAAAAACGGCGTTGCGAGGTCATTGATTCCTTGTACGTATCCACTCGCAGGATGCCTGATAGCCCAAACATAAAGTATGCGCTCCAGGCTCTAAGAAACCAGCGATGAGCTGGGATACAGGCTACGGGTGAACGGAGGAGCGTACCCGCTGCGTACAGGCGTGCATCCATAGTCGCACGCCAGGCCTTGTCCGTGGGACATCAATCTCAATTTGATGCCATATTTGTTGGTCGAGCTGTCTATCCCGGGCAAAGGTCACTTCAACAAGGGACGCGTACTCCTCCCGTTTGCGTTTGAGCGTCGATGAACGCAGTCCGGAGATCGACGGCATATGCCCCTGCAGTCATGGTGAATAACAGAGGAACAAACCAGTTCGCACGAAGATACTCACGAGCAACAGTGGCCATACTATCGGTCGGAGCTCGTCTGGGATACCTTGCCAGGCCAGCTTTCGGAGCTCAGCTACACATGGCCTGGTCAATGGGTTTAACTCGTAAGAATACGTGCAGCTACATACGCATGTTTATATCCTCTTGCAGAAGACAATTGATGAATTTCTGCCGTCGGTTCGTTCTTATAGAACGCTCCCGCTGCAGGAGCTCAGGGCTCTCACTCCCGTCAGGTGAAGCGCGGCCGGACAGAGAGTCATGCAAAGACTTGGACTTCCCGAGCCGTCTCCTAATAAGTTGCAGCGGATCTGTATCATGGGTGAGGGTCGAACGCATACGGATGAGGGGCTCTGCGAGTACCGTTAACGATCTCGTCAACGTCTTCTTTAATGGTGCCCTGATCTTGCCTGATTCTAGTGTAAGGAATGTGGTCTACCACCTCCGGTTCCATATCGCCCACAACCATTTCTCCTTCCACCTCCACCTCCCCGCCCATGGTCTCACCTTCCTTCCCATGATTACCACTCTCCCGGCTCTCGCGCTTATCGCTCGACTTCCTGACAATGGTCCAGCCATTCTTATGAACATGACTCTCCTCATGACGCGGGTAGGAACTGGGACTGGGAGCGCTGACGTGGGTGTAGGAGAAGGCCAAGGTTGAAGACGAGTTATTGAGATGGGGCCTGGGGACTGGTTTTGGCGCCGTCGATGATGTAGACGCTTTTGGGCTCTGTGCAACCGAAGTCTTGCTCCGATTGTTGATAGAGGTCGATTGTTGTGGGGATTCAGAATCAGAGCCGCTATCCCAAGCATCGTCCTCCGCCCAATCTCCAGAGGTAGATGTGTACGAGGAGAAGTAACTGGAATGCACGCCGATGTGCGGGCGTGCTGGAGGTGGTCTCGCCGCCATCGAGAGCAGTCTGTACAGCGATCAAAGGATGTCAGCTAGGAAGGATATTGCAGCTATGTCGGCGCAACTGTGGAAGCTCGAATGTATGTCGTGAGAAAGATCTTTGTTGTGGCGCTGTCCAGACCGTGGCCACTTCCACTTTAATGCCTCATTTCCTCAGGAAATCGGGTCTTTGACATACTGCATGCGTACTCTACTTTCCAGATCGCAGGATTTGACCGTGCAAGGCCCACCTATCGCATCCACTACATGGGGCATTTAGGAACAGCGGGCTTCCCCTTCGTCGGTCACCTCCCGCCCGATACCGTAACCGACAGGCAGCCTCAGTCAGCGGAGATCGCACCTGCTGACCTAGTGATGGTACATTGCGGATTGATACTGTATTCATTCTTTGCGGCACATGCTATTCGCTCTCATTGCTACCTCTCCAGACATCACATTGGCATGCTCGTCTAACATTTCATCTAGTCGCAGTAGGCACCGACGCTCGCAGACTGAATTGCCAGGTTAATACGCTTTGCAGAGATACACGAAGGGAAGAACTTACAGCAACATCCCGAGCATACCTGTACAACACACCTCTCTTAACCGTCAGCTCCGACTTCCCCGAAGCCTCCCATTCCTTACGACGCCTGGCCTGCTCCTCTTCGTCGACATGCCAGTTAATGACCTTGTTGTCGGAGTCGATGACGATCCTATCTCCATCCTTGACCAGAGCAATCGGACCCCCTACCCTCGCTTCGGGGCAGACATGACCTGAACGCGCCAAGAAATAGGATGTTCAGATATGAACGGGCTCTCGGAGAGTATCACTTGCCAATGATGAAGCCGTGAGAGGCACCAGAGAACCGCCCGTCAGTGATCAGAGCAGTACTATTGCCTAAGCCGGCACCGATAAGTGCACCGGTAGGGCCTAACATCTGAGAAAGCGAGAAACGTTTGATCAGCACTTGCCCTTCGATCGAATGGCAGATGAACGATTCACCTCTGGCATACCAGGCGCTCCTTTGGGACCCTGGTATCTGAAGATCAAGACTGTACCTGGCCTGATCTCTCCCGCCGCCAATGAGGGGTAGAATTGAGAAAGGCTTTGTTATTGTGAGCGCCGTAATAGCTTGAGAAGGACGGCCCAGACAAGCTCACTCATCGAAACATTTGGCTACGCCCTGCACATGCTCCGTCAGAAACTTTATCTTGGCCAAGTCATGATCGACGCCTACCTCGAATTTGCTACCTTCCTTGCCGGTCAATTTAGCAACCGCAGTTTCCGGCGCCAAATTACCCTTCAGGATGTTCAAATGACCAGTGGGCTTCAAGGGATTGTCGATCCTCCGGACGACGTCTTGGCTGTCGAACTGCAACTCTTCGACGTCCTCCAAGTTCTGGGCGAGTGTCTTGCCAGTGACAGTCATAGTACTGCCATCGAGCTGGACACATAGACAATTTATACGTGTCCTTTATGCTGGATGACGTTGCCTACCAGGTCGGTGTGATTAAGTAGATACTTCAGTAAAGCCGGTATCCCGCCGATCTTGTGTAGATCTTCCATGTAGTACTTGCCGGACGGCCTTGAGCGCGGGCATTCAGCACATATACTACCAGGGATACGAGAATATGCAGTTTACTTCAGGTCACACAGATAAGGAGTCTTGTCAGCTATCCTTTGGAAATCATCGATGCTGAGTTCCACATCGGCAGCCCTAGCCATGGCAAGCAAATGTAATACCTACATCGCTCTTGTGTTAGCAAGTACACCACGGGAGAAGAATTTACTTACGGCATTCGTCGAGCCGCCAACGATATTGGTAACGGTGATCGCATTTAGGAAGGATTGTCGGGTGACAATATCTCTGCAAAAAAGTATGAATGCCTGTGATTCTTTCCAGTGCAGGTCAACATACTTCGGCTTCAGGTCAAGCTCCAAAAGCCGCTTCATGTACTTTGCGGCCTTGAAACATTCTTGCGCCTTCTCTGATAGGATTAATTCATACACTCAGCATGTACTTGCGCACCAGAATATGGCAGGTCGTTACCAGGAAAGACGGCCGGTATACCCGAAGAGTAGGGCAGTGACATTCCAAGCACTTCCAAAGCCGTACTCATGGTGTTGGCTCTGGAAAGGTACTGGTTTACCTCTGGTACTTAGAGACCAATGCTACACTTACGTGTACATACCGCCACAGCCACCAGGGCCAGGGCAGGCATGACGGACGACATCGAAGTGCTGCTCGTCGTTGACCTTGCCGAGAGTGTATGCCCCTATTCATTTCCCGGGGAATCATTGACCAGGCATGTAAACCGACCTTCTAGACAGTACGCACCGAAAGACTCGAACGTGTCAGAAATGTTGACGGTGTCGCCTTTCTTCTTGCCCATCGCGGGGCAGTCAACATGGCGAATACCAGGTTGAATTGTCCCGCCATAAATAATGATGGTTGGGCGATTGTGACGGGCAGCAGCGATAAAGCAGCCAGGCATGTTCTTGTCGCACCCCGGAATCGATATGTTGCCGTCGTAGTATTCTGCCTATCCAGAGTCATGAGTGACTATCAGCAAGTCATGGCGCGGAATAGTCACCATCACAACCTAAGGGCCTGTCAGACATATTGCGCGCGAACTTGAGAACGAAACTTACTGCTTCGATGGAGTCCGCTATGAGGTCGCGACTCGGTAGTCTATATCAGAGTAAGGGAAGGCCTCGTCGCAAGGCTAGGGAGACTGACGAATATCGCATTCCTAGACACCGATATTAAGAAACATCGTCATCAACAGTAAACCGTAGTTTCTCACCATCTGTGCCCATGGTAATGGCATCACTATTTCACGGTTGGTATCAATTGGTTGAGTAGAGTGGAGTCTGTCCTACCTGACTCCGATTGTATTGAAGGTCATGCCTACGAGACCTTCCTGTTCACAGCCTTGTTTCACCTTCCGGGCGAAATCAAGCTAGCCAAGGTGTGTCAACTTGCATACTGCTATAACAAAAGCATCTAACATACGAGATGCATGTTGCAAGGGTTCCCTGATCACATGTGAGCATGTACATACCACTTCGTCCATGGTATATGTCACTGACCTTCCCACCAAATAGGTGAAATCCCGATCTGAATAACGAAGTTGGACGTAGGATGCGCCAAATACCAGTGGGGCATACCTGAGGCTTGTTCATGTCATCCTCGGTCATTCCAGTGGCATACACTGCAGATGAAAACGTTAGATTCAGCGCGTCACTGCAGCGCGCGTTCGACTTACACATCGCCTGAGCCGACCCTTTCGACTAGAGACAACACGTAAATTATACAAGCATCTGGACGCAACATAGCCTACCTTGTCCTGAGTTACAACACTCGACCATTTGTTCAGTTTCGGGGCGTTGCTCCCCGGGGAAGTGGCGGGAAGGGTGTGACTGAGAGCATCCCGATTCACTCATCTGGGGCAGAAAATACGGGACTCCATAGCTTACATCTCGACGCCCGACATTGTGGTGAAGAAGAGGGGTAGAGAATCTCTTCTGAATCCTGCATTTCCTCGCCATGCTCGTAACTTATGACCAGGGCGGAACGCCACCGCGGTCCGAAGGCCTCGAGTAGAGAGCATCACGTGAGATTTTCCTTAAAATTAGACGCCGGCAGTGTGGCCGGCAGAATGTCGGTCGACCAACAGTGGGAGCAACTTCACATCCTATGACATGGGATCGGGCCCGATAACGCCCTCGATAATCGTGCAACGCATCCCGGTCTACCCACATCGTTGCAACACCCAAGCATGCACAACCTTACTAGCTGAAATACACGACAATCAAACAAGTACATACGGAAGTCCCAGCCGTAACCCCAACCAGAACAGATGTGATCATGAGCCTTCAGATTCACTTCTCGTAGCGCATGGCCCGCAGAAATGGATCATGGTTGATGTCCTGACTGCCTAGCCTCAGAGAGAGTTAGAATAGAGGACTGCATCGGACAGGCAAGTCCAGGCGGGTATGTTATTATAGGATACTTCTGAGGTAGATATGCGGCACGTACCGTCGAGTTCCGGGGAGCCCGGATGCCCTCGTTCTCGCGAATGGAACGATCCGAGCACGAGCTTCCCGACCTAACGTGTTCCGATCCGGGAAAGGTTGAGAGGAGGACACACCCCTCTAAATACTACCTCGAACATACCTCGTCGGCGAAACGGTTCGTCGGCAGACGAGTTTCTCCATGCCAGAACAAGTATACGTCGCGCGGATGTACTCATCCATGGGCCCCGACCGCGGCACGTATGTCAGCTTGACGCTAATTGTCTCGCTGGCCCCAGGGAGCTCTTTCGCCTTCCATATTTTGCCCCACCAACTGCTGCTGGACGCAGTGTCTTCACTACCGAAACTAAAGGGCGAGCTTGTCGGCCCAGCTGGAGCCATATACGACAGCAAACGGCATCGAGCGCACTCTGGGAAGGGGCACTGCATTATCGATTATAGTAGGACTGGAAAGAGCGACAAAGGATACAGCAAGGTACAGCGGAACCCGAGACCACGAAAGGCGGGGTAAGGCCTAGAGATTGCGGGGTCGAGGATATATACGACGTAGAAAACGTGCAGCCGCACTCCATCCGAGACACCGTAATGGTGGACTGCCGCAGCGGAAATGACATAGCCCTCAAGCCTAGACGGCCCCACCGATGGGAGCATGCTCATCGGGTATAGGATTCTATAGCTAACTGCGAGGATCCCGAGTAACGCGAGGCTCACTTTGCCTCCTTAGCCCTCGTATGCTATAGGTTTGCTATGGAAAAGGAGGCTGCGCCGGAGATGATGTGCGATCGGTCTTGGCCAGACCTTCATTATCGTGCTATCCAAGCTGTACAACCTCTCACGCGTTCAGCGGGACGCAGATACCCAGATGCTCCATCCACTAAAGGTCCACGAAAGGATCAGTGCACGAGTGCCGGAGAAGCCACGCCAGTAAGCAGACCTCCACGAGATCGGGCCGTCCAAGAGGTTCTGCGATCCAGAGCTCGATACACTACTATCATTGGACCAGTAGTGAATAACTATTCACTTCCCGTCCCTTTTGTGCACTGGGGACCTTGTGGCTACCCTATACCTTCGGCAATTTTTCTCTGTAATGATAAATGTCTGTAGATGCCATGTTCAAGTTTGTATGTGGAACGGAGGAGTGGTCATCGTTCAGGATTTAAAACTGTCTTGCATCTCCGAGGTCTAAGCGTGACAGAGCGTGACCGCTGCCCCGCCACAGCCCTATTGTGACACGTGTGACATCTTATTCACTTCCCGTCCCCTTACAACCTCTACGCCCTCTGGAAAAATCTGAGAAATTTGCAGAGGGTATAGAATAGTATCTGAACCATTCACACCAATTTTGGGGTACGTGCAATCAGAGGAAGGTGACTTAACTAGGGAACAGTTCAAATCATTCACTACTGGTCCAATGATAGTATTTCTATGGGTCATCTGTTGAGACGATGTCGCCAGCCAGCAAGATATACAGAGCAGTATCCCAGGTCCCTTGCCCGCGGGACGCCGTTGCCCAGTTGCAAGCTATGTATTACGTAAATACGACCCCCCCCCTAGCCAATGAGAGCACAGAAGCTTGACAATGCGTGCGAACCATATGTTGAGAGTTGAGAGCATGTTTCCTTACTTGGGAGCACAAATACGACCCATGGTCGACTTCCTTGGCTAAATATCGAAGATGAGGACATCTGCAACTAATATAAATCGTTATCCAGCATGCAGGGAATGTCTACATTTGAGCTAGCAGCGGACCAGACTCGGGACATCACATATTAGACACGAAGAGCGACAAAAATAACATAGGATGCAAGTTAACATTTAGAGATAATACTTACAGACCAGTAACACCTTCCCTACCAATCGTTACATTAGCGCGGCGCAAGGCTTTATGAGGCAAAAGCGTACCAAGAGAAGCAGATGATAGGATAGCGATCCAGGATATCGGGGTATACAGAAAATAACAAAGCTCTCTCGAAAGATGAGCGTGCGGAAAAAATTGTGTTGGGGCAATATGTGCAGCACGGAGACGCCAAAGCGACCCGAGTGACATTCGTCACGCTCAGCCCGCGCGAGCGCGAGCATCATCCGGGGCAAGCATCTTTAACGCTCGACGGTCTGAATAATATATCCTCACTTCAGCGGATGAAGTCAGGACAGGGGAGTATAGGACTTACTGGGGACGTCCACGTTTAGCTTAGCGAACCTGGAAAGACCCCACTTAACACTGGAAGTCTGGCTCTATAAGCAGTTATTGAGTCGTACCGGATGACATGGCGTCGGGCGACTGCTGTCTGGCTTTCACTCCTCTAGCAGTGCCCGACTTCGTGGACAAAGCGTCGCTGTATGAGGTTCACCTCTGAAGCGTTACGCCCGTCCTTTCCCTCAGTCCCTACTCGAGATCAACCTACAATAGGAGATGGTTCAGAAAGAGATGAACTGACCAAGTTTTTATACATCTAGGTAGGGCTCTGGTTACCGGCTTGGCGGAGCGCATTGCGCTTGTCCACTGGGCTACGAGCTCGAGAACGTATTCCAGGGTCGAGAAGGGGGACACGGTTTTCCGCTGACGGTCTACAGGAGGTGTTAGAATGTGGGTGATATGCTCCAGCAGGAGGTACGTACTGGGGTCGTCAGCACCAATGTCCCATGCAGGTAGGTCCCCTTCATCAGGTGGTATGCAGTGTTAGATAAATGGGATTGAGGTTAACAGTGTTCGCACCGGTCTACGGCTCCAAGCCCATCTTTCCCTAGACTTATGGTCATGAATAATGTTGCTGAGCTCTCTGGATCAAATTAAAAGGAGGAATGATCAGTAAAGGAGGAGGAGGAATGCGGGACTTAGCTCCGGCTTCAGAGCGGTCGTCCTGAAGGGAGTATTGCTCCAGAGTCAAGGATGAAATCGACGCAAACACGAGCAGCGACTTCAAGCAAGGGCGCCTCCTGCTGTCCACCGCGCCCGGCCCGCGGTCCTAGAAGAAGGTAAACACGAGAGGCTTATTCAGCATGGGTGTGGAAGGCTTACCGCTCGAAGACTCCGGATAACCTCCCCCATGACCGTCGTTCGCGCAGAGCTTGGAGGATGGGGTTGCGAGAGGTATGAAAAATCAGCCGGGAGAAGGAAGCGGAGGGGGAGCTGGAGGTATTATGGATAAGGAAAGCTCAGACAACCACTTCGAGTCTCGGGGCATAGGACGCCAAACCTTTGCCCCTCTGCACGCCTTTGTGAGAGCATGAGAGTTATTTAGAGAGCCTTGACCCAGTCCTTGACGCGGGTAGCGACAGACTTCTTGACCTGGCGCTCCACAGACACCGCCTGGCGGTATTCAGGTTGTGGCTTCTGGATTTTGGGAGCGGTGCAAAGCCAGCACGTGCAGGTGTTCTCGGTGGGCGTCGGAGAATAGCCTTCGAGCAGCGGGTCGACGACAGCATCTGGACCAAGGACGTAACCCTTGAAGGTCATGTCGCAGAGCATGCACGGTTCGCCATTGGACTTGACCGCAGGGCAGTAGATAGCGGGGTGAGGGGTGGGCATGGATTGACACATGGTCAAGATGGTATGTGTGCGAGGGGGTGAAGCTTGTAGGCTTAGGCGCAGTGGATGTGATGGGTGTAGAACTGAGTTCTGGAGGAACGAGCTGAGAAAACACCGGCCTTATATCTCTACTCGCCCCACGGCTGACATTTCAATGTTAACTACGAGCCGCCTGATGAGCGGGAATGCCTCGTCAGAAGGCGGCCCCCGCCGTCAGACGGTTGAGCGTTGTCAGCCACCATCGATGGTGGCTGACAGCGCTCAACCATGGTGGCTGATGGTGCACCATCGGCCAGCCTCTTGCCATCGTGCATTGGTGGGTGGCGAACGTGAAGGTGAAGAGTACGTTCCCACCCTCGGGTACCTAGCCTTGATTTCTTGCCGAAGAGTCGACATTCTGTCATAAATAATCGGATTACGACCCATGAAATTAAGCACATAACGCGATCGCATTGTCCTACGCAGAGTCTCCAACTTGAAGTCAGATGCATTATTTATTATGACCATCTAGAAATCAAAACCAGCATTCCTGAACGCATCCACCTTGGGACGACTCTTCGCCTGCTCAGCAAGATCGGACCGGCCCTGAGGTGGTAGGTGAACATCAGCAAACCACTCCGAGGTCCTATAACCACGCTTGGGTTATCATCAGTACAAGCCAACGCACCATAGCAATGAAGGCGCGACGGAGTGTAAACCACAACTGCTCACTCTTCTCGGCACCCGATGAGTCTTGCATCGCGAGTGCGCTGAGGAAATGCTCGACAGCTTCCTTGTGTGCCCCAATGTTGAGACCTAGCAAAACGTGAGATGCCGGAACCCATATTAGGAGGGGAAGACCTACAGGCGACGCCGACGTTGTAAATGGCTCGAGTGTACGTCGGACGGAGAGACAACGCCTCTCTGTAAGCACCCAAGGCTTCCTCAGGTTTATTTCCGTTAGACAAACAGGATCCCAAACGATTCCATAGTAAGTAGTCCTGAATTAGAGGGATTAGGAAATGGAAGCCCTGGAAGTGCGTCGTGGGATCACTGACTTCCGGCCGCATGTTCAATGCCGACTCGAAACAATCCTTTGCTCTCTCAAAGTCCCCCTTCGTGTAGAACATCACCCCCAGTCCAATTTGGACATCAGGATCCACAGTGCCTTCCGCGTGCTGGCTCCGCGCGACTTGCAGGAACAGATCCGTGATCCTTTGGTGCGAGTCCCAAGAAGAGTTCTTGATCGACTGTAAGGTCTCTTCCGGGATTGGGAGAGACGGGAACCGAGCTTCTAACCACCGGAGCAGCATCGTATGAGCGGCACGGTCGTATGATTCATTGGTATACGAGATGGCCAGGGACTAAAGTCGCACTCACATCAGCGCACAGCACAGATTGATGGAGAACAAGAAACGGCTCACAAGCATCCCTGCAGGTGCTGCTCCCACCTCCTGCGCACGTTTCACACCCTCTGCTAAAGCTCGCATACCGGTCTCCTCCCGCTCATCCATATTTCTCGTTTCGCCTAGAAGAATCCATGCCTCATACCCGCCTTCTCCAAGCTCCCCCTTCTGAATAGCAGCTTCCAGCATCAGCGAGGCTTCTGACAAAGAGCCGTTCTGCGCGAGCAGAGCTTTAGCTTCGTCTAAGAGGGACCGGTCGGACGTTGATGGCCCGAGATACTTATTGTCTTGTTCTGAGGAGAGTGGTATCAATATGCAATAATCTGCAATATAGGCGTAACAAACTCACCGAAGGGGAAATCAGCGAAAATAGGCAACCCATCGTCGTCAAATTTGACCGATTCCACACGAGAGTCGTCACCAAAATCTCCCAACCCACTTTCCCAAGCCTTCTGCATGCTCTCACCGTAGTCGAACACATCCGACTCGTCCCTTTGCGAGTTCATCAGCTGGTTGAACTCTGCTTCCCACTTGGCCAAATCCTCAGGCGCAGGTGCGACGTCCGAGCTGGAGAGCGAATCCCAGTACCTATCTCACTGTTGATATCGTCTGGCTTCTGTGACAACTGATGATCACTTACGAGCGGAAATCCGAGTCGAACTCTTTTGTCTCCGTGTCTCCGACTTTGCCCTTTGCCTGTTCCTCGGTCCTAGTTTCTGGCACTTCCGTTACCGAAACTGTCCGCTCTTCGCCTACATTCATGGAAGACAGCGATGCGGTGGCCTCAGCAAAGGCAGCATCAAAGTCTACCTCTCTGCTCTTCCCCTTCCCCTTGTCTTGCTCCATGACAGGAGGAGTGCCAAGACCGTATCCGGGGAATTCGTTGTACATGGTGCCATAGTTCATGCCGTACATGCCCAGCTGGCTGGGACCACCATACATGCCATTCGACATATAAGAGCGCTGTTCGACTGGGTGCAAGCGTTCAGTACAAGCGACATTGGACGACAGTACATGGTTATACGCACATTCTGATCGCAGGCCACCACTTTGCTGCTGCATAGAAGGACCTGCGGCATGATTCTGAGCGTGGAGCCCAAACTCAGCAGCCCATGCACCCTCAGTTCTTATATGTTCTATGCCTCCCTGACCCTTCTCCATGTCCACCCACGATCGGTGCAGCGCAGGTGAAGCATTGGCACTCGGTATATGTGAAAGCTCTGGAGGTGGGATACGGAACCGAGGCACTGATGGACCGGCCTGAAGACTCTGTTGGCTACCGTCGAAAAAGGCGCGAGCAAGAGCAATCTGATGTTCCGATGCGCTGGAAGAAGAGGCGGGAAGGTGATGAAGCTGAAACTATGTGAGATGAGTCCGAGAATAAATCCGAATACACTCACGCGAGATGATGACGGCCCAGCGACCCTGTCCTGATAGACCTGAGTTGTAGAGCTACACAACACACGTAGTCTGCGCGAGGCGTACCTGCTGCAAGCTCCGATCTCCTTCAGTGTGCTTCAGAACCTGCGATAGTGGATTTGCCGGTAGAGCACACTCGGAACCAGAGATGAGTCCTTGCAACGACATTGATAGATGTTGTCTGGCTAAGACGAGTTGTACGATTTGTTGATGCAGAAATTAGAACATTTCTAGCAGTCGAGGACGCGGAGTGCCTTCGCCTTTTGCGGCCGGTGCGGGGGCAGATGATCGGTAAAGTCCGTCGCCGTGTCGGACTGGCATGTGAAATCGTACAGTATGTATATATGGAATCAAATATGCATGGCTATAGTATAAGCATATATAGTTATTTGGCTTAAGTAGCCAGACTGAGCAAGTGGACGTAGGTGGAAGTACTGCCATTCAAGATCATATGGAAATTGAACCGTTCCATCGTGTGTGTCTGGTGTCTAGGGTAACCTGGAACCATGGCTCATATATTACCCCATGGGTGCGGATTGCGCGCATAGCCCTGCTGCGTAGCTAGCTCCTCCATGTCCATCGCTCGCCGATTGCTTGACAGCAGTTGGTGACCAGTGCCCCCTATTTGCGCCCCGCATTCTGGACAGGATGCCGTCATCACCGCACCTCCGCACTATTAACTGGCTGAGCAATCGCACTCGCATAGGAACGAACAAACGTACGTCTGCAATAGCGTAGATATGGCCTTGAGGACAGGTATAGAAATGGCCTCGGTATCCTGTGCAGTAAGATTAATGACATTTCCGCGCTAGCGCACTCATGGTCCGCACCGTAAAACTCATGTTTGAATCCCGCCAGAACTGACATTTTCTCCTCGACAGTAACATCCTGATAGAATGTGTCTGCCAGGATGTTAGTCTCTAGCGCTTCCCATTGCTCACATATCGTGTCTGCCACGTCAATGAAGTTTTGGCGTAGCCAATCCGCCTCTGCCCCTCCCATCTTCTGCATATGCGCCCTGATAACAGATTCCTTGTGAGCGAGTGCGACTGCATGCTTAGTTTTTGCACTTTCAGCTAGCTTCTCTCGTTGCTCTGCGAATTTGCCGCTCTCTCGGCTCATTTTCACGTTGAATTGGAACCTGTCCAACTCCGCGCGCATAATCAGCAGGCTCGTCGTAGTCATCTGGCGACGAGCCTCCGACCTCGTAGCGATATCTAGAGCGATCCGAGCATCGCTCAAACAAGTCTGCAACAGGAACTGCTTGTATGTCGCCCACTGCTGCCAGCGCTGCCGAGCATAGTTGGGTTGCTCCTTCACGGCATCCATCCAAGTCTGCGCTAGCTCGGCCAGGGTAAACCTGATGTTGATGGTAAACCAGAACGCCTCGACACAGAATCTCTTGTCCGCCTGGGGTTTCGGTTGCCCAACGAGCAGCCGCGCCATTCGCATACTGTGCTCGTTCGGGTTGCGCGGTGCGTGGGCAGGGTCCATCAAAGCCGCGTCCAGCTCTCGCTGCGCAAGACATGAGAACGCTGACTCCCATGCGTGGATATGCGCCGAACGTGTTTTCGATATGGTCACGGCTTGCTCGTAGGCTTGAATCAGCGGGCGGACTACTTTCCTCCATACACCAGCCTCTACGGCCGATATATTATGCCATTCCGCTGCTTGCGGGTTGAGCGAGGATGGAGGTACTGGCGTTTCTCTTTGCTCTGCTATCAAACCCTGTATTTGCTTCTGACGTCTCTGTCGCTGACTCCTGGGTTCCGCGACCGAAGCGACCTGAATGCCCGTAGCCGCCTCCTTCAGTCGATTCTGCATCTCGATCTTGGAAACCTGGTCCAAGATCCCGGAGACTGTTGCAAGTGATCGGGCCATCCTGTTGGCTACGTTCTTCTCCAGAATGTCAAGATCAGCTCTCTTGAAAATACGGCCATAGCGGGGAGCTGTTATCGCTGCACGACAGGTTGGGCAGACGGGAGGCTTCAAGAAACCAGGTGCCGGCGCCTTTAGCCCAAGCCATCTGCCGCTCTGTTCGTCATGCGTGTAGTACGCCTTTATGTCGCATATGCCGTCCAATGTTTCGACCGTGAATACATGACGACACGTTGGAAGAGTGACGAGCATCTGGTCGAGTGTGTTGAGGTCTGGATTAACGTTGCCGAGGGTCTCGTGCATAATGAAGTCAACGATCCTCGACTTCTCGTCTTCAGACGCGCACGTGGGGCATACTTGTATGTTGCAATCTTCACCGCAGACTTAAGGGTCGGTGGTATGTGAGTGTCTTAATAAAAACGCAGATAATGGAGCGTACCGGATGGACATTGATGACCACAGGAGAGCATCTTGTCGCAGCGTGTATCACAAGGAAGACGGGCGCAGACCTAGGAGAGGATCAGGGGCTAGACGGAGATAAGACGTTGCATTGACGTACGGAACCACACGGTACGGGGCAAGCATAGTGGGCGCAGGTCCTGAAGTGACAGGTCCCGGAGTCAGCAACGAACAGTCCAACTGCACGGAATCCCTCACCAAGTACACGCCTCTTGACAAGGGGAACAAGGCGTCGAGCAATAATTCTTGCATCGAGCATGAACGCAAACCTGTCGGCAAGGTTCCTTGCACTCCGTGGTGCATTCGTGGTTTTCGGAACATGCTTGCTGGCATCGATGTTCGCAAGGCAATGTCCTCGTGCAAGGGTGCTCGGTATGCTTGATCCTCGGTACTACCGTTGGCGGGGCATCTTCCTCGTCACCGAGGGCTCTCCCAATAGTATTGAGTCCCTGACACTGAGAACAGGTGGCTCCGCAAGGGCGACCGCAGCAAGCCATAGTACCACCGCAAGCTGACTTGCACAGGTGGGTGGCGGGGTCTTGGGAGCACGGCATTTCCGCCTGATGCTCGCATGTGGGGAGCTGTTTCTTCACAGGAACATTGCATCTGACAGTAGACAGCGTTTCTAGCTGGTAACTGACTCATTCCATGAGCACTTGTACTTTCATGTACGTCACTATAGACTTACCACGGGACAGACGCTTGCACATGTCCACAGGGCAACTTGACATCTCGTATGGGGTATAGACATGCGCCACAGGGGGTTGCGCATTGCTTCGTGCATGGATGACCACGAGGGCAAAGACGCCGACAAGGCTGAGAGCATATTACAGTAACGTGTCGTGGATCGTCAGAGTGACACTACGCACGCCAACGTTAATCGTCGAGGAGTCTAGAATATATGGGTAGCTCACCTTGTAAGGGCATACATGCCCGCAGGCCAATCTCGCATCGCAAGACCGCAGACAGCCGCCTGGCACGAACTCAGGTACACAACCTAGCACCCCAAGACGGAAAAACATACCATCAGGGGCCACTCGGGGCAACTGGCCAGGTTTTGATACATATTCCACTCTGTCTGGATGGCGTTGACAAGCTATTGGGAAACCTGCGCCAACTGCGCCATTGTCGTCTAGTTCAGATAACACCGAGCGCCACATTTTGCTCCGTGCAGAGAGGTTCTGTGCATTTCCCAGAATGAACAGACCCTCCTTAGCTCGCGACAGCGCGACTGTGAGAAGTTCTTAGTATTTACCGAGCCTTGAAGAGTGCAGCTACTGACCATTAGTACGATTTTCCGACTAGAAATAATGTGAGTCACTGAACTGGGGAATATGATTGCACTCACCTTCAAGAATCCTATGTTAGTGCGGGTAATGGGTTGCTCGTCGTCCTCCGCCCCTCCTGAATTTCGAACCAAGGACAAGATAACAATCTAAGGGAGGAAGTTGGTAACTCTCGTGAACTGATTATCCCACACAAAGCTCACTTTGGCTTCCTCGCCCTGGAAATTGTCTATTGTACGGAGTCGCACCTGTTTTCCAATGATCAGAAGGGAGGAGGCAGAGGATATATGGATAGCGCTCTAACTCTTTTCGATATCTTCAGGTGCTCTACAGCGGTACTCCGATCCTCTGTCCCTTCGCCATCCTCTTCTTGCTCCGCCAACAGTTGCTGGTCGCGTTCGTCGATCACGACAGCGATTTCATCTGACAGCGCGTCCCGCATTCGAGCCAATTGTCCGAGGTATGCACACAGAACAACGATATCTCCTTCGTTGGAGTAGCAGCCTTGTCTACAGAACGTCGTGCCATCAGTAAACGAGTTAGGGGAAGTTCAGACGATGTAATATGTACCGTAAAAGGTAAAGAACCAAATCTTTGATCATGTTCACCTAGAGAACATAGATTACTCAGACAGCTTCCCATTTATAGTCATAAAAGGTGAACGCGCCTCAAAGATATTGTATTTGCTGCCGCTGTCCTCGCCACCGTTTTCGACGTGATTATGGGAAAGGAAGAACACGTCCTTAGCAAAGCCACGGACATGGGTGTAGCCTTGGACAAGTTCGTGGTCCACGAGGGTTGGGTACAGAGTGTGCCTATTCCAATAGCAGTAAGTCCACATGAAACAGGACGAGAGCAAGTCGGTGTACACGCCTTATGAGATTTGAAATGGTTGGTCTCATTCTGCGTTGAACGTCGATGCGGGACATGGGAAGACCAGCTGAGGATAACCGTTCCATCAAAGACATATCAAACCTGTATAATTGTGCTCCCTGTCTATTGTCCATCGACAAGCCTTCGACTAAGTCAGCGACCGGATAGGGAGTTCGTGCATGAATTGCTCACCAAAGTTATTCAGGGTCGGGCGCAGCTGCAGTGGGTCCCCTATCATGATGAGATGTTGTATGGAAGGGACCAGACTGCCGAGGACGTGTGCTTCAAGCACTTGCCCAGCCTCTTCCACGATCAGGACGCGAGGAGCGATGCCCTTACGACCCAGGACGCCTGTTACACGGGACCACTATCGTGGATTTGAGCGACGTACCTTCAAAAGGGTGGTTAATTTCGCAGCGCCTGTGGGATGTTATACTTTAGACCAACACGGTGATCAATATTATCCTTACCTGTCGTCGTGCATCCAATGATATCCACATTTTGCAACAAGGTCCTCCGACTCTATTTCTGACATCAAAGCAATGTGAAGCGCCACGCAAAGGGGACATACCTCCTCCTTGCCTTCGTTGTACTGATCCAAGGCCTCCCGATGTCTCTTGCGGAGCCTATCAAAGTCGGCGACTTGATTGGCGTAACGGTCCATGCGAATCCGATCTTCCCAAAACCTATGAAGCCTTTCTCGCTCTTTCTTCGATAGAGACCACATGCTGTCTTCGTCTAATAGTTGGTCTAGGCCGACATTGCCAGTCGGTGGAGAAGGGACATTTAGCAAGCCGAAGTGGGCGAAAAATTCGGGTAGGTCGCGCAAGTCCGACGCTTGCAGTGTTCGTGGTGGAGTCGACGCGACAGTGTTCCCAGGTATCTCTCGTTCGTTTACCTGTTTCTCCAAATTCCGTGTATCCGAAGTATCGCTGTCAGAGTCATATACCACATCCATCCATTGTTCCTCGAGAAGTCTCTCCGTTTCATCTTCTGCAGACAACGATTCATCTACTGCCTCTGAGGGTCCCACATCGGCCAAGACACTAAACGTGTTTGTATGTTTCGAACCTCCAATATGGTGGCGGTCTCTAGGAGGCGCCTTTGAAGAGTCGGACGCCCGCTGCCCCTGGGATTCACCAGCCGATTCTAAGAAACGCAGATCGCGAGCATCGCGCCAGAAAGCATAGAGACTATCGTCCACCGGCGTCGCCGATTGTCCTCGGCGGTAGACGGTCTGATAGCCATCATTTGCATTAGCCTGCAACCCATGGAGTAGGGAAACCCAGGATGGAGGAGAAACGAGGGCTTCGTAGTGAGCCGGGTACTGAATCTGTAAGAAGTCGACGATGTCATTTGAATCAAGGGCAACTTGGAGGAATCCTTCCATTAGGTGTTTAAGCTCGTCCTGAACCTGCTTCAAAGCCCGATGAAGTCGAGCAAATTCGCGATCTAGACGAGATTGCCCAGCCAGCGCCTCCAGGTCTTCGATATTGAGCTTGGAGATTTTCTCATCGTTGGATCTCGAACCCAACCGTACAACACGCTTAGTGACGTTCGTCTCCAGGACGGACCGAAGGAGATGATCTAAGGCATGGTTAGTGAACGCTATCATCAGAATCGGTCGCACTTGGTTTGCGAGCAATGCGCGGAGAAGTTCGACGCCGGTATAACTCTGTAAATATCAACTTAAGTACCTGTACGAGATCATACTCGTCGACATTTACCTTCCCTGTGCCGGGAGGGCTGACAACGCAGGTCATTGAGGAAAGCGAAGAGAGCGGAAACTTGAATCTTACCCTTGAATGAGCGCTACTTCACGGGTAAGAGCGTCCACGACGGCGTCGGCTTGGCTGGCATCCAATCGACTTCCCTTCTTTAAATGTTCCCTCGCGGCTTCCATAGATTGTATATTTGTAACGTCCATTACCAAGTCCCGAACACCTGCCTGGCTGTCGAAAAGACAATCCAGTTTGTACGTGAAACCAGGAAGTCGGGCATACTGCGGCGGGTCAATTTGGACTTTCTCCAGATACCCGCGGGGATGATGACTCAGGTACTTGGCAAAAGGCACCGTTTCTGGTTCTGTGCGCAGAGCCTCTAAGAACGGCCGGATGGACTCGAACATGACCGGTGCTTCGACCAGCAGCATAGTCCCTCCTCTTTCAGCCTCGGGATTCTTCAGCACTTGCAGGATACGGAGCTCGACGTCAGAATCAAAGAAGACGACACGGATGGCTACTCGAGTGTTACTCTGCTTGGCCGACTCTGCGAGGTCTCTCGTGGAGCTCGCTACCACACCGAGGTGTACGGTAACGTCATGCCTGGCTTTCCAGATGAGGCCGATCAGTCCACCCTGCATCAAGCGTTTTCCACCCGCCCCTTCCCAGAAATGGGCTCTTGCTTTGGCCTGCGGGGAACGCGCCAGACCAGGTGGGGCATCGAGCGACAAGCAAACAGAGACACCACGACGGTCGGGCTCGAGCGACGAGAATTTTACTTCCGTGTAGATGTTGAACATTATCGAGTCTAGTTTGTCGGCGAATGACCGATATTTTCCTCCCTTCTTACCTACGATCTCTGCAAGCCTGGTCTTGGTACCGGGGGGAGCGTGAAGGTCATCCATGACGAGTTGTGCAGACGACCGCAAGGGCGCCCTGCAGACCATCAAAGGCAAGTTGCTGTTATAGGAGTTGCACACGAATTAATCACTGTGACTCACGTAAGCTCTTCCCTCAACAAGCGAAACTGAATGTCCAGCAGTCTCTGCATACTCTCGGCGGGAAACGGGTGAGGTGCTCCATAAATGTTGGCAGGAAGGAACGGGGGGATACGGCATGCAAGCTCGTCATGAGTTGGAACAGTGCGGATACGGTCCGTATCGACAAAGTCGTTATCATGACGGGGCCCACCCGCACGTTCCTCCCCTGGACCTTCATAGGCATTCAACAAGGCAGCCACGATAGCTTCGTCAAAGTCCACTCCGGCAGAAGATGCGAAGCTAGCTCCCTGCTGTCTTGTCCGCCTGTCCATCTTCGCTTGCTCGCGATCAACGATAGCGATAAGGGGGTTAACTTTGGTTCTGAGATGGTCTAGGATAGTCTCGCGCATGACCGGCGTCCACTGGGAAGCCGCGTCGTCAAATGACGGAGGGGCCGCTGACACACCCTGCATCCAGGCATCGGCCCAGTCTCGCAGTTTCAGGACGAGCGGACGGAGACCCTTGTACGTCGGCACGGCGTTCTTGAATCGCGTCAGAAACCTAAATTCGACGGGGAAATTCAGAATATACCATTATAAAGCGAACAAAAAACACATACTCAAAGAGCACTCCGCACAAACACGCTATGATCTGATTACCACTCAGTTGGCTTGATGTCGGTTGAGTAATATCCTTGAATGATTTCCTAGACATAGCATCGTCCATGCATTGCTGGACCACATTCGAGAAGTGATCAAAGTTTTCTCCAATCAGACCAGAATATAATGCACTGATAGATCACGGCCGAAGAAGAAAAGTCATGTTCTCAGGTCAATGAACAAGACTAGAGATGACAATGTTGGCGTACTTCACGAGATGACTCAAGGTGCTTCGAACGACGAATTCTGAGGACATGTACTGGTGACCAACAATCACATTGAGACCCGAACTAATGGAGAATGGATCAACGTGACTACGTACCCGGAGCACTGGAATATAACCCCTCTGGAATGAAAGCTCCTCTCTACTATGGCCAGCTCGTATGGACACCCGCGGCCATTGAATGACATCTATGAGCCGAAGGAGTCCATTACCCTATGTTGCCCGATTTCGTTAGTCTTCCACGATAGGTCGTAAAAACACCGACACTTACGGTGGCTAGAGCAGAGAGCAGAAGCTACGGTGCATCGTTAGAGAGAGCATGCATTTTCGGCGAAGACATTACCTGTCCATCCTCTTGGGTCTGTCATACATAATGAGCCGTCTAGACGCCGTTATAGCACATGGGTAATAGACATACCCAAGTATTGTTCGTAGCAGAGGCGCTCTCCAATATTTTAGCGAATCCGTAGACGTTTATAGAAGAGTGGAATCGAAAGTTGTCACGCAAGTAAGTCCTGAGGTGATTCTGCGCCTCGGTGGGCCCGAGACCTCGACCCGAAGCGACATTTGCAGTTGCATAGGCATCGGTACCAGGGCCGGCGAGTCTTGCCAGACCTGCCTCGTTCAAGAAAGGCGCGATCGCCTCAACCGCAGAAGTGCCGTTGTTCGGACTCGTAGCCTGGGCATTCACCCCCGGCGCTTGTCTATGTGCGTAACGGCATCTGAATCCGTGCCTGCACCTGGCAGAGCTCCAGAATTCGCGACATACGCCGGGCGGCGCGGTGTTGTCCTGAGAGCCACTGTCGGCCGTACTTCTCCCTCCCGGAGATCCCGTGCGTCCACCCCGCTGCCCCATGATGCGGCCAGACGGCGACGCTGAGCGATCCTCGGTGCGCACATGAGCGAAGCGGCAATTCGCCCCATTCCTGCAGCCCCGAGGAGAGTTATAGAAATCGCAAGGTCGTTGAGACATGACGTGCTGTGTAAGAGAACGCTTGAGTTACTTGGAAATGAGAGCATAATATATAACGAAGGTTGACGGGCGCTCAATAGAAGATCATCTTCTCAGCTTTCACACTAGATCCAGGCAACAAGCACCTTGCTACCACGAGGACCTTGAATAGAAGCTGAGAGAACAATCACAAAGGCGTGCATTTCATAGATAGAACAGGATAAGAAATGCTCCAAGGCTCTGTGAACGAGATCGAATAGCCTCCTCAGCCTTATGTTACCTCCAGAAGTAACTCTGAATACACAGCAGCGGCAAATCGTCACTAATGAGGGCGGGTAAGTGCTGAGATAAGGTGCGTCTATTGGGACCCCGTAGACTAGGCTCAGCTGGCGGATGCGGGTTAATGTAATGAGATTCCCGTGCTGCTGGTAACCACCTCTATCTCTGAAATCATAAGCAAGGAAAGGAGTTCAGTGAGCTCATGCAAACGACTCACAGGCAAATACGGTTTCCTATTTCGGTGCAGGCCCAGGAGAGCCAATGCCCTACATGCTCTGCAATTCTTCCCGCAAGTCCTGCAGTCCTTCTAGATTCCGAGTAAGATCAGCCTTCCGCTTCCCAATCATAGCTTCCAACTCGTCACAGGCCCTTTCTGGAACCGCGACGACCTGGACCCGAATAGTCCGATCAAGCTGTGCCTACATCACCGTCCAAGATTAGGTGACAGAAGGCGACACAAGGGCACAGAAGAACGTACCCTCAAATCCCTATCCAGCCCCTCCCCCACGCGTGCCCAATCCTTCCACCATACACGTTTCGCCTTTTCCCACCTCCCCACCGCCCACCGCACGCCGACAACGGCGACCAGCAACCCCAGCCCCGCGGCGGTCGCCGGCTCCAGCGTGCTCGTCCCCAGCATCCAGCCCAAGGGGCCAAGACTCACATACCCCACCCAGCCAGCGGCGCCAAGCCCCGCGCCGCCCACGACGCTGCCGGACAGACCTACGACCATGCGCTGTGCGCTGAGGTGCAAGCGCGGGGTCGGGTACGCCATGATCTGCGCCAAGCGATTCGTGAGGGGCGCGGTGAGTACGTGCGCGTCGATGTGGTACGACGGCGACGACGATATTTGGGCGAGAGTGTTACGCAGGACGGGGGAGTCGAACGGGGACGGGTGCTCGTGCACAGCCAGAATCGCGTCCGTCGCAGTCTTCATGGACTCTTGGAGGGCCGTCAAGCGGCCCGCATGATATATGAGCTTCCCAACCGCATCAGCAAAACCGCGGTAAACATGCATGTAAACGGGAGACACCTACCCGATCTTCCAGCCGCTTGCACCAATTCCTCTCCAACGCGGCAGCCACGATCTGGCCAATCTCATCCACCCTCCACGCCGCCCTCCACCAGGTAAGCTTGCCCATAACTTCCCGAAGCGCCGTCTCCGCGTCTCTGAGCGCGCGCACGACCTCGTCGCCCGACTCGTCCGTCACACTAAGCACTTCGCGCGGGAGCGCGTCCTTCACGACCGCGACCTGCTCGCGCAGATCGCCGAGCTCCGCCTCGAGCGCCGCGATCTCGTCTTCTTCGAGCCAGAGGACGGTCCGGCAGGCTTGCAGCGCGCCCTGGGCGATAGTATGCGCGGTCTGGGTTCGTAAGCGCGTAAGGGGGGTGTCGGATGGTGATGAGGGCGCGGTGATTTGTTTCAGAGCGTCCGTGAATGCAGAGATGTTGGAGCCGACGAAGTCGTCCTGGTATTTCTGGACATTCCGCGGGGAGGAAGAGTTTCCTTGCAGCGTCCTGACGGCATTCAACGCGCGTGCGGGGTCGATAAATAACACCCTCGTCTGGACACTACCGACAGATTCCCCTTCCGCCTCGGGAACAGTCGAAAACGCACTGGGATGAAGCCGTTCATGCTGAGTTTGCGATATATACGATGTGATGTGAGCGTGGAGTTTCGCATCATGCGAGGGTGTGATGAATATAACGATCGCGTTGGGACTTAGCGGGACGGGAAGCTCGAGGCTCACGAGGCTCTCGAGATCCGTCGTGAGCGGGTCGCACACAATAACAGGGACATCGGCGGAGTATAGACTCGGGGCGGGGAACGGCTTGGGCGGGACGAGGGGAGCAAGCTCGGTAACTCGTAATGGGGTGGAGAATTGTTGTAGCCAGGATGATAATAGGGATATATTCCGTGTTGACTTGTCCTCTGTAATCGAATTGGACAGGCCAGCCCTGTACTGCTCAGATGGCGCGTGCAAGACAACGGTAGCCGGGCTCACTCAATCTCGACACTTTCAGGCCGCCCTTGATCCCCTCGTGCTTGCCAGCGTCGGCGTACAGTATCGTTTTGCGCCCCGCCGGATGAGATTGGGTCTTCGAGCAGCGCCGTTAGGATGTCCGCCGAGCCGGAGAATTCATCGCATCCATATACTAAGTTGGCACCAGACAAACCCATTAGCATTAATCAGATCACTGACCAATGACATGACCACTCACCGAGCACCCTCGCCTTCCTCCCCTCCGGTGCCTCCGAGCGCAGCGCCGACAAATCCTCATGGGCCTGCTCGAGCAGCCCCTTCCACACATCCCACAAATCCGCGCGATACCGGCTCCGCAGGACGTCCTCCGCAAAGTTCCTCGTCTTGTGCAGCGCAGTGAGGGTTTTGTGTACATCAGAACTCGGACTCGAAGCAGCAGCTCTCGGTACGGAACGCGTGGATGCCCGGCGTGCTGCACCACCACCGCGCGGATGGGGCAGCACGCCTGCGGGCACCGACAGACGTTTTCGCGAGAATGCGAGGACTGAACGGGGGCTCAGTTTTTGAGTGCGGCTAGGGCCAGCGGTGAGGGCAGAGGCAAAACATGATGACATCGGTCGAACACGCCGGGGAACAGGAGCAGACGAGCGGGAAAGGATAGTCAAAGTCAAGAGGTATACGTGCGCATAAGCAGTAAGCAGTCCCAGTACAGACGGGCTACAGATGCCCTAGCTTTGCGCTTTGCACAAGTCCGGTGCAAGGCCCTGGCCTTACGCTGTCGGAACGCGCGAAGGTAAGTAAGGTCACGTGCCTAATTGGAGGTGAGGCAGGTGAATAGGCGGAACCACTTGACGAGGATGCAAGATATGCAAGACCAAGTTCTACAAGACTACTATACGTTACAAATGTCCCGAGTCCATCCCAGTACACACCATCCCTACCACGGATTGTCCACCACAATCTTGGGCGCGGGCACCTGCCCGGGCGCTCTCGATCCCCCCTGCTCATCATCGCTATCCTCCCCTACATCAAACACGTCTTCCCGCTCGTCCCACACGTCCTCCAGGCGGATCTTGCCCGTCGCCGACTTGCCCGCGGCCGGGTTGTGCGTCGGCAGAAGCGGCTCTGCGCGGTCTTCTTCCGAGTCTGAGATGAGAGCCTCCTCGTCGGTGTCGAGGGGGCGGTATAGGCGTGCGATCTGGCTGACGTGAGGGGAGGGTAGGGGGGGAAGAGGTGGGGTGACGTACCTCTCGTCTGTGACGGTAGTACTTTTCGAGGTAGTAGGCGATGTAGAGGCCTATGCTGGAGCCGCAGAGGTTTGCCTTGCAACGGGCAGCGCTGGTCAGTCCGTGGAGTCGCCGGGCTCCTTAGGTTACTTACTAGGATATCTCCCATTTGAAATTCTTTGTACTGCAGGCATGACGTTTCGCGTGAGTGGTCATGAGCCGGACAATCAAGGAGAGATGCACACCGGTAGCATCGACTGCACGATTTCGCTCACAATGTCTCCAAAGAAGAAGCATATAATCCCGGTGAATATAAGGCCTGCATGCCGCCAGAACCATATCCTCCTTGCCTCCCTTCAAGCACCGGAGGGATGACCACGGGTCAATGGGGGGACAGCGCACAGAGCCTGCGGGTACTGACTTACTCTTCTACGTCAAAGATGAAGTAGAACACGCCCGTAGCGATCATGAGGCAGAGGAAATGGAGCAGCTTGTCATTCAGCGGCAGGGCGTGTGAGAAGTTGGTGAACCCGAGCAATGCGAGGAGCAGCATGATGAGGGATGTAAAGACAAGGAACCACTGAAGAATGGGTAAGAAAGCGAACGCCATCCAAGCAAAACATGACACTCACAGGACGAAAGCGGATGGGCATGTCGTACTTGGGCAGCTTGTAGTGGTAGGAGCGCATGACGGCCTTTGTGACCCTGCGCAGGAGTTTTCGAGGGCTCTTGAAGACATTTGCGAGTCTTGAGCCCGAGTCCATCAGCGCAGCTGAACAGGCAAAGTGTCGGGCACCGCAGGAGCGATACTTGACGTTTGGCCGCAGCTAGGGTTCCGTAAATTTGGGTCGTGAAAATTACACTTGCTAATTAGCAGTTGTAAATTAGCGTTAATTACATGCTAAAGTGATAGTCCTGGTTTCAAGCACGCTAATTTTGGTTAATTCCATCCATCCAGTATGTAGCCTACATGCACACATAGCCCTGTCTTATGGGTCCACCTACTGTATTAATCACATCCTGTGTGGTCATATTACATAGCTACCAGTATCCGACCCTACAAACCACCGGGCTGATGGTCCCTTGGGATACTTGGTAGTTTCTCTGTAATTTACACGCAAATTAGGCCAAATTAGCATGCTAATTAGCGTTAATTAAGGCTGACCGCACCGGGGCTCCGCCCCGGACCCCGTTGCTAATTAACAGTTAATTACACCTGCAAATCTGGCCTCAGGCCAGCGACCTGCAAATTAGCAGTGCTAATAAGGAGCCATCCCAAATTTACGGAACCCTAGCCGCAGCTTGGCGTCAGGGCGTGTGGCGGTTGAGCGTGCGAAATCCGTCGCGTCCCGGGCCGGGGTCGTTGCGGGCTACCGGCTCCCGGCCCCGAGCGGGCATCCGACTCGGACTCGGATGCAGCGAGCAGTACTGGTACGCTCCCGCCTGCAGCCCCTCCGCGCCAGCATGTCTTCTACCAGCGCGCCCGCCCTGTCCGCGTACTCGACGTGCGAGCTCTCCGACGCCCTCATCAAGCTCGGCGCGCCGCACGGCGGGCACGTCCCCGACATCCACCTCTTCTCGCCCGCCCCCGCCCCGCGCGACTTCCGCCTCTGCGGGCCCGCGTACACCGTGCAGATGGTCCTCGCGTCGGACAGGCGCGCGCCCAAGCCGCCCGCGCACTTCGTCGACACCGCCCCGAGCGGGTCCGTCATCGTGATCAGCGCCCCTCCCCGTTCGTCCGCGTCTCGCACTTGACTCTTCGTTCGTTCGTGTATCGACGCTGCTCCCCGCAGAAACGAAGAACGCCGTCTGGGGCGGGCTCATGACTGCCGGCGCGCAGAGCCGCGGCGCGCTCGGCGTCGTCATCTCGGGTCGCTGCAGGGACCTCTCCGAACATCGTTCCTCCAACTTCCCCGTCTTCGCCCGAGCGCACTCGACGCTCGGCCAGTCCCCCTTCACCCGCCCCTCCCAGGTCAATGTCCCCGTGACGATCCACTCAGAGTCCGCCTTCCCCGCGCTCACCGTCAACCCGGGCGATATAATGGTCGCAGACGAGGACGGCGTCGTGTGTGTTCCTCAGGGGGACGTGCAGAAGGTGCTCGAGCTGGCGGCACGCGGCAGGGAGGTGGACGCCAAGTGCTTGGCTGATATCAAGGCTGGCAAGGGTGTGCAAGCTTCGTTCAAGGAGCACCGGGGAAAGTAGGGGCTTACGATCACAAACGGTGCAACGTGGAATACGCAACCGGTATAACAAAATGTCTATCGTCTTGAATAAATACCCAAAACTCTACTGATACATAGTGAGCTACATGTCTGCGTGCATAAAATAAATACCTGAGATCGCCCATACGAAAGAAATCTACCGCTGCCCAGAAGCCTTCCCGTCTATCGTTTCTTTCCCTTCTTGTCCTTCTGACTCTGAGGCTTCAACGACTCCACCTGCGCCTCCAGTATCGCGCCCCGACTCAAACAAAAGTCGATATGCGCATTCAGCCCCGCGTTGTCCGTCTCCATCTCCTTGCCGCATATCGGGCAGGTGCAGTCCCTCACCCCCTGTTCCTGCACAGCACTCGTCGGCTTCTGACGAGCCTTACTGGGCGGCTTCCTCGCAGGCACCTTGGAGGACGAGGAGACAGGCTTGGAACCTGAGCTCGAAGACGCGGAGAGGGGTGGCCGGGATGGCTTCGACGGGGATTCTGCTCGTGCACCAGGATCCTGTGGAATCTCGATCTCCAAGCCCGCTTCCTCAAACTCGTGTTCGTCAAACCCGGGCATAGTCTCGTATTCGTCTTGCTCCCCGTCGACAGCTTCGTCAACCTCCGCTGGCTCTGGTTTGTGTCGCTTGTTGGGCGACGGAGGCCCTGCCGAGGTAAAGAACTAGCGCAACGAATACTGTGGGTTACTGGACTGGCTATAGTTTGTAGGAAGAACATACACGTTTGATCCCTCGATCCTCCGAAGCCTTCAGATCTTTGAGCTTCGTCATCCGGAGCCCAATCAGGCGCAGCTTCACCGGCCACTCGTGCATGAGCAGCTCCTTCCCCGACTACACGCTCGTCAGACCTTACCCGTCACGGCATACTATTCAGCACGTACCGAGAACAAGTCTTCCTTCTTGCTGATCCACCGATCGAAGGACTTCGCCCGCGTGAAGACTGGTATGACAATCGATCTCAGCATGTTTATAGAAGGATGAGGGTGAGCGACGGATCTTTACCTTGGTACGTATCCAGCTTATACTTCAACGTCAACGTCCGCCCAGCCCACCCGCTCTTCTCCATATCACTCTCCAGCTCCGTCGCGACTTCCTCAAGTTTCTTCAGTATCTGCTCCTTATCGCCCAGCGGGCTGAACGTCCTGGACGTAATATCAACATCAGCCCTCCACCTTAGCTCATCCTAGGCTCACCGTTCAGCACCGATACTCTTCCTCTCCTCTCTCTGGACCGGTGTCACGTTGTTCGAGGCTATCCCGAGGTGCGTCCGGAGGAGGAACTGCAGCCCGAAGTACTTGTCCATCAAATACACCGTCGCGCGGTGGGTGTAGATATCTCCACATGTCTATTCCAGCTGTTCAGCAATTGGTCAACGGAGAAAGTTCGCTGCTGTCAGACGCGCCTTGATACCTATAGATTCGAGCAACCTCTCGTTGACCCGCCCTATTCCGGGGATTTTCCGGATGGAGAGGTCGTGCATGAAGGAGAGGATGGCGTCCCGGTCAAAGGGGAGGTGGAATTGCCCGTTCGGCTTGTTCTGGTTCAACGTCAGTTCTCGGAAGACCTGGGTAGCCGTGAGCCTGGCTGACCTTATCGGAGCATATCTGAAAGCGTAGATGTGAATATGCGGCGACACAGCGAGAAGGCGGGAACCGACCTTGGCGAGCATCTGGATCGGAATTGGCACGTCAGAACATGGGTTGTTGAGAAGATGAATGAAGCCTGCCTTGTTCGGAGCTATACCGGCGCTTACTGTGAGTTTCGTCTCTCGATGGACGCGCTCACGCATCTGCTGAACACAGTCGTCCGCGCTCAGGGAGTGCTCCTCGCAGTATTTCGTGATGCTGACGAAGGAAAGGTCGGTAGACATTCCTTCCGATCGAGAAGGGGACTCTCTTACTTCATGTACCCCTCGTCGCATCCCGCAGGATACATATTAGGGTCGTACTGCTTGAATATGGTCATGATCTGGTCGGACATCTCGGAGTACCTCTTGAAATGCATGTCTACGAATATGAGGTCCGGACAGAGTTTCTTGGCTATGAACCCTAGTGGACTGTAAGGCGGGTCTGTGCGGCTGGAATATTCAAAGACTATCGAACCTGGCATGCCCGAGCGCACTCCAAATTTACGGGCTTCGTATGATGCTGTGGTCAAGACGCCATGCAGAGATCCTACCTTCGCTCAGACTTAGCGGCAACTGACGGAGAATGGACCAAGCTACTCACACCGAAGGGCTTTCCCGCCAGGGAGGGATTGTCAAGCATTTCGACGTTGGCATAGAATGCGTCCATGTCAACGTGGACGATGATTTGGCTGAGATCACGGTTCGCTTCCAAGTCCAGCAGCTAAGGGGAGGCGCGAGTTAGGCGTACGGAGTCTCGGCTTGACTGGCGAACTTGGATATCCGGACGCACAATATGATCAACTGTCTTCTCAATCTTGGCTAACCGAACGTGAGTTACGATGATGAATATAGAGGAGATAGATGTGGCACACGTATGTCAGCGTTCTTCCGAAGCTCGTCGCGCTGCTTGAGAATCCCAGCAATCCTTTCTGTCAAATCTTTATCTTTCCTCTTCTCGTTCTAAACAGGAATAGCCTCCGCTTCATCGTCGCGCCCACAACGTACACGCCGCATATAAATACCTCGTAGAACTTGGATCCTTTGGATGCTTCTGCGATGACACGGTTGATCTCAGTTTGGTCTTTCGCAAGTCTGTCGGGAGAGCATTGTTGGTAAGTCTTTCATTGATGGTCCGTCGCTTATCACTCACCCGGCTTTAGTTACGGAGGGACCAGCGAGACGCTTTATGAGACTTGCAGCGTCCTGAGAAGGAATTGGAACAGACTCGGACTCGGTAGGCATAGTGACTCTGTCAATGGTATCTGCCTTCAGCCTCAAATTTGACGAAAGAGCATCGCGACAGCAAAGAGTCGACGTTATCGGGTGGAATGCAGGCGCACGAAAGCAATACGAAGGCACCACTTCCTCGGTTGTGGCCGCGGAAAGCTCGGTGCCGGTGCCACAGAACTAAGGTCGTGGGAATTGATCGCGAAGCACATATCTTTCTACTCAACGCCAGATCCAGGTCGACCGATCTCGGCGCTGCCACAAGATGCACGGGTCACAAGATATCGTCGATACCGAGAAGAAATATATATTATACATCCTAGCATTTACTGTGTAATATTTGCAATGAGATACCATAAATAAAACGGAGAATCTACGGCCAACGATCCTCATGAACGAAAATCTAGTCATGCTGGGCATACCGAGTCAAGTATCAAGCTGGTCTGAAACGCTGAAACTTATAGTACCTTCCACGGTGTCCCAAATTTCCTCTCCGGCCGCCCTCTCAATAGCCATCACTGCCTCCTTATCATCTGGGGTTTTGGCAGCTTCAGCCATAGCGAACGCGGCTCCCTGCTCCAGCAAAGATACTGGCACGGACTTCGAGGAAACAAACAGCTTCAGTAAGCACGCGTCCCAGCTATATTTACTGGAGTTTCGGAAGGAGGTGTCACAACAGATCCTGGACGGGCCAAGAACCAGCTGGGAGTGCCTGCGGAGAGGGGGCGCAGGATTATCATGATCCGGAATGAACAGCATATTGGCCCCGTAACCGTCAGCACGCATGGAGGCGAGATATGGCCAAAGATCGACTTCCGAGTCATTGCGGAGGACAACCTGGTAAAAGCTGTTTTCTTCATGCCGCATCTGCGCTCTGCCATGTGCGAATAAGTTCGCGCTAACGCGACGTCCGGTTTGAGGGTCAAATCGGTACAATTGGATGGTAATAAAGGCACGCAGAGGATGGTTCGGATTATCTCGATGAAGATGCAGGTGAAAACGGGCGGCAGTGTCAGCCACGCCAATCCCGTCCTTCGGTAGCGCAGGTACAGGAGAAGTCTGTTGCATGGCATCCAATGTGCCGCGATCCCCTGCAACATGGCTTTCCGTCCGCCGAGAGTCAGTCCCGATAACGAGGTCTTCGTGACGCCGAAAGAATCCCGCGAGAGCCTTCTTCAACTGCAGATAGACCGGCGCCCTAGTGTTCCACCTGGTGATTCTCGCCCATCCCTCGTCCTTGAGCGGCCGGCTCGGCACTCGAGACCGTGCAAAAGACCAGGTCGGGTGAATCTCAACTACGGACAGAGTCGTAAGCGGGGGATTTAGAGATCCGCGACGATTGTGTTCGTGGAAACTGAGTTCGCTCCCCTCTACGATACCATGTTCCGAACCAGCCCCGACGCGCAGCTTGGAGTCGTCGTCCCAGTCAACAGCAACGAATTGCGACTCTGGAACGAAGGGAACTCCGCCGAAGAGGATGCGATCCTGGTCTTTGCCCACGCAGACAGCTCGCTGCTCGCGGCTAAAACCATTGATGTAGCCTAGCAGCTGAGCATACGTCGTGCGATGCAGGGACACCTTGTCCTTGACCGTTAGAAGAGAATGAGTGAATCTTCCGCCCTCTTTCCCCTCTAACGCTCTATCCCGGGGACCACAAGCGGCGAGCAAAATGTGGCTGCTCCGCCGCTGGTAGAAGCCGTCTCTGTCAGCTCGGATACCTAGTTTCCCCTGTAAACCCCTCCACATATTCGTATGCAAGTCATGCGGCCTGCACTTCATCGTAGGCGTGCATCGCAAACGGCTCGCGTGCTCTGTCGGTGCAAAGCAGCAATCGAGCATGACAGTGATGTTGTTGCCCTTGGCTTCAGCAAGCTCCTGCAGCATCGCCTGCAGGGAGACGGCGGATATCCCCGCCACCCGCCCTTCAGGACCTCTGGTGTCATGATCGAAGGTGCAGAGCACTTGTACTTCCCCCGGCTTCCCTGAGAACCAATCCAGAGGGCCAGAGATGGTCGATCCATGACCGGCAAAGTAGATGAGGATAGCATCTCCGTGCTCGATAGCGTCGTTATTAAGGAGGTGACGGGTGAACTGATCTTCGATGTTCCGCTTCGTGGCTTTGTTGTTAATCAGGAAGGACACTTGGTCCCGTGGGACACCGAGATCGTGCTTGAGCCAGCGCTTGACAGCAGTGGCATCGTCGACAGCGGAAGTCAAGTCCCAGATATTCCCGGACTTGTAGGAATCGATTCCGACGACGAGGGCAAAGACACGGGTGGCCATCTCTAGAATGATGCTATGAAGCTGTCTATACACGTAGCAGCCGTTGTTAGGGCTTACCTAGGTCAAATACTTGATTCGGTAGTTAAATCAGAGGGGTTGTGGGCGAGGACTACGAGCACTGAGCGACATTTTCATCTTTTAAACCCATCTATTTGCGCAGTGCAGCAACACGTTGAATCATGTCCTTGTCGTCATTAATTCACGTGTACCTGTAATAAATGAAAGTGACGACTCGTGAGGTAGACAGCAATGTAGGGAAAAGGCAAACTGATATCATCCGCCTGCCGGCAAGCAGGCTCACGGAGGGCCATGGTCAGTGAACATACCTCCGACGACATGACGAAATGGATCTCGTTGTGTTTATCACACCATCAGTGAGATCCCAACGTCATGGCGCCCCTGTACGGTACCCGAGGTACTCTAGATAGCTGGTATAGCTACCGTTGTACTGTTAAGTGATGGCGAACCGGTAAGGAGGAACGGAGTGAGAAGCACGTCTCACAGCGTGTGAGATATAGCATTCAGCCACAGCAATGGAGAAAGACGCCGCTATTTCTCCGTCAGGACTTCCTAGTGATTCCAAGGGCTACTCTGACAAAGCTCGAGGCTTGCCGTAATATAAGCTGGAACTTGTAATGTTGCGGTTAGCAGCGAATTCGAATTAGTGCTCGGATTCCCGTCGGAATCGCGAACGAGTCAATATTATTGATGTGCTACCTGTTAAGAAAATTATAGCAGAGGGACCAGGGAAACAGATAAGAATGTCTGGCCGCACGGGAGGCCACAAGTCATCAAGTCATCGGGCAGTTGTGGAAGGCGAACAACTTGAACATATGCGCATGTTATGTTTCGGGGCAAATACGAGCAAATAGACTCGAGCTCCCTCAGGCTGGACTTCCATGATGGCTTTCGTATGCCAACAATGCAAGAACCCACTACAGGTACTTCAATATGATTGAATCGTGTTCACTCATGTCAACTGCACAGATGAATCCAGCTCGACGCGTCCTTGGTGGACTTGGCACCGTCCGCCTTCGACATGATAGCAGCAGCCCTGCCTGCGCCGCTGCCAAGTAGTGCGCGCCCTCAGTCGGAAGCGGAACAGCTCGCAAGATTGCCTTCGCCGTCCTCATCCAAAGCAGCGTGGCAGCGAGCCGCACAGTCCAACCCTCTGCGGACTTCGTCACCCTTGTCAGCGCGTGCGCAGGCTAAACAACCTCATCGCGAACCTCAAGCGCCGAATGACTCGTTCGTACTCCTCCAAGACAGTGTAATCAAGACGATCCCTTCGTCACTCCCGTCGCCCTCCGATGGAAAGAAGTTTTCTGTGTCTAGGTCGCGGCACGCTCCCACTAAAGCCGCCGCCTCGTTCTCATCTTCAGAACCTGAGCCACCCAATCCTTCACCCTTATCGCACCACCTCCACGCAAGCTTGCGCTTGTTCAATCTTCTATCTAGTAGGACTGATGTGGACCATCCACTATGCGCGGAATGCACACACATCTTACTCTCTACGCTTGAGAAGCAGCTGGAGGAGACCAAGAAAGAAAGGGATGGATATCTAGCGTTTGAGAAAGAGGTTCGGAAAGAAAAGGAGCGGGAATCGAAGGAACTGAATAAAGCAGACGTCGAAAGAACTATTGAGAGCCTGAAGGAGGAAGAGCGATGGGCTATCGAGAAACTGCGAGAAACTGAAACGGAACGCGAGAAGTTGGAAGAAGAGATGAAAGCCCTGGAATTAGAGGAGAAGGCTCTGGAAGAGGAGGAGGCTGAGTTCGTCTTTGCGGGGTTTCGTTTCTGGGTATCTCTCACCTTCGTTTGTGGCAGGTTCTGGCGGGTCCACAATACCCATGTCATAAATTCTGCGCAGCAAGCGTCGCAATTGGCAGCTTTGCGCGCGGCATACGCCGCCGATGCTGCTACCTTAGAGAAACTGGAGCGCACGAACGTGTATAACGACGCATTTTGTATAGGCCACGACGGCGTCTTCGGGACCATCAACGGGCTCCGTCTCGGTAGAGTGCCAGGAGTACCTGTACGTCCGGTTATCTCCCGACACGAGCATACCTAATGAAAGTGTTAGGTTGAATGGACAGAGATCAACGCTGCCTGGGGCCAGACCCTCCTCCTGTTACACACGATTGCCCGAAAGCTGGAATTCACGTTTGAGAAGTGCGTTGCTCCTTTTGAGCTGGCTGATTCTCAGCTTACGTCCAAGCCTTTAATGTATAGTTATCGCCTCGTTCCAATGGGGTCTTTCTCCCGCATCGAGAGGACGACAGGTGATAAAGCCACCTACGGCTTGTATGGTTCCGGCGATCTCCACATAGGCCGTTTGCTACACAACCGCCGATTCGACTTTGCTATGGTCGCATTCCTTGAGTGCTTGAAACAAGTCGTTGACTATGTCAAATCTCAAGATGCAACCGTTGAATTCCCTCATCCGTAGGCAGATTGTTCCCCTGCACCGTGATCACTGACGAGGTGGAATTACCAGGATCATCAAAGATAAGATCGGCGAGGCTTCCGTCAAGCTTCAGTTCAGTCAAGAAGAGGCGTGGACACGCGCTCTTCGGCATATACTACTGGCATTGAAGATCCTCCTCAAGTGGACTACCAATGGCGCTAACGGGTAACTGGCCTTGCTGCAAGCCGCCGCCTCTCCCTTGTAGAACGTACCAAGAGCGCGAGCGTAATAGGTATGGCTTTTCACATGCCGGACGTCGGACTTTGTTCTCCTACATGCCTCCGTCCGTGCGGATCCCAGCGTTTACTTGTATTGCCTGTGTCTACTATAATGGCGGTATTCAACGTCTAAGCACTACGAATGGTTAGCTATTCGGATTTCGGACCTGATCTTGATCCGTCAACAATCTGAGCCAAATCTGTGACTATATACGTCAAGCCTAAAATCACGCCAACATGACACCTTCATACGAGCTATGCAGGAACACAGTCCAGCCACAAATCCTTGCACTCGTATTTATCTCTTTGTTCACTTCTCTTGCCGGCCGTAGGCTACCCTCTCTTGGATTCCTTGGTTCTCAAGTTGGTTTCTTACCTGAAGTTCTGGGTCTGGCCGGATAATCGGTACTTGCTTGGTAAGTCATGCTGGTTTGTCAGCCTACCACTAATCATCCTTGAAATAGTGTTTTCAGGAAGAGGTAGATCCCATCGCCTAGCTTCACTGCCCTACCGCAAACCCAGTTATAATGGGTTTACTGTCTCTCGGTACTCCACTAGCTTGGGATGACGCCAAAAAGTATGCGGAGCACGTCAGACACCACGGTATCACGCAGTTTCTGAACATCTGGGACCGTATGAAGGATCGGACAGGAGACGAATTGCTATGGGGTGACGAGGTATCACGGTCTTGTTATGGTCTTGCGCACTTCCCTTAATGATCGAGACATGCTGCCTCCTTCAAGATCGAATATATGGTCGTGTCCTTCGACGATACGGAAAAGAACGCGAAATTGTCTCTGCGGCAGACAGAAATCCTGCAGAAACTCAGTTCTATCGTCAGCGACATCTCGTCCGGCCTCGGCGATGAGTAGGTTTTCATTGCTCTCGCAGCTTTCATTAATCCGACGCCGTCGCCAGTGTCGCTGTCCCGACTTTCCATCCTGAATATGGACGTTACATGCTTGAATCGACACCTGGAGCCCCGTACACGGGCTCTATTCCGGACGTGCTATCAGTGGAAAACAACATGCGTTATAGGTATGATGCAGTCCGCCTGGATCCTGGTCGCATATCTTGAGCTTATCATCAAGGCGCAACCTCGCCCGTAAACACCTCAAGTCCCACGAGATCCCCATGACCTTCACTTCCTTCCCTCGTCTCGGTGTGCCCGGGGTGTTTACGGAGCCATACTTTGACCCAGCAGATGCCGTTTCTAGTCATAGTTTATTCCTGCCGGAGGAGATAACGAACCCCCATGCACGTTTTCCGTCGGTGGCTTACTTTCTCTTCCTGGTTTGCAACTAAACCGGTTCGTATGTAGGACCTTGACTGCGAATATTCGTCGGAGACGCGGGTCCAAGGTTGCCATGAACCTGCCGTTGTTCATTGACGAGCGCACGCCTCGACCTTTCGTGGATCCTACAATACCCTGGCAACGCAACATATATTGGGAAGACCCTGGTCAGTGCTCAGGTTCTCAGGATTGTGCGGTCAGCTAAGGCAGCGGTCATAGAGGCTAGGAATGGCGCCGCTCTTTTGGACCATATTTACATGGATGCCATGGGCTTCGGCATGGGATGCTGCTGTTTACAGCTGACATTCCAGAGCTGTAATGTGGCGGAAGCTCGCCGCATGTATGATGCCATGGTGCCGTTGGCTCCCATTATGGTGAGTTAACGCGTACTTTCGTCACATATCCTGCCTTATTCTCAAATAGCTAGCATTAACTGCGAGCAGTCCACTATGGCGAGGCTATATTGCGGACGTCGATTGTCGCTGGAACGTGATCGCTGGCGCCGTCGACGATCGAACGGAAGAAGAACGGGGGTTGAAGGTACGGCCCGATCACCGTACCCTGAAAGAATACATACTAATTAGCTGCTCAGCCCTTGAAGGAAAATAGAAGGCGCATTCCGAAGTCTCGGTATGACAGTGTCAGTCTGTATATTTCGGAGGACTGGATAAACCGCCCGGAATATAATGATATCCCCGCACCTGTCCACGAGAAAATTTATGAGCGTTTGCGCAGGCATGGTAGGTCGATGTCATGCTCACTTATTGCGCTACCGTTGCTCATCCGTACGTAGGAATCGATGCTGCCCTGGCTAGACATATTTCTCATCTATTCATCCGGGATCCGTTGGTTATTTTCTCCGAAATGATTGACCAAGATGATTCAACGAGTAACGATCATTTCGAGGTGTGCTCGTTCTTAGTACGGCTGGTGCGCTGCTGAGGTCTCGAATTGATTCTAGAATATCCAGTCTACAAATTGGCAGACTGTCCGGTTCAAGCCTCCTCCAGTGGATTCTGCGATTGGATGGAGAGTCGAGTTCCGGAGTATGGAAGTTCAGTTAACAGACTTCGAGAATGCTGCATTTGCCGTGTTCTTCGTGCTGTTAACGCGAGCTATCCTGCACTTTAGTCTTAATCTCTACGTACCCATATCGAAGGTACGTACCTTCGTGTTTCAACCGTCGCTAAACTCACGCATCCCTTTTTTAGGTCGACGAGAATATGCAGAAGGCGCAGAAGAGGGACGCAGTCCACTCGCAGCGGTTTTATTTCCGCAAAGACGTGTTTCCATTATCTTCGCGTGTGTCGTCAGTAGTTTCATCACCTGGTTCCGTCTCTCCGATGGACGGTACGCCTAACGGATTGAATGGGCATGCACCATCGAAAGAAAAGAAACTGAGGAACTGCTATCCGAAGTTCCCCGATCCTGACGACCATATCAACTTTGGTCCGGTAGACGAAGAATACGTCGAGATGAGCATTGACGAAATTATGAATGGCAAAGTACGTCTTGTTCTTGCGTGGTTCTGGGCGTTTCCTGACCTTTTCGCTAGGGAGCCGATTTTCCGGGTCTCCTCAGTCTCGTGTACGCATATCTAGAGACGCTTGACATCGATAAGACCAGTCGGGATAGAATCGAGCAGTATCTCGACCTCATTCGGGGCAAGAGCAACGGTGAGTCGATTCTCAAACCTGCTTGAGGCGTAATTCACGCTCGGTCGTATTTTAGGCTCGCTCCAAACGACTGCAACATGGATAAGAAACTTTGTTCGCAACCACCCTTCGTATAAATACGACTCAGTCGTAAGCCAGGAGATCAACTACGACCTTATGCGGTCGGTGGATGAGATGTACGTGAGCCACTTGCATGGCGTGAAACGATCTTAACACGACGAATCCAGTGAACGTGGCGTACGCACAGCACCTGGTCTCTTACCCGAGTGCTTCGTGGGCAGTCATCATGCCCACGTCTCCTTAACTTAAGTGTCTACCGGACTCGCATAGGCCATCCGAGCTACTCTGTAGCCATAGTTTACATGTATTCTTAACTATACGGGGAAGGTGTGAGTCCGTGTGTATTGGTCCCCGTGGTGTGTTCGTCGTCGACACGCAGATGGGAACGCAAATCAACAATTCCACACTGACAGTGGTCAGTGTAGTGACAGCAGCGGCCTCGGAGGCGTCCGGCAAGGCCATTCGCAAAGTCCCACGCTGCTGACCCAAATCGGTCTTTGCACTCTTGAGCTTGCCAACAATGTCGAGTCTACGTCTCCTCTCGACCGTCGCCCGGCGCGCACCGTCGACATTCCCAGCAGGGAGGAGAGGATATGCGGAAGCTGCAGACAAAATAAAACTGTCCCTGGTATTGCCCCACCAGGTATGCATTGTTAGTGCGTGTGTCTGGCGTGACCTAATCCTTTGCCAGTCCATTTTCTCTTCAGCAGATGTTGTACAAGTCAACATCTCCGCTGCCACTGGTGATATGGGTATTTTAGCCAACCATGTGCCGTCCATTGAGCCATTAAGACCCGGTTTGGTTGAGGTGGTCGAATCAGGGAACACCTCTAAGAAGTGGTTTGGTGAGTAACCCCACACGTCTGCTGGTCGCGCTTTTCCAACTCGGATGCGTGTAGTCTCTGGCGGCTTCGCCACCGTTCACCCTAACAACAAACTTACCATCAACGTTGTTGAGGCCGCTTCCTTGGACGACTTCTCTCCGGAGGTGCGCTGCTCTCACCGTATCACACAGGCCATAGCCCTGATGCTGTTCCATAGGCTGTTCGTGCGAACTTGCAGGAGGCTCAAAGGGTCATCGCAGGGAACGGTTCAGAGGAAGACAAAGCTGAAGCCAGGATCGAGGCGGACGTGTATGAGGCGCTGCAGCATGCGCTTGCGTCGAAGTAGATTTAAGCCTCCAGTCTGTATCATTCCCGGACTAGATCACTTTGCGGTTCACGACTGAGCTGGGCTGCCTTGAGTATATCCGTTCATGCACATACTTAGCTAGGTGTAATGCTGCTGCCTTTCGCCTAGGCTCGTAGCCAACCTCTACGACAGATTGAGGCCGATATTCTGCCCTCAATAGCGGTACGACAGGGTCGTCACGAGCCTACCTTTCGCCTGAATTCCTGGTCCTGGCCCACCCAATAATGGACCCCGGCTTGTGCCGATATGTTCAGACGCGATCTGACGCGCTCTTCCATACTTCGCAGCCGTACACACAAGGTATATTACCGCCGAATGATTATTTCCCATCGTCGCACTCTCTTTCCATCTCGCGCTGTGCAAGCGCACCGCTGGCTATGCGTCAACCGAAAGCATGGAATGACTTAACCCTCCTGCAGGATGAACCGTTCAGAGGGGCGTTCGAGGGTCGTTCGCAGACGCGGCACCAAAGCCGTAAGAATCAAGCTACATGGGAGCGAAATCTGGCTGCCAAGGTGTTGGAGAATGAGGTGAGATGTCTCTTGCTGTGATGTTTGTTCCTCAGCGAACTGCGAACACCCGCAACAGCGAGCCACTGTCTTCGCATGGACCGCTCTGGCATTTGCCTGTTCTCCTGGCGAAAAGGAACCAGACAAGAACATTGGCTTAACCTTCAGTTCCCTGCTTTTTACCCAAATCTTCTGGTGTTTGTATCAGGAACAAAGTGGCGAAGCCCAAGCACTCTTGCGACGTGCGCGGCAACACGCGGGGTTCTGGTTTGAGGTGCCGGAGCATGGGGATGATCTTGCGCATGCGGCTGGAACCTCAAACAACCCGAAAAAGCGCCGGACCAAGAGAAAGCGTCGCAATCCTCATAGTAATTCCGTCGACCATAGCAGAGATGGGAGTGTTGCGTCGAAGAAAAGTCGCGAGCGGTCGCTCGAGCATGTTCACTCAGCTTCTGCTGACTGCATGATCGAAGAGAGTCCTACTGCCAGAGAACTTGGTGCACCAGCCACTCCTGCCGGATGGGATACGGACTCTACGCTCACAAGCTTGCCCTCTTCAGATGAATCCGATTCTGAGGTGTCGGTGCAGCTCGCTTCTTTCCTGACGTCTAAAGTTCCACCCATCATGTCGACTTCGCGACCAAAAAGAGCGGCTACGACTCATGAAAATATAACGCCACTGGCCACTATGAAATTCAAATACCACCGTAATGGCGGACGTGAATCAAGCATTGACTTGGCAGATTATATTCCGTCTGCTCTGATTTCGGCGGACCGTAAGGGTAGGAGGAGCAAGCGTCCGCGACTCTCCAAGCCCGTTGAAGTTGGTCCCGAGTCGTTGACGACGGAACTGAGCAGCATAGACACATCCAGGCGGGAGAATACCACTGTTGATCTAGTTGCGCCGGCAGAAACTGTTTCGTCCACTACTGCGCAGCAGATACGAAGTGTGTCTATCTCAAGCAAAGAGAAGGATGCTCTGGCTACAGGGAATCCCAAAATCTCCAACGCAAAAAAGGCTTACAAAGTTCGAGAGAAGAAGGTTACAGCTAGAGAGCGTCGGTCTGCTGTTCTTGCAAACAAAGATACTGCAGTTTCGAGGAGCGGGATCATCTCGTCACATCCTTCCGTGAGTCTGGGCAGCCGAGGCACACGTAACAACCGAGATCGTACAGCGCAGGAGGACGTACTATCCTCAGTCGCACCTATCGACCTTTGCCCCTCCCCTGGCAGGACCGGACCCCGTCTTTCTACAGGATTGCCAGGAGCCTCCGGGAGAAGCCAACAAACATCCAACAAAGGAATGAGAAGCGAAGGAAGCCGTCCTCGCACAGTAGCGAAGCAGATCGTCTCTGGAAGAGCGGCGAAATCAAAGTCCTCTGCCCCACGTTCCAGATGTGATTCGAAGACACCGTCCGTAGCGGTCGACGAGACGCGACCTATCGTCAAGATAAAGCCCACTGGGCTTCCCGCTAGAAAAGGGGCCGGACCGAAGTGTGTTGCTCGACGTTCCAAATACTACTCAGAGACATCGTCCGTAGCGGACGACGAGATGCGACCCATCGTCAAGGTAAAGCGCACCGGGCTTCGCGCTAGAATGAGCCCCGCGGTAAGTGGAAAGACGGCAGATGCGAAGGTTCGCGCAATATCCGGCGGGTCGCAAAAGGGCTCACAGAGGAATGCTCGTTCTAACGAGGCGAGCACCGAACGAAGTGTAGTTCAAGTCTCGTCTCCCCAGGCTGGCGTGCCTGAGGATAGTCTATGGCTACCCCAAACTGACACGCAGGCATCATCCGCACGTCGTCTTGGAAGCCCGCTCCTGCTAGATGGCCATGTTGACGGGAGCATCTCCTCTGGGAGTACGCTAGTGATACCAAAAGCCACCCTCCATCTACCAAGAACAAGCTCCAGTCAACTACATCCTATATCAGCTCTGGTAGATAGTACTACTTTCGACCCGCCCTTGGATCCGGCTGAAACCGTCAGCCGCTTGCGCTCGCGTTTAAGACCTCCGCTCCCCTGCACACCGCCAGTCTGGGCCAAAGTAAGTGCAGCATCGAAACATCTCATAGGCTTCCATCTGATCCTTCCTTCTGCAGCACCGACAAGAAGTGTGCGAGACGGTAGAGTGGTTCCGGAGCTATCAAGGCGGCGTCTACTTCAATAAGAACTATGCGCATGGATATCTCCTCAGTGCCTTCTCGGCAAGGTTCGACTAGTCCTCACCTTTCGGTTTGGGGGGCTTAATAGTCTTTCTCATCAGTCGCGATATCTTTCACCATCAAGGGAAATTGATCATATCCCACGGGTAAGAGGATGCCATGCCCTGTGATGTAGGTATCTCTCAAACTTCTTGCTAGAGGAGGCAGAGCAGAAGCTCTGCATACCAAGGAAGGCAGGACCTCGACCACGCAGGCTAGCGATCAGCATGCGGATGATCTATCTGTTCGGGCTTTGTTGTTGAGCTACGAACAACGCCATCCGGTAGTACTGCTCATTGATGACAAATATGAACTATTTCCCTACGACTTACATGCTACCAATCCTGATTATACCTACGTGGCATTAGGCAACTATCTCATCACACGGGTATGGGGTGAGTCATTCCCTCTCGAATCCCGGGTGTTTATTGAGATGTGAATTGCTGCAGCGGAACGTTGCATTCCCAAGAATTCATCGGAGTCCGTGATACGATACAAGTTTGCCTTTCAGTGGTGTGATGAACAAGGAGACCCGTGGTGGCTTAAACAACGGCTCATGCAGACAGACTCGACTACCGAGGAAAGCTCTAGCACTGCAGCGACCAAGAATGATAGCTATTCCAGGGGACAATGCTCTGGTGAGTTTTGATCCGTGTTTTGGTTTTTAGATCAGAATTATGACTTCGATCCAATCAAGGCTCGATCAGCGACGAGAGTTTTGCGGCGCCCTTGGACTACGAGTGAGTCGCGGAATTCGAAAGCTGGGTTACGCATGCTTAAGGGCATATTACATTAGCTCCGCCGGTATCATCAGGCGCATCTGTCGCTTCTGTGGGAACGAGAGTCCTTTAATCTATGAACAAGGATGGGTCTGTACTCAGCCATATTGTCATATGTTCTGGATGCTCGATGATGGTAAGCATCCTCACGATGAGCTCACTTATGCGCAAAGTTTTCTTGGCTTGCTCGACTTGCCCTCCATGGGATGTAGAGATATCAGACCGCCACTTCCCGTCGGCCCTCACTCTGACCAGATTACTACGACCCTTGAGTTTACTCGAGGATATCACTGCAGGACGTGTGGGCGGCTGTCCTGTCGGTGAGTACATAGTCACCCAGGCGAAACGTAACTGAGCCACGGCAGAGTAAAGTGGCAATACTGGCAGTGTTCAAACTGTGGGGTGCGTGTATAAGTCTGTATCCGTCCCCTGCATGCTCTGATGACATATTACATTCCTGGTAGGGCATATATCACGTCCCAGGCAGAACTCGTCTTCCCAATGAACTACGTATTAGGATGAAACTTGGTTTTGATCGACACAAGGTCTCTTCAATTTCAGGTGAGTATGTTTTATTAGTGAATGTCACGTTTAGGCGAACTGCAACCGCCTCAAGGGATCGTCAAACCGCCCTTCTGCCTCTATACCGAGAACCGTTATTATGGCTACTCTCAGATATTCATCTTACCCGATGGAAGGTAAGTTACCACTATGCTCGATGATCAAGTGCTTAGCCCGCCATAGAGGCCGGATACATCATATCCTAGGCAGCCCTCTTCTCAACACAAGAGCAAATGACATTTTCAGAAAGTATCAAGACCAAGCAGCAGAAGGACGTGTATCATTTCGAAGGTGGCCTATCAGGATGGTATGAATAATCCTATTCATCTCTGCTCAGACTAACTCAGATGACTTGGCAGCATAAATGTATTTTATATACATCATCAAAAAATGAACTCCGATGACGTAAATTTCACAGGCAGAGGTGACCTACTGGCTCAGTACTTCTCCCACAACGGTAAGAATCATAATTCTGCTATCGTCGTCGATCTGACTCGTCTGCTGTTCTGGCAAGCTGGTGCCCCGTATCATGTGAGTCCGGCACCTACGCAGTTGGGACCATGATGTGAATCTGTTTCCCTACATTCTAGTATGTAGGAGGCACAAACGAGACAGTGTCGTTCCAAGAGGCCCCCTCTGCCGTGATGGAAGCATTGGACCTCATACAAGACCGGGCGTCAAAAGCCGTACGGAGGCCACTCAGGTTCAATGAAATCCTTTCCGCAGCATATATGCAAGACCAACAGATGGCGGTATGTCATAAGTCACCTAGAGAAGGTTAACTCATAATACATTTCAGTATCACGGAGATGACGAGGAGGGTCTTGGACCCGTAGTGGCCTCGCTGTCACTTGGCTCCCCCGCGCTAATGCGTTTCAGGCCTAAGGGCCAGAAGCAGGATATCTTGTCCATTGTTCTACACCACGTAGGTGCTGGACTTGAAACTGCCTACGTTTCTCACTGACTTGCTTATAGGGCGACGTACTTGTGATGGAGGGGCTTGAAGTGCAGCAGTACTACGAGTAAGTCACATATTCTCCGCCCGACTGTTGCCAGGTGCTCACATCAGACCGTGACAAGACATCAGGTCCAACCAGCGGATTTCAGGATCGCAGCTACGGCACGACAGATTGGAGTGCTAGAGGGCTTGTGAGAGCATAACACTTAATGCAAGTGCTTGCGCCATGGTGCCGGAACAGTCACGATATGTCCGCGTGTAATCAATTTCAATGCGCTGCAGCGTATATAAAGGGCCCGTGCCGTTGCTAGACAGTATACGGGTTTCGCTTAGTACCAAAGAAGCTTCCTCGTTAGAGTCTCCTGTAGACGCCTTGAGGACGGTGAGACGACTTTGGTCGGGGTCCGCCATCAGATAGTCTGTATGATGATTGAGAGCATGAGGTCGTGACGAGGCCAGACTGATGAGACTCAGACTGTCCCGGAGGCCAAGTTTCAGCAACGGTCAGCGGAGGTTCAACTAATCAGGCGTCTGTACTTACCGGTATTTGTCTCCTCCGATACTGGCCCGCTGCCTCCGACGCTTGGGACAAGCGCAGGACTTCCCTAGTCAAATCTTGCCTGAATTGCTCAATGTGTGCTATATGGTAACGAACGTCAGCGAGCGGTACCGAGATATGGGCGTAGCCCTTACGTACACTGCACATTAATTGTAGTAGCTTCTTTCATTGCCTCCACGAATCTGAGACGCTCACCCCGGATGTCGCGTGAGATACCTGCCAATTTTGAATCAGCGAAGTTCTATAGTGACGCGTAGGAGAAATTAATCTAGCATGCCTTCCGCTAAAGCATTCACTAAACGCTCCTGTTCCGTGTGTTGTCGTTCAAGCAGGGTAGCGATGGCTTCGGTCATACCATGCGGTCAGTGGGGAAGCATGGGTGCCAACCTCGGTGACTCACTGGATGCGTCCGAAGTATGTCCAGCCTTTTTAAGGTTTTCTACAACTTCTTCCAAGGAAGACAGCAGCCCCTTGTTTGATTGACTTCGCGATAGAGAGGTCGAAGATACATTTTGCATTCTGCTGCCATTCGCAGGGTTGAGATCCTTGCGCAAGGCCTGGATGTCTTCCGCGAGCGTCTGTATCTGGGAGACTCCATGGTTGACGAAGGTCTCGAGCCACTTGACTGAAGTATTAGGATATACCGCACCGTAGCAATGAGGTGAAAGTCTTACGGAATTCAGTTCATTGAGGTAGCGTACACTATCCGCCTGATTGTCGAGGTACACAACCTGATTCGTCTTGGTCTCCCTGAGAAGCTCCATGCACTGAGGATGGAAGTGTCGTCATACATCAATTACAGACGCCCTATTACGGGACTTACCTTTGTCAGTTCTTTCATGCAAGTTAATGGGAAGGCCTCTTTGGAGTCCGTCACGGCCTTTCCACTTTCCTGATTCACCTGAACCGCGCGCAAGAGCGTATCAAGTTTGTCATTCAGGCCATCCATAGCTTTCGTGGCGAGGTGTGCTTGTGGTTGCACTTCTTCACCCAGCACCCCACGCCTGTCATGGCCGCATCTTCGTAGTTCGTCGATCCGTGCAAGGACTTTTATCACCCCGGTCTGTACATCGTGGTGTACTTGATTGACCTTTTCACATACAACGGTCGAGGGACCTTCCATATCCAGCGTCTTTGCCGGGTTCTGATGCAGCTGCGCCCTGATCTCTCCTACCATCGAGTGTAGCATCTGAAGATGCGAGTCCTCTTGGTGACGCGGCATGTCTAAGGGCTGTTGCACTCGCTCCAGCAGCGTCCGCAGCATATCTTTGATATCTTCGAAAGCACGGGACCTGGCGACCTCTTTGCATATCCCGTCTCCGTTGATGGCTTGATCCGGAGTCGCTGCAACGACCGCCGCTTCATTCTGAGAAAATGCAGTATTATGCCCGCTAGAGATAACATTGGCCGTCCGTGAAACGAACGGTGGTGACGAACGGGAGACTTGCGCTTGACTGTCACAGAGGGCGGGTGAGAGGACAGGCATCGTGTCAGGATCATCCGTTGCGGGTCTACGAATGGTATCGGCCGAATTTCTGGAGACTCTCTCCGCTCCAGTTAATTCGGTGGTTGCGGGATGTGTGCCTTTTGCCTGCGTGAACTCTTTGGGCGGAGGGCGGAGTTTGTGAACCGGGAGATTAGAAGTTCCACCTTCCAACTCCGCAAGTCGCATCTTGACCATTGACCTTCGATCCAAGTTCTGGATGGATGGACTAGGCTGACGAGGCGGGTCGGAGATGGATTTCTGCAAGTTGGATAGCTGGAGGCCCGTCCTACTCGACATTCCTTCCGCGCTCAGGGTCACACGTGCATCGACAGAGAGCCCACGGCGGCGGTCCATCGAAGAAATAGTAACAGGAGTGGATGGCAACGATCGGTCGGTCATGGAATACTGGGAAGGCCTGGTAGACGCATCGATTGCCGTCTCCTCGGGCGGGTCACTTTGCTGTTGACTAACGCAGTGGATATTCTGCGCATGGGCATACTTTGTGTCCGAGTAGTCGGATTGCTCGGGGGCATACAGACTTCTTCGATCTTGAGAATTGAGTACGGCATCCCTAGACGAAGATCATAACCCAACGTATGTTCCCGATCAACGGAGCGACGTACCATATAGCACTGACCCATGCTGCCCTTTCCTTGACAGAAGCCGCAGCAAATATTTCTTTCCTCCGTATCTCAAACACGAGCTCGAAAACCTTTGGTTCACCTGGAGTACCCCTTGCCCCGGTCGCAGTGTCGATTAAACTAGGGAGCATGGCTCTTTCAGCAGCATACAGGTCGCTCAGAGGTATTGAACGAACGTCAGTGCATCCTGCTAAAGGCACTGTATGAGACAGGGGATTATTCTGAGCGGTAAAGGATGTGAGGAGTATGTGAGTAGGAAAGAGTGTTGCTGTACAGCATGACCAAACTGGCAACAGCGGTGAGGATCGGGTTTCAGTGACGGGTCGGGAGAGATGAAGCAAGGTATTCGTTAGAAGGCGGGCAGGTGATACAGATGGACCCCTCGGTAAGGCTTCAATCGAAGGCAAACCCGGCCGATCAGGATAATTGGATGTAGCCCTCTGCGGGCGGACACCAGGATATTGCATAAGCATGGAATTGCCCATCGCGGGCTTGTCCTTCGTGACGATCCTGCTCTTCTTGAAAACCGATATCAAGTTCCGAAAGGACTGGCGGAGGGGAGAGCGCGGCTTGCCATTCCTACTCTGGAAGGTGAGTGCTGGCGGTTGTGGCAAAGCTTTATCCTGGGCCGGCCTCCAGGGCTGATTCTGCGGTCGATTTCCGGGATAGTAAACATTTTCCCCTGGCTCGCTACCGATGGCTTCGTATCGATTGACCAGTTCTTTGGTCGACTTCTTGGAACGCAGCGGGGGAGTATCATTATATATTGTCTGCCAGGCCTGGATGCCACTCGAGCCTCGGGACGGCATGGATTCGGGTTCTTCTCCTGTCTCGACGACCGTGGGCAAGTTTGTGTATCCCTCATAAATCTGTGGCTTGGCCAGACCGCCGTGCTGAGAGCTAGAGCCGTTGTGAAAAGGCGATCCAAGAGAATCAACGGAGGAAGGAGTGGGAAGCTCGTCCGATTCTTCAGTGGAAGAATTATTTCTCGTCATTGGACGTGAATATAGCGAGTATATGCTGGGTGAATCTGTTGGATCATTCATCGTGAAGATGAACCGGAGAAAGATGCTACACTTTGCGCATCCAAGGAGAGAATCTTGAGACCAGTTGGCTGACCATCTGGTTTCGATCAAGATCGAGAACGCTCATCGATGACACACCTCTATATATGTGCCCACTTCTCAAGGCATGGTCGTGCGTATTGAAAGCAATCATTAATATGAACGGATCTGATAGCCTACACCATTCTGTCGCATCGCACTCTCACTGTCAATGTCACTGTCAGAAAAATCGGCGGGGATCTGGGAGGATCTGTGGCGCCGTCCAGGATTGCCAACGGGATTAAATCGGACTGAAGCGATTTCTTGTAGAGATCGTAGGTTCAGCATGTAAAGGCTCGGAAGTTAAATGGACACGTACTGCTTCATGCTGGCTCTGACACCTAAGCCATAGATGAAAGATGATCACGTGTCAGTGGAGAAACGGGTGTTGAACGTTGAACTTGAAGGAGGGGGGCCTTTTCGTTGCGTCTCGTCCATTCTGCTGTCGGTTAAGCCAGCTTTGTCGCGCTGCCAGTAACCACCGGCTACCTTCCTGCAGCACGCATTTGTAGAGAGAATATGACTGCAGCTGCTTCGCGACTGCATGCCGTTGTCAGGCCTTTCAGCCCACAGGCGCTAAGCAGCGCCACATGCATGATCAGACACCAGCATCCGTTTGGAACAGCATGTTCCCGCACACCAACTCTCTCGCTACTCTGCACCTGAAAATGCGGAAGGAACGTGGCCGAATGCCTGAACTTGAGACGGATACTCTCGGAAGTCGGTTGAGTCGGACCTGTCGCAGAGAAGTTCAGAAGCAATGCCGGCAGGATCATTTGTTAGCTTCCGCATCACTTTCTCTATGGGGGTGAGGCTTACGGATGGCATTCAAGCCTCAACCTCGAAGAGTGCAAGACGTTCTTGTCCTTCTGTGATACATTGGCTGTGTACGTATGTCGACTGTCCTCGGTCTGGCTCCTGTTGGCGGATTTTTGCCGCTTGATCTTCCCGTTGCCAGGAGAGGGCCTAGCTCAATCACCAAAAACTGTTAGTGCTCGAGGAAAAGTGTGCGACAGCTGCCTCGTTTGCATTTACACGTTAGCATCGGGGTCGCAAGCCGAATATGAGGCAATACCGAGCCGACACTCAGTTCCGAGTCGACCTCGTAATGTCTACGTATACAAGGTTGCCCTGGCAATATCGGCAGCTCCTTGGTCAATTCTGTCTTAGTCACAGTCCCGTGGGTCCGTAAGCCGACACGTACGGCGGACCCACAAATTCGGTGGGTGTCTACGCCTGGTGCCTCTATAGAACATCGTTATTCTTATCCAGCACCGTGGGCTCCTGCACCCTGACAAAAATCAGGTGCAGAAGAACGTGAACCATTTGCCATGGACACTTCCCGGGTGCGAAACCTCAGCAAGCCGGGATGCCAACAACGATGCTCTCCGGAAGCTGTGACTTCCTGCGACTAGCCCTGGGCAGCTTAGCGCAAAGCTTCCGCTCCGTGACGGGGGTCTCCCCGATATTCGTTGGGTCACGAGTACCTGCATAACACCTCACCCTGGCCGGACCGATAGCTCGAGTTCACCCTAAACCGCGCTCCATACCGGTGCTATTTGGGCTGTTCTCGCATTTAACCCCGGAGGCTGTGGAAGAGCGCAAAACTATTACTCGTCTGCTGGGATGCGACGCCTTATCTTCCCCACGTCTTGCTACTGTTCGTGTTCTCTACCTAGAATGTTATCAAATCCTTACGCGGACGCCCCGGTGGGCCTAGCCTTTTGGAGTTCCTCGACGATGTGAATGGGCATGCCGGTTCTTGATGTCCAATTCATCATTGCATGATCTGCTCAAAGAGCTAGGCGTCTGCTCTGTGTTGTATTTATTCGTCGGTCCAACATCTAGTCAGTGATACCACTATCACACTTGTGGAGTTGTGGCTGGAGACATAGTTTATCGTGATTTAGTCGTGTCTGTCAGCTTATCGCTGAATGGTTATCCGCAACAGCAGGTTTAAAAGTCTACCCCTCCTGTCACGGTCAGCGCATTCCAACTTAGCCTCCCGTTTGCGATCGCTTTCAGGAGACCCAAGCTTGACGCCGGCAGCCACAAGAAAAGGCTCTTGTGGCGCGCGCTGTCAACGTCGTTAAGTTTCCGTCCCCTATGTTTTGTCCGCTATATAGACTAACTCCGCGCCAAGAGTTACAGGTATGTTACTTACAAACTCTCTGAAATAGAAATGAGACAGTCCCCGATTAATGTATAGCCCGTCTACTATTATCGTCTTGAGGTGTATGAGGTGTCGAAACGGTAGAAGCCGCGCGTTCCCGTCGCATAGTGTACATGTTCACTTTTACGTCTCGGCAGCCACATTTTGAAACCGAGGTTAGTGGCAGCTCCTACTCTCGCGGACTAAGTTTCATTGTTACGCCATAGCACGGTTGCAGGCAGCTGCATGACATCACTCACTGACCATTCTGCAGTCTTCTCGCCGCATATAACTGTACCGTCCTTATCACCACTGATCAATCTATAGCTACGAATCTGATCTGGCGATGCACCTGGTTTAAAGAATGCCGGACATGACGGAATCGATAGCCGACATGAAGCTGCGAAGTTCGTTAGGCTCGGTCTGAACCTTCCGAGACTGTACTCCTACCATCCTGCTGACTGTGCCCGGGAGGCGATTATCTGCTTCCGCCTGCTTCGGCTTGACCTCTAGAAGCTACCACCGAACGGGTACACACGGATGCATATGCCCTGTGTTGGTCACGTGGGGTCATGCATAGTCGCCTTGGGCATGGGGCAAGTATCTAGTGGCTGTAAGGTCTATGGAATTTCAATTTTTTCCGTAGACTAATACACTTCCGATTAGTCCCCTTTTAGTCCCCTCTGCTAGAGCGCTGGCTGGATGCAACGTATGCGCCGTTGACGAACGTCCGCGATGCCTCCTCTGTTCTTAGTCTGATGGAGATAGTTCCGTCCGATATCGTTGCACCTTCGTCCTTCGGGTTAACGGCAAATCCGGGTAATCACAGACTATCACGTCCAAGATCAGCTCTGGCGCACTGGATCACCTCCTTAGTGCCCCCAGGGACTCAAGTGAATTTTTACGTCCCTCGATAACCGGAACAGTTTCCAAGATGTCAGCCGATAGCTTCATGATCCTTGAGGTACGTCCAGGGCTATACCTTTATGAATAATCTTACTTGGAGCTCTTCCGTTCTGACTTGCGCCGTGGTCATCTTACATCTAGAACATAGGACTCGGCCTCCTCGGGTTTTAGCTGCTTTGCACAGGAAATGCAAAAATCCGCGTAGCAAACTTTGGTTATGTGGGTCCCTTACTGTACACCGATCCCTGCACTGGGGCGGTCTCTCTATTGGAGGCTTAGCATGAAATGCCTCATGTTTTCATAAATTTCTTGTGGAAGGGGAGAAAATCAGGCTAACTCTCCTTTTAAAACTGTTAGCCCAGGCACCTGGCAGACTAGTGGAGCATGCCTTACAACGCGCTCCTTTGACCCGGACATGGCCAAGGGGAGACATAGCGCGCTCGGTTTGGGAGAATTCCTATCCCTCCATCAGAAAAGTGCGAATGTCGGTACCTAATCCGCTCCGCTGCATGATTTCCATGGATTTATCTTCTTGACGTATTCAACTGCACATCTCGTGTTGCGTCGCGGGAGCGCTAGGAGCAAGGTACGGATTATCCATCGTTTCCCTAGTTGATCGTTATCGACTAAAGATAGTGTGCAATCAGCCTGTTGTTAGTCTCACCACATAGTATTTCCGGGACTCGTGCCATCCTTCCGTAAAGTGATCCTCCAAGAACGCAGCCTGCAATGATGATATGTGAGATCGATACGGTCCCCTCGAGATCAGGAATATACCGGTGAATGGTACGTTCCTGCGCAGCACTAGAGTATTGAGTATGTGAATGAGTCTGAGAAAAGTTGTAGATCTGTTTCCACGAATGTATGGGATGGTGTGGGCGGTGAGTGTCATGCCTGGTCAGCAGTACCTTCCATGCAAGTAGATCCATGTCAAGTGCACACTGTTAGCGCTTTGGGAAGTTGGGATCCACCAGGTTGGCCTTGGAGGTGGCGTGTCTGGCCAAGATTATCCTTCATTTGCCCTCATCGAGGAAAATCTGTACTAGGACGACGGCGGCTATACCATTATTGAGTCGAGCCTACGCTGGGCTGATTATGATCAGAGCACGGAACAGCCTCCGGATGCCCGATCCTATAGACTAGGACGCCAATCAAGTCAAAGCTATACTGACAAGGGGATCTACACCAGCGCGAAGAACATCTCCCGTGATGATTTTGCGTGTACATGGGAAGGCAGACGCGCATGGTCGTGAAGTCAGAAGTCGGGCGAACGTCAACGTTTCTATGAGACGTCGTTCTGTCGCAGCTTCTGTCCCAAGTTTCTCTGAACCGCAAGGGAGCACTGTCGACCTCTGAGAATCTGCGCGAGGCCCCAGGCTTCTCGGGCATGAGCGGAATCAGATGCAAGCTTCCCAGGGTGTTGCCACATTGGGCTTGTGTATGAGGCCGGCGATCAAGTTGTGTTTCCGGAGATCGGAATCCCGTTAGCATTCCCCTTGAATACGGACGAAAATGAATTTTAATATAGCGCTCGTCTACGGTCGCTAAGCCAGTTCGAAGACCGCGAACCCTGGACGCTGCATCATTCTGTGGCAGGCACGAACCGTATCAGTCGGCACCGGGCTTGTTTGCCCAGGTAGATCCCGAGCAGCCTCATGTTTCCTGGTTCCTCGTAAACTCCTCGTAAGCTGCCATCCCTCATTCGTGTATTCTGAATATCAGATCTTGTCCGACGCAGCACGCTATGCCGCCTGAGCAGCTTGCTCAGTTCTTCCGAACACGCTGGGCTGCGTCCCAGTTCGGGTCTTGCTGTTCTGCTGCCAGCCTCGGCCTGCCCTCTGTATCTTCGGACGGCCCCGTGTTCTGGCGTCAGACATTGATCACTTCTTCTCTCCGTCGTGTTCTGCCGGACCGCACAAGCCTTCTTTGGTGTGCCTCCAGGCAAGAATATTCGTACGTAAGTGGAGAAGATCTATACTAGCGAATTTCCTCTGCCCCAAGGCCCTTAGCGTGCTGCTGTTTGTTGGTCCCAAGCCTCGAATTATTTAATCGCACTTTCTCCCAGATGGTTCACCCATCCTCCCTCCCGAGCATACCGCCTCCTTCGCCGACATGGTTGCTGCGTATCGGAGATTCTCGACGCTGATTTGCGATATCGGCGATGTTCTCTTCACCTGGTCATCCACAACCAGGACTACCATCTCAGCTCGGACTCTGAAAGCCATGATGACGTCGCCGACCTGGCGGTTGTATGAACGTGGCCACTATTCCCAAGGCCAATGTTACGACCAGCTGTCCAAGGACTTCCCTCCGTACGAACCGGAGGAAATAGGTCGTGCCATGGACGAAGCCAGGGACAGTCTCACATCGAATGATGCCATGATCGCCCTGCTCCGGCAACTCAAGTCTGAATCCAATGGCCAGCTGCGAATATTAGCCATGTCGAATATCTCGAAGCCCGACTACATGTTCCTTCGCACGAAGCCGGCGGACTGGGATGTCTTCGATACCGTCTTCACATCCTCGGACGCAGGGGAGCGCAAGCCGAACCTGGGGTATTACAGATACGTTGTCGAGAAGGGTGCCATTGATCCCCATTCCACCATCTTCATCGATGACAAGCTCGAAAATGTCCTGGTCGCTCGATCATTGGGTATGTACGGCATCGTCTTCGACGACCAGGATAAAGTTATGAGGGCTCTCCGAAACCTACTCGGTGATCCGATCCAAAGGGGTTGGAGCTTCATGCGGTCGCACGCCGGCCATCTAGAATCTGTCACGAATACTGGCGTTTTGGTACCCGAGACATTTGCGCAGCTTCTCATCCTGGATGTGACACAAGATCGGTTCGTTTCACTTTATAGCGACGCTGTACGTTTCACCATACTGAGCTATCGCTGAACAGAAATCTGGTCGCGTTGCCCAAGGACTGCCCGCGCAGATGGAATTTCTTCTCTGGTAAATAAGACAATCAGTGAATCCGTTATCTATGCTCACACCACCGCTAAGGCAAACCAATCCTTACAACGGAGGTATTTCCGGACGATCTGGACACGACGTCCTTAGGTCTGACAATATTCGAGACCGACGAGGCCGTAGCGCAGTCCGTAATCGATGAAATGCTGGAATACGTAACGCCGGATGGCATAGTACAGGTATGCCGTGTTCCCTCAACCGATGTGTCAATTAACTGACGAATCTATGTGAAGACGTACTTCGACCATACGCGGCCCCGTTTCGACCCCGTAGTCTGCGTCAACGTCCTCAGCCTATTCTATTCGCACAATCGCAAACAGGAACTACGAGGCACGCTTATATGGGTGCGGGAGGTGTTGCTCAACCGAGCGTACCTGGACGGAACGCGATATTATGCGTCCGCGGAGTGTTTCCTATACTTCCTCAGCCGCCTTCTTAGGAAGGCCGAGGACCACGAACTTAACGACCTTCTCTACAACCTTCTGAAAGAGAGAGTGCAGGAGCGTATAGGCGTGGAGGGAGACGCGTTGGCATTGGCCATGCGTATCCTCACATGCGCGGCGGTAGGGATCAGGGATGACGTGGACATGCGGACGCTCTTGCCGCTGCAATGCGAGGATGGTGGATGGGAGCTGGGGTGGATATACAAATACGGATCCTCGGGCGTTAACATCGGTAACCGAGGTCTGGCGACGGCGTTCGCCATCAAGGCCATTGAGGCTCTAGAGGACATGCCGGCGTCCCCACCGACATCCGGTACCACCACGCCTGTCAAACACGAAGAGGAGGCACCACGGCGCGTCAAGCGGAGCTCTTCGAGGTTATCACTTGTTCGCCGCCGCCTCACTTCTTGGCTTTTTCACGGCATCAGAATCCGAAACCACGCAGTGCAAGCCCACTTCTAATGGCAAGGACATCGAGCCAGTGGTTCGTAAGCTGTATTTTTATACTTCGATTCTAAAGACACTTCTTATTGGTCGCGGTGCGACGTCGCATTTTAGTCTGCTGCTGTTATTGAATGCTCTAGTATAGCCCATAGTATTCGTTCATGTTCGCTGTGAGTATATTAGTGGCAGATTTCAGGTACGACCGAGATGATCCTTAGTTACTTGTTGTATGACCATATAGTAGCTTGTACATTAGACGACATGTATGACTTACGGGCCGCAATGGCTTATCCGAACTGATGTGCTTCAGCAGTCTTCTGCCGACAAGCGCTTCATTTGATACCTCTGAATATGCCCTACAGGAGGCGTACGTGGCGAAGGTTCAACCTGCGTTCCAAGGCGTACTATACACTGTATCAATGTCCGTCCATCGTCCAGCATGCGTCAAGAGCCGGTCTCATCCCATAACATCCGCGCTTGCGGGATGGTTGTGGCCTTAAGGGCTATGGAACACTTCAGTTGATTGCCGTCAAGGTGACAGGCCAAACTCACGATATACGTCCATTATACTGGCTTCTAATGGTGGCTTTGCCCGTGACCGTCATGGTGCGGTTGAGCAGTACTGAAGAGCTTCTCCCAAGCGACGTATGCTGAGAAAGCACCAAGAGCAATCCCAAAGCCAGGGAACATGCTGCCGAACATTGCACGGTTGCTGAAGACGGGGTGCTTGCGCCAGGCTTCCCGTTTCGCCCAAGGATCGCGATATAATGAGGGGGGCGCCATATGTAGACTGTTCGTACACAATGTAAGCGGGTCGTTCTTATAAACAATAGGGAGTATTGCCAGGAATACGCACCAACGTTGGTAGGACACTGGCAGCGTTCGGACGTGAAGGCGGGCGCAGCCGGCGGCAAAGGAGGGCGCAAGTGGCGTGACCACTTTAGGGCTGGTTTCATCAGACTTGCCAACAGCGCAATCAACTACTTATAGTCGGGACACGCTCGGACCTGTCTTTCGCCCCTCTTGTTGTTCCCACATCTCCCCCTCTCAACCTTTAACAGTGTCCGCCGTACTGCCTTTGCTCTGCTGAGGGACTTCGCCACCGATGTCTAGCGTGTCCGACGCCCTATCAGACGACGACCGTCCTCTCGCCGCGACTCCCGCCAAGAACGGAAACGGCCATGCTGTCAATGGGAACGGACGTTCCAACGGTGCCAAAGATTCCTCCCCCATGAGTGAAGACGATGACCTGCCACTCGTACGTCGTTGTACCCAGACCCTCTATGTATCTAGTGTAAACGAAAGATTTTGTCTCAGTCTCAAGCCACGCGGACCAAGTCCGAGCCAGCTACCCCAAATATTCGGTCTCTTAAGCGGAAACAGCCTGTGTTTAGCGACTCCAGTGATGACGATGTGCCATTAGCCTCCTCTCCCACGAAATCAGCTGCTGTGCCCATGCCAGGAGCGCACGACGCGACTACCGTTAAAGCGAGTGCCGCAACGAACGGCAAGGCGCATGGTGCGAAGAGTAAGAAAGAGATACCGAGCGACTCGGACGACGACGAGCCCTTAACTGCTAAGAAAGGGGCGGCTAATGGTAAGGCTCGTCAGCCTCCCAAGAAGAAAGTGAAACAGGAATCCGAGGACGGGGCCTACGATGACTCCGAGGACGACAGGCCAATCCAGAAGGAGAAGGCGCCACCTCGAGCTAAACGGAAAACCAAAGTCGAGAGTGATGTGGGCTATTCGTCGGAAGAGGAGAAACCGGCGAAGAAGAAACCTGTGACGAAGAAGACCGCGGCGAAGAAGATCAAGGACGATGAGGGAGATGAGGGTGCGTCGGGCTCCGAGCCTCCGAAGGCCAAGAAGAGAATGACCAAGGCGAAGGCTAAGAAGGAGGATTCTGAACCCCCGGCGAAGAAAGGCAGAGGCAAGAAGAAGGAGGAAACGGAGGAGCCCGAGGACGTGTACAAGTGGTGGGAGATCGGCGCGAACAACGATGGTAGCGAGAAGTGGCAGACCTTGGAACACAACGGGGTATTCTTTCCTCCGCCGTATGAGCCTCTTCCATCGCACGTGAAGATGAAGTACAACGGTATGCCCCATGCCCACAGACGTTACTCCCTTCTGACAAGAGTTCAGGACAGGATGTGGACCTTCCGCCGGAGTCTGAGGAGGTCGCTACATTTTACGCCAAGCTCCTCGAGACAGATCACGCAAGGGACGAAACGTTCAATAAGAACTTTTTCGAGGACTGGCTCAAAGTCCTCAAGAAACACCCTCCCGTATGTCTGCGTCCTTAACTAATAGATTTGGTGTCGACGACTGACATCACGAATCTCCTCAGCGTGATGGCACGAAAATCACGGACTTCAGTCGCTGCGATTTCCGGCCCATGTATGAGTACTTCGAGGCTGAGAAAGCCAAGCAGAAGGCCTTAACCGCTGCTGAGAAGAAGGAATTGAGGGAGGCGAAGGCGAAGGCCGAGGAGAAGTATGCCACCTGTCTCCTGGATGGTCGTAAGGAGAAGGTCGGCAATTTCAGGGTTGAACCTCCAGGCCTCTTCAGAGGTCGAGGTGAGCATCCTAAAAAAGGATGCCTGAAGGTTTGCATCTTTCGAACGACCCTCTGAGGGTGTAAACTGACTGCTCTCGTAGTTCCGCGTGCGGCCAGAGGATATTACCATTAACATTGGCGAGAATGCGCCCGTTCCAGTTCCGAACATGCCTGGAAACTGGAAGGCCGTCATTCACGACAAGACTGTCACTTGGTTGGCCTGCTGGACGGAAAACATCAACGGGAACTATAAATACGTTTTCCTGGCCGCAGGCAGTTCTCTCAAGGGTCAAAGCGACATGATCAAGTTTGAGAAGGCGCGCGAGCTGAAGGTACGTTTTCACCGGACTTTCTCGAATCGATAGTTCTAACCTGGAGTACAGAATCACGTGGACAGAATTCGACGTGACTACACTGAGCACCTGAGGAACAAGGTCATGGCTGACCGTCAGCGTGCCACCGCTATGTACTTCATTGACCGTTTGGCGCTTCGTGCTGGCAACGAGAAGGGAGAGGATGAAGCGGATACAGTAGGCTGTTGTTCGCTTCGCTGTGAACATGTTACGTTGGAGCAACCGAACTTCCTTATCTTTGACTTCCTGGGTAAAGACTCTATTCGATACTACAATCGCGTGCCGGTCGACCAACAGGTGTTCAAGAACATCCGTATCTTCAAGCAGGATAAGGAGGACCACGACGACTTGTTCGATCGCGTCACCGTAGGTGGACTGTTCCGGCACTTCTGTCCGCTTTCTAATACATCCCGTTCCAGACGTCGTCCTTGAATAAGCACCTCCAGAACTACATGAAAGGTCTGACCGCGAAGGTGTTCCGTACATACAACGCCTCCATCACTTTCCAGCAACAGCTTGATCAGGGTACTCCGGAGAAAGGCACGGTACAGGAGAAGCTTAATGCTTACAACCACGCCAATCGTATGGTTGCTATCTTGTGTAACCATCAACGGAGTGTGCCCAAGACACATGAGCAGTCTATGGAGAAAATGCGTGACAAGGTATGCCTGCTTTCCATACGAGCTGCGTGCGTGGTAATCGACTTCTCCCAGATCCGAGGCTTCAAGTACGAACGCAGGAAGCTTCGACATGTTCTGTTCAATATGGATCCCAAGTACAAGAAGAAGAAAGACTATGCGGAAGACGAGTCGGATCTGGAGGACGAGTGGATGTACGAACACGAGGGACGTCTAAAGGCTAAGGAGATTGAGAAAGCGGAGAAGAAATTTGCGAAGGATAATGAGAAGTTACAGGAAGAGGGCGTGAAACCGCAGCCCGAGTCTGTATTGAAGGAGCGGATCAAGGAAATTGAGGCTGAATTCAAACAGCTCAGGAAGGAGAGGGAAACCGGCAAGGTGAAATTAAAGAGGGACCGTCCAGCGGAAAAAGTCGAAGAAGCTATACAGAAGCTGGACGAGAAGATTAAGACGTCGAAGTTACAGATGGTGGATCGTGAAGCTGGAAAGGAGGTTGCTCTGGGAACGAGGTAAAGTCCAAAGCCTTTCTGGTATAAAAGCGTATTAATGAGCTTGGATAAGTAAAATCAATTATCTCGATCCTAGGTACGTGGATCCGGATTTGTACAGTGACATTTTCTAACGGACACATCGCAGGATCACTGCTGCTTGGTGTAAAGTCCATGACGTGCCCATCGAGAAGATATTTTCCAAGACCCTCCTGAATAAGTGTAGGTTGGTTCGCTCTACCGTCTGTCTTGTACTCATGCGTCCACTTCAGTCCCATGGGCTATGGAAGTGGACGAGGATTGGAAGTTCTGAGTCGGTCGTCGTTAACACACTGCCTAGCATCTGGATTTGGGGGCTGTATTTTCAGGTTTGTTGTATCCTTTGCATCCCAGGACTAGTCGTATAGTATGCATTGTACGCTTTGTGTGGAGGCATAGAATAAATGAATGTTGCGCTCGTACGTTGTGTACCAACGCGACTTACGCAAGCGTAATGACACCGCAGACGCGAAGCCATGGCAGTACGTCACATCGGCGCCAGCGCAGAGGAGACGCGCCTACAAGAACGAGCGCATTCACGTGTCATGCAGCCACCGTACCAGCACAGACGATGAGCAGACCATCTCAGCCAACGCGACCGTCTTTTGCGTCTCAGACGGGATTTGCTGCTTTACCCGTAGACTCTGGCGAAGAGAGTGACGCCGAACAGACTTCAGAGGCTACTGTTGAGCCTGCGCTAAGGTAAGAATACTTTCCTCCGTGACACGAACATTCATTTGACGGCCGCTCTCCTCACAGTACACCCGATGGACCGCCCAAACTTTCGAAGACTGCTCTGAGGAAAGCAGCCAAGGCAGCGCGAGAAGAAAAGAAGAAGCAGCAGAAAGCCGCGATCAAGGCTCAGAAAGCTAATGGCGATTCTACGCCAGAATCAATTAACGCAAATTTGCCTCCCCTGATGTTAGGCAGCGAATCAAATCCGCTGGAAGTACAAAGGGACGCGGACAATGAGGGGACATCGTACCCAGTCGAAGATAAAATACCGTCTCCATCGGCTGCCCTCGCGCAGGCGGCGGAACCTCCCATTGAATCGCGAACCTCTGCATCTTCTGCCGAACTCCCTACAGCGCGAGAGGACCATATACACACGAAATCAGAGGAACATCCGAAGCTTCCGCCATTGAACGGAGCAGCCCTACATGTACCGAAGGACGATGCTGTGGAAAGCCGTGCAGAGAGCGAGTCTGAGACGAGTCCCTCAGGGGACAAGAAGAACGAGGATGCTGAGAAGACCAAGAAGAGGCAGAGCTTCTTCGTCCGAACGCTCTGGACGTTCATCATGATCGGGGGGTTCATAAGTACTTGTCCGTCTATGATTCCAAGACGTACAACTGAGAGTTCTCCTTGTAGCTCTGCTTTTGTTAGGGCATGCGTATATGATTCTTCTGGTCATGGTCTGCCAGACTGCAGTGTATCGCGAAGTCACTGCATTGTTCACGTTGGCCGGTCCCAAGTCGGACGATGGCGAAGATGATGGCGAAGGTCGAGATCCTTGGAGCAAGACCCTCAATTGGTACTTCTTTGCTGTAACGAACTATTTCTTGTACGGAGAAAGCATCATCTACTACTTCAAGGTAAGCCGGCAGCTAGCATCTCATGTCTATTGGTCTGTGACGCATGTATCTTCATCCCTTTCAGCATGTCGTGTTCGCCGACTCGCAGTTGCTGCCGTTTGCCACAAATCATCGGTTCATCAGCTTCATATTGTACACGATTGGCTTCGTTGGCTTCGTGTCATCGCTCCAGCGTGGCCATCTGAAGCGCCAATTCGGTCTTTTCTGTTGGGTGCATATGACTCTGCTCATGATTGTGGTGTCAAGGTAGGAGCAAAATCTACGCACCACTCTCGCGGACGGTACTGACTCTGAACTAGCCACTTTATAGTCAATAATATCCTCGAAGGCATGATCTGGTTCTGGGTACCGGCGTCCTTGGTCATCTGCAACGATGTGTTCGCCTATGTCTGTGGTATTACCCTCGGGAGGACCCCGCTCATCAAGCTTTCACCCAAGAAGACAGTGGAGGGATTCGTGGGCGCATTTTTCTGCACACTTATCTTTGGCGTAGCATGGGGAACCTACTTCATGCAATTTGATTACATGGTTTGCCCGGTCCGTGATCTCGGGGTGAGCGCGTGGAACTCGGTAACATGTAATCGAAACCCGGTCTTCCTCTGGAAGGAATTTGGCATTCCTGCGCCAGTGCAGACTGTCTTGTCAGCGGTGGTGAGTAACGTGTTTCGAAATGCAGGTAACAGGACGTCTCATAACATCCTTCTATGCAGCTCGGTCGAACCGTCACCACGATCCCATATGCACCTTACCAGTTCCATCTGCTTGTGATGGCATGCTTCGCATCCCTGGTTGCACCCTTCGGCGGATTCTTTGCCTCTGGTTTCAAGCGTGCCTTCAACATCAAGGACTTCGGTCACAGCATTCCGGGCCATGGCGGTATGACTGATCGCATGGATTGCCAGTGCGTATCTGCTCCCCTTGGACATCGGTATCTGAATATCGGTTCATAACAATGTTTCACTAGATTCCTCATGGGTGTCTTCACCTACGTATACTACAGCAGTCTCATTCGACAACACCACGTCACTGTCGGCTCCGCTCTGCAGATGATCGTGAGTGGGTTAACGGTGGATGAACAGTTGGAGCTCATCGCCGACCTCAAAAGGTACCTGGAGGGACGAGGTGTAAATGTACCCATACCTCTAGCCGTACCATCCGCATCGGCGGCAGCCGTGGAACTGTAGTCCCTGTTTTGATGATATATGGAGTACGAAGTACAATAGCTACTGCTAATTTGTCACGTTTTGGAACAACTGGCTTCAATTGACTATTGTCGTTTGACAACTACCTGTCATCTCCACCGCCCGGTGTCAGTGACACTGACTAGGTTTTCGAATGTGATGTTCATAGAGCAGATATCGGGCATGGATAGACATTACAGCATGATCATATGCGACCAAGGAGAACAACAGAAGTGGCGAGAACCCAGATACCGAAGGGAAGGTCCTTTCACTATACAGTGGATCATGGATTTATGATCGGGGCTTCTCCTGCACAATCACACCATGTCAAAATGGCGCGCCTAGGATACACTACTGCAACACTTACCTTCTTTTCTTTCCAGAGAGCCAGAAGACCGACGCCAGATACCTTCACGACCTTGAAACGCACACCTGGAATATCACCCTTGGCCTTGCCGCGGCGACCGAAACCGGAGATAAGGACCTCGTCGTTCTCGTCGACGAAGTTCAGGCAACCGTCATTCTGAGAGTCATGTGCGGTTCAATATCAGTGAATAGGTCGTTGGCAGTAAGCGAATATCGAATGGCGACTCTAAGCTTATCCGAGCGTCCCAAAATGGAAACATTGGGCAAGCAAAGGGAAGGCGAAGGAAAGGGAGCGAATTACTCACCGGCACGAAAGCGGTCACCTTCTTTCCGTTCTTAATCAATTGTACACGCACGCACTTGCGGATGGCAGAGTTGGGCTGCTTAGCCTCAACACCGACTTTCTCGAGCACGATACCCTTTGCGTGAGATGAACCACCCGTGGGCGAGGTCTTGTAGATGTTACCGAGAGCACGCTTCTTGTAGGCCTTGTCCGCCTATATGTTTGTGCAGGAAATGAGAATGTTAGCTATGGAGAGACGACGTGACAGAGATACGTGCCCAGCGGTTCTCCCTGCGGTCGTTGCGGAGCTTGCGTGCTGCCTGAAGTCCACGGGGTTTGTTTGCTAGCACAAGCCGTCAGCATGATCCCAAGGCCAGACTAGACACAGACGGCGTACAGCCCATCTTGAGGAAAGCTTATCGACGACGACGACGAGGGATTGACGGAAGGGACTGAGCCTGGATTCGGAAGGGACCGAACTGCTTATGTAAAAACGATACAGCACCATTTGGACGGCACTTCCCACTTCATTCACGTGATCCTCTCTTTCCTCGCCGCCCCTGGCAGTGCCAATAGGTGCCATTCGTCTCGCGACCATAGCGGATCCGATTCTGAGACTGCTGCTCGTGCTTGACCTTCACGCGGAACCTTCAAGCTCCCGACGCGTCCATCTGTGTTGCCAGCGTCGCGTTCCTGAGAGGAATCATGCAAAAATATGCCAGAATAACGTCCCTCACAGTACGGTGTTATCGACGCGTCCCATTGCCATACGGCACAGTACTACTCCTCGGTGTGGCTCGTAATGAAATGATTGTGGAGAACCTGTCCTGAAAATAATCAATTTATCCATCCCTGCTGCTTATCGCGGACCGGTAGCCGTGCGACTGAACTCTCTTATATTCTTAGCTGCTTGAGATAGAGAGGGTGAGCGTCGTGCGTTGGAGCGCTCGCCTCGCACCCTCTTTGACTCGACTCACGATGTCTCTGGACACTACAACGCACTACTACTATCATGGTCGCTTTCGTGTTGCAGGCGGTATCATACCCAATGCTGTAACTGCATATCGAACTTACGGCGACCCCAAGAACCCATGTATTGTCTTTCCTACTTGCTATGGGGCAAAATTGGACGGTGAGCACTTCACTGTTCCCGGCACGTATTGGCGGTGAACTTGGGCAAGATTCTGGTTTGGTACCGCAAACCTACATGATCGGCAAGGATAAGGTACGGATGGCATACAGCAATGCACTGCAATAGTTAAGATCGCCACCAGACCTTAAATCCAGACAAATATTACATCGTAACGTTTGCTCTATTCTCCAATGGGGAGGTTGGTCCTTCCTCGGTTGTTTCGCCATCTCAGTATTTATGATGCGAGCGATCCCAGTCATCTTCCCCTTCGAACACGGTGCATATCGTACCTCACGGTGCAAACGATGTGCGTTTTGCTGACGCGTACACGGGTAGCCTTTCCCATATAACGGCCCGTATTTCCCTGCTGTGTCATACGAAGACAATACGTATGCTCTACTAGTATATGAAGGAGGACCCCAAAGCTCACCAGATGTCCCAGTCGGGCGCAATACACTGTCCTCACCCAAAAGCTGGGCATAGAACGTGTATACTGCGTCGTGGGTTTCTCAATGGGCGGGCAACAGGTGCAGTTCAGATCTACTAGTGGAGCCCGAGTTTCGCGGATACTAACGGGATTGTGCGACTTCGAAGGCTTACCACTGGGCGGTCATGTACCCCAATTTCATAGACAAGTGCGCATTTGGTTGAGTACACGAAACTTGGAACCTGGTCACACCATTGTTGGCAGATACGTTTGCATATGTGGATCGGCTCGGACCAGCCCCCATAACAAGGCGTACGTAGTCGCCCGTGACTATGCAATGTACTTCGAGCTAACGGCCCATCAGTTTCCTAGAAGGGCCGAAAGCGGCGTTGGTAGCGTCGAAAGACTTTGAAAATGGTCACTACACGCGCACTCCACATCATGGCATCCGGGCGTTTGCGCGCGTCTACTGTGCTTGGGCATATGGACAGAGCGTGCGGCGATTCCCTCTGTTCATTATAGCCGTTCCTGACATTGCAGAACATTGCAGTGGTTCAGGAAAGAGGGATACCTGCAGGATGGACGGTAGGTCTCTTCGCCCGCAGATGTTGTTTCATTCACCAATAGTTTTGATAACCCAATTTAGGTACACTAGCATGCAAGATTTCATTAGAGAAGACTGGGAAGCCGGATACCTTAGAGCTTGGGACGCTAACGATATGCTTACCCTCCTTCATACTTGGCAAACAGGCAACGTCGCGGCAGTCAAGGACGGTGGTGATTTGCCGATGTGCTTGGGTGCAATCAAAGCTAAAGGTCTCATTATGCCGTGCAAGACGGATCTCTACTTTACGGTAGGTGTTTCGGTCCTTGAGTTCTCATTACTACAATGGTCTTGCTGAGAAATTCTATCGCCATACAGCCCGAGGACAGCGAGATAGAGGTATCGTATATGAAAGAGACCGCTAAACTAGTGGTGATCCCATCCGTCTGGGGGCATTTCGGTGCGTCCGTGATGGGTGTGGTCAAGTATATATACTCATGCTTCATGATATTCTAGCCGGTGGCGGGTCTAACACGGGTGATGACGCCTTTATTAGGGACCAGGTGGTCGCCTTCCTTGAAAACTAGCGTCGTGGTGACGGTGCTCCGGATTCTCAGTTGACGAAACTCGAACGGGCTAATTTCAGCGAGATAAGGAGTAAAACTGAATATGCCATTACCTTCCTTTGTCCACTTATAGCTATGAGATGGTTCCCCCCCTCATGCGCAGGATGTCATGTTCGTGGCAACTGCTGTATTCTAAACTCTCAGACCCGCATTTGGCACCGAAACTCAAGAAGGCGCCCTGGAATATCGGCGACCTTCACGAGCAGCGACCGGGAGCAATGACTAGCGTGCTAGGTGGTTTCCGCATCGCGGGCCGACGTTATGAGATGGTGCTCCCGTAGGTTAATCTTAGCACACTAGGTTTAGACGGGGAGGGTGCGATTATGCATCGTGGAAGGCACTCCCCTTCCCCCCGTTGTCTCAATTCACCATGTCGCTTGAACCCGCAACTCAATACTATTACCATGGCCGGTTCAGGGTTGCGGGTGGTATACTGCCGAATGCGGTCACGGCTTATCGCACATACGGCGATCCGAAGAACCCATGCATCGTATTCCCTACATGCTATGGAGCTAAGCTAGACAGTGAGCTTGTTCTGATCCCCTGTAAGTAAGAAGGTTCATGAGGAGGATCACTCCGCCAACTAGGTCAGGCGTACATGGTTGGCGAAGACAAGGCGAGCCATCTAAGAATGTTGATCCATGCACTAGAATAATTGTCTCAGGTTCTAAATCCAAACAAATATTACATCGTGACTTTCGCCCTGTTCTGCAACGGAGAGGTCAGTACTCTCATCTTATGTCCCCAATCGCCACTACTGACCCTCGCCTATCGTAGTCATCATCTCCGTCCAATACGGTACTGCTGTATTAGTGTTTCCGGCATTGCTTGCCCACTGACGTCCGGCTGAAGCCCGTCCCCTACAATGGACCATACTTTCCCAGCATATCTTACGCGGATAATGCGTGAGCCTTGCACTCTGGTCTGAAACTTCGGCGCGCAATCTTATATGCCGTAGTCGGGCTCAGTACACGGTTCTCACCAAAAAACTGGGAATAAAACACATATACTGCGTTGTCGGTTTCTCGATGGGTGGACAAATGGTGGGCCTGTCTCCTGGATAACGCTAGCCAAGCTGATTAACTCTTCGGAAATAGTGTTACCATTGGCCGGTCATGTACCCGGAATATCTTGACAGGTGCTCAATCTCGTCCTTCAGCGATGGCTCAAGCTTACATCTGCATATGGCTAGGTATATCGTAATATGTGGCTCAGCTAGGACAAGTTGCCACAATAAAGCGTGAGATCCTTACTCTTGTCGATGTCGCACTATGTCGTCTTGATCAGTTAGCAACCAGCTTTCTGGAAGGTCCCAAGGCTGCATTGAGAGCATCCAAGGATTTCCAGGATGGGCATTATACGAGCATTCCTCAGCACGGTATCCGTGCCTTTGGTCGGGTATACTGTCCGTGGGCGTATGGCCAAACTGTGCGTCACGTATGCTTAGTCTTTCGACCCGCTATGCACCACCTTCCTTGTAGTGGTTCCGGAACAAAAAATACCTCTTCAACGGACAGTGAGTCCTTGCACCTGACACGGGTTCGGTCATCTGAAAGAGGGAATATCAGTTATTCGAGCATGGAGGATTTCATGCGCGAGCGATGGGAATCCAATTACTTGCTCAACTGGGATGCGAATGACATGCTGGCGCTGCTCAACACCTGGCAGACCGCTGATGTTTCCGCAATCAAGGATGGGGGTGACCTCGAGAAGTGTCTGGGCGCAGTCAAGGCCAAGGGCCTGATCATGCCGTGCAAAACGGACTTGTACTTCACTGTGAGCACTCTGTCGCTGACACTACGGACAAGATTGATGGCATGCCTTTCCTCTGTCAGCCGGAAGACAGCAAAGTAGAGACCTCGTACCTGAAGAGTACTGCAAAGCTAGTCATCATCGAGTCCTTCTGGGGACATGTTGGTGGGTCTTTTTAGTTACCTGCTGATTGATTCTCTAACTGGAACTGCTGCAGCTGGGGGATCTTCCAGCCCGGATGACCTCGCTTTCGTGCAGGCTCAAGTCAAGGCCTTCCTCGAGAGCGAGTAACTCTTGCATGAGAGATGCTCCTTGGACTCTATTTCCTATTCTCAGCGGTGCTATAGCATCCGCTCCTTGCTTTCGGTTGTCGAGTACTTAAGACGGTTGGTGTTTTACCTCGTCTCCACCGGTCTGTAAGCCGCCGGAGCGTCTGAGTCTGCTAGGTTGCGTATCACGGTGATTTGACGTCGTTCAACGCTTTCTCAGGTTCTTGTGGTATAATCTATGCAAGCAGATCGGGTGAGATCGGACTCTCGTACTACCGTTCCCTACTTCTTCCTTCGTACGGCCTGTACCTAACTTCAAGCATGTTAACGTCTGGAAGCCATTGTAGACGTCCAATAACCATATGTTAGGTCGCTTATCTGGCAGAAAGTCTCAGACTATGGTCGGTCGCTGGAAGGAACCGCGCACATGCATGCGAGCTTGGAACGTGTTCAAGGAGCGGCCCGGCGTCCCAGTCGCGTTCTTGCTGCCACAGCCACGTGGCTGTCGTATTCAGTTACATTCGAGCTTCACATCGACGTGTTGCGCACGCCGGGCAGCTCAGACTTTCTTACTCTGGTTTTAACAGTCTGTCAGAACCGCCGAACTGCCGTCTATCCTACCAAGGGCTGCTGCTGCTAGAAGCGTTCGAAGGGCGACATGGCTGGTCCGCGCACATTCGTGGCGTATGCGGTTCCCATCCTACTGTCCTTATGCGCCGATGCATTCTACCTACCCGGCGCTGCGCCTCACAACTACCGCCAGGGAGAGAAAGTTGATCTATTCGTCAACGCCTTGACTCCTATGTTAGCGGGTACGGACGACGCCAAACTCGTAAGTGGAAGCACGATCTCGAAATACCATGACATGATACGAAAGTGGTAGTCGGGCGTAGAAATCCTTGATTAATTGTACGTCCACTATACAAATTTGTTGTGGGTATTGCAGCTCATTTATTCTTATAGATGATTATTATAATCCGAAATTCCACTTCTGCGAGCCCGAGGGAGGACCAAAGAAACAGCCGGAATCGCTAGGTTCTATCCTGTTCGGAGACAGAATATTCAATTCGCCATACGACGTAAGTACTTACATGACACTGGCAAAGTCGAATCGGAAGTGCTCATACCTCCGTCTTCTAGATTCGTATGCTCGAAAATAACGGAACGTGCCAGACCCTGTGTACTGTCAGGGATGTGCCCGGAGAAGACGCGAAATTTATCAACGACCGTATACGGGAGGATTATGCTCTCAACTGGCTGATTGATGGTCTCCCTGCTGCCGAAATGAAAGTAGATCTCAGGACTGGGGATGTATTCTATGATATGGGCTTCAACTTAGGAAATGACGATGAGCCGTACCATGAAACCCCCGCCTTGAATAACCACTATGACATATATATCAGGTATCTCATCACCCTCCCGCCTCTCCTACCTCCTGGCACTCACAGCTATCGTAGATACCATAGCCCTAGCCCGGATAACTACCGCGTTGTGGGCGTACTTGTCTGGCCCTCCAGGTGCGTCCAATAGCTATTGGAGGTATACTCAAGGGATAATAGATTATATCAGCCATGGCGGTCCCCAGGATGGGCCAGTCAATTGTGAGGAGGAAGCCCCACCCTTGATCCTGAGCGAGACCGCCCCAAACATGATTCGTTACACATACCGTGTGACTTGGAATGTAAGTGTATATGTGACCTCTCGAGCATTCCTATATTGATATACTGCCTCCTGACAGGAATCAGACACTCCTTGGGTACGTTGCGCAGAGTGCAGGTTTCTCCTGACTTGCTAAACTTCAGACAAGGCGACTCGTTGGGACAACTACCTCCACATATTCGACCCGCGGATTCACTGGTTCAGCCTGATAAATTCCTTGGTTATCGTTGTATTCCTTTGTATCATGGTCTCCATGATTCTCCTCCGAAGTGTATCCCGTGATGTGTGTATCTTCGCCTCAGCCTTTTCAACTACAACTGACGCGCCTCAGATCTCGCGGTACAACGCTATCGACCTAAGCGTGAGTACTTCTCGAGCAGGCAACGTACTTTACGCCTAATCTCCGGGTTAGGAAGATGTTCAAGAGGACTGGGGCTGGAAGTTGGTCCACGGCGAGGTCTTCAGGACGCCTCGATACCCCATGGCGCTGTCCGTGTTGGTTGGTAACGGCGCTCAGCTGTGCGCGATGGTTGCGGTAACGCTAGGTACGTATACGCCCAGATAGGGCATAGCCTGTAGTCTAACTGGTAGCTGCCTGAAGTCTTCGCGCTGCTTGGGTTCCTGTCTCCGTCTAATCGAGGCTCTCTGGCTACCGTCATGATGGTCTGCTGGACGTTTTTTGGCGGGTGAGTGGATTCGTTCTCACCTGGACCGGTCAGGGCTGATTGTCTGCTAGGATCGGCGGGTACATTTCTAGCAGAGTGTATGCGTCCATGGGAGGAACGGATAAGCGCAAAAACTCTTTCATCACTGCTACCATATTGCCGACGTAAGTAGTGGACGGGTATGTTTTACGCCCTCTGGAGGCTCACGTTATCTCACAGGACCATCTTCGCCATCATCTTCCTCCTTAACCTGTTCCTCCTCGCCGCCGGTTCTTCTGGAGCTGTTCCGTTCGGTACGTATTTTGTGCAACATGGACCTCATGTAATTGAACTCGCTCGTTAGGAACAATGCTGTTCATCGTCATCCTGTGGTTCGGCATTTCTGCCCCACTGTCTGCCATTGGCAGCTATTTCGGTTCTAAGCATGGGGTATGCATATCCTCGTCTTCCTCGGAAGGTTGAATTCATGTATTCCGTTTGTAGGCTATCCAACATCCCGTGAGGGTGAATCCCATCCCTCGACAAATCCCTCCGACGCCAAAGTATCTCCGCCCTTGGGTACGGCCCAAACTTTCTTTCTGTCGGGGTAATACTCATAATCATCTCCCATCAGGCTGCGACCTTGCTCAGCGGTATCCTGCCATTCGGTAATGAGTAACTGCATATCGGACATCTTTATTCCACCTGACTCTCTGCCGCAGGTGCCGCCTTCGTCGAGTTATACTTCGTGCTGTCTAGTTTATTTGCTTCCAGAGCATACTACGCATTCGGATTCCTGGCTTTGACGGCCTTCGTGGTTGCTCTCACGACCGCTACAGTCACGATCTTGTTCACGTACTTCATTCTCTGCGCCGAAGAGTACCGGTAAGCCTAGATCTCGTAGGCTCTCTCGAGCGCGCTGACATACCGTGGTATGCAGGTGGCACTGGCGCGCATTCCTCACGGGAGGCGGGAGCGCTTTCTGGCTGCTAGCATATGGGTTCTTCTACTGGTTATCAAGACTGTCGCTTGACTCGTTCTCTAGTACGGTATTGTACTTTGGGTACCTCTTTCTTCTTTGCCTGTTTGATTTCTTGATCACGGGTGAGCGCTCTCTGTTTGATGCGACGAATGCCACTAAGACTCGATTTCGCAGGGACCATCGGCTTCCTTGCAACCTACTGGGCTGTCCGCAGACTCTATAGCTCGATCCGCATTGACTAATTGGCTTGTATCATACATCAATTTGTTGTCCTGGAAAACAAAACGGGGCAATTCTGCGCCTTTATTTATGCACTATTCCGATGCCCTCGTATACCAGGTGGTATGGGTTTGTCCAGCCATGAGTGGGATCTGTTCGTTTGATGTCATGAGACAACGTGAGTTCGAATATTCTACGATTACAAGATAACAGGACGGTTTTCATGGTGGCGCAGAGTAGGGCATGATGTTAAACTATAGGAATGGTCGTGAGCATAAGTAGGTTATACTTTTCTAAAAGACGGGCGGTGTCGCGAAACGGGTATACAGGTGCTGTGAACCACAGACGAAACATAACATGAAGCTTAGTCACTCAAGCGACGTATGTTGGTTGCATACTCCTATGCTTGACTGGCCAGCGTTGGCGATGGCCGACCGAACACCGGTCTGCTACAGAATGCAGCCTAAGTCAAGCCATACGCAACAGGAGATTGGGAATCACGTACTGGCTAGCTTCCATAGGCAACGAGGTGGACCTTGCGATAGGTGACCGAGGGTCAAAAGCATCGTGATACGACGTATTCCTAACGTGAATGGGCTGCGACAGACCGAGCGCATTCAGATCGATATGCCTGCTCCTGCTGGGCGACGGCAACGGTGCGTCCCCGTGCCTGCTAGGCGTCGGTAAAGGTGTGTTGGGCTCAGTCGGAACTACACCCTGAGGCGGGCTCGGAACAGCTACACTGGAGCTGGTCCGAGTCCGAGCTGTCCCTGGGGTCGCATTCGTGCGCGAACGCCGATGACAGCTGCATCGACAAGACGAGTGACTGGAGGCCGGGCTGCTGGCCAACTCGCTTTCCGTCCTTCTGGGCAAGCTCGCTGGCGATGAGCGCACTGAAGGGAGCGAGACAGAGGACCGCAACTCCAACAGCGGAGAGAGTGTCTCCGTTGTTGGAGTGTCCTCTGGCTTGGGCGATTCGGGCTCTGTCCTGGGTCGGGAGGGTTCCCCACGTTGCGCAGTGCTAGGAGAATTTGCGTGCACCCGAGTTGCAGGCGAGCGAGGCTTAGCGTTCGAAGTGTGTGCCTCGCATCTCTGGACTTCCACGCGCGGCGAACGAGGCTCAGTTTTCGCGACTCTCGGATAGGAGTGCTGTCTCTCTCCTTGACGGACAGGCAAACGGTGCTCAGGTGTAAGACGTCCACCATGTGTACAGTGCCTGTGTCCTTCTCGCGGCGGCGAGTGAGGTTCCTTTGTCATGGTCTGAAGAATTGAGTGTTGCCCTTCCACTTGATTCCCGGACGAACGGGCCCGGGACGCTACTCGTGGGGAAGTTGAAGACATCGCAGGTACAACTGGTTGTTGCGCTGGAGGCGGTGGTCCAGGGGAGCTCCTTGCGGGCGTTGAGTTCTGAGTGCCGTATTGAGTCAGTCCCGTAGGGGGAGACGAAGAAGTTCTATCGGTAGGAACTTCCTGTCGGTGGGAAGTACCCGCAATAGGCGGTGCAGCAGTGGTCACCGTACGACCACCACGCCCAATAGCTCGTACTACGCCGGCGCGTTCAGAGCGCTCATATACCGCAATAGCCTCTTCCTCAGTGCGAAAACTCTCGTGAATAGCATTTGAGACGCCTTGTATCTTGGGTGCAACATCCGCCCTAGAACAACAACAAAGGTCATATCAGTACTTGGACGCATGACATTCCAGCATCGTCACAATGCTGCTGAAGCTTCTCATGATTTGGCTCACTGAGTCATTTTCACGGCTACAGCAGACGTGAAATGGCTGCCCGGGGCAGTCACTGGCGACCGCGGATCCCCCCGAAGATAGACTTTTAGACTTCATCCGAGATGAAAGACCCACCAAGACGTATAGATCCCAGGTTCCGTGCCAGCAATGACGACGTACCACTTCGTTTTACCCATGGTGTCGCGAGAAAGGGGGTTGAGCGTCGCGGGGGGATGGTACGCGTCTTAAATGAGCGCGATTAATTAGCGAGCTGTGCCGCCTCGCGTTGCTGTATCTTACGTAGTGCCCGAGTTGCGAGTCATCACGCGGGTCCGGACGATTCGCAGCCTTCCTTCGTATCTTACACAGATGCCTTTCGAGGCAATTAGCGACCACGCGCAAGGAATCGTGGATGGAGATGGATCCGCTATGTCCGATTGGGTTCTAAAGCTGGGAAGCTGTGAAGCATAGGATCCCCATACATAGTTGCTGACACAGCCAGACTAAGTGAAGAATCTGGATGTGTACGAGGACTGTGCTCAGTCTCTGATACAATGGGACGTGGCACACAGTTCAACAAACCACGGGAGAGTACTGCGGGGGGAGGCAAGCTAACAGCGGGGATCATTACTGTCACGTCATGCCGGAATGTTCTCAGATCTGCATCCCAGGCATAGGCGGCGACGTATGATGGGGCGCATCAAGGAAGGCGGGATCCCGCAGTCTAACGAAGAAAGAAGCAGTCGGTGGTCGTCAAGAGCATAACCGACACACGGTGAACTGCTAAAGAATGTTCGGAATTGTCGGCGGGCCAAACAACTGGAGGCCACTCAGTAGAACGCCAGACATGGAGAATCTCGATAATGATTAGGGGACGCCAAATGTCTTATGGGATCTACTTAGATTGAACCAGCCGAACATAAGCAAGAGGACACAAGGGGAAGATCACACTGCAATATAGCCTCCTCTTGAGGAGTGTCGTGGTCGCACGGCAGAGCATAAATGAGAAACGACGTCCCGTAGCATGTAGGGTACTTCTCTCCAGAAATCGCGATGTCTGAATAGATTGCAGACGTGTTAACAAAGTACAGGTAAGCGTAAGGGTTGTAAACTTACGGTATGAGATCAGAGCCAGTAGCACCGTAGGTCGAGTAATTATAATAGGCGCCAAGACCGAAGTAAGCTGCCAAAGCTAGGAGCAAGCTGTAGGGATGTGAAAGGTCGGATGGGGAGGAATGTCAGATAAGCCGGAAGAGTAGACCGCTACGACTTACACAAGGAAGAACCATCCAATCCCACTGCCCATTCGCGTCTCACCCGACTCCGCGGGCTTCTTCTCCCCTTCTTCGTCCTTAGGCGGCTCTTCGCCTGCCTCGTGACCGCACCCCGCTGGCGCGCTCCACGAAAGCTTCAGCTGGCCCGCTTCATATGATGTGAATGTGATGTCCGAAGTCTCCTTTGAACAGAGCAGAGTCAGGTTGAATGACTGGGGTATCGAATTATCAGAAGATGGAGGGTATGAGGGGCCGTCGAACGTTATAGAAAGGCCCTCGGGTGCTACGGTGGTATGAGAAACGATGCGACGAGAAGCATGTACGGGGCGTACATGATAGTGGTGAAATCTCTCGGTTGCCGCTCGTCTGGGCTAATGGAATGACAGCAACTATTCGGTCTGGCTGGCCTTCCCTTTGGTTGATCTTGGTTAGACACGCTCTCGTCCCACTGGGACACTTCGCCATACGCTGCTCAGCATGATACTCCGCTAGCGACACGACAGCCGTACAAACCTGATCTGCCTCCGCGACGTCCTTCTGCTGCTGCAGTTCTCCACATAGGTCGAACCGCACCGAGTCCACCATTTTGCTTGGAGGAGTATCACGGGTCCGTGACACGGTGTGCTCGCCTTTGAGTGCAGTCAAATCGTACTTGACACCATTACGATCAATACTGCAGTCATCCTGAGCGCCCGCGGACAGCACTAGCACCGAGAGAGCAAGAAATATTGCAGAAACAGGAGAGAACGGCTGGACCTGACGCCGGCGAGAGACCATCTATGATTAAAGGTTGAGCTAAGAGGCAATATGAAGAAGACGGCAAGGCCAGACGATATGAATAGAAACCAAGATCACTGCGTCGTAAACGTCGACTCGGACGTCGGCCTCAAAGCCACGACGCGTGCTACCCCAGCGGCAATTTCCGACCGCAGGACGCGTAATAGTAACGCGTCTCCTTATTATTCCTCTGTACGCGCCACAGCTCTGCAGAACTCGGCTTCACCGCCCTTTACAGCATATCGCGATTGTTTTATTGACTTCCTCTTAGAACCAGCGGTTTCATAGACGGACATGGCGGGACTTGAGCCTCTAATATCGCTGATATACCACGAAAGGCAGCAGCCAGGCTCTATGCTCTGCGCGCAACATGCCTTGAACAACTTATTGCGTACGCATTTGTTCCTTCTGCTTTTGCTGCGATTCTGAAGCCAACCTATACTCTGCAATATATAGAAGGGAACTATGTGGGTACTCCAGCTCGATCTTTTGTTACACGTCAATCGATGGAGTTCTGGGTAGTTCACGGCTCCCGATCTATCATCCATCGCAAGCAGCCTTGATGCGCTCGAAGGCAGCTATCACACCGACGCGGCAGCTGGCCCTAGCACGAATATGGACGATACTGGTGAGTCACGTCCACTCGGCTGCGCTTTCCAGCTACATGCGCAGTAGGATTTTTCTCTGTCCAAGTGCTTGAGAACGCATTAAACGTGTGGGGTCTGAAGTGATTATTTTATTGCGTATGACTTTCGCCTTCCATGTCTAACACATCTGATAGTCTCGTCCGATGGCGAAGTGCAGACATGCGCCCGTTTCAAGATCGCCCACAGTACGTTGCATACCTGATATTATAACGACGTATCTCATTGGACTGTAGCGAACAGCTCGGCTTTATCCTGAACTTAGAGCAACACTGGTTCACGCTACGACGATTTGGACAGACCGCCTCCATCGGGGAAAGTCATTGGTTCAATCTAAACTCTTTCCTCGAATCACCGGAGTGGGTCAGTAAGACGTACCTTGGTATGGTTCTGCAGCAAGCTGAGACAGAAGGTACATACCCCAGTTCCAGCACGTTCTTGGTCGGTTTACCTATCGTCGATAACTTTTAGGGTACTCGGTTTTCGTAATAACTGAAGAACATGAAGGGGCCTTTCCCCGTACTGAGGCGGACCACCTCGCATCTACCATCCGAGAACCCAGTTCCGCGTCTGGTGCTCGTCTATCCACATCGCGAACCGCTGACCCTGCCTCCAAGATGGAGGGCTTTGAAGATGAAGACATGGAACTGCAAGCTGCGCTACAGGCCTCTTTAATGGGTGGAGCAGCAGATGAATTGCTGGTCCCGGAAGCCAGAACGGGGGCCACCAGTGACTCTGGTCTCGGACTACAGCTCGGAGCTGGGCAAAGTGCGTCCATTCCTCTACGTGGCCCCGCGAGGACTGGGAGCACTCCTGGAAGCGGAACGAGGACGCCCACCTCTAGAATGCCGGGTCGGTTCAGCGGCAGGACGGACGAAGATGAAGATCTATTTGGTGGCGTAGAGGAGTATGGACTTGGCGGTGGGAGCGCAGACCCGGTGGAGGCCAGTATGGCACGTAACCGAGCTATCATGGAGCGGATGCAGAGGGAACAAGAGATGGCGCTGCGTGCAAGCTACCAAGAAGAGGACCCGGAGCAGCAAAGTCAGGCTGCTGCGAGGCGGAGGCAACGAGAGGAAGAGGAAGAAGAGATGCTCAGACGTGCGATCGAGGAGTCTCGTGCACTCCATGAAGCGAGTACTGCTGCAAGGGCACAAGACAGGGACGACGACGACATGGAGGTAGAGGAAGTACTCCCAAGAGTCACGAGTCAAGCAGCGCCGTCATGGAACCCGTCTGAACATCGTGTATACGATGATGACGATGCCGAGCTTCAAGCGGCATTGCGGGCTTCTCTAGAGCAAATGCCGGAAGGATTCCAAATCCCCGAAGAGTCACCTGCTCAGCATCCCGATCCCTCGCTTTCCAGGACGTCTCAACCTCCCTCGGCTGCTACAGCTCAGCACTCAAGCACAGCCGAAGGTGAAGATGATTCCGAGCTCGAGTCTGAGGCGGATACCAGTTCGGTGGCTGAGACACCAGCCGAGGAGCAGCTCAGTATGGAGGAGATCAGGAGGCGGAGGTTAGCTAGATTTGGCGGCTGAGAGAAGGATTGCACTTTCTCGTCCCGCGATCATGCAAGGCTTCGATAGTACCTGTGATAGGTAATGTGTATCAGAGACTCAAGCCCGACCCGTGCTCAGGGCTGTGTTTTCCCGAGTTCTCACTCCTCTTGCAAGGACATGGCAGTCAAGAATTACATATCAATGATTCTTCGAGACCAGGAGTACGGGCAAGGTCAATCGTCTTCTCCGTTATCATGGATGTCTACCAATGTTCCTGCTTCGATTGAATGAATGACTAACCGGTACGTATTGCCGACTTCCACAAGGGCAGTCGCATATATGCAGTAGAGCATCCCCACCTCGGACAGCTGATACCCTGCTGACCAAGCCCAAGAAAGCGGACGGACGGATATAAACGCTTCCATGTTTGTTGCATCTACGGTCTTCACGCACTATGGCTACATATACGACTGCGAAAGTCGGAGGTGAAGGTATAGAATTCTACTTCGCAGATTCCGGAGCTGTTCCAGGATCAAATGACTACACGACCCTGGTCCTTTACCACGGGAGCGCATTCAATAGTCGTAAGCGTCCTCTCGTTCTACCGAACATCCACTCGCGCTCATTACAACTTCTTTGTAGACAGCTTCCACAAACTTCTCCCCCTCGCCACCTCCCGCAACCTCCGCATCGTCATCGTTAATCGAAGGGAATACCATGGCTCCACGCGATACACCGACGAAGAAATCAGCGACCTGCAAGCCGGGCGCAAGACATTCTTAGAACGCACTGGCCTACACACCGCCGAGTTTCTCATATACTTCGCGCAGACGCACGACATTCCTAAGATCAGCCCGGACCGCAAGCGCGGCGGGTTCGCGGTCATGGGCTGGTCCATAGGCGTGGCGACCGTCCTGGCTCTGCTGGCGCACCCTCAGGCCATGCCGAAGGAGTATTATTCTCAGCTCGACCCGTATCTGCGCTCGATCGTAATGTATGGTGCGCCATGACTTCTCGAAGTTTATTCTCTCTTGCCGTCCTTACGGGTGTGCGTATGACTGCCAGACCCGCCATACTTCGCATTCGGGTACGAACTAGATGGCGAGGTCGACCCGTACAACCCGTGGACAGACCCCAACATCAAGACGCATGAAGAGCGTTACCGCATATTCCAATACTGGGTCAGCTCGTACTACGACCACTTAGACATCACCTCGGGCTCGATGAGCGGGCTGGACTATAGGCACCGTACGGAGCAAGCGTCCATCGACAGTATGTCCCCCGAAGAACTCTCGCTCATGTACGAGGAGGCGGCGGCTGTCCGGGCGGAGCTTCACATGGTCCTCCCGCCCATGCAGTCTACCGTGAATGCGCAGGCAAAACGCGCGTTATTCGATGAGTCACTCGCTCAGACGGTGCTCCCCGAGTTGCAGGTTGTGCACATCGTGTGCATGCGCACGCACTGGCACTGTATGTGGGGTCACATCCAGACCAGGAAGAAATACGAGGCGCATGTGGCAAGAGGGGAGAAAGTGCGCCTAATAAGTTCTGTCCAGATACCCCAGGGCAACCATTTCGTGAGTCTAATTAGTGAAATTGAAGACGTTATTGAAGTAACTGGCTTCTTAGGTACACTGGGATCGCCCGCATGAGTTCCTGGACGTACTCTCTAGCGTCGTACAGCCATCATGACCTACCTATATCGCAATGCTTTTAACCACTGGAAGCTTTCGCGCGGCTGGTGAGAGAAGCTACATAAATGATCCTCGCTTGTTAACAATACTCCCATCTTCATATTCCGACATTTGATGGCCTGCAACAGGATAATTTCATAGAAGATTTCAATTCCTGAGGAAGTTGAGCCCAAGTGTGGCAGATTCTAAGGGGAAACCTTGCTAAACACTCTCGAGTGATTATGCCTCAGGTACGTATGCTCGAAACGCTGTATTATGCGTGGGTGATGGTACAAAGTGATACATCCAATGTTACAATCTTAGCGTTCTTGGTTCATCGTCCGCTTAGGAACGGTTGCCCATGCCCAGAGCGTTCTTGGTCTTGTCCATGATCGACTCCTTGATTATAAGTCAGTACGAGCTCGTAAGGAGGCAGTAGAGAGTCAACATACCGAGTCGTTGTTGGAGTTGCCGCTCAGGGTATCGCCAGCCTTCTGGGTGTAGGACTTCTCGGACTGGGGTTGGGCGGAGGAAGCGGCAGAGTCGGCCTTGCCCTTGAACTTGTCCCCAACATGCTCGGTGAAGCTCTTCTCAGAGTCGGGCTAAAGAACGTGATTAGCCTCGTTCGCAGCCGAGCGCATTAGCAAGAGACACCAACCTTCAGGGAGGCCTCAGCCTTGTCGGTGAAAGATTGACGGCCGGTGTCAGACATTGTGGTATGAGTTGGTGGAGGTGAGGATGGGTTGTGTGAGTGAGAGGTAGAGAACTGATGCTGTCCCTCGACGCGTCCGCCGGGCTTATATACCTCTGGAACTGGAGGGACGCGACTGGATAGATGACGTCTGACCTCTAATGACGCGCGGTGACGCGGGTCAGTGGTAGTCACATGACCGTACCCTTATGGTAGTGGCGCCTCCTTATTTGGAATGCACCCAGGCGCTGCTCCACGACAGAGGCGCCACTGTGGCTCCCCTGGATGCCCTTGGCAGTCGAAACCCCTGCGTTGCTGACTTGGTCAAATCACAGTGCACGCGTGATATCATGCGCAGCATATACCCTCGCGATAGCGCGTCGCAGGATCCGTACGTGGTCTTAGGCTTACCATGTCCCGCCATACAATGTCCTCGTCTTCCTCGATGAAGAAAGGCGTTGGATTGATAACCATCGATTAGATCGTCCTAGCATACATATACACCGATATTAGTACACAAGCAGCGTTCCCAGAACTATGACACAACAGAGAACAGTTATCGATACACTTTAAAGGCCCGTCTCAGGGGCATAAGGCATGTAAGGGTCCGTAGGATCATACCCGGCGGCTTCTTCGCGATACCGGCGGCGACGTATGGCGGATCTCAGATACCGCGAGAACCGGTTCCCACCGCCGCTCGAGTCCCTGTGGTTCTGGTGGAAATCGTGGGGCGGCCCATGCCCTTCGCCTTGCATCATCGTCTCGAGTGCGTGGAAGTCTAGGCAGCGCATTCTGTCAGCGTTACGAGTCGCTTGGCTGATTTTTGAACCGCTTACCGTGACGACAGATCGGACACGAGCTGGACAGCTCGAGCAGCCACGGATCGACGCACTGCTTGTGGAACATATGCTTCCCCTCGCAAGGCAACACCCTCAAGTCATCCCCCTCTTCGAAGTCCAGAATGCATATAGGACACGTTTCGCGTCCAATGACATCCGGGACGACATCTTCCGCGGGGCGTGCCCGTCCAGATGGTCGACGGGTAGGCACCACTCGCGATGTGCTGGCTTGACTCTGCTCTGCATCCTCTCCGTCCTGCGACGCAGGCAGAGCTTCGTGGCCGCCTTCACTCCGCTCCACCCGCCGCTCGTCGGCAGCGTCCTTGTTGTCTCCAGGTGTCTGCCGACCTGTGTGAGACAACGCCGGAGCCTCTCCCAACTCGATGTCTTTGGTGTCCTGCGTGCTATCCTGGCCACGCTCTCTGTTATTATTCTGCCCGAACTTGACCACAGGGAAAGTGTCAAGGATAGCACGTCCGAGACCTTGAGCACGACTCTGCGTAAACGACCCGCGACCGTTGAAGTCACCCATCCGAGGCCCATACCTCTCCGGGTGCCGGATTGCTCGGATAGCCTGTGCCTCGATATGAGATATTAACAACTGTCAGGAGCAGGGTACTCACTCCGGTGATGATCACAACGCAGAAGAGAGACGACACACATCCCGTGATAGCATACAGGATGATCCTAGAAGACGCATAAGTCTCGGCGCGTACGCGCAAGGTAAGCTACTGACATGGCAAGGCTAGAATTCCTGTTGCTACCTGAACCCTGTTCCGCGGAAGTAGACCCTGTGGGGGTGTCGCCGCCCCCTCCATCCACAGCTCCGGTCCCCGTAGCATTGTACGCCTTGAGCTCGGCGAACATGAAACTCGACACATTCATCAGGCCGGTGGACATGGTGTTGTTGATAATAGCGGCGGAGGCGTTCAGGAGGGAGGCATTGTAGTTCCCGTAGAGGGTTTTATTGATAGCAGACGAGTTGAATTGGTACTCTATGAGTCTGCACAGAGCACGGGCACGGTGAGTCGACGGTGCACGCACAAACGGCCTATGGCAGGCCACGTACTTTGCGGACGTAAGTGACTGGGTCGAGAATATGTCCATCACCTGCTCGAAGTTCTCGGGGTTGGCATAGTCCGGGTTGATCACGCATGCCTGCGAGTACTCGGAATACAGCAGCTGTCCGCACGCACGCCGCCACACAAGCACGCGTCCATCATGTAAGCACGACGCACGTCACCTTCGGAATGGAATGACAGACGTACAGCAGCTTTCGCGCCTCTATCCCGAGCTAGGGTGAAGATATCGTCGACCTGCGAGGCATTGGTAGCGTTTTTGTCGCATGCAACAAGAGCGATCCAGGGCGTGGTGGCTGTGCGGACATTGTTAATTCATGGGTCGCGGGGCATGAGGCCAAGGCACAAGCAGCTCACTCGTCTCATTATTCCAGCTCATTTCTTCCGAAAAGTGTACTAGGGCTCCCTTAAAGCGCGATCTTCATTAGGGCACTGACAAAGACCGGGTATGTTCACAGATATCTCACCTGGCTGACCCCGTTGCTCCCATTCCCAACGAGCTGATAAGAGACGGTTTCCGAGTATGATCTGTAAGCGAAGCAGCCAGACGTTATGTTCAGGAAGATAAGCCTGTGGATGGACGAGTGATGCGAACCCCATGTACCACTCTAAGTAGAGCATAGACACATCTGAGATATTCGGACCGCCTGCGACTCCTGTAGAACTGTTGGTCGGCGACGCCGGGATATACGCCCAGACGCCCAAGCCATAGAGAAAGGATAGGAAAGCACAGACGACACCGAAACGAAACGAGAAAGCCATGGCGGGACGAGCCAACAGCCTTGGGAAGGAGATCCCAGGCCTTCCGAGAGCTTAGGGCTTATCGGGACACAGCAAGCACGGCAGCGGGGCTGATAACCGTGGAAGGACCAATTGTCGCTGTCGTACGCCGTTATGTCCCACCGAAACCCATTCCAGTTCTGCAGTGCGGAGGCAGGCTCGAAGCCTCGCAAGCTGCAAGGTCGGGGACGGGCTGCGCAGGGTGCCGAGTGCCACTAACCACGAGGAGAAACCGGCGGCCGAGAATATGTAGCAATTGTTTTGTTTCAACTTGCTTTCAACACACATCGCGCGTACCCTCCGACACGTAGAGTAACAAGAGTTGTAGGTGTGAGAGTGATAGAGGACATGGGCGTGTTTATCCCTGTGCTTTGCTACCTGATGTGATGGTTTGTCATATATGACCATCATATGTGGATACCCAGAGACTGCTCAAAAGAGAGTATTTGCAGGAGGCGAAGTGGACACTTTTCCCGCTTAGCAGACAGCCCACTTCGGATAATGCGAATGCACCACAAACACCCAAAATATGATATTCTGCACCACCTACCCGTTAGCATTGGGTGTATACCTACGTATAGGGTAATATGCTGTGTCAGAGTTTCCAATGTATCCCCAGCTTTTTCCGCGAATGGCTCCGACGCGCACCACTGCTGTTTTCACTTCGCCTAAGATCTCGTGTCAGATCAGATAGCTAAAGTTGACTTCGCCTCCTGCAAATACTCTCTAAAGAATGTGATTGCTACGACCCGAGATTTTTACTGCGGACAACGTGCATTTGGACAAGTACCAGAGGACGATCAACTACGACAAGTGTCGCTGTCGCTATACGTACGAGCGGTTCGAATTCCCCGCTCGTACTTTTACGTTCTCCCCCTTTTGCTAAGCTAGAGAGGGTAATATGGAATACGCACCTCATAGACCGTCCCACGCGTAGTGCTGACAAAACATTGAGCTATTGTTGAGCAGGCTAGGAAAGCTGAATGGCAATGAAGGGAAGCATGGACTGTGAGGCAGGGGTAGACCAGTTGCCCTGATAGTGTGCTGGATATCACGGTCATATTGGGTATCTACCGTTGCCGAGCAGGACCAGGTCGACTTTGAGCGTCGCGAGTTCGGATTGTGGTGTTGGGGTCTCTGTGGCGTGGTTCTGTGACATGCAGTCACATTTCCAGTAGCTAGACGTCTACCATATATAGTGTGACTACCGCCATACTTGGGTGGTACTGAAGTCAACTTCGAGGCCCAAGCGGGAAGCATTGTTCATTCAAGCCATATTGAATACCGTTGCCGAGCAGGACCAGGTCGACTTTAGGAAATCGAGCACAGCAATGCGGGCTTGCACTCGGGGTCCTGGCACCGCGTGATGGAAAGGAGTGACATCCACCTCTAAATATCGAGTTCCTCCTGTGCTAATGCTTATTGACTTCTATGTGCTCTCTAAGTACACTTCTATTAGGTCTGAGAGTATGGAGAGAGCCTCTATATATATACAGTCTGGTACAGTATATGTGTAATTGGCACCCTTCTCCTTTGTATGAATTGTGCAATACTATATATTACCAAGGTCTGCCTATGGTATAAGTGACAACTCTGCTTCGTAGTTTAAGATCTAGACAAACCATGTAGTCCGGTTCATAGCTCATATACACTCATCATGGAATTGTAGGAGTGGTGGTGTTTCAGGATTGATGTGACTCTCTAACACCCATCCTGACTCGGAAGGTAACAAGGTACATTGGTGAGGTATCCTGTGCCTCAAAGGCTCCAACAAGAATTCCAGTGGAGGAAAGTGCTATTCAAAGCAATGTATTGCACTTTATAGTAGGTTGGATAGCTAACAACAGTGGACTATGTGTTGGTATCAGAAGCCAGCCGGTGAACTGTCCTAGGCTACTACTAAATCTGAGTGTGACCAGCCTCATGTCCTGGCAACTTGTATCATCAATGTAGAGAAACATTAAACATGTCACCATTGAAGCTTCAATACGGCTTGAATGAACAATGCTTCCCGCTTGGGCCTCGAAGTTGACTTCAGTACCACCCAAGTATGGTGGTAGTCACACTACATATGGTAGACGTCTAGCTACTGGAAATGTGACTACAGGTCACAGAACCACGCCACAGAGACCCCAACACCACAATCCGAATTCGAGACGCTCAAAGTCGACCTGGTCCTGCTCGGCAACGGTAATTGAAGCTTCAATCTCTACATTGATGATACAAGTTGCCAGGAGATGAGACTGGTCACACTCAGATTTAGTAGTAGCCTAGGACATGTACTTAATTCACCGGCCGGCTTCTGATACCAACATATAGTCCACTGTTCTTAGCTATCAAACCTACTATAAAGTGCAACACATTGCTTCGAATAGCACTTTCCCCCACCGGAATTCTTGCTGGAGTCTTTGAGGCACGGGATACTTCGCCGATGTACCTTCCAAGTCGGGATGGTTGTTAGAGAGCCACCTCAATCCTGACATGCCACCACTCCTACAATTCCATGATGAGTGTATACGAGCTATGAACCAGACTACATGGTTTGTCTAGATCTTAAACAACAAAGCAGAGTTGTCACTTGTACCATAGGCAGACCTTGGTAATATATAGTATTGCACAATTCATACAAAGGAGAAGGGTGCTAATTACACATATACTGTACCAGACTATGTGTATAGGCTCTTTCCATACTCTCAGACCTAAAAGAAGTGTACTGAGAGAGCACATAGAAGTCAACAAGCATTAGCACAGGAGGAACTCGATATTTAGAGGTGGATGTCACTCCTTTCCATCACGCGGTGCCAGGACCCCGAGTGCAAGCCCGCATTGCTGTGCTCGATTTCCTAAAGTCGACCTGGTCCTGCTCGGCAACGGTAGGTATCAGACAAGAAAGGACGAAGAATGGGCTGCTAGCCGGTGCCAATTTTTTGCTATAGCTATGCGTTGGCTGTTTGCCCGGTGCCGGACGTCTGATGAAAAGCTATGAAAAGCCGAATGAAAGAGCCGGAGCGTAGCGAACCATACAAAGACGCGAAGTGCTAAGCGAGCCTTAGCGAGGACGAGCGTCGGCGAAAACAGGCGAAAACATGTTCCCAATTGGCACCCCTGAGCGTAGCCGACGCCTATCGGTAAGCGAGCCAATCCCCTGCTGAACACGTACTTGAACTAGAGACCGCTGGGGCGGGAGTTGTGTGCTATTGTGTGTACTGGACGAGAGCAAGCTGCGAGTGATAGAGATATATTTGCGGTCACGGGCTGCTGAGCGTTACGACAAGTTTCCACGAGGCGCACTGTCCAGCGTCGACTAAGGTCAGCAGACCGACATCGCAAACTGTCTCGATTGCGTACGGTGGTTAATTACAACGCCGGGTTTGTCAGGCGAGATGGCCTCTCTTATCGTCGCATACGACAGAGCGGCCGCGAAACGCTCCTCAAGTCGTATGAACTGCAAGCAAAACGTCGCAGGACACGCCGGTATGGCAAAGGAAAAACCCTACACGGAATAGGCTCAAGCTGCAATAGGGGCTAACAAGAGGACGCGAGATTTGTATAATTAGATGCGAGATTGCTTGCCGGTAATTGTATCCGCGAAACTGGCCGGAAGAGCATCGTAACGGAACCTGGATCCATACACCCTTGCCTTCGGCTACGCTCGGCCACATCGGTATGTGCATCCGGCTGGCTAAGGATTTACAGTGACTCCTTTGCCTCTTACTATCATGTTCGCCCGCGTGTCCAAGTCATTCCACCCCGCTGCGGCCCCTAAGAATACGGCCCCAGCCATCGGCAGGGGTGTAATCGCGCAAGTAGGGACACCAAGGTACGTATTTGTTCATTGAGAGATCTTTGGACTGCGTCATGAATGCCATCGGTGGTCGAAATGGTATTGATAACTGTTCAACAGAGGCCCGACTCAAGAAGGTAGTCGCCCAAATCAGAGGTCGCTTTCCACCTCATCTGTCTCTCGACCTAAGGCACAGACAGCCGGCTCACCCAATAAAATGCGTGGAGTCTCGACATTAACACAGTTCGGCCAGAAACATGTCACGAAAGGTCTGGGTCGTTTGACCGAGGCAGTAGTCACGAAAGGCGAGGGCTCCTATGTGCAACTGGATGACGGACGCCGAATGCTCGACTTTACAACTGGCATTGGTGTCACCAGCCTCGGTAAGCAAAAAGGAGTATGTTCAGTAGGACAGTCCCTGAACTCTCGCGTCGCTAGGCCATTGTCACCCGAAGGTTAGCAAAGCGGCGGCGGACCAGTGTATGAATCTCGTCCACGGACAGGTACGTGTCCATTTCATTGACCCACGTTCATCGGCTGACGGAGAATGACACCCTGAAGTGTAGTATCGCCTTCCATGAGCCTTACTTACGGCTCATCGAGAAGCTACTCCCGATTATGCCCGATCCCTCCTTGGACTCATTTTTCTTCTGGAATTCCGGATCGGAGGCGGTCGAGGGTGCTATTAAGATGGCCAGGTGGTACACCGGCAGGCAGAATATCATCACGATGCAAGGTAAGTTCGCAACTCGCCTCCAATCATATCACCCATCGACACTGAGCGGCACTGACCAGGCGGCTATCACGGGAGGACCTTTGGCGCTATGGCCGTTACCCGCAGCAAGACGATATATAGCGAAGGATGCCATCCGCTCATGGTAGGTTCATATTGTGCTGCCTGCCTGCAAAAGCCCAAATAGTAACCGCGTGCATACATAGCCGGGTGTCTTCCCGGTTGCCTATCCCTACTGGCACCAACACGGCCTCCCTCCTAATACCAGCGAGGATGAGCTTAGCGAGCGGTCCCTGTACCAACTCGACCTCCTTCTCTCGCAGCAAGTGAACCCCAAGGACGTCGCCGCAATTCTGATCGAGCCTGTCATCGGTGAAGGCGGATACGTACCAGCTCCCAAGTCCTACCTGGAGGGTTTGCGCACAGTCTGTGACAAACACGGCATACTCTTGATCATTGATGAGGTCCAGAGTGGGTTCTTGCGGACGGGCAAGTACTTCGCCATTGAGTATAGCGGTGTCCGGCCGGATATCATGATTGTCGCGAAGGTCAGAGCATTTCTCCTCGTTGCTGACGAGACACTGACTGGCTGAGGCAGGGCATTGCGAACGGCTTTCCGCTCAGTGGTATCATTTCTCGAAAGGAAATCACGGATAAGCTTTCCCCAGGCTCCATGGTGAGCATATTGACTCGTATGATAGTCCTGTATTCTCAATTGTCTCCAGGGAGGCACCTATGCAGGAAATGCAGTAGCGTGCGCTGCCGGTGTCGCAGTCGCGGACGCCATGAAGGAGGACAAGATTCAAGAGAACGTCGCCGCGCGGTAAGCATCCATCTTCTCGCACCCTCTTTCGCGAAGCCATTTATATTCCTGTAGGTCCAAAGAGTTGTTCGATTCACTGGCCGAATTGCGCAAGGATGCAGAGATCGGCTCGAAGATCCTGGATGTGCGTGGCAGGGGTCTCATGGTGGCTGTCGAGTTCGCCTCTCCAACAGGCACCCCTCACGATCCCCTTGTTGACCCTTCGGCGCCGCAAAATCTGGCAAAGAGGGTGGCCAAACGCTGCCTAGAGAAGAACCTGTTCATTCTGACCACGTCCGTTTACGAGGTCATCCGGTTCATCCCTCCTCTCAATATATCGAAGGAGGATCTGGCTAAGGGGTGCAAGATCTTCGCTGAGGCCGTGAAGGAGGTCGTTCGGGAGGGGTAAATCACCATGCGGTCTTAACCGGTGGATTTCATTGTAGATCTATGTTGAGAACTAAATTGTAGCATGCCGGGACATTGCGACATTGCTGTAGCTATACGCACGGAATGGATATGAGATTTTCTCCTTTGGCGCTATGCATTCACTACGCTTTCTACACTGTTGACGATTTACCACAAAGCGATGCTTGATCACGAACCGCGAACATCTGAATCTAATCTTGCTCTTGGTTCTTGGACTCGCTCCTTTGGCTATCTTTGTACGGCTTCCCGCATTCCGAGAGTCCACTCCGCTGATTCTTCCGGATCGCAATGATAGAAATGTTACTCAGTTTAGCGTTCACGTCAGTCATCAAGCCAACCAAGTGTCCCCATGTCGTACGTGAACCTGTATAAACCTCCTCCACCCCATGGTCCGACCTGGGGACCCGACCCGTACGACATCAACATCGTCTTCAATATTGACTTCAACCTACTCGAGAACGACAGACTCAAGTTAACGCCATTCATACCGGCCAAGCACGCCCAGCTCTATCTCGAGCAGTCGCACGATCGTCCAGAGCTCTACCGATTCCTTCCTTGGCAATTCCCGACGCTCGACGATCTGCTGAGCAAGTTGGAGGCTTGGCGTCTCGATCCGACATGGCTTACGCTTGTCATTATTGACAAGACCAGGAACAGCGACGATCCCAGCAACCTATCCAGCGAGGGAGGAGGGGTGGCCGGCATCGTCGCGCTTATTCATGGCGACCCCCATAACTTGACGGTCGAGATCGGAGCCATAACCATCCTCCCGTCTTTTCAGCGCACCCATGTAACGACGCACATGGTCGGCCTCCTTCTTCACTATTGCTTCTCACTTCCTACGGCGGATAAGCCAGGGCTGGGTCTGCGGCGTGTGCAGTGGGCTGGCAACCCAGCCAATGCCCCTTCGTTCAGAGTTGCAAAGAGGTTTGGTTTCGTGAAGGAGGGCGAGTTGAGATGGACGTGGGTTGTGCAGCCGGACGGAAAGGAGAATATTCTGAAAGCAAGGGTTGGTGAGTTGCCGGGAAGAGGTAGTGCCTTATATGCGCTCTGCTGGGATGACTGGGAAGCGGGGGCCAAAGAAACAGCCCGAAGACTCATGGAAACGAAGTAGCTCCGTGTAGCTATAGCACTGATGTGTATCCGCTTCGATAAGTCGGAGTCTGGTTATGAACTCGAATTGCTAATAGCTATAGTATGATGTAGGTCTAATGTGATGTCCAAGTCATTCATACCAGCACCGTACACTTAGGTCGGTGGAGCCACATTTTCCCCTTGGCTTCCTAAGACTCTGAGCGACTAGTGAGAGCGCTATCAACATGCGCGGACACAACAGAGGGAAACAGCTCAAGAACGATATTATATGTTCATGTCTAAGTTACAAATGCTGTCCAAGAGAGGTTCTACGATAATACTAAGAACAACAGCAAGTACAACAATCCAGACCCTCTCTATGCTGGATAAATATCTTATCTCTATGGGGAGTGTAATTAGTGTAGACACCTATAGCAAGTCCTAGACCCGAGCCTTGCACGCTCGGGATAAATAATGCAAGAGATTGTAGGGACTGTGGTAGCCAGTTGCATGTTGAATGAGTGAGTAGTGCGACAATTGTAGAGACATAAATAGATGCAGGATTATTTCTTGTGGAGGGAGGCCGCTCATCAAAAGTCGTGCGACCCGTGTTGAAGATGACGGCCGACGTGGTGAACCCTGCGCATCTTCTTGGTAGTCGGGTTGGTTCCGTTGTTAACGCTTTCGGGGCAGAGTTGGTCCCAAGCAGCTGGGGCAAACCTATTAGTTGGATCTATGAATGAGTTTGGGGGCGTCAGGCGTACTCGGAATCTTTCCCTCTGCTGCGGTGGTACCGTTGGGATTCTCGGCCATCACAACCGCAAACCCACTGTCATAGGAGGCTGAGTGGGTATAACAGGGATAGAGAAAAAGGATACGTACGCCTGCAAATGCCAGTCGATGTGGCTGCGATCAAAGGACGTTCATTAGTACAGGGGCATCATCATTCGGCAGTATGCGACTGATCGTACCAGTGCAGGAACCACGGGCCCGAGTTGTCGGTCACAAAGCGGATCGTAACGTTATCCGAGTTATTTGCGTCGGCACCGCCGACGCTGACAACGTCACGCCTGACCGGGCTATCGTAGTTGTATTTGTCGGACCCTGCACTCCTAACGACGGAGAAGGTGTGCTAAAAAGTCCCATGAGCCGCGTGTCTGAGAAACTCCAGAGTGTTGTACTCACTCCGTGCAAATGAATCGGGTGCTTCGGGCGTCGCTTTGGTTTAGTAGATACAGAGAGGGAAATGCGGAAGGGTATCTCACAGGAGCGCCAGCGCTAGTCGCGCTTGCCATCGGGAAAGATATTTCAATAACCTGGTTGGCTATTTACCGTACGAAAGGTCAGAGAAACTGGCGGGCATGAGAACGACGGTGCAGACCTGGTAACGTATACACACTGCCCTGGGGCATCAGCTCCTGTGCGGTGTGTGCACCGCTCATGATCTGAAGCAGAACAGGGACCGGAGGGCTGTTGTAAGGAACATCATTCACGGTGAATTGAGTGCCGCTCTGGAGGCTTGGGTCAGAGATCGCAAATAACAGGATAGATATCGGGCCTACGAAGTCAATATCCATGTTAATGGCGTGGACACCGCATCCCGCACACTTCCCCCCGGGCTGCAACGCCGTTGTTTAAATCGAATGACTTTGTCACGCTTTCCAACACTTACCGCCTCAGGATTTTCCAACGGCTGTTATACATATGCAAGTAAGTCTTCCCCCCATGACTAATGATAGATAAATAGTCGTACATGAAGGTTGGTTTCCTGGAGAGGGATAACACTAGTGGAGCTTGTTGTCGTCGGGTCTGTGGTATTGGCACCGGAGTAGCGCAAGATTGCTGCATTGATGCCACCGGAGTTGTGACCCGCGGCATTTCCGTTAGACGGGAGCGATCGAATCCCTGAAGGATGATCAGCGAATTCAAGCACTCAGAATTCGACGACACTCACAGTAATTGTCGACTTTCTGGTTAGCCTCGAGCTGAAGCGCAAATACGTGTCAATGACGCGAGCGGGCATGATAGGGGCCCTACGTACAATGAACGAGTAACGTTGACCTACAGGGACGTGGTATGAACATCGGGAATGCGGTGTCGACGGGAACACTCTCACGTACCAGCCAGGATCTGAATCGAGTCGACTATGAGGGGCTGATGATTGACGCCATCCACCTCAACGATAGTCATATTATGGCCATCGATGGAGAATGTGAATGTAGGATCGCAAGACATAGATATGAGGCGGAAGCGGTACCTATTCAGTGCATAGTCAGCAGTAGCCGCGCGCAACGCAGAAAACAAACCTACCGCTTGCCGTGCTCGACAGAAATCACCGAAAGGTTAGAGGTCGGTCCATTCGGATACCGACCTTTTCCGTTAATCAGGACAGAGTCAGACAGCCTATAAGCAGATATATGAGCTTCGGAGGGGCTGTGAGCAGATCGGTACGTACGGAAAGGGTCCAGCCTGAGTAGAGACCGTGTGGTACCTGAGCACAATTGATCTAAGATACTCAGGTGTAACGTGTATGAGATACTTACCAGTCGGCGAGAGTGATGACAGTAGTCTCTGAGGAGAAAAGTGAGTATAATCAATACAAACGTCTCGTAGAATATGCTTACCATCATCGACGTCGTACATATGTTTGAAGGGGTCATTAGGATCATATATCACGATAGGTCCCCTCAAGCCATCACAATATTGTGTTCCAAGGTGCGAATGGTACCAGTATGTCCCAGCTTGGTCCGGCACACTAAAGTCATACTCGAAGGAATTGCCTGGGTTGATGGGGCATTGCGTGACCATCGCTGTACCATCCGCCCAATTGGATCCCTTCTGGTACAGACCGTGCCAATGCTGGGATAGAGTGGTCATTCCCACGTGCCCCGGCAGTGGCCCTCTGGTAGAGAGCAACTTACCACCGTTGTACTAGTCAGCATTGTATTGTCCGTCAACTGGTCTACCACGTTGATCTTGAAGTGATCACCCTGGTGATAGCTCAGCAACGGCATTCCAAGCTAGGATGCTGGGAAAGTACCTTGTTTGCTTTAATGATAGGACCAGGAAAAGATCCCCCAGCCACGACAGTCCTGGAATGAACACTCAGCTACAGGACAGAATAATTTGAGCGCGCTCGTTGTAGTGGAACTCACGAGCGGCTGTTTCCATCCGGGCTCAGCTGGACATTGGAGATAGTCAGATTAGTGTTGGGCCCTACCACGGTGACGCCCAGAGCGCCTGCGACAGCGGATAATGTGAAGAGGGCGGAAAGGGCGGAAGAGAGCGACATTGAAGTCGAAGTATAAGTTATGATTAAGAAGGAATGTGAGGCAAAGCACGAAGATAATAAATCTAGATGATACAGCGGGTGTGGAGTTATTCCAGTGGGTCGGTGGTGAATGTTTCTAGCACTCGATGGCCAGTTTTTATAGGCCTCGAGTTCCTGAGCATTTGCGCTGTTGTTCCGATGCATGAGTCGAACGCGTCATGGCGAGCAGTTGGTTTCACTGGATGTCCGCCACCGCAGAAATGATGAGTTGCGGCCCTCGACATAATCTGGACAATCGCCGCTGTCAGGTTGGACAATGAAATTCATTGCCACCTGGAGAGGCGATTATGGCTATCCAGTAAGCGTGGGTAAGACTAAGAATCCTGTCCAGTTGTGAAAGTCGGTGCTCCCGCATGGGCCTGTCGGAGAGAAAGGTCGGTCATACAGAACCGCTTCCGGCGGCACTGGAAGAAAAGTATACGGATACTCAAAACCAGTCAGCTATCAGATAGACCTGTTGAGTACCCTCTCTTAGTCCCATCAACAAGAGCAGATGTAGTACTTAGCAGGTCATAGTCTTTCGATTTCCCTGATACCCGTTCTTATGGTGAGCGTGTCATGTCATAAAGCTTACGAAGACAAACCAATGACATAGCACTCAGAGACAACCCGAATCGTAGAATTTACAGATACCTGGACATCTTCCTTGAGCTCTCCCAAATTGCCAGGCACGGACGATATGACGAGTTTCAGGGCTCATACTAGTAGGGAGTTGGCTGCGCGAGGGACCTGACACTCAGACTCCTATGTTGAAATTTCTCGGTCAAAACCAAGGCGGAACATGGGGGCTCTACGTGGTCGATGTGTTTGTGGCAAAGGCGCCGCGTAGTAAGTGACCAAGCACAGCTGATGTCGGCGATTTACTAAGTAGCAGATCCAAGTGGCTGTGTATGTGGCGTCAGCTTCTTCCGCCAACTTCGTGTGGCTCCCCATGCTTCTTCGTGTCCCGCGTTCCAAACTTCGAACGTGCTGAAGGTGAAGCGTCGATAGTACCAGTTCGGCTCGCCAACTTTGGTGGAACTCGGATGCTGGTTTAATTCCAGCAGTAGCTTGGCCTACTCGGAACCTGGACTCTGCGTAGCTCTCCGAAAGCTTGAGAGCGACGCTGAAGCACATCACGAATCCTCAAGCAAGTGGCGCACCAAATACCCCTTTATCTGTACAACCTGTAGAGACAACGAGGAGACACGGCGATCAAGTGTACGCATCACCATCTTCGGAGAGATGATGTCCTATGCTGGACGGGTTGTTATCGCCGGCTCATACGCAACACCCGTGCGCAAGTGATACCCACACGCCAGTAAGCTGACGCATCCGCCGCAGATGAGCGCTCACTGCTGAGCATCGCTGGCGCATCTGTCTTGGATCTCTCTCACCGTTGGTATGAGACCCTTATGGTGGCGTAGTCTACAAGGTGCGGCTGGGCCGTTATTCAATTGGACGCGAAACTTGTTTGTTCTCTGCCCTGACGCGCCTATGCCATCCAGCAAGATAACTACTTCTGAACAAAATGCTGATGTCGCACATAGACATTCCTCTGGATGATTGACTTTCTGGGACGGGTACAGGACATCAGGGAATAACGTTATAGAGGTTTGTGTCTGGATGGATCCCAGTGTAACAGACGGTCACCGACCTACTCCAGCAACAACTGTCCAACAGCTGAGTAGTGCGGTCATCTCGTACTAAAACGACGGAGGAAAGATATCACCCCCTGGACTGTTGGTGGTTAAAGCTGCAATCAAGCTCGTATGGGGCACGTAATGTTTTCCTCCCTGCCATTCTTTTGAGAGCTGAGCGCTCGTATGGGATGCAGCTCACTCCCGGGTCAGTCTTAGTCTGGTCAGGATGTTCTTAAGGCTTGCTGTCGAACAACTGACGTTGTCGATGTCCATGATATCATCCGAGACGAACGTAATTTTTATCCCTCGTAACATCATAAGGACATGACCCGCCGGCGGAGGCAACAGGTTCTCTCGTGGTCTTATAAATCAACGGTTACCTGGACCACGCCCGTCCAATCATATACTAGCGCGAGGCCATGTATGGCTGATTTGTTGTGGTCTTTGATCCATGACTGGTGCCACTGAACGTTACTGTACCAGGCCTTAGATAACTTGAGCGCTCCCAAACTATCGTCCATGTGACCCTTTCAATGCATCATGACGGACTACGTCATAGATGACTATGCTTCTTCTCCGAGCCACTAGATACTAATCCAGGAGATAGGCTTGTGCTGCTTGAATGTGAACATCTCCAGACTGTGCATCTTACATATATAGGCAGCCGAAACCTCCATTGCTGCTGGGAAGAGACTTGCTTAAGTACGGCGCTGCGCGGCACGCCGGAGTCCGATTCCCTTCCGCTTGACCATTCCTAGAGCTCTGGAGCACCCGAGTGACACCAAAAGCGAGATTCCTTAGACTTGGGACTACGCCCCAAGACGCGAGACCAAGGGGTCTTGAAAACCTTATTTTGCCACCCCACCTGAACGCCCCCCCTGGGTACCCCACCTCGTCCCCCTTGACTTCAACGCTCGAGCATCGGTCTACATACAGTACACGTCACCGCCTACACTAGTATAATAAGGCCGTCCGCTACTCTGCTCGACACCCCGTCCTCGCTGTCTTCCCCGTCGACCACCATGCCCTTGCCGCTTCCGGCCGCGGTCCGGGTAGAAGTCTGGTAGCAAACCCCAACCCTAGGGTGTACCGCCACGGGTCAGGTGACAACGCCAGCGTCGGCGCCCGGCGTGTTGTCACCGCCCGCTTTAGGCCTCTCGTCATCGTCGCCGACGATGAGCATGGCTGTAGCATTTGTATGTAGTCGTAAAAATATGGAATAAATCTCATTAAATACACAAAATTCGTTTGATGGATTTGACATGTACGCGCCGCCACTTACACGCTCCGATCGAATGTCATCGCCGTCAGGAATGTCGCGCTCACTGTGCTCAATGGCAGCGGCCGATCGCACCGTATAAAGCCTCGGAAATGCACGATAAATTCCTAAATATTACTATTACATGTTGTCTCGTGTTAAATGCCCCTCTATGCATATACAATGTTCATATATGTGAATACTCACCTATGTCCAAGGGTATATGCTGCAAAATGCATGGTAGCAGCAGTGGGAAATGTTCTAAAGCGAAAGTATCAGCAAAGAATAGTTCTGGTAACACTTTACTGTCCATAAGACCCAAAAAACCGCTGTCGTTGCGATGCTGGTGGGTCTATTGCATAGGAACAACTGCACAGCAAGGAGAGTGCAATCAGACCCAAAGAGGAGCAGAGAAGGAAGAAATTTGAGAGGCCAAGGTAGATAAAGAATGCCGAACACATGTGCTCACATAAAAGGGCCTGACTGCCTGCATACGCACGACCAGGGAAGAACTGAAGGGGCAATGTAGGATCTAAAAGCGAGAAATAAAAACAAACTCACATGAGGGATGCAATTCCATCCGGAGACCCTGTATCCATCGTATTCCGTCCGCTCTATGATATTCAAACGCGTGGAAGATGCCCGGCGGCATGAAGAGGCATATGCGGCCGGATGTCGAAGACGTACTTACCCGGTCGCAATGCAGGACAGGCCTATGCGGACGCCTAATGTACAGACAACTGCAATGTTATAGATATGCATCTGATACGGATGCAGTGCAACATAGACAGTTATTTACCTATAACTCGCTCTACCTTAGCTCCTCGCCATCAGTGCACGCGAGACACATGGACACAGAATATTTACAGTAGACTGCACTGGCTAGACATATATCAGAAGCTGCCAGCAAGATATCAATAGTAATCAGCCAGGACGAAGAGCTTGCGTAGTCGACGAGAGCAGGTTCGAATATGCTGTGACCCAGCCGTGATGCACCATG